CATCCCTGCCTCTCCTCATCTTTAGACTTCTGTCTCGGTCGATTATCCTTTACGGATCCTTCACACCTCTTTTTCTGCTCATAACCCGCACCTATTGTCTTTTTCTCTTTCTTTTGCAGCTCAGCCCATCCTCCCTCCCGCCTCCAGCCTTCCACCTTCCGTGTGAAGTTTAATTAAGAAAGAAATCAGTCAGTAAGAGAGGGAGATCAGAGTGCGCGAGCTTGTCTGCTACAGGGTTGATAATGCTGCGGCTAATCTTCTCCTCCACTTGCTGTGTTTTGCTCTTTGACCGTGAGACAAATCACTGCCTCAGCCGAGCTCTCCATTCCTTTAGTTCCCCAGACACCTGACGCACGGACATATGCACACGCAAGACTTCGAGAACCTCCTCTGTAAAAGTTAGTCAGCCTGTTTAATCTCTCTTAAAAACCCAAATACAGCGAAGACAAAAAACTGAGTCAGAGTGAGCGCTTACAGACCTCCTTCTTTCGATGACAGTTTATTTGTACTTTCCAGATTGTAAATCGTCTTTACAGCAGACACTTCCAAGAGGACTGAAAACCTGCAGACACACAAGTACTCGATCTGGATATGCTCTGAAGGAGGCGAGAATGTGACAGATAAGCAGCAGCAGTGACAATGCCTGACTGCTGATAACCCCAGTAGATAAAACTTAACATAGATTTAAATTCTTACAGTATTAATAAAGGAGAATTTAAAGGAGGATTAACCTGAATCAAGTTAAGAGTGATATTCTCTCACAAATCCAGCTCTCAGGGTGAGTGAAAATGAAGATTTGGTTATGCTGAGTCACTGGAAGGCAAATTTAATGTGAGAGAAAATCACAGAGGGTTAGATATGTGACATAAATCTTCGTTCTGGTGCTCAGTGAATGGTTTATTTACTTTACAGCCCACATGAAAACAGCATAAAAGTTAATGAATACTTTTACAGTTGGTTAAATATTCCAAGTGTGACTCTATTAGATTAGATTAAACTCAAACTAATCATCGCTCTGACTAATCAAAGTAATCGCAGTCGCTTTATGAACGCCGTGGTCATGAGGTAATCACTGAGACGAGGAGAGAACATTTCCACAGTTTTATAACTCAGGTGAAGAGAGCAGGCGGCCTCTCTACCTTTAAGAGTCGGCTCAAAACTTTCCTCTGTAATAAAGTTTAAAGTTAGAGACTCTCGAACTAGACTCTCTCTAGAGTCTCTGAGATTCATCATGACGTAGGTTCTTCTGGATCAGACCTTTAGCTGCTGTAAACTTGTCTGCTTTCCAGTTGAAACAATCTCAGTCTCAGCAGATGACTGTTCAACATGAATCTGGTCCTGCTCGGGGTTTCTTCTGGATCACTGCTGACGTTTTGCTGCCATGGACCTGCCTGCTTTCCTGTTGCATCAATTTCTCCTCTCTCCATCTCTCTCTCTCCCCTCACTGAAGCCAGCTCAGTCTCAGCAGATGACTGTCTAACTTCAGTCTGGTCCTGCTCGAGGTTTCTGCCTGCTAGAGGAAGTTCTTGAGTCTGGTTATGCTCAAGGTTTTTGCCTGTTAAAGGAAGTTCCTAAATCCGGGTCTGCTAGAGGTTTCTGCCTGTGTAAGGAAGTTCTTTAGTCTGGTTCTGCTCAGGATTTCTGCCTGTTAAAGGAAGTTCTTGAGTCTGGTTCTGCTCGAGGTTTCTACCTATTTAAAGAGGATCTTGAGTCTGGGTCTGCTCAAGGTTTCCGCCCGTTAAAGGAGGTTCTTGCGTCTGGTTCTGCTCAAGGTTTCTACCTATTTAAAGAGGTTCTTGAGTCTGGTCCTGCTCAAGGTTCCTGCCTGTTAAAGGAGGTTCTTGAGCCTAGTTCTGGTCAAGGTTTCTGCCTGTTAATGGCAGTTCTTGAGTCTGGTCCTGCTTGAGGTTTCTGCCTGTTAAAGGAAGTTCTTTCTCTCCATTGTAACTTGATAAATGCTGCACAGTGCTACACTCATGTGGTTGCAGATGGGATGGGAGTGGGTCTGATCTTGCAGAGTGGAGCTCAATCTGATCCCATCTTCACATCAGGTCTTTGTAATCAGAGTCTGGACAAGACCAGACTTTTTGTTATGAGTTTTGGGATACCTGTGACCCCCATTTTTAAAAACCAAACCTGATCCCATAGTTTCATTCCCAATCATCCACCTCCATTTTTTAATGATTTAATTTGTCACACTAATTGAATGAAGAACCTTCTCCTCACTTCCTACACACACACACACACACACACACACACACACACACACACATATATACCCCCCATGTAGGCATGCATGGAGTCAGTGCACACACACACAGTCCCTCTCCTCTCTGTTCTTCTCCTCTGGCTCTCCTCTCCAAATGGATTTTTCATGCAGAGTTATCATTATCATTAATTTAGCAGACAGGTTCGCTTCAGAGCAATTCAAGACACATTTGTTAGAGCGCCAAGCAGCTGGGGGAGAGGAGACGGGGGACATTCCCACACTGCTGAGTCCACAGACGATTCAATGTGGACGTGCTGAGAAAACATCAATTGGCCTCTTGTTCATTTCATTTCCTACAAACATGACTCAGGCCTTAACGTTTCCAAACAAGGCAGGGGTGCACTGAGGAAAAAGAAAATGTGAAAACCTTAACGAAATAAATTACATCCAGAGACTAACAGCTGATCTGTTTTACTTTAATTCTGAGTAACTCACAGCGAAAAGGCATCGAATAAGTCTAAAAGAGTTCACAACATCCATTCTCATGCAGCGATAGAGTTGATTTATTGTTTTATTGCTGACATCTATCCAAGGTAGATTCTCCAACAAACCTTTAAAACCGTGTTCCCCGAAAACAAGGACAAGGGTGTCTTTCTTTGAGATGATGATACTGCAAAGACACACACACAGCTGGGCATCCACAGGCCTTAAAAAAAAAAAAGTCCTCAAGGTCGGGACTGGAGTGGAGTGCACTTGTAGCCACTATGCTTGCTGCCTATTAATAAGCCGTTTGGTTTCTTGAGGGAGTAAAAAGCGCTTCATGGTGACCAGATAAAAATTTTCTAAAAACTCTGCTGTGTAGTTTTACCGAGATGTCATTTAACACAAGTCATTTAAGAACATGCAAACACAGACTGGTGATCATAACAGAAGCGTAGAAATAACCACAGACGCAAGATGATGAGTGAGAGTGCTTTGATTTAGACCTATTAAAGGGATATGACAACCGCACGCTAGCAATACAGAGAGCCACGCACTCAACTATAATGCCACTCTATAGCCACAAATAATGCTCAGAACAGCACCTGACTTCATCAACAGGACATATAGGGTCCCAGCCATAGTACTAGCCACCAAACATCTATTTAACTTTGACTAATTTCTTCAGCAAAGAGACTAAACACAACTCACCTACTCTCTTCCAGCAGCTGCTTGTTTGTAGCGAGACCTCAGGCCAGTCCATTATAGACTACAGCGGGGTGACGCAGCTCAAGGAAGAACATTTATGATTATTTCTTTATCATTTCCTTGAAGTTATAATCACCATATTAATCATTTTTCACTGCAGACGCGGTAGTTCTTCTGCCTTAGCGTCTCGGTCTGATTGTATTTCCATGAAGAAATGATCATAAATGTTCTTCCTTGAGCTGCGTCACCCCGCTGTAGTCTATAATGGACTGGCCTGAGGTCTTGCTACCATAGACATTATATACGTAGACGCCTCAAAGCCTGACGCTGCCTATTGGAGCTCACTTATCAGCGCGGCCACCATCTTGGATGAGTTCCCCGTTTGCCACAAGTACATTAAGGTAAGTAGAAATGCCCAACCATAATAGTAATAGCTTTCCGAATCTCTGCCCGATTTTCACACTGTAGCCATAATACAGGACAATGTCACACATTAAAAATAAACCTAATTATTTTTCAATCCTCTTTGTGAAATGTAATCCTACGTGATCTGGTATCAATACTGCGTCGGGTTCTTAAACCATAGAGTGCAAAAATACGGGCATAGTTGCTCGTTCTCCATTGACCCCGTTTGGCTCTTGAGCGAACCTGGAGTGGGGAGACCCATCCAACGTGGCGGCGACGCTGGATTACGCTTCAGCGCGTAACGAGGCGTCTACGTATATAATGTCCATGCTGGCTACAAACAAGCGGCTGCTGGAAGAGTCTAGGTGAGTTGTGTTTAGTCTCTTTGCTAAAGAAATTAGGCAAAGTTAAAAAGATGTTTGGTGGCTAGTGCTATGGCTGGGACCCTATATGTACTGTTGATGAAGTTAGGTGCTGTTCTGAGCATTATTTGTGGTGTTTTGGTTGAGGTTTGTTTATGGCTCCTCAGACTGCTGTGTATTGCTATCGTGCGGTCGTTACTAAAGTTGGTATAACTAGAGAAGCAAGTGGTCGGCAACATTCATCTGTCGAGGGGGTGTTATGGTCTGTTTGACCCTAAATTAATTATCCCTTTAAGACACATACACTCTATGTCAACATATGGACACATAAAAAACAAATGAGACTGAAGCTTAAACCCAACATGAACTCTGACAATCATTTATTGGCTCCTGACTGCACTTAGAGAGATGAATCATAGATGACACTTTACAATGATGGGACCAATCATAAAAGTGAATCATCCTTACCTGACGCATGACTCATGGTTAAACGCATGGTGAGAAATGTGTCACGGCTTACCTCAGTCATATGTCACTTTGACTCCAGGTGGTTTGATTGATTCATTTTGCAGATATCTAGTTTTTTTAATCTAGGTCATTATTGAAGCAGGGTTGGTATCAGGCCCCATGCAGTGTGAGGTAGTCAGCCTACTCATGCAGGAAAGTGCTGACAGAAAATGCAACAGTGAGATTTCAGGATATCTGAATGAAATGTAAAGTTGCAATCCGTGCAACTGCCCATGATAACAAATACTTTTTGAAGTCTCACCCCTCCTCCCCCCTCCACTCTCTCTCTCTCTCTCTCTCTCTCTCTCTCTCTCTCTCTCTCTCTCTCTCTCTGACAGACATCTATTAATACTGCTGCTGACGTCAAATGTGTCCGCCATCTTTGACGAGCGCTGCGCTGCTTTTCCCCCCATTGAAGAAGAAGTGAGGAGGAATCAGCCGACGCGCAGTGCCTTTGCAGCATCCCAGAGGCTGGTAACGGTTAGCTGTTGATATACGCAGACATTTCCTCCCATTCTGAGAGCGGGGCACCGACATCAGGCACAGGTGAGACCTTGGATATTTCCTAACACATTTTCAACGTTTTTATTTCCCAGCCTTTCTGCTTTTATGTCCTGATTTCTCTCATTTCTGAATCGTGAGCGTTGGATTTGAGCGTCTTTTACGCATTTGGTATTTTCGGGTTTGATGTTGTTTGAGGGTAAAGCTGGTGTCTTGCTGCAGTGTTTGAGGAAGAGAGGGAGGAAAAAGAAGGAGATGGAGACGGTGGAGGCAGTGCGTGACCTCCCGGGTGATAAATCTGAAACGCGCAGTGCATCGCTGCGAGGAAGGATGCGCTGCGCTATAATGCGTATATTCAGTGTGGGCGTTTTCGGTGTTTCAGCACCGTGGACAGCGTCAGGGAGGGAAAACAGCGAGGTGTTGAACATGTCTTTGCAGGTCGATTATTCGCATTACGAAAGGTCGTTTCTGAGATGTTGTTTCGCTTCTTTTCATTCAAACTGAGAGAAACGCAGCAGGTACAGGCTGCTGCTCATGTCGCATCACAGCGGCGGATCATGAATCAATCCGTCGACCTCATGTCAGACAGAGAGAAAAACAAATAAGGGGCCTCCCCCCGCTGAGATTCGGGGAGTCGGGGTGATAGCTGGATGTGTTGAGATGGTGGAGAAGATGGTGTAATAGTAAACTGCGCCATGCACGGTGAAGTCGGTGGGAGGAAGGTAGCCGATATAAACAGGAGGGAGGGGTTGAGGCATGATCCAGCTCCATGAATGCGTCGCTTTCCCTTTATTTATTTTTTTTACGCATTGTCTTCTCCGCGCAAATGTCCGAATCCACGCCACGCTGTTTGGCGAGGACAGGTCTCAAACATTTGTGCGTACGTGCAGGAGTGGGGGGGAGGATGAGGGTTATTCCTGTGAGATATGAGGGGAGAAGAGCGCCGGGGAGGACCGTGGTGAAACCCGCACTATGACACCCAGCCCCCCTCCTCCTCATCCTCCTCCTCCTCCTCTTCCTCTCTCCTTGAGTATCCTATCAGACCCTCCACCCGCCGTCTCCAAAGCGACGCACATTACTGTCAACGAGCCCCGCACCCGCATGTCTGTCAAAACCACGCATGGCGCACGATGGCTGAGTGATAAATGAGCACCTGTGAGCTCCACATGCGCAGCGTGTTCCCGTTTGGAGTGCTGCATTCACACACACACAGTAGCGTGGCAGGGTTCATGTGTGAATAACCCAGATTTTTAGACATGTTTCACCTTCTCAGTGGGAAAAAACGTCGACGTCGTGGTTTTTAACATGACGTGACGCAGCTGTGTTGCCTGTCACGCACAGCGCTTTGAGAGGAACCCGAGCTCCATGAGACAGAGGAGAGAGAGGAGAGAGGATGTAATTGTTGGTTTGATTCCGCAGATTGGATGTTGAAGCTGTGTTGATCTTTGGCGCACCTGGCATTATATCGTATTACCACATGGGGCGGTAGGGTGGCTGAATGATGCCCAGTAGTACATGCTGTCACTTTAGGGTCGATTGAATGTTTGTAACACCACTGGAGATCGTGCTTTCTGCCCTCTGACGCATGGGTGACATTAACTGGAGGGTCTTTTTCTTGTTAAGTTGTCTATAATCACGTCAAAATCACAGATTTAATGGTCAGAGAAGAGTCAAAATCAAACATGCGAGTCCTTTTCTGCAGGAAGGCTAACCCGCGTGGTCATGACAATGAAGATCACAGCCTATAGTCTAGAGAGAGCGCACAGTAAAGCCCCAAAGGATGGCCTAGTTGCCATGACCGCTGTACCAATATCACTGCGGCTCACACTGTTTGGACTGCAGAGAGGGTGGTAGAGGTAGTAGTGGTGGTGATAGAGGTAGTGGGAGGGGGGTTTCAGCAGGCCTGTACTGCACACACATGGATAAATGGTGACTCACAACGCCATCGCCGTCCTCTGATTGTTTCCCACCCCGGTCGTTCCTCATTTCTTTACACTGCGCTGTGCTGTAAGCTCCTCTGATCACTGCTGGAGAATACAAAGCCGAGGGGCCGCCTGGCTGGCTGGCTGGCTGGCTGGCTGGCTGCGCATTGCGTGCTTTGGGGAGATACAGGCCTTGACTTTGTTCTTGTCGCAGCTCAGGAGGAAGCTAAAGAGATATTTCACACAATTTCTGTCGGCTTCTGTGGTTTCGAAGGTCGCTGTCAGGCCCAGACCGACCATACATCTCAAGTCGACACATGCACAGTAACCTCAAACTACAGTCACATTTCCTCGTTAGATCTCCTTTTAACGAGTACGAAGGGAAATCTCCATCTCTCTTCAGTAATATTTTCATCTTCCTCACAAACAGAAATCCTCTTTTAAACGTTTCCTTTGACACATTAAACGTCAACCTTCTTTGGAGTTACAAAGAGCCGAATATCAAAAAAGATGTTCGTGTTTGAATCTGAGGAAAATAAATACCGGGGAGATGACAGGACAAGGGTATTTTCAGATCGCCCTTGAGCGAAGAAGTAGACGCCGTCTCACTTCTTTTAGGTTCAGCACTTTGGACTGTGTGTGAACCAAGTCTACTGCGGTAACGTCCCCCCCTGTCACTGTGCGGCGCAGGTTTGAGCCGCATGACAAACAAGATCATCCTCCTGGATTCAGTCGAGCTTGTTCTGCCGCTGTGGTGGTCAAGTAGGCTGTTATATCTCTCTTATTCTGATCTATTCTGATGCCCATTTGTGTACAAACCTGAGGGAATCATCATTTATAAGAAAGAGATTATTTAGCTGTACAAAAACGTCAAATTTCCAGACCAGATTTCAAATTGATTTGTTAACTGAACACTTTTATTGTCAGAAAGTTTGAGGCTTTGGGAAATGCAATGTTTGTGTTGTTTCCTTAAGTGCTGTAAGGACTCAGATGGAGCAGATCCAGGATTTCGAAGAAGACTCAGACCCCACAGACCGGAGTTCAAAGCCAGGAGTGTGTTTCTCTTTCACCGAGGGAGTGTTGGATACACGACAGCGATAAGCTAAGTGGCCGCCAAAACAGGCGAGCCGGGGGATGAAATGCAGAGTTTAGCTTTTTGTGTCCAGTCAGCCCTCGCGGGACACCCTCTCACTTTCTCAGAGACACTCTGCATGTGAACAAAAACACAGGAACAAAATGGCCGCTCCGGAGGCCTCGAAGCTGAGCCGAAGCACGCAGACGAAAATGAAGTACTGCATCAGCTCCTGAATGAAAACGCCGTCTCAGTTTGTCTTTCACAGATCTGATATCGCAATTATCATCAGCGTTTTTGGGGGACAAACGATTAAAAACTCCATCTTCTTACCTGTTCAGGAGACGATTATCCGGCCAGGCATTCCCACCGCTCCTCCATCTGTCCTGTCTCTGGCTCTCACAGGGTTCGATTGTTCCTCTTTTGATTAATGAGAGGAATTTAGAGAGGAAGATGAAAGCTATTAAAGAGAGGAGAGAGTGAAATTAGGAAGCTAGAAGGGAAGAGAGAGAAAACGCCGTCAATGTGAAAACTCAAATGCATAAAAATAAGAATAATAAAAGCATTGCTCCTCTTTGAACAGGTGGGATCATGCTTTTAATAAACCTCAGCCTCAGTTGTTACTACAGTAAGCCGATAGCCTGGAGTACAATCATTTACACATTACATTTCTGCTCCTGTCGGGTATAATGCAGAGCGCTCAGTTACACATTGATCTGCAGCCTCAGACGTATCGCTTTCACCACAGCATGAGCCGTTTCTTCTTCTTCTTCATCGTCCCTGTATGACCAAAGCGTTCACTCCCAGAATAATATAGTGTATATATAGACTTATTATTACTGTGTCAGTGAAGCAGAAAGTCACCAATTAATCTGCTCGGGTCAACATGAATACGCCCTGCGTCCTCTAGATTACATGGCATTGTGTGCTCAGGTGCGGGGACAATACTGCTGCAAACATGAAACTGTGTGCTGTGTGGAGATGCGTCGGTTTGGTGATTAGCCGAGTGTTACGTGGTGGCGGTGTGTGTTTTTTGGCGATATTGTTGCTGTGGGTCTTCCTGTCGGGTTGGGTAATTTATGATGCTGCAGTGCAGCTTGTTGGTGCAGGACAGCCTCTGCAATGCATGTACACAAACCATAAAGAGCACAGATAGTGTGGGATGAAGCCGGATTTGATTGGCTGGTTTTACAGATTTCACTTCCTCATTTTTCTTGATAAACACGCAGTTTGAACTGGAGCGTTTTGGAGCGTGACAGCACGCATGATGTGAGATTTTAGGACTTATGCAACAGATCTGGTTAGTAATGAGTCTGTTTCAAACTGCACAGTCACCACTTGTGTTATAAGCAATGCAAAGTGTGTATGACTGATTATTGCACTGGAGGTCAGCATGAACAACTGCAGCATTTATTATTTTTGCATTGTTTAGACAGATTTTAATTTGTTCAAACTGCAAAATTTGTAGTTTTTCTCTATTTTCTGACATGCTGCTGATCTGGGTTTTCATGTTTGACTCTAGATATCACTATTTGAAATTTTTATGTGGAGTCATATCCACAACTGTACAAATTTGCCAACAGAGTGACTGCAGACTTCAGTATTTATAAGGGCATAAAAGCGAGAAGCTCCATTACTGCAGCATCTGGGGTTTTCTCTTTGCAATCTGCTGCCGGCCTGAAGATTTCAACCCCGGGATTCCATCAGTGGTGCAGATATGAGAGAAGACATCATCTGTATTCTCCTCCTGCAGAGCCAAACATCTCTCCTCTCCTCTCTGACGTTTATTGTGCCGTTAAAAACAAGAGCGTGTCGCTAATTCAAAACAGGCCCGTGCAGAAACCGCTCTCTGTCGGTCAGATGCTTCTCCAACCACCTTTAGCTTTACTGCCGACGTCAGCCCGTGTGTGCACCTCTCCCTGCCGTGTTTTGCTTGTCACATGTCACATCTCCATGACCCCTCGGGTCGTCAAAACGTCATCTTTAATAGCTACATGGTAATAAATGTGGCTCTGGGGGACTCCTGTGGGTGGGCTAATGGGAAGGGGTCCCTTTCACCTACAGACGCCACAGAGGAGAGTGTGGACACGTGGCTGAAGGGCGTTGGCGGTGGACATATTTAGTATGATTAGAGAACATGTTGAATTTATCTGCATTTCCTTGTGCATCAGGACATTATCTGCCCACAGCAGCTCAAAACGGACGGTGCTGGGATGGTCTCGTCTTGTCTTCCCATCTATTGTCCCTTTTGCTGTGCTGCACACTCGTTTCCAGGCTGATAAGGAGCCACGCAGCTTCAGAGGGAGATGAGGGGGCGGTCAGGCCTTATATCACAGAGCTTGCCCTTGTCTTCACCCCCTCGGTCTATCAGGTCGGATTTTGCTTGTGCAGCAGCAACTTCACCATCCAGAGACGAGTTATAAGAAGGTTGACGAGAGCCGAACCTAAATCAGCCAAGTGTGCCGCGTATTAGCTTGAACATTACCTTTAACGTTGATGGAAGAAAGTCCAACAGGATTTGATACGCTCCAAAACAAACAAAAACACTCAAAACAAGTCGAAAAAAACGTTGTGTCCTTAGTGGGGCATTGATATTAATGCTACTCGCTATCTAGACCATATATTGGCTTAAACGTCACCCCTCACAATAGGATATGATGCGCTCGTTGATGACTCAAAATAAGTCGACAATAACGTTGTATGTCGTTGTGCCACAAGGTGCGGGAAGAAATCATTTGTGGCGAATTGATATTAATGATCATGTAAAATTCCAGTAACGGCGCACATAAGTAGGGGAAACTATGACGGAGTATTAGAGCCACATTAAGAGAAAAATTAGAGAAAATTAAGACTTCTAGATTGAAATCATTAATTTACAAGAATATGTCATTACTTATGGGAACAAAGTCAAACTAAAATCATTTCTTATGAGAATAAAGCCGGAAAAAAGTAAATACTTACGAGAATTAAGTCGTAGTAACTACTACTACTATACTTATGATAATGTGGTGCTGATGTGCCAAAACATTAAGAATCTCCTTGTTTGGGAAAAATATGTTGAAGAACATTTTCACGAAATGGCTTTAATTTCAACAACTGTTATCTTAAAAAGCAGGTTAGAATATAAGGACTTTATTCTCTGACTTATTTCTTGTAAGTAATGATTTTACCACGACTTCATTCTCATAAGTTAATAACTTAAATCTCAAAGTCTTACTTTTTTTTTTCTTAACTTGGCCCTAATACTCCGTTGTAGGGAAACACTGCAGCCCATTAATGTCGTATTGTATCGTGTCAGATTAACTCGACTTTAATAGCAGAATTTAAGACAAAGGATTTTACTCATCAGAAAGAAATCAGAGGAACACATATTTGGAAACTTGAATTAAAAGTTCTCCTCCTTCCCTCCTCTTACAATGACACGGCTAAAACAGAGGTTGCACTTAATCTGCTCGTTAACTTACAGACTCGTCCTCCGATGATTGCGATCGTTGACTTTCAGAGGGCAGCCCGTCGATGACATTGCTTTTACTCTGACGGTGCGTGATAATTGATGGACCTGTGCTGTGGTTCCAACATTAACAGAGACACGGGTCATTCTGGTTTCCCTCAAGACGTTTACAGTGACCTTCAGTCGCTGACACGGACCACAGTACTCACTTTTCATCTCTCTAAGTTGCACCTGTTTTAATGAATCACTCACACTGACTTCATCTCCTATTTTAACCCTCTGAGCAGATAGTACACAGCCTGGGGCATGAACAAGATACTTAAGTCTTGCATGATTCACCTGTATGTTGTATGTCATTAATAGACCATGATGGGCTTTTGGAAAGGACAGTATTTTGCTGTGAGTCAAAGTCTATTTAAAGCTCATATAAGTGATTTTAGTCTTGTTTGGAAAGAGATAAATGAGCAGCGATGCTTTTTTATAACCTATAAATGCAAAAAGGACCGTACGTACTGTCTGCATACTTGTCTGGATTGTCTAGTGGGGCGCTCACACTAAGCGCGAGTTAAACCATCTACTCGCTTAATTCGCGCGAATAGTATTTACTCGCTTCATTCGCGCCTCAACAGTAATTTCAGCGATCCCTACCAAAACAAAAGTTTTTACAATTTACCAGGTAATCCAACCTCCTCACTCACTTTCCTTTTTATTCCAGTTTCGGTTATTGAAAGAAAAGGTATTATATAATTTGACACGATCAGTTTGTCCTCCATTTTAGATACCAGTGAACAAACGACTGTTTTCATACATCACCCGGCAACCTTCGTGCTGATTAGTTATCGCGATGCAAATATACGCTCAAGTTGAGACATTTTCAGCTCAAGCCTAATTCGCATCATTCGCGCCACTAGAGTAGTAGATGCGTCTAATCGCGTCTTCCCATTGACTTAACATGTAATTCATTCACGCGAATGATTTCACTCGCGCTTGTTGTGTGGAGACAGTAATATTGTTGGCTGAGGGGGGTAGGTGTCAGCCGAGTTCATGGCGGTGATTTTCAATGAAAGAAAAAACAAAATTTACAGAAAAGACGAGTGTTACTGCTTTGCCACAGGGGGCGCCAAAATCAACACAAACCAAAAGTTCCTTACAGGAGCTTTAACATCAATTTTAAACACAGCAGCCGTGTGTTTTGTGACCCTGGTGATAAGCATGCTAACTCTAAGTGGGACTGACTGACTGGGAACTGCTTAAGCGAGTACTCAGCTCTGTTATGATCTCCCACCTCCTGCTTTTCAGTGTGTTTGTGTTTCTGGATGGTTACAGTCGGGTCGGATAAATAAGTGATACAGTTTTGGACTCCTCGGGTCAATAATGCATGGCATTCTTGGTAGAGAAGCGGGCCACAGGGATAGCACTGCAGCACTTAATGCTAGCTCCACCGTGGAGGGAGAAAAGAGCTGCAGCTGTAGAGACACTTTGGTTTGTTATGTAATGCTACATCACTGTTGATATAATTCAGGCTTCCACTTGTTCCTAGAAGGGTGCTGTCATCTTATCGCCACGGTCATAACATGTTAAAACCTGCAAACGTGAAAGAAACATCACATTACTCTTCTTCAAAACCAAAAGAACAAATCCTGGAGGGTTTATTCATGATATATGATATTATTTTGCATACATCATCTGTTACCAAACTCTGCAGCAGCAACAACAGACCTACCAATGTTGCTCTATGTGTCTTGTTGCAGGATAACCTTTTAAATCCAGTTCCTGCAGTTTCATTTATCTCTCCATACTTGTGGTGTCATCTCGTCGCAATAGAGCAGAAAATGAGATGAGATATTTTTAAACCCCGTGACTAACTCTATCAATCACACCACAGCGACGTCTCGCAGTAATCTAATGTTTTGTGAAACATATATCAGACACTCTAAAGGTCTATTTTTATGCGTTTGATTCGGGGACAGACATGAAGCGTCTGAAACCGAAGCTGGAAAGCAAACAAAATGGCAGCCAGCATGATGCACACACTCCGAGCCAGAGAAGAGAGGGACACACACACACACACACGCAGCTCAGTTTGCATAAAGCAGAACAAAGATCGATTGTGTTTTTCTTTCTCAAAACAAAGCTCGACTGTTCCTCGCTTTGTTGGTTAGCCGTCTGTAGCATATTAATAAGTCTGTCTCTCAGTCTACAGACATTTTTACAGTAATTGTTAAAGACACGGATAGTACTAGGCCGTATTGTAAATATTCAAACTGTATTTTTTTAGCTTATAAACTTTAAAGTTTTTCTATCTTGATTCGGCGCCTGTTACTGAGTTTTATTACATCAGATCAGTTATATTTTCTTCAGACTTACCTGGAGTCCCGCAGGGCAACGTTCTCGGTCCTCTTCTTTTCATTTTAGAAGCAGATAATTCACTAAAAATCATGCAAAAGCAGATATATTTTTGCTTTTCCATGACTCAGTTCTTGATAAAAAGCTGATATTTTTAAACTTAGATCGATAAAAAATCAGAAAACCTGAACTTAACATGTTACAAAAGCAATAAAAACATTAAACAACAACTCGATATCAACCTAGCCTTGAATGATGACACTGTATTCATGCTTTGTTTTTAATATACTTTATTAAATTTGTTTTTGTGATGCATTAAGAAACAGGCTTCTTTCTCCTCTGTGATCTCACTGTCGGGCTCAGGAACTCATGCTAAATGGAACCTGATTTCTAAATCCAAACTCTTTTTTCTTTTTGGAGAATCTGCACGTGGAAAACACTAAATTTGTGCTTTTATAATTTCGATTTTTTGCATAATAGAATTAATATTTTGCATTTTTCTGTCTTTTTCCTCTTGAGTCTCAGGTTGTGTCCTCTTAATGTAGATATTCCTGCTTGATTTTTGCTCTTTTATCATATTTTATGAGCTCACATGACAGGCACAGTAAAAAACAGACATTAAATTGACAGATGTGATCTGACACTAAATGACTGTGTATTGCGGTTTTATGATTCTGCAAGAAACGTATTGATTTACCTTCATAACCGAGGCATGGTTCGGTCTGTAAGGGAGACGGGGACAGACAAACAAGAACTGTGCATGTCGAAAATGAAGGACGGAGGAGGTGGAGAAGGTGTGCAATCTTCTCCTGGTAGAACAAGATGAAATACGCCGTCCTCTGGGGTGCAATACGGAGGGGATGGAAATGAAGGTAGCGTCATATCTTTGGTTATTGTTCCCATGGTGATTACTCGGAAATGTCGCTCTGCAGGTGGATGTATGTTCTACTTAACATTCATTGGGACACAAGTGCTTAACAGAGCAGAGGTGCTGTGATTTCTGCTCGTCCAATTTCCCCAAATACGCTGATGAATGTGCAGCCTTACCCCACAAACTGTCACGCTACAGTCGTGAATCACATTTTACAGCATCTCAGTGAAATCATCTGCAAACCTCATGCCTGTATCTACTTATGTATGCATTTCTAGCGTGATGCAGCCAAGTTTTGTCGGCTTAATCACTGGAAAATGTATTTTCTTTGTGCTCTCGTTCCTCTCCTTTATTGCTCTCCTTTCAACCCAGGGTCAAAAGGTCGCGCTAGTTCCCACTTCCTGCCGTAAATGTTGGCGTCAGTGTAATAGAGAGGCGATAAAAACACAAGGGTAAAGGAAGTCGGGGTGTGTGTGTCAGCTCACAAAACTAGATTGATAAGGTTGTTTTTTATGACACTGGGTGGAAGTGAAGGAGTCACTCGAATCTGCAAAGCAGTAAATGAGCAGCAGAGTTTTCCTCTGGTTTGTTGCACGCTTCAAATGTTTGTTGCACAGTAATTCTCATATATGTTGGCTGTTGAGTCAGTCCTTGCAGTATGCACGATTCAGCGTTATAAAGGAGTTTTTGTTGTTGTGATTAACGCTGTAAGTTCAAACTACCCTTAAAAGCAGCATCCACAAACATCCAGGTGAACTAAATTTAGCTGCCTCTCAAATTCTTTAAATATTGAAGTTCTGATAGTAATTTGTCGAGTGCAAAGCTTGTAAACGGAACATTAAGTCAAATTTCAGCGTGGCTGTTAAACCTTAATTGCCTGAGTTTTGGTTATGTAAGTGGACAGGACAACGAGGAGGACGATGATGATGATGATGCCCTCTTTTCCTTCAGCGAGTCGCTTGAAGATCAAACTCAACAGACATTTAGCTGCACAGTCCGGTTAGAGGTTTATATAACCCAACATGGCCGCTGCTGTTGTGAAACGACGCAAAGGAGAGAGAAAAGGAGAGAGAGGAGGGGGAACACGGAGTGTAAATATCGTGTTTTTAATCTTTTGTGGCTTTTTGACTCTATCAGCAGCTTTCTCTCTGAAAATGAGGTTTCAACAATGCAGGAGTTAATCATTATGATACAGGGGACATGAGTAACTGCATAAATCCACTCTGATGAATGGAGGGAGGCTTTATGATTCAGTCCGTGACGTTGGTGTTATATCGCCGTGGCAGTAAAAGAAATGACTTCATATCCTGCGAATGTGCAGCAAGTGCACGGCCAGCAGATGTTGTTGTGAACGTCTCTCGACGCACAAGTGGGAGAAGCAAACACAGCAGAACCTCCGAGGCAGATTATCAGCCAGACTGCTGAGACGCGTCCAGGTGGGCAGAGCCGTCTGTCCAATATGACAGACTTCACCTCACTTTGGTTGGAAGATTCTCTTTATGGAGTTGTTGGTGTAAAGCTGTATTAAAGTTGGAATTTCGATGAGTGCAGATTAGTCCCTGTATTGTCTTTCGCTGCAGGTGTTTCTCCACTTTTAAGAGGGAGTTGTATTGTTATAACCGTTGTGCAAAGATAGGACAAAACATCATCTTGATTGTATCGTTAGCCATGTTTACATGTGCAAAATTTCTTAATCCGATTAGAAATTTTAAGGATCGGATAATCTTAACCAAGTGTTTATATGGGCGCAAAATCAATATTGTAAACATTTGGACATGCGCAGGGTTGTCTAATTTCGCTAAAACAATCGCAAAAGGAGGACGTGGCTCACCTCATCCAATTCAGGAGTTTTCCCCCGTTAAATGTTGTCACTAGATGGCGCTCTTGCGTACTTATTTTACTATCATGTCAAGGGTTGCAATGTCCCTAGAGATGTGTTATCATTACACCATATGTACGCCTTGTTATGTTACTGGAGGCGATGTTTTTTTTTTTGTAGGATGCTAGGGTAAAGTCCCGCCCTCCTTCGCCTCTGATTGGTTAGAAAAGCTGAAAACGTCGACACACACTCAAGCCAAACGCGGGCTGTCTGCTCTGTACATCGAACATTACAGAACATTATCACACTTCTGAATCTTCTGACACTAACCCTAACAGACGATGACGTTTCACAGCCATTAGGAATAACCAATCGGAGCCCAGCACTTTAAGCCAATCAGAGCCGAAGGAGGGCAGGACCTGGCAGCTTACTGGCAGCTGCAGTTGTGGTCCTGTACTGACCTCAATAAATAAGTCAAAGGCTAAAGAGTGAAGACCAAGTCAGGACAGAGAGTCACGACACGTTGACGCGTTTCAGGATAACGATCGGCGTAAACCACTCCTCTCGATCGGAATACAATTTCTTTCAGATTGGGCCAAACTGAATCTGAATCTTCCGATCGACATGTTTATATGACACATTTTTATTCCGATAGGGTCTTTAGTCCAATTATTTGTGCCCATGTAAACGCAGCTACTGTCACCAAAAATAGGCAAACATAACGAACTCTGATCCTGCTGTTTTGGGCGCATTTTGTATCCGCAATTTGACAGTTATTGCGGAAAAGCTTTATTTTTTATTTGTTGTGAATATCATATCTGACCAAATTAGGTTTCCAGGTTAGTGTGAATTGCATGAATTGACACACCTTCACCTAAAATAACCGACTGTTTTCTGTCTGTTTTGTGCAATTATCTCAAATTCTTCCCGTGAAATCGTCCTTTAAAGGTTTTTTTGTCTGAGGATGTGCATAAAAAATATGTCAGCCATCATCATCGTTTCTCCGTGGGTAGTAAAGGCCATTATTTTCAGGGGATTACCGTAAAATAGAATTATATTTGATTCTTCAGGGGATTTGAATGTTAATATTGAGGATCCGATTTTAACTAATTTAACACATGATCAATTTTAGAGTTTCATGTTTCCGTGATCCGACATCTGGCGGTGCGTAACCGTTCGTCTCGTTACACCGGCTTGTCATGACCTACAGGAGGAAAGGAAAGGATCAAAGCTTCAGGACTAACAGGCTGTTTATGTCTCTCTGTGGTTAATCCGCCAAAATCCCAGTCAACCCTGTCTGAGACTGGCATTCCTCTGCAGACATCAGTCGCCTGCTCTGGTCCCATTGATTCCTCAACAGACTCCTGCCGCGGTGTCTTCTTAATCCTCCATGATACGCGCTCTGATGATAAACACAGACTTTGGAGACAGAGGCTCCCGGCTGGCTAACCCTGGGTTTGTTGCGCTTTTCGGCATCTTTAAGACCGTCTTCAATCAGATCCAGTTTCATTTGGCTCAGAAAATGGATGTATGTTTATGCGTTTGGCTTTCAGCTGCTGTTATCTCGATTTGGAGCCAGTTGGTTTGGAGAAATGGATCACCTTGCTCAAGGGCATCTTGTGTAATGGTGAAAATATATCAACGTTGATGGTTAACAGGGGCTGGAAATATGAGCATGCTCTCTCTTTGCCCTTAAACGCAAACACGGCCTACCTCTCTGGACGCTAACCGCCACAAACTGTCATGGACGCTCTTTACGTTTCCATCCATCTTCACGACCTTTTTTCTGTATTTTCTTCCTCTCTTTCAGCCCTCCCCGAATTCCCACTAGGATCTTCTCTTCCCTGTTGGAGACCTTCTCCACCCCCCACATCCAGCAGCCATGGCAGATGATGCGGACATGCGCAATGAGCTGTCAGACATGCAGCAACGCGCTGACCAGCTGGCTGATGAGGTGAGGAGAACGTGCATGTTGAACGTGGTTCCTGCAAAAAAGCAAAAGTTCTTTAAGAATGTTGTGCAGGAGATCTAAATCATGCACATACACACACATGACTGGAGTTTCCATGTGTTGGAATTTGCACGAGTGTGTCGGTATATGTGCGTGCATGCAAGCGTGCATGTGTCATTAGCGATCAGAGTGACAGAGAGAGACAGAGATGGTCTCAGCCGTGGCCCAGAGCAGATGAACCCACACCCCTCCAGCTTCACATATGACTCACACAGGCACAGCTGAGCAGAATATTAAACACACACACTCACACACACACACACACACACACACATGCATGCATGAACATAGGGCATGCACAAAATGGCGGCACCAGAATAACAGTTTTTGACCTACGAAGTCACTTGCGTTATTGCCTTTTCATACCGATAAGGATGCGAGATGTAGTTCTGTACAGATGCAGGTGAACTCTCGCTTGTTGAAAATCTGTAAAAAAAGATAAATAAAAATGAAAGTATGAGATGAGAAGAAGATGAAAAAAGAGACTCAAAGATGGTGCTGAATTGAAACCCCTCTTCTTCTTCTTCTTCTCCTTCATCCCACCGTATTTGCTCCAGTGGATCAGTCATGCTTGCCATCAGCGCAGCGAGGCTGTGTCACTGTACGAGGATTTGGATATCACAGAGAGCTCTGCAGACACACACTTCTTAGGAACATGCAGCTGCATATATCAATACACAATATCAATAATATTAGGAATCAAACAGATAAAGAGAGAGAGCGATCAAAGCTAGCTTACTTATTTTTCATGTTCGTGTGACTAAATATGAAGTTCTGAGAGATATTTCACATTATATAAGATACGTGTCCTTCTGATTGGGTTTGCATGCTCACTTATGCACAATAATGTGTGTATAATTCTGATCTTGTCAAACTTGACTCGTTTGTGATCGCTGAAGCTGTTTGATAACGACGTTGTTTTTCAAACTAACTGTTTTCTTTTATTTCCCCACAGTCCCTGGAGAGCACTCGTCGTATGCTGCAGCTGGTGGAAGAGGTGAGAACAATAATATCATTTTTATGATGAGTTTAAAGAATTCATGACAATGTGAGTCTCAGGCATAAATGTATAACTTTACCGAGGAGGAAAAAAGAGCTTCACAGGGTGACTTTTAAAGTTTGGAAATAATAGTTTTTATGCAAAATCATTACTGTGATCTGTATTTTATACATGCAAGATCTGCATATTTAAGATATGCATAAAAATTAGGGCTGTCGAAAGATTAGTTTTTTAATCGCGATTAATCGCAGAATCTTTATAGTTGACTGCGATTAATCGTGGTTTGAATTGAATGTTTAAAACTCTTATTTTGCATCTCAAGGCAGTTCTCAGCCCATATTGTAAAGTATTTCTTACCAGAGTCTTAAATGGGAATCAGATAAATACTTTTTTATGATGAGGTTGCTGTTGCAGGATGCATGAATTCTCCCCTGTGAGTTGTAAACAACGTCCCCGTAATTTTTATTTGCACAATAAAAAAAAAGGCAGATGATGGTCTTATAGGAGCAGGAGTGAGTGATAATGGTTCAGATTAGCAAAAAGAAGCTCCTTGTTCGGAGTTGATCTGGTCCGAGCTCTTTAACCCTCAGTTCTCCTGCAAAGATCGAGTTTTCTTTCTGCATTTTGTCAAAGACACATTCAACGACTTGAGCTTCAAACTATTTTCATCATGAAGCTGAATTTTTACGACTTAGTTTGTTCTTCATGTCTTGATTAGAGGACACAGACCCTCGCTGACACCTGCTTGCTGCTGTTGGTGTTTTATCGGCTGTGCAACTGAAGATAAGAGCCAGTCGAGGCCTGAGGGTGCGAATGATTGCGCTCTGATCAATACGTTCAGACTTGTTCAACATTTTTAATCTATATATCTTATTGCAGCGTATTTATTTTAAACACCAGATATGATAGGTAGAAAAATACTTGATTAATTTTAAACTTAATTATTAGAGATTGTCGCTCCAGTTGGGAGTAGAAGGAATCAAATGAAGAAAACAGAGAGAGAAAAGGCGTGGACTGCAAGAGGGGGGCGGCGTCTGGCGAGCTCTGTGCCGATCTCAAGGTCATATTGATCATCAGTCCACATGTCTCACCGCATGTAGCCGCACTCTCATCACACCGCAGGAGAGCGATTAACTCATTTTTTCTGATCATTGTCACAAAAACAGGCGACGAGCGGATTATTTTGCAGATTATATTCATTCAGACGAGGTTATTGTAGTCTGTTTTATTCACGGTGTAACTGCGACACCATCTTCTCGTATATGTGCGTTCATCCAGCTGCTCTGTGTGAGGAGTCTGAGCTAAACTGCGCCGTTCAGTCACGTTGGGATTTTTCAGAATAATTTATACACCGCCTTATCCTCATGGCTTCCTTCTCGCCTCGCAAACATCTATGTGGTTTTCTCCCAAACTGCTGAGGATGCAGGGGGAAGGGGGGGATGGTGCGTGAACCGATGCATGCATTATGGTGTGTTTGTGCACTGACACACCATAATCTTATTTATGCCTATCAGGCTGTGCCAGGTGCCACATCTAAGCGTCTCTAAGAAGCAGAGAGGAAGACGAGTCGAAGCAAGAGTCACTCTCTATCAAAGCCTGCAGCAAACCAACCCTATCGATGATGACTTAGGCTTCCCTGCTACACCCGAGTGTCGAGGCGCAGCAGCTTCTCAGAGGGGTTACAGAAATGGAAACGAGAAGGCTGAAACGTTGAGGGGGAATACGACACTACTTGTGCATGATCTAAAGACAGCCGAACGGGATTCTGGGTTATTAATTGCGTCATTTGTACATGAAAAACCAATGGCATCCCCCTGCTGTCAGCAATACTATTATTAATCTCCAGGGGGCTATTTCCTGCTGAAGGTGTAATGGCCAGATGACCACTGCCTTTTCCAATCAATACCAGCCTGCATGCTGATGTAAGGGGAGCAAATATTCTCATTTGTATCTTTGGGAGAGCAGAGGCGGGAGCTAGATGTTCCAGCTAAACCTGCAAGAGACCAAAGCTGAATTAAATATTGTTATCCTAAATGAATCAAACTCAGATGATTGAGTTTAAAGAAATACTGATTTCCAGAGGTCAAAAAGCGAAAGGTTGGCGTGAAAACCGCTTACGCCAGCTCCTACTTTGATTCCTTTTGATTCCCTGAACTCCTGCAGCCTCGTTCCTGACCTCTATTTCTTTTTTATGTCCCCCCCCCCCTCTCTCTCTCTCCCTCGTTCCTCATTTCTACCCGCCTCTCTCCCGGGAATAGAGCAAAGATGCCGGCATCAGGACTTTGGTTATGCTGGACGAGCAGGGAGGTAAGACTGGAAGAGGCGGAGCTGCTGTTTCATATTAAATAATAATCCTGCAGCACATTCGGCTGATATCAGAACTGTTTGGTGATATTTCAAATGTTTTTAAACACGTTAATGGATGACATGTTTCATATGCAGTTGCTTGTTTTCATTTAAATGCTTTTTCTTCTCGATTCATTTGTTTTCACTTTAATTCTCTGTTTGGGTTTCGATTAACTGCATGGTTCGTTTAACTCGGGGGATTTTTCTTTCTTTCTTTCTTTCTTTCTTTCAGCTTAACCTTTTTTCTTATTTTTACCTTTGGCTAACACTTTTTCTTTTTCGTTCCTTTCGCCTAATTGCATTTGATTTGCCAGGAGCTTTCTTTTTTTTTTAACTTTCATTTGCTAACGAGGGCAGCGGAAGATTTCTGAAAGTGCCAAAATATTTCATGCTAACTAACGCAGTGCCAAAACCTGCAGCTTAACATCAGGATGAACCACTTCTTGTGCAGAATTCACTCGTGTAAAGTGGCGGCTGATGGCAGGGCGGGTTTACAGCATTAAGACAGCTGATTTAAGTACGATTTGACTTTAAAACCTCAAGAAATCATACTGATTACATTTAGTCACATCAGAAAAAGATAAAAATCCAAATTCTATGAGTGACTAAATCTGTTTTTTGCCTTCGGCCCTGCCATCATGCCGCCTAAGGGTGGAAAAACACAAGAGGTGGATTTAAAGAAAAAGAGAAAACGATCGATTTAGCTGGTAGCGACAAATTCGTATCACTTCTCCACCAACTCATACACCGATTTGTACGATCCCTGGTTAGACGCATTATATAAAAAAGGTCAAACGTGCAGAATCGGCTCGTCAATACTGATAGTGTGACACCCTTCGCTTCACTTAACGTTAGGTGGGGCTAACCTCAGCGCTCCCATTGGCTGGAGGGCATGTAAAGCTTTAATTGCACCAGAAAGGCTGTTTACTCGGGGGGATAAAAGCTCTATCCCTTCTGAGACCATCCATTTATCCCCTCAGCCCGGTCTTCCTGCACTGTAGGATCACCACTTTAAAAACCAATTTCAATGGCTGACTGGACATACAGGCGTTTATAAGCCTGAGCTGACCTCTGACCCTCTACTATTGATCTCGCGCAGCCTGTAGCTAACTCGTATTTTAGTTGATAAAGGGTGTCACTGAAGAATAAAGTTAGATATGAAACTTCCAGGAGAGATTCAACGTCTACATAAATGCATCCAACCAGGGATTTGACAAAACTGGAAAAAAAAGAAAAAAAAGTCAATGAATTACTTTTTAATCCGCCCCATATTTAACTGTGCCTTCACCCTTTCACATGCTGCCTGCACCCTATTTCCTTTAATCACACGCTGGATGGAGAACTCTTTATGCTGCAGAAAAGTCACCAACCACCACATCAGCATGACAAAAGCCCCCGATGCTCATAAAACCAGAATCCAATTAGACTTTAAAAAACCCCGGAAATAAACGCAAAGCCAGACAAAGCAACGCAGGCAGATTTCAGCCGAGTAAGCCACTTTGTTTACCGCATTGTGGCGACTTTTGTTGGGTTTCGAGAAGCAGCGTATAGTCGCCTCTGTTTATTTAGAAACATAGGATCACTATTCCTTGATTCTCAGGCCATACAAACGAGTGTTTCGAGGTTTTCTGTGCCTCTCCAGTAACAGTTATAGCTCGCACAGCTGGTAGCGAGGCTGAGTCAGACAGATGTAAGATATAATGTCATAAATACAGTCGAGGCAAACAACATTTTATTTTGCACGTTCAAGCAGAAAAAGAACTGAACAATAACTTTCAAAAAGAGTTCTAATAGATTACATCGGCTTGTTCCCTGTTTGCTAAATACAGAATATTGTACAAAAGAGGATTAGGACCATATTAAGAGAAAAGAAATAAATACAGGAGGGAGATTGAAGTTGAAATTTCAAGAATAAAGTCAACATTTTGAGAAAAAAAAAATTTGAATGTCAATAAAATGGAAAATTTGAGATTAAAAATCCAAATTGCAAGATCAAAGTCGAAATTTTGAGATTACGAAACGTCATAATGAATGTCAAAATATCAACATTAAAAAATTTGCATTTTGAAATTAAAGGCAACGTTTTGAGATCAAAGGTGGACGTACAGTCAAAATGTCAAAATTAAAAATTGAAATTTCAAGATTATGCAATGTTGTGAATAATGTTGAAATGTCAACATTAAAAAATTTTAAATTTTGAGATTAAAAATAAAGTTTCAAGATTAAACTCAACATGAATTAAGTCGAAATTCGGAGATTAAAGTTGAAATTTTCTGATGACAAAATGTCATAATTTCGAAATGTCGACATTAATAAAAATAAAAAATTTTGAGATTATAGGTGAAGTTTCCAGATTAAAGTCAACATGAATAAAGTCTAAATTTTAAGATTAAAAATTGAAATTTCGGATCAAAATCTAAATTTTTAGATTACGAAATTTCGTGAAAAATGTCGAAATGTCAACATTAAAAAAATAAAATAAAATATTTTGAGATTAAAGTCAAATTTCAAAATTTAAAATTAAAATTTCGACATTAAAATCAAGATAATGTTATGTCATGAATAATGTTGAAATGTTGACTGTTAAAAAATTAAAATTTTGAGGTTAAAGTTGAAATTGCGACTTTTTTTAAATATCGACTTTAATCTCGAAATTGAAATTTAAAAAATTCCCTTCCTCTAATTATTTATTTTTCCCTTCTTGTGGCCCTGATCCTCTTCTGAAATAACGAGTTTTAGCTAGGATGCTGTGAGCTTCAACCAGCTTCAAGACTTGACGTGGCGGCTCACAGCTTTCTCGGTTAAGATGCATCTAAAGCTGACTCATTGAAGTTGCATGTATATATACACACAGTATATATATTATAGTATGAAGTTTATCAGCAGTTGCATACAAAGACTCTCCCCTGAGTCTGATCTATTATTAAAGCAGAAGATTCGCCTCTCGATTACTTTGATCAGCGACCCAACGACTTCATCGCCATTTCTTTCAGCTTTTCCGACATAATTCTTGATGAAATTTTGATGCCGCTCAAGTAAGACTTAGTTCAGTCTTAGTGTCACACAATGCACACACACACAGCTGAGTATCAATCTGACTCAAATACTGCTCATCATGACTCATATTTCTGTCGATCAGTCAATGAAATTCATTCCACTACTGTCATCCCTTTGTCCTGACCAGAGCAACTCGATCGTGTTGAAGATGGCATGAACCATATCAACCAAGACATGAAGGAAGCCGAGAAAAATTTAAAAGATTTAGGGAAATGCTGTGGGCTTTTCATATGTCCATGTAACAAGTAGGTACTGACAACGTGCCCCAAAGGTCCTTTACATATGTGGTGGCGTCCAGTTTTCCTCTTTTTTTTTTTTCTTTTTTCTTCTTTTTACTTTCTTTCGTCACAGTGAGTGTCTGAAGTTGTTGTCTTCTCTCCTTTGTCCTTTCTTTATCTCTCTCTCTTCTTCTCTTCTTCCTTCTTCTTCTTCTCTCTCTCTCTTCTTGTGCTTCGTTCTGTGGGGGATAAATGACTTGTGTTTAATCAGAGCAACTGGAGCGCATCGAGGAGGGAATGGACCAAATCAATAAGGACATGAAGGATGCAGAAAAGAATTTGAACGATCTAGGGAAATTCTGTGGTCTTTGCTCCTGTCCATGTAACAAGTAGGTGCTGCTTGCCTGCCTGCCTGCCTGCCATTCAGAAATACGAGTAAATATCTAAGGAGTCTAGAGTTTTAATCGAGGTAGAAGTGACATCATGGTGGCCATCAGCCATTAGTCCGCTCTTCTCCAGTTTGAAACCAACCTAAAACTGTCCTTGACATCTTCACGAGGTGGACACAGGAGGCCATGATCTCGCAAACACTCGAAATTTGAACGCTAATATTTCATCTAATAAAAAATAGATAAATGTGCAACTTTTCTGAGTTGGTCCTGCCTCAGCACTCACTAAAAAGGGACCTAGATACACATATCTGTGTGTACAGATATTCTAGAAAGACAAATTAGCTGCAACTAGGGCTGCACGATTAATCGAGGCGTAATCGGATTATTTAATTATGACGATGTTAAAAGAATTAAAATCGTCAAATTGATTTTCCTCTCTATCATGTCTCGCACCTCCAGGCCACAGTAGCTCCCTCTTCCTACAGGAGCGCTCCCCAGTTCCCACAAACACCAGTGTAAACAAGTATGGCATTTGCAAAAGAAGGCGATAATTTCGTGGCTAAACAGAATAAGAACAAGTCAGTTGTGTCGAATTGGTACGGCTTCGCAATTTCGGATGAAGAGCAAACCACTCCCCGCTGCAAAGTCTGTCTGAAGGCGGGAAATGCAAAAGTTTCTTCCACACGGAAATGGCGTTTCAGGTGACTGTAAACTGTCCTTTTCGAAAACGGGTCAGAGAGCGCATAAATCCGTAAACGACTGCCATTTCATCTCCATGTGGATGTCTATCTGCTTCTCTGGAAATGATCATGTGACACACAATGTAACTCTTTTATGGCGCCAATACAACCTTTAAACGCATACTCTTCTTCTGTCTTTTGTGCATTTCCTGTGCAGCGTTACAGCGCCACTTACTGGCTTGGCATACGTACTACGTCGTTTTCAGTGGTTTCGTTTTAAGATACGATAGGAAAAACTTTTACTTTAAAAGTGAAGTTTGGTGAAGTTGTCGCTGAATAAAAAATTAAAAATCGAGTTTTCAGAGAGAAAAAAAATCACTCAGCCCTAGCTGCAACTAACCACTAACTTATTGCACCAACCAGACAGCTCATACCACTTTTTGTCCAATACCTTTGTCCTACCTGGTGAGCCAAACCTTTGACCATAGCCTCAAAAGCGCATCAACATAAACTCATATTTCCAACTCAAAAGAGATTAAAAATTCAAGTTCTACTTTGAGGCAGATTCAGACGTACTGTAGGTCATCGCAAGCACACGCAGCAGTCTTCGCTTCCTCTACTTAAATGTGTATCCATGCTGCTGTCCAACCACTCACGCTCAGATAGATTGGCAAGATCTAAATCCTGCAAAGCCGCCCTCTAAGGTCCAGTCCTTCACGTAAGCACTTCTTCACTTAGCCGAAGCCATGGTTCATCTTGAAGTGCCTCTCTCTAAACACTCTTCTACCAAGTGGCCTTCTCTCTATAATAGGAGTCATCTACAGCACATGCAGCTGCAGCCAGTGTAGAAGTCCAACGTGAAATCTGTCCAATAACTCAATAACAAAGTGGCCATCCAAACGTCCAAACTATACCCAGATTCTACCAAAAGAGCAGGGCGATGGCTCCTCAGGCATCTCGGTACTCTGATCGCTCTTCTGTTGGCTCCTCTTGGAAATGCGGTGATCTCGGTACTGAAATGCCTCCGGTCCAGCCTGGTCCAGAACTGTTTGACACTTCTCCTCCTCTGCATGATCTCTACCACTACTGCACCACTCTAACACTTAGCAGACCTCCACCTCTTTGAAGGATACGAGACCTTTCTGTTTCCCCTCAAGCATCCTTCTCTCCCCCCTTACCGCCATTTTGAACCACAACGCACCAGTGACGTGGAATGACTGGCGAGCATGATCCTTTGAATGCTCATGCATGCTCATAACAGGACTGCTACATATGATGATGATGATGATGATGATGCTGTTATTAACAATGAAGGTGGTATTGATGATGTCTATGGTGATGGTGAACAAATCTTTGTATGTTGTATTTATCAGGACAAAGCCGGGTGTCTTTTCTCTTTTTGGATTAATGGGGATAAAACAGAAGAAAGTCAGATTAAGTTTTATTTTTTAAGGAAGGAAAAATGAATTTCAAGAGCATCAAAACAGACACAAAACAACCGCCAAGGCTCCCACCTTGGTCCTACGCCCAATCCCTCAAGCACCAGACCCTTCATGTTCCTCCTGCATCCCCAGGAAAGCTTTCGCCAAGGTGCCGAAAAAGAGGGTCAGATCGATAGTTGAGGAACAATGCGGTTTTCGTCCCGGTCGCAGAACTACGGATCAACTCTTCATCCTCACTCGGGTTCTTTCGGGAGATGGGAGTTTGCCCAACCAGTCCACATGTGTTTTGTGGACTTGGAGAAGGCCTACGACCGTGTCCCTAGGGGAATCCTGTGGGGGGTGCTCCGGGAGTACAGGGTGTGGATGGTACCAATCCCTTTACCAAAGGAGCACAAGCTTGGTCCGTGTAACCGGTTGTAAGTCGGACTCGTTTCCAGTGAGACTTGGACTCCGGCATCTGGTTAGGATGCCTTCTGGACCCCTCTAGTCCAGACATGTCCCAGCGGCCCAGGACCAGGTGGAGGGATTAGATCTCTCGCCTGGCCTGGGAGCGCCAGGGAATCTCCCCGAAAGAGCTGGTGGAAGTGGGTGGGGTGAGGGCCGTCTGGGCTTCGTACTGGCATCAGTCAGTACATTAACATGACACTTAAAAAGACCGAATTATTGCCTTACTTCGATTGAGACCGGACAACTGAGGTACATGTAAACACCTTAGTTTGACTATAATCAGAGTTTGAGAACGGAGTCGAAGAACTGCGATTAAGACACCCAGATAATGCGATTGGAATTCGATTTTCTCTACCAAGTAACCAGCGTATACGATCGGACAATGCATGTGTGCGTGCGCCATGCCCCCATAACAAAAACACCAGAGAAGAGGAGTGGCGTGCATCTCATCTGCAGAGAAAGTAGGGAGTACATCATTTACGACAAAAACAACGCTGTACGATCTTCTTGCAGCAGTTGTAGCCACTTCTGACGTCTGGCTCAGACCTGTTGTTGTTGACGACAGTTGTATGGGGTTGGGAACAGCGCTGCTGAAAAGACCGATAGTTTTGGGGAGGAGGACACATTCACGTCAATAATTCGATTTTCTCAACTGCATGTATACGCTGACAAGGAGAGAAGTCCGATTCGGCGGGGAAAAAAATGAATTTTGAGCTTAGCCCGATGAAGCTGTGCATGTAAACGCACAGACTGGGAGTCAAAAGTGAGCTGAGAAAAGCAGGAGAGCACTGAGCCGTTCCTGAGATGGAAACTGGGTTAGGACACATGCGCAGTCAGATCTTTTTATGGTTGCAGACATGTTTTCGTTCATCATGCTGCTGTGCATTTCCTGTTCTTTACCCGGCTCACCGCAGCCTTGTTTTCCTCCTGCTCCTGCTGCAGTGCCACCTCTCCTGCAGAGCGCCAAGCTAAATTCCCTTTTATCCAGCTCTGGCTGTTTCAACATTACTGTTTTCGCTAAGCCGCCTCTCCCGAGGGGAACTCGCTCACATGTAGGTCAGCCATATCAGATAGTGGCATGATAGCCTGCTGGGAAGTTGACAGGAACTGAACGCACACATAGATGGACACTGGAAGGGTAAAGGATGCATTTTTCACCACTTAAAGATGGAGAAGCAATTCCATCATGTGAACCAGGATGTGTCTTAATCCCTGCAGCAGCATGCTAGCTGTCTGTCAGAATTAGCAGACTTCTGAAGGTTTGCCGCTTAATACCGTTAGATTTCTCTGTTGGTGGACTTCGATTGCTCAATTCGCAGTCAGCAAATGAATTAAAAAGATTTCAGTTTTACCATCGGGTCTGTAATACTCCAAAGATCTAATCATATCGAATCATTTCAGCAGCAAAGCTGATTAGAAAAGTGCATTATGTCCATTCTGGGCCTGCGAGGAGGCAAACTGCAAAGGAGAATTGACTGGATGTCAAAGGAAAGGAAGAAGAGCGAGCTAGGAACCAGAAGAAGGATCTGAGACGAGGGGAGCATGTGTGTTTACCACCCTGGTGTGTGTCAGCAGGGACAGAGAGCCAAGCATAGCTCTGCCTCAGTCTATTTCTATTAATAAAGCCGTGTAGGAGGCTGAGCAATCACCATCACTGATGCAGCGAAAATACAGCCACACGAAAAAGCAAAAACAGATCCTGTAAGACGAGGCAGACAAAACACCTGAAGAAATACGATTCATTAAGCTGCTGGAGAGTTAAAAAGGGTTTAAATCCTGGAGACGAATGTTTATAAAACACCAAAGACATGAAAATGAGACCTCTTATCTCTCCATCCAGACTATCTGGTTCCAGATCTGAGAAAGAGGATTAGGGCCACAAGAAGAGAAAAAAATAAGAACAGGAGGGAGTCGAAATTCTAACTTTATTCATGTCGACTCTAATCTCTAAATTTCGGCTTTAATTTCAAAATTAAATTTTTTTAATCTCAAAATTTCGACATTATTGGCGACATTTAGACATTTTTTGTAATCTCAAAAGTTTGACTTTGTTGACATAATTTGATTTTTTTAATCTCAAGATTTTGACTTTAATTTCAGAATGTTAATTTTGTTAATCTTTCAATTTCGACTTTACTTATGTAGACTTTAATCTTGAAATTTCGACTTTGATTTCAGAATTTTAATTTTTTTAATCTCTTAATTTCGATTTTAATTTGAAAATTTTATTTTTTAAAAATTTGAAAATAATAAAATTTTCAACTTTATTCATGTCAACATTATTCGCCACAGTTCGGCATTTCATCATCCTGAAATTTCGACTTTAATCACGAAATTTTCAGTTTTTAATCTCAACATAATTTCGATCTTTTTAATCTCAAAATGTCGACTTTAATCTCCTTCCTGTAATCATTTTTTCCTCTTCATGTGGTCCTAATCATCTTTCGTACAAATCAGACGCTGAATCTCACGTTTGTCGTCAGCGTAGTTTTGTTTATCTCCGTCCTGTGAGGTCGGGACTCCTTTACCTGACATCCCAGAGTCCTGGAGGTGAATCAGTGAGATTTAAAGAGTTTAGGGGGAGGGGTTAGAGGAGTTAGAAACAGGTGTTATTATCTGTTCACTCTTTTTTTTTTTTACTTTGTTTTCTTTTGTCATTTGGCAAATTTGTTGACCGTCGTCGTTCCTCCTGACAGTCCTGTACACTCTATGTTCTGTGTGTCTGCTCCAAGCTTGTCTCTTTTCTGTTTTCTGTCACACTGGGACATTTTAGTGTTTTTGGGGGAGGGGGAGGAGGTGTGTTTTATTCTCTAATATTCGACCACATGTAGAAACTTTAGGATGCATGCCTAGACCTGGAGTAAGAAGATGTGACTTGTGCCTGATTCTGAGCAGTATGTTATATACCCACATGATATAACATCATCGCACACACATTGTTATTGTGTTAATAACAAGAGAATGAGTCTGAACTGACCAAACCCAATCTACCTACCAGTCTGTGCCTGCTATGCTTTGCTTGACTTAGTCTAGTCCCTCCCATATATTTATGTGCCGAATGCATGAAGCCAAATAACACCTTTGTGCCAGCTGATCACACCACGCCACAAGTCCGAGGCTTTCTCTGTAGATTTGACTTGATAGGAAAGCCTGTCGTGATGAGGTGATGTTCGTGAAGTGTTCGTTTAAACCGTTGAGTAACTTTTTTTTATCCTCGCCTTCGCCGCCGCCGGCGCACAGGATGAAGAGCGGAGCCAGCAAGGCCTGGGGAAACAACCAAGACGGGGTGGTGGCCAGCCAGCCCGCCCGCGTGGTCGATGAGCGCGAACAGATGGCCATCAGCGGAGGTTTCATCCGCAGGTACGAGAGGCTTAAGCTTGATAAATTGAACAGCTTAGACTATAAAGTGTGGTCTCGAATATCAGCGTAAGGGTTCTTCATGGCGTCCAGATGGCTGATCTGAGGTCAGGGTTCTTCAAGAGACCGGATCAGAGGGCGAATCTGGACGAAGGGCAGAGGCGCCACCTCCCTGAACCTTAGAGACACGCCAATATGTGAAGTGTTTGTGTGTTAATGTGTGTTTGTGTGTGTTTGTGTTTAGGGTAACAGACGATGCCCGAGAAAATGAGATGGACGAGAACCTGGAACAGGTGGGCGGCATCATTGGTAACCTGCGCCACATGGCTCTGGACATGGGCAATGAGATCGACACCCAGAACCGCCAGATCGACAGGATCATGGAGAAGGTACGTGGAATAAAAAAAAAAAGATTAAAGTGGATCCTGATGTCCTGATTTTACTCGATCTCTGAGGAGAAAGCTCATAATCCAGCTCATATCGTCTTTTTTTATTTATTTTTTAACTTTATTGTTAAAGTTTGTACGCACAAAAACAATAGACATGTGGGTAACACTTTAAATAGCATATCGACCACTAATAAATTGTACATTTTACAATTTTAAAAACCTAACCCTAACCCTAATTTTACAATAACCATCTAAGTAATGTTTATAGGTGGTTTAAAAACCAAATATTAATCATTTACAAAGTGTTACTGACACACATTTTAATCTAGATGTTTCACAACCAACATTTAAACCCTTTATAAACCTTTAATAAATAGTCTATTCATAATTATTGCAAATCATTAATCATAATTTCATTGCTTGCTAATTGTAAAGTAACTATTAACTTACATTAATAAACTATCTATTTGCCATTTATAATTGGTCTATATGAAATAAATATTGACATCCGAAATAATCGCACGAAAAAAATGGTGAAAGGACCTTAACTCCCAGAGGACTAAAATCCTTCAAATGTTCATTTTTAAAGGGTTTTAATATTTATTTTAGGTGTTTAAATGACTCTTTTAGGATTATGATGCATTAACTTCAAAATTCAGGCAATTCTTTGGTGATAAATCAAGCACAAAAATAATATCTAATACCTGCGCTCTCCTCCTCTTTTCCTTCACCCAGGCTGATTCCAACAAGACCAGGATTGACGAGGCCAACCAGCGCGCCACAAAGATGCTGGGCAGTGGCTAAACGCTCTGAGCTCAGAGCGTGGGCTTCCCCGCGCCGCACGTCGTCGTCAGGCGCTGACATGCTTTTCATCATGGTATTGACCTTCTAGGTTTGCACACATGCACATATCACCTCCCCTCCCCATTGTAAATGTTGTTCTGTGTGTCGTCTGTCGAGCTTTTTCAAGATGATTGTCCTCGTAAAAAGATGATTTCTTATACTCCGTATATCATTCTTTCCAAAGGTTGTATATAGTGCTGACTTGATGGCTCTCTAGCTCACCTGTGAAGTTTTTATTCTCTTTATCAATATATTTATATATATATATATCATATATTATACATAATATATCATATATATATACATATATATACTACAAAGTACACTGCTCTGGATGATAAGTATATAATAGGAATGCTAAACAAGCTGTTTGTTTGATTCTTTTCCTTTTCAGTATCTCAGTATCGTCTTAGTAAAACTGTGTCATTCCATTTAGGCTACTGTCATGCTCCTTATTTCGGTGTTGTTACGACAAAAAGGGAGAAAACGACGGAAAAACACACACGCAAAAGAGTTACTGAGAGACGTAAAGGATTGGCAAAGAGCACTTAACAATCAGAAAAAAAGGCAGTTGGTACATTTTCCTCCATTGCAATCATACTGAGTTCCTGTTTAGACAATGTGCAACTAGACTCTCTGTAGCTGTATTAGACATTGCATTCCAAGTGATGTGAATTGTGCGTTCTCTGCATGACAAATGGTAGATTTTAGTCTTATAAATAAAACCTGTCTGAAAAATATATATAAAAAATGATAACATGGCAGTAGCAAATTGACAAAAGCGCATGCTCAGTATTAGGACACAGTTGATCGTTCCATACTCCTGCAAGTTTGCAATAGTGCCACTCTTTTTGTCTCGATATATTTACCGACTGTGACCATCTTGTTGTAAAATAATGATGCAAAAGGGATCAAAACAAGTGTGTTCAAGAAGAAAAATGAGGACTTGGGGGTTGTATTGCAAAAAACAAAAAACAAAAAACAAAAAAAACCAAATAATGACCTGTTTTCTAAATGATTATGCAGTTCAATGATGACGATGTTGACTTATGTGCTGAAAGATGAGGACTGGTTGTGTACTGTATCATAGGTTTTGGATGCTCTGAAAAAAAATAAACGTTTGCAATGTAAAGCAAAGACGCATATTTCTGAGAGACCTTACTTTTATAAGAAGACTGTATCTGTAAGTTTATTCTCCCCGTGTGGTTTGTTATTGGTCAAAAATACTGATAGTATCAAATAACAGTAACTATACTCTGAAACAAAACAAAAAAAAAACATTCAAAAGGGTTTTTTTTGTTGCTTCTGTACTTTAGAGCTATGCACACCAAATCGCCAAAATGCTGAGTAGTTAGAGTAAGGTGATTAAATACCCGAACCTGAATGACACACAATAGGTTAAACCGTGAGATTGATGTCCTCAACGCATGTAATATTAAAGACTCCCTCTCTGTATCCTGTCAGTGTGTGAAGTGGTGGACATTTTGTAGCTAGCTGAATTGATTAAAAGTAATAAACCCTAGTCCCAACGGTGTCTGTCTTTATTGCTCCTGTGAGTCCAGAGCCTTTTTTACACTGTGATAGTGCGCATCTGTGTGTGCATGCTAGGATATCACAAATGAGGCAGACAGTCCACCTTTAGGTTCCAGGACTTCACCACTCTTTATACGAGAAACACCGCAGAGCAACGAGATCTCAGATTAAACAGACAGAGAGAAGTTACTTTAAAGTTTAAAAGACAAATCTATAATCTGAAATACAGAGGAGTGTTTTTGTATTTTTTAGTTTTTGTAGATTTCTAAAAGACTGTCTTTAACACAATAATAATGTGTGTTTAGCTCACTGCTACTGGTGTAGAAACACTCACATATTTCTTCGTATTTAAAAGTTTATTCTTAAATTTGTCTTTTCATGGTGATTAAACAATTTTGCTTTCTTTCTGAGCTTAAAGTAAAAACCGCTGATCCAAAGAAAAAGCAGGAAAAATGTAATCCGTGATAAAAATAATAATAATAATAATAATAATAATAATAATAATAATAATAATCATATCTATTTTAGGAGTAGATAATATACTGCGTCACTTGTAACTTGTAGTTTATATCAATAAAACCTTAGAAAAATAGCTTTATCTATCATTAGTAATTGATATTTATGAGCCTTAATTTCAACCTGAACTCCAAATATTTGTCAGGAACATATTTAAATGGTTCAAAAACATCTAAATGTTTTCAAGTATTCATTTTAAGATTGTGCAAAGACAAATATTTTAGCTGAAAAATTTAATGTTTTATGGAAAAGTTGTTTTAATTTTTAAATTTGATGCCAGAAACTTATTTAAACAAAATCAGACAAAGATGAATAATACTGAAAAAAAGCTAAAAAATAAAAACACAGAAGAACAATTAAACCAGTGAGGTTCATTTGAAAAAGGTTAGTGACATGATGGGTATATAAAAAAAGCCTCTTAGTGGTAAAAATGAGAAAAGGTTCATTATTCTGTGAGAGACCGAGTGAGCAACAATTTCAGATTTATCTTCTTCAGAGTAAAATTAAAGAGTTTGAGAGAACCTGGGGGATCTCAAACCAGATCAGACAAAGCCTAAAACCAGAACTGGACTGCTGTGAACTTCAGGCCACCACTATATTAAAAAAAGGCATGACTCTGAAGTGGAAATCACCGCACTGGATTAAAAGATTTGTTCCAGATGTTTGCAGCGCTGCAGGGAATAAGAAGACCTAAAATCTGAGCTAGTCTGAACCTGGTTGAAGATCTTGGAAACATCTCTCCTCTCATCCAAAGATTTATGGATTAAGTTCCATTAAGTGTCTTAAAGAACTTCAACCAAATCCAGCTGTTTTGGAGATTATAATCTGGATTACCAAAACCTGGATGACAGAGATCCTTTATAAACAGGAAACGAAAAGACAGTCTCATGGACTCTGGACAGATTAGATCCACTCTCCTGGTCTCAGTATTTTTAAAGGTTGTTTCATCCTGAGGTGGTATTTTAGTTCGAGTCAGGGAGGTATTTCAGAGTCCAGACACTTTGTCAAGTCCACTTTGTTTAAAAAAACTGCAATCAGGGGTGAAATCTCCCTCAGGGATTTTTTTTTGCTCTTCATCCCACAGTTTGTTCTCAAAATGAAAAAATATTCAGATTACAGGGCTGATTATCCAAATACAGCACACAACAACAGAGCGAGAGTGAGGTGACACGCAACAAAGAAAAAAAAGAGAAAATGAAGAGTCTGAGCCTCCGAAGGGACCAGGATCCACTGAAGGGAGAGTCCTGCAAGAGGAAGCCGGAGGGATCGGGACTGAAAGGAGGAGACACCAGAGGAGAGGGGGCACGGCGAGGAAAAGTAAAGGTGGGAGGAGTTTGAGACGATATAAGAATACTATAATAATGTCATAATTATGAGGAAAATAAGTTCAAATTGTGAGAAAGTCATAAGAAGTCAAACAAAATAAGACAATAACAAATCGAGTTTTGATTTATAATTCAGGATTTTTCTTTGTTTGGGTTCAAGTCTCCCTCTTTTATTTTAACTGATAAAAACTTTAACTTTAAAACAGGAAGTTAGGACCTGGAATCAACCACACAACCTTCAGCGACAGGATAAGCTGCTTCATGCAGATTATTAAGAATTAAGATAAACTATAAAAACTATAAAAAGACAGATCTTTATGTCTGGTTTTCCTCCATGATTCATGATCAGCTGCAGTAGCTCAGGAGGTAGAGCGGTTGTCCAATAACTGGAAGGTTGACGGTTCAATTCCCCCCTATCCTGAATCTGTCCGTTGTGTCCTTGGGCAAGACACTTAACCCACCTTGCTCCCAGTGTGTGTCCTCCACTGGTGTGTGGAGCAACAATAAGCATCTGTAAATCCAAACTGAACTATATCTGCTGACTGAAGTGGTTTTATCGCTGGTCAGTCCAAACAACATGAAGAAAAGTCTGTTAATCATTCAAACTCTTCTTGTTAGACGTCTTATTAACTCAGAACTTTCTTTCGAGGTGGTTTAAATCTGTTTCATATCAAACATTCGTGGAGTCATGGTTCAGAGGATCACAGCAGAGACTCCAGAACAAGAAGAAGAAGCATCAGTGAAAACAAGAGCTGCAGTACGGCCCCGTTGCCAGAGGACTATCTCCGCTCCCCCTCTCTCTCTCTTCTCTGTATGTGTCTGCGCCTCATCCATTATTCAACAGAATAACAAAAACACCCTTGAAGGAGACTGGAGCGTGGTTCGGGAACAATGTGGATGGTTGTTGTGTTTTTAAGTAACGGTGATGCTTTCTGCCTCATCATCTCAAGAAAGTTGGTTTGGGCCTTTTTGTTTTTGCTTATTTATCTCAGGAGTTCAAGTACAGGAGGAAGAACCTTGAACTTTGCATCTATTAAGCGCACCAATACGAGAATTAAAAACTCAAAATCAACCAGAAAGAGAAAATCGTGTGTTTTTCCTTTAGTTAGATTTAGGACACATTTGTCATCCTGCACATCTTCAATCAAGTTCAATTTCACAAAACAGCATCTTAACATTTAATCTATGTTTCCAAAACAGACTGATGTCTCTTCGCTTTCCTAGAGGTGACTCCTGCTCCTTCAAACTCACGGTTGCAAACAGGATTTGCGTGCTTTTGTGTTTGTGTGCACACACCGTTTCTCCCCCTCAGGCAAACCCCTGAGCTCCAGTAACTCCTGCTCCGGATTGTGTCTGCAGACTCTCTCTCTCTTTCTCTCTCTCTCTCTCTCTCTCTCTCTCTCTCTCTCTCTCTCTCTCTCTCTGCTGCTGACACAGTCTTGGACCCATTTTTTGTTGGAGTCAGCAGATAGGAGTCTGCAACAAAACAACAACAAACGAGAACCTCCTCCACCGCTCATGTGCAATAATCCATTTACAGATGAGGCAGATGATTGTGAGCATGAGGAAAATCTGGAGTTTTCAGTTTGTGTTCTCTGTGTTTTATTCTTTAGATCAGTTTTCAGTGTTTATTTCCTGTTTTATTTTGTAGGAGTTGATTCCTTGTGTTTCTAGTTCCTTCGTTAGTCACTCATGAGTCTCACCTGTGTCTCGTTAGCCTCACCTGTTGCTCGTTTCCCAGTGTGTCTAAAGTCTCGTCTTCCCCTCTGTCCCGGTTGGTTCATTGTATGTGTGTCTGTGTGTGTCTGTGTGCGTATGCTTGTGTCCACAGTGATTTTTCTGGATCCAAAACTACAAAATGAGACCGAGAATGAAACAGAAACATGATGAAATGATCTCTTCAAGAGCAGGGGTGTATCCAGACTTTTCAGACTGGGGTGGCCCTGTTAGGACACTGAGTCCTTCAGGGGTGGCATGACGTATCAGATAAATATGATATTTATGGACATATATGTTTCACCGCCTAAAAGTTAACACAACATCTTCCAAGGTCAGTTTATTAAGGACTCAAACGATGTTCATCATGGAATCAACCTTTAAGGCCCCGTTTATACGTTCCCTAGGGTGACCATATTCTGAAACCACCACGCGGGGGGGAAGAGTCATAAGTCACACAAAGTTAATTTTGAGAGTGTTACGGGTCGGATTGAGTCTCTTTAATGTGCTTCTAACTCAGTAAATCCACGTGACACAAACTCCAAAACTTCGTACAAAACCGCTGACATTTGACGGATTTGATAAACTTACCCGGACAAGGCCGGACAGCCCCCCCAAAAAAGAGGACATGTAAAAGAGGACGTATAAATCTGCTGTCACTCTCCAAATTGCTGCGTCCAAATATCTAAATCTAGACAAAAGTTTTTTACAATTTACCAGGTAATCCGACCTCCTCACGCTCCTTTTAAATTCTGGTTTCGGGAATTGAAAGAAAAGGTATCGTATACACATACACATACCCACACACCGACACGATCAGTTTGTCCTCCATTTTAGATACCAGTGAACAACCGTCCGTGTTTATAGTCACCCGGCAACCTTTGTGCTGATTGGTTATCACGACATGAATATCTGCACAAGTTGAGACATTTTTCAGCTCCCACCTAATTTGCGTCATTCGTGCCGCCAGAGTAGTAGGAGCATCTAATCGCGTCTTTGCATTGACTTAACATGTTATTCATTCACGCGAATGATTTTACTCGTGCAATCAGAGTAGTTACAATTAGAAGTGCTCGGATTGGAAATGTGAACTGAAACTAATAGAAATATTTTCATGTTTAGACTTTGTGGGAGTTCAAAGCTTGTAGAGATGCATCAATTTCTTAAAAGTTTGGGAATGGAACAAGAAAAGTTTCTTAAGTTTGAAAAGTAAATGTCGTCCTACTCTTACTCTGTGTGAAATTTTAGCCAAACAGATCAGGGTCTTTTCTCTTATGTTCTTCATTTTTTTAGACATGATCTCCCAAATGATTTTAACGGGTGGCTTTAAAAAAAAGGCTTTGAATTCAAACCGTCAGCAGACCAGCTCCCAAGAACCTTTAGTGAAATATTAGTAATCAACACGTGGATATTTTAATTTATTATCTGGTGTTTTTGCAGAGCACTGATGTTTTGAGGATGAAGTTTTCATACCTCATGTCTTCATCCAGGTGTTCAGGGTGACAGTGAGCTCTGTTATTTGATAGTACGGTGTAAACTACGTCAAATTTATGGGTGCTCCCACTTAGAGCGACATGATTCGATCGCTGCTTAATTACAGTCACGCCAATTAAAGTGATTTGACCGGGAGGCTGCAGCAGAACATCGGTCAGACAGGGAGATTAAAGGAGGAGGAGGAGGAGGAGGAGGTGAGAGACATGAGTGGGATCTCTGCAGACTGGAGCCATGTGCAGGGCCAGAGGAGAAGGGTGGGGCCGCTCTCTGCTACGCAAAAGGGAAACCACTGCAATCTCTCCCCCTCTCTCTCTAACACAAGGTTAAAGCTGCAGTCGCCACAGCCACCCCTCCAGCATCTGCAGTGAACTTAGGGCCTTTTTAACATCCTCTATGGCTGCACACAGAAACAGCCCCCTCTGTGTGAGTGTGTGTGTTTATGTCAGTGTTGGTTTATGTGAGTGGTGGTGACAGCTGGGGGAGACAGGGAGACTAACAATAACTCACAATGAGGAGAAACAGGAGGACGCAGACATTTGCTGCGAGCTCTTTTTTAAACACATCATCCTATTTTTAGACATTTAAGGTGTTCGTTTCACGGTACATCGAACCCGCCTGTGGTTCTGGTTCTTACCCGGGTTCTGCAGATTTTAAAGGCTCACCCGCAGTCTCTTCATGACGGTCATGCACCGTGTCTGCATCCTCAAAGGCATCAAATGACCTCTACTGTCATGCCTTGTAAACATTTCTCAGGGCTGAGCAGCGGAGGAAACGCTGACACCTGCTGGTGGGAAAAGGAACTGACTCAGGATATTAATCATGGAGGTGTAAATAAATAAGAACTTCACCGCCACACAAGGAAGCAGATTTGGTTTATTTCAGGCAGGTTAACACTTTTTTTTTTAAAGGTGGGACTTTTAGGCACAAACTGACCTTCAGTAAACATCCACGTGCATGTGAGTCCAGGTCTTCATACGCTCAAACTAGACCACCTTTTACACATTTGTGTCCATCAGATAACAAATATCATTAAATATTCCTGTTTTAACGTCTTCCTTGAACACTAAAAGTGCATCATTTGGAGCAGCAGGATGGGATTAAATCCAAACAAACTGCTTTTATCATGCAGGATATATTTATTATCCTCTTGTCTGGTTATGCTTAAAACTACCAGACTATGATCTCATTTAAAATACATCCCTGTAACTTTTACTCGACACCCTCCTTCATCCAGATCTGCATCGTGTTATTGATAGAAGATGGAGTTTGTTTCTGCTCCATTATAACTCTTTCATTTCCTCTGTTTAGTGTTTAAAAATAAGGTCCTTACTTTGTGAGACGTGACGTTTTATAAGACGTAGAGCCGCAGCGCTGATGTGCAACATCTCCAAACATATTTTCTTTCACTAAGATTAAAGTTTCAGTTTTTCTGTGTTAAATAAAACCTCTGAAGTCGACACCAGACATCTCCCTGCTTTAGTAGATCTGTTACAGAGACGACAATCGACTCAGAACTAGATGACAGATGGAGATGAAATAAATAGTGATTTCTGCTTTAGTGTTTTTCTACTTTGAATGGCTGATGTTGGCTTTAACCGAGAACTTGAGGCTGTGATTATTGAGGCGCTCGATGAGACTCGTTTTGTAGAAGGCAGCTCCTGGAGTGTACACGCCCCCCCTGTAAACAACAAGAGAGAGAGGGGGACACTTTGAGCATCAAAAAACAAGCAGATAGAGATAATTAACTAAAAGTGTAAAAGAGTGAGGGGATCACAAAACAGATGAGCTAACCTTCTGGGGAGAGAGTGCAGCTCATTCAGCAAGGTTACAGCAGCTTGAACCATCGCAGACGCCGTGATTACATATCCGTCTGTAAACACGAGAAGAAACGAAGAGATGAGACAGAAATGTAAATCTGCTCAGAAACTCTCGAAAGACTAATTTAGCGTTTAATAGAGATAAACAGGATCACAGCGTCTAAGTAAACAATATCAAACTGGTTTACTGGGTGGAGATAATGTTAGCTTAGCTGCAGTTTAATAAGTCAAAAACTCACTTTTACAAACTTGCTTTTATGTGATACAGTCTTTTATCTTTTATCTCTTTTTACCTCTGTCTTATTCCAGCTTTACTGTCTTTTTAGCTTTTGTTATACTTTTACATTTTATGTTTTTATTTTTGTCCTCATGGTCTCATTTTAAATGACATTTTCTCCTCTCTGGATAGTAAACAATTTTGTCTCTCCAAAGCATTTGATACTGTCGATCATAAAATCTTACTTATTTATATAACTCTTCACTTATTTGGTTCTATTCTTACCTCTCTGACTGTTTGCATTGATTGTTTTTAATCTCACTATCATAAACGGAGTTCCGCAGGGGTCTATCCTTGGTCCACTTTACATCAATAATATTATTACACCAATGCAATATTGTAACATCCATTTTTTTTCACTAATGACTGTATTTTAAATGCCCCCCAGTTCTACCCCAGCCCAAGCTCTCTCCAGTTTATAGACTTCCTTTGATTATTTTTAATTATCTCTCCATAATCCGTTTAAATGCTGGAAAAACTAAATGCCATTTGTCAAAGCACTTTTGTAAACCTTTGTTTTTAAAAGTGCTACAAAAATAATGTTATTGTTATTATCATTAATGTCCATGTACATGTTAGAGATGCCGTCTGTCACCTGTGTTTGTTTACATACAGGTAGTAAAGTATAATAGCACAGACAGGAACTAACTGTGACTGTGCTTCACCAGCAGTTTGGACCTACTGTTACAAAAATATCAATAACTGGTGATCAATAATCTGAATTTTCAGATTTTATGACTTTAAAACAAAAATCCAAACAGTTTTAATTGAGTGTTTTGTTGTATAATAATGGTTTTATGATGTTGTGATGGTGGTTCTTACCTGCTCCTGTGACCTGAGTACAGATCTTGGCGTTGGGCTGACCCTGTGCAGGATCTGAACCCTCTGAGTAACCCTCGCCGTAAAACGTCATGCTGCAGCAGGTGTCTTCGATCTGAGGAGAGAAAGAAGGCGATGAAAACATCAGAGTGGAAATTAAAACAAAGACTCTCTGTTCATGTTTTTAAGTGGCTAACAATTTGCAGGGTTCCTACACAGTTGGAATTTTCATACATTTTCATACTCTAATTTTTACAATTATTTTTGGAAATACCTTTTTTTCTTTTTTATAAAACATTATTTTAGAACCGTGGTAAAAGTCTGGAAACATAAATATTTTTCCACACTTTATTTTTCATTTTCTATACTTTTTAAGACCTGGACATTGATCAAATTTATTCGTAGTAACACTGAAGTGTTTATAAAATCAAAGTTAAAGGGATATTCCGGCGTAAAATTAAGCTAGGGTCAAACACACCATAACACCGGGTTAGACACCCCCTCGAGAGATGAATGTTGCCGACCGCTTGCTTCTCTAGTTATACCAACTTTACTAACGACCGCACGCTAGCAATACAGAGAGCTGTATTGATTATTACTTCATGGAAATACAATCAGACCGAGACGCTAAGGCAGAAGAACTACCGCATCTGCTGTGAAAAAATGATTAATATTGTGATTATTACTTCAAGGAAATGATAAAGAAATGATCATAAATGTTCTTCCTTGAGCTGCGTCACCCCGCTGTAGTCCGTAATGGACTGGCCCAAGGTCTCGCGACAAACAAGCGGCTGCTGGAAGAGAGTAGGTGAGTTGTGTTTAGTCTCTTTGCTAAAGAAATTAGTCAAAGTTAAAAAGATGTTTGGTGGCTAGTACTATGGCTGTGACCCTATATGTCCTGTTGATGAAGTTAGGTGCTGTTCTGAGCATTATTTGTGGCTATAGAGTGGTATCTTGGTTGAGCGCATGGCTCTCTGTGTTGCTATCCTGCGGTCGTTACTAAAGTTGGTATAACTAGAGAAGCAAGCGGTCGGCAACATTCGTCTCTTGATGGGCTGTCTAACTCGGTATTCTGGTGTGTTTGACCCTAAATTATTTTTTTTTGCCGGAATATCCCTTTAGAGCTCATTAAATAGACAGAAATGAGACTCAAATGTTGTATTTTTACACCCTAACCTTCAGCGTGACTCATTTTTGTCACACTGAGAACATGTCAAGCACCTCCAGTGTCGTCTTACCTGCTTCATGGTTGGACCAGACTTGGTGAACAAGCCAAAGGAGAAGAACGACGGGAACTTTCGAGGAAAAAACACACAAACATGTTTAAATCCACTGAGTCTGGACAGAAACATTAGATTAAAAGTGAAGTTTTATGTCTCTTTAAAGCTGATCTACTCTCTCTCCAGGACCCTCGTTCTTGAATCGCAGCGCTGATCAATAAAATTATATAATCCATGTCGATTTGTAACACTTTCCCACACATACGCATTGTGTAATATCACAGTTGTTGCCACACTCTCCTGCTGCATCTAACAGGAGTAGCTCAGAGGAAGCCTTTCAGCTACAAACCCACACCTGACTGTGAATCTCATAAATCTTTAAACAGCCAAAAGACCCTGAATCAACGCAAATTAACGAGGTGAAGGTAGCTACCGAGGTGAGGAGCTTCCTTCCAAGGCTGAACTTCACCATGAGCCAGAAAACCAGACCGCCGCAGAAGATCTTCACCACGGAGAAGAGGCCCCCGACCCCGACGTAGGGACTGTAGCGGACCTGTAGAGAGGAAGGCAAAATGAGAGAGATGAAGGGGAGGTTAAAAGAGGGAGAGACATGAAAGAAGGAATAAGATTAAAGTGATAAAAGGAGAAGAGATGAGGAGGAGGAGGAATTAGAAAAGGATAAAAAAGAGGTACAAGGATGAGAAGAAATGCAGCATCAATATAGAGAGAGAGGAAGAAGAGGAGGAGGAGGGGGACATGGCGTGAAAACAGAAACAAAAAACAGCGGTGCGAGAGGGAGGGTGAGATGAGATGTCAAAGGGAGTAATGAGCAGCAGAGTAGAAAGTGATGAATCACTCCAGATGAGTCATCATATTTCCACTTAGCTGGTAGATGGCGGCCTAAACAACGTAATGAGGCGGTTTCATTAAGGCCGAGTCTCCGGCTGTGATCAAAACAGAGACAGCTGCAGGAAAGGCTGACCTAGTTACAGGTACAGGAGGGAAATAGGTTTGATTTTTCCGAAGCCGAGACGCAGACACGAAGTCCGAACAAGAAAGACGTGATACGGCGTGATTCTGAGTGACACAGAAGAGAGGGAGATCGTTCTTCTCAGACAAAGCTCCACATTTCTAAACACGCCTGTTTTTTTACAGCCCGGAACAAAGCGTGCCAAATTATTGATTTCATGGGAGTTTACGTTTATTTGTTTAGCAGACGCTTTTGTTTCGAGCCACAAACAATGAGATAACGATCTAGACCGCAGTAATTCATGGAGCCGAGTCCAGCTTGGTGGAGCGCCTCTGGGCTGGAGAACAGAATCAGATGTTAGAGAAGATAGGAGGCTGAGTTCACCCTCCTCCTTAGTGTGAGAAAATTCCATAGACTGTATATACTATATACAGTATATAGTATATAATCTGATATTCAATTTTTTACTGATAATTAAGGCCAATATCCGATATCAATATTGTATCTGGAAACCCCTAGCTGCAGGAACTACAACCCTGAGAATCCTCAGGTGACATTAGCTGGGTTTGCAATGATCACTTCTAATAGAATTTGGAAAAATGATCCAACATGACAAAATATCAGACTGATCTTGTCGATATTGAGTTATATAAAAATATGTTAAAAATGAGCTTTTTGAGGGTGCGAGACTCTCGAATAAGAGCCCTAAAGTGGTGAAAACAAAGATAGGATGATCCATTTCGACCAGAGAAGCCCGGGATTTGTGTAACTACACTAAAAATAGAAAACATGAGAGCGTTTGTGAGTTTGTTCCTCTAAAGAGCAGAAGTAGAGCCTCCAGTCGCCTCTGTCTAACACTGGGGTTCACTGACTTGGTGTTGGGTTGTCACTGAGGGGCCTCAAAACAACAACCCAGGCAAGTTGTGACCTTTGCTGCATGTACGAATCAGTCCCTTGAACAGGAAAACACTCAAGTTTAGACAAAAAAAACACCCAGAGTCTACTTTTGTGTCGATGCATGCGAGCTCTGTTGTCCCTAACAGATGTTTGTGAGCCCGATCATGTTCAAATCAACGAATTACCGTTATGTGGGCTATCACAAATCATCTGACAAATGATAATGAGGTGATTATGATCACACAATCATTTTCCTCTCCTTTGTTTTTCATGCAGATTACAATTGTGACATTTGTTGCACGGCGGCGAACAAATGATTGAAAGAGCGCAGCAGATGACTGATGCCCCCTCGACATACGGAGGATCGTTCATGTGAGACAACGGATGTGTCAGCCGCCGTTAACAGAGAGATTAAATCACAATCAAAGCAGATTGTGACTCTGTGCAGAAGGCGAACAATAAAGAGTAATTATCTAAAAACAAAAAGTTGTTTTAATAATGAGGACTTACCGGGGACTGTTGATCCTCCTCGTAGAGAAAACGCTGAGTCCTCTTAACGACAGAGTGGTCAGACCCCATGAATGGAATAGTGTACTGGTCGATCTCTTTGCTGAAAAAGAGAAAACTCCTGCGAAAAAACAAACAAACAGTCATGATATGTTCGGATTATTCTGTTTTCTCCTGGTTTTATTTGAGTTTTCAGTTTGTGTTTGATCCTATTTCCCTCCTGTTCTCTGTGTTTTATTCTTCAGATCAGTTTTCAGTATTTATTCCCGGTCTTATTTTGTAGGAGTTGATTCCTTGTGTTTCTGCTTCCTTGGTTTTCCCTCCTTCGTTAATCACTCATGAGTTTCACCTGTGTCTCGTCTGCCGCACCTGTTGCTCGTTTCCCAGCATGTATAAAGTCCCGTCTTCCCTCTGTCCTGGTTGGTTCTTTGTCTGTGTGTGTTTGTGTCAGTCTGTTCTCTTTCTCTGTGTGTTTTTTGAAGTACGCTTTTATCAAATACTTTTTTGTCTGAATTTTTGGGTCCCTGTTCATTTATTCTGTGAACCATTCACTGTTAGAAAATTATTGTTCACACTCACTTAGTCTATCTATGCTTGCAGCTTTATAGTCAGGTTATTCTCAGCTGTTTTTATAGTATTAGATGTCCTTAATAACAAACTAAAAGTTTACAGGCGTCATTTTCATGATGGCGTCCACAATGGATTGGAAGACCAGGGAGAATAGGGTAAAATTTTTAACAGACAGATATCACCATGAAACTTCCCAAGTTTATAACTTACATTAAGACAAATATATTTTGTATTACAAGTTTTGTCAAATGTTATGTTTGAATATGTCAATGAGGTCATATCTAATTAAATATGCACAAATTTTCATACATTTCCCTGACAGAAATCTGAACAACAGATAAAGACCCTTTCAAAATTCTTGTTTTATTTTGTTGACATACTAGAGTCAGAAGGAGGGGAGGAGGGGACTTTGGATATCTCTTTTTATCACTCTGTAAATGAGAAAATACTCTCACCACCACATGTGTTTTTTTCAGGTCCTTAAAATGACCATTACTCCTTTGTATTCATTCTAGACCAGGAATACCGGTGCCTGATACATGTGTCTAATTAGTATAGTTGTATAATAGATAAGTGATTACAAGTACAATTATATATTAAAGCAATTTGTCACTAGCACATTTATTTGAAAAAATAAGTAAAATTTCCCTTAAGTAATTGCATATTTCTCCTTTCTCATATTGTTTTGCCTTGTGTTGGTGGTTTCTGTGGTTCATAACCATGAAAGAATTAATCCATTACAACTGTGTAGTACTGTAAAATTAGTCCAAACAGGGCTGCCATGTGAAGGCTCAGTTTTGCTAACAAATCTTAAAACATATTTTTATACATATCTTTGTATATTTCCTTCAGGTCTATCATCTTATTCTGGTATTATTTTTACTTTTTTACACTCTATTCTTAAATGGGACCTTTACTAGATTTACCAGTCATCACACTCTCCCTCCCATGTTGTACACTTCAGTAGGTTTGGACTTGTCTGCAGGAAAATAGAGGCCTCTATTGTTCATCCCATCATAGGAGAAGACTGAGTGAGTTTCTAAGGGGCTTTATCATTGTTCAGTTTTGGGTTCTGGAAATGTATGTAAATTAGTGCATATTTAATTAGACATTACCTCATTTACATATTCAAACATAACATTTGACAAAACTTGTAATACAAAAAATATTTGTCTTAATGTAAGTTATAAACTTGGAAAGTTTCATGGTGATACCAGTCCGTTAAAAATGTTACCCTATTCACCTGGCTTGTCTCCTACCCATCATGGACGCCATCGAGAAAATGACGCCTTTCTAGTGGTCAAACTTTGGTAAACTTTAAGTGTGTTATTGAGGACATCTAATACTATAAAAAAACAGTTGAGAAACCTTTTGTTAGAATTTTTTTAGAGTTAGGTGGTTGTTTTTCATAAATGCACCCGCCTATTAATGCAGTAAAGTTAAAGCACGTTTCCTCAGATTATGGTCCTTCAGGTCCAACATTCAAATATAATCTCATTCAATCAGTAAATGTGAGTTTATAACCCAGACCTGCATTTTAATACAAATATCATTACTCACAGTCCAGTTTCAGCCAGACACTAATTGCTCAGTTACCTGACCACTTACCTCTGTTTGACTTTGGCACCCACCACAGGCAGCGGCTTGTGGCCAAACTTCCTCCTCAGCTGCCGGAGAGATCTGCTGTCTGCGAAACTGTACACGGCCGACTGCCAAGTGGCGTCATGGCCGGACGACCCCTGCGAGGGTTAAGACGGATTTTAAATTCTGTCTGAGGCGCAAAGATTTTAATGTGATTAACTTTCCTCTGCGTATATTTATTGAAAGTCATATTCTTATCCAGAGCAGCTTAATGACATTATTTGGAAGAGATTAAAGACTGCATTTCCCATCATGCTGAGCAGAAGCTGTACTAGTCTGGTGTACCTCAGGTCCACAGGTGAATTTCAGGAAGCTCTCCACAGCTGTCAGTGTTCCTGAAACCAGATCAAATTAACCGAATTCAGAATCCAGTAGACCAAAGCTGACCAGACTTGTGATGAGTCTCTCACCTTTAAACTGCTTCTGCATGTACAGAATACCGAGGTCTGCAGGTATGGAGTCGAAGCCACAGCTGCCAATCACGTAAACCCCTTTGTCGAGAGCCTCAGTGTGGTACTCCAGCTGCATACGCTCCAGGAACTAGAGGAGAAAGAGATCGTAAAACACACACACGTTACACAACAAAGGGTGTTGCATTACATGGACACCATTCACAAGCAAGACATAAATCAGTCAGGTTATTTTAAGTTCCGAACACAGATACAATCAGCAGCCCAACACCCAAAATAACCATAGAAATGAACATTAATTTCACCACCTGAGGCTCCCCGCTGATGTCTATGTAGTGCGCTCCATTTGCTATGCAAGCTTTGACCACTGGCTCACCGTAAAATCTGTACTGGAGAACCAGAGAACAGGGAGAGGATTGTTTAACATGAGAAAAGACTGCGGCGTGTTTTATAGGTTTGAGTCCACTTTAAAAAACTGTTTGGACAGCATACTTACAGGCCCAACACAGTTCAGAATCACCAGACCCTGCTGGCACATGAGATCCAGGGACTCTTCAATAGACACATCAGCAACTATGATTTCGATGTCTGTCCTCAGCTCAGGCATGGCTGTCAAACAAAAGGAAGAGAGGTTATTGTTCATCGATTGTTTAGTGGACACGTCTCACACATCCTGTAAAAATACCCCAATTAGGGCCTGGCAATATGGACCAAAAGTCATATCAGATATATCTAGGCTATCGATATGCGATATATATCCTGGTAATGTTTTCGCAAAGTGAGAGCAAATGTTTAGTCACAGTCAAAGCCAAATATGACATGTCAGAAGTAGTTTTAGCATGTTCAAAGAACAAAAAAATGTAAATATAAATACTGTATAACCACAGGAGTGTTAAATTGGAACTCCATAAGGTGCACATTTAAATGAAAAATATAACTTTTACTAAAAAATAGCCTGTAAAGTAAAATAGGCCAATCTTTTTCTGAAATAAATCTATTTATATGAGAAAAGCATCAACATTGGACCATTTCGCATATCGAGATACAGATATCAAACACTGTTGTTGACATTTCAGAAAAAGATTGGCCTATTTCACTTTATGGGCTATTTAAATGTGTACCTTCTGGACAACAAAGGTGCTCCTGTGGTTATACAGTATTTATGTTTACATTTTATTGTAACAGCTGAGCATAATTTCATCCGGCCAGTTTAAATAAAACTACTTGTGACGTGTCACATTTGGCTTTTGCTCTTACTTTGCGAAAACAATATATGGATATATATCGTATGTCGATATTCAGCCTAAATATATCTGGATATGACTTTTGGTCCATATCGCCCAGCCCTAGCCCTTACCCCATAATGACCACATTCGGACGCCTTTAAAATCATTAACTTGTGGAAACTATTTGCACTATTGTTTTGATAAATTACTCTAAAATGATCAGCAAATGTGAATAAAATTTGGCCAAACTTGAGCTTTAAGCTGTGTCAGTGTTAAACCCTGATAGGAACAAGGTGTCCTCATCTCTGTAAACTACTGTAAACACTAGAAATGTCCAATTACTGAGAATTAACTAACTGTAAGTCAGACTGGGGTCCATTTTTAAGGTTTAATACCCTCTTTAAGAACTGTTCTGAAGCTCTCAGGAACTTTATTTCATGTTAAACTGTCCTCTTGTATCTACAGAACCACCCACAGAGCCAAACCACAGCAGTAACACCAGCTCAGAGTGATTCTCCTGTCACTCAGGAGTGTAAAGTTTCCTCCAGGCAGTGACATTTGATCGTTAGAGTCTGTCAGTGAACTCTGTCTTCACGGTTATCTACAGAAAACCACACTGAAGCAGCAGCAGCAGCAGCACATACACAGCCTCTCTGCAGCTCGTTTCAACACGTCCTCCAGGCGCTGTCTGCTCCTCCCGGCCACGGCCCACTTCAGGGGGGCCGAACCACCAGCACCACCACCGCCGGGACTCCCCGCAGCATACCGGGCGACCTCCTCCACGACAAACTGCCCGCTGAATCCAGAAGCACCGAAAATAATAACATGGTATGGTCGGCTAGAGGTGACAGCCGCCGCCATTGTTTACGTTTTAGTTCAAGGTCCCGCCTGGTAACGTTGGTTCCGGTGGTCTGAACGCTGATTGGTTGAGCTACGAACGCTATGATATCAAATGGGCAAACGGTACTACAGCCTCGTTATTACGATTTACTTACAAATGATTGTGCCATACGCTTAGTTTACCGTTAAAATAACAAATATAATTATTTGTTGATTATTTTACATATATTTTACGGTGTTTTTGACACTATTTTATCAGTGACATCAACCAAATTCAAATCCGGGACACTGTAAAGTAAAAATAGTGAGGAAAATACTAAAATAATATACTAAATTGTCATATTATCGTGATTGTTGGCTATTTTTGTGGTTTGTAACAGGATGAAGACAGACGTAGGAGGTAAAATGGTGGGTTTGTCAGTTGTGAATGTGTATTGCCATCTTGTGGCAAAATGTAAGTACTGCATCTCATTGGACATTACTGAGCATGCGCGTTATGCTCACACATTAGATTCATGATCAGACCTTCTATACAAGCACATTAAACAGAAACCTTTCAGTCTTTTATACATATATACTTTTATTTATTAAATTATATATTTTATGTATTTTTACATTTTTTTTTTTTCCTTTTTCTCCCTATTTTATGTTTTTATTTTGGTCCTCATGGTCTCATTTTATGTTGTAAGGTTATTATATTGTCTGGGTTCCTTATGACAAATGAAATTAGTCTTCAAGTAGAAGGCCTTGTTTTAAACTGACTTTTTGTTTTTTATTAGTTTTTATTTCCATTTGCTGATGCTTTACAACTGTTTGTCAAAGCACTTTGTAATCTTCTGTTTTTAAAAGTGCTATAAAAATAAAGTTATTATTATTATAAAGTTATTACATATTTTATATATTTTATATATTTTCATATATTTTTTTCGAGGTTAAATCTATATTTTCTTCTACCATTATCACTGTCATTATCATTTAGTATTATTTATTTACTTTTATAGTTATATTGGTACAAAGAAATAGGAAATCTTATTATTTTTCCTTTTTTATTATTATTCATAACTCAAGTGTATAAAAGACTGGGGAAATCTGTTTAAAATAAAATGTTTTCTTCTGATTTTCTAAATAAAAAATGAATTAAATTAGATAAAAAAAATAATGAAATTAACTTACATTCTTCTAACCGTGTGACTATTTGTCAGTCCTGATCCTTGAGCATACAACTTTATTCCACTGCTTGATTATCAGAAAAGCTCCTTCCTGGTGATAATTAAAAGTACTATCACTTATAGTAACTCTTTTATTGCATTTAAAATCTGAAATAGAAAAAAAAGACAGAAACTGTTTCATAATTTATACATTTTGATATTCTCTGGTGGACATGACTGAACATAAATATTGCAACACAAAGAAAAGTGTATTTCACAATGAAAAATCCACAATGAAAAAAAAACAGGAATCACATTTGTCCATTTTCTAACATTAGGGATTAAGAAAGAGCGTTTTAAATCTCTTCAAATCTTTAAAACCAGGAATAATCAGTGAGGAGGAAAAGGACATGCGGGAATAATTCAATTTTCTTTTCATGAATATGACGTACTTTATGTTTTGTCGCTTATCACAGCCAGGAAACACAACTGTTGCTCTGCTTTTGGACAAAATGAAACAACAACAGTTGCATCTTAATCTTGCACATAAAATAACTGGTTCAGTGCTTTGAGTGTCTTTATAACAGTCCATAAGTACACTATCTTCTCTCTGTACTGGGTTGATACTATCATGATTGAGCATGACAACATTGAGCACCAAAAGTGTAAACACAGGGTGAGTGCCTGAGCTTCTGCAGCTGGAGTGCAAAACTGGGTGACTTGATTCTGTGATTTACTGATATTTCCATCCTATGAAAAACATCGTCCATGCAGTCTGTGTTTTTTTTATCATGCTGTGCTTGTTTCAAACTGGGCACTTAGGACATTTACTGATATCACATACAGTACAATGCATCTCTTTAAACTGCTCATATGGAGAGATTCAGAGGAATGTTTTGAATCAGGGACTTTCAAAATAACTCTAGAAGTCATGCTGCATCATGTGTCTGAAATACACGAGTGTATTGTCCCATAGTTCATGTATCAACAGAGATAAGTCAGTGGAAAATAATCTAAAGTGAATTTTAAAAGATAGCAATCATAGTTTGGAACAAGAGGAATTTAAAACAGCACACAAACACACAATGACAACTTCTTTCTTTAAGTATAAAACAAGAAAATTCAGAATCAAAATACAAATATGTACACAACTAAGAGTGCTACAAATGAGACTGAATCACGAGTACACAGATAAATTTGTTCTCTTTTCAGGATAGAAATGCTCTGAGTCCTCCTGCGTGGTTTCTGTAAGGTTGGGAAATCGATGCAAACCGCTGTAAACAAGGGATTTTGAAGTTCTGATCCCACAACATGCAGGTTTGTTTATTCGGACAGTTTTTGCTTTTTGGTGTTGCTTTGAGAATCCATCAATCTGTGTGAGCCAGAAGTAACCAAAGCTTGCAACACTCTGGATGGCAGCACAATATTTATGCCTACAGTGAACTCAAACTGTAGATGGAGTTGTGCTCATCCTCGCTCTCTTTCTGTAAATCACCGTAGACCACAGGAGCGTGGAGCTCAGGTAAGAAGAGGTCTAAGTCTGTAGAGGAAGCCAGTGTCTGAGACCTTCGAAGAACCTCCGTATGTTCATGACGTAGAAGTCGACGTTTTGAGTGAAGTCGGTGCAAATGTTGGAGTAAGTGTCCACCAGGGTGCAGTACAGAGCGGTTCCGCCGATGCTGATCACCACGGTAACCAGACACAGCAGCAGCAGGATCAGGCAGGAGTCTCCACCGACCTCATCTGTGGGCAAGAAACAGAGAAACACTTTCAGTAAACACAAGTACAGTGAACACTGTTACGGTAATCATAAATCATCTTTAAAATGCCAACATCACAGATCAGATATCTGTACCTTGTTCGATGCCGTCCTCGGGTTCACTGAAGCGGACTTTACGTTTGGAGTTCTGTTTGGTGACGATGTTGCTCGGAGGAGGAAGTCCATCCAGAGACGCTCTCCTCCTCTTCAGGATGGAGACGAGACCGTCTGGAGCTGAACTCTGAGGGAGACACAGAAACATGGATGTTTATAGTTCCCTGTAGTTTTGATGCTGACTTCACTAACTGTACCTGGAACATTTTAGGTACTTTAGGCCTGTATGGAGAATGTTTAGTACACTAAAGGAAAAACAACTTTAATATCAAATTTGCATACTTTATCAGCTGCATTTATATTAATAGTCATAAATATACAGAAGCATATTGCATTCACTTACAAAAAAAGGAAACTTTTAAAAAAATGATTATTTATTTATTTTGCTGTTTACGTAATATTTTTTTCCTTTCTTTCTGACTATTTTTTTCCTGTTTTTTTGTACTAATATTTTTCCACCCTTTCTATTTTTTAGACAAATTTTTATTCTGTTTTTTTTAATCTTTTTTTTTTTAATGATCATGATCCCAGATAATAGGAAAAACAATTAGTCTGAAAAACAAAACAAAACAAAAAAACAGTCTGAAAAACAAAACAAAACAAAAAAACAGTCTGAAAAACAGAAAAATTGGTCTAAAAACAGGGGAAAAAATATTCAAAATAATTTTTTTTCTTCTTTCTTTCTGACTATTTTTTTCCTGGTTTTTTTGTACGAATACCCCCCTCCCCTTTCTGTTTTTCAGACAAATTTTTATTCTGTTTTTCTGACTACTTTTTTCTAAATCTTTTTTTTCTAAATGATCACAATCCCAGAGAATTGGAAAAACAATGAATCTGAAAAATAAAACAAACAAAAAAAACCTCTGAAAAACAGAAAAAATTAGTCTAAAAACAGGGGGGAAAAATTCAAAACAAAAATATTCATAATATATTTTTTTCTTCTTTCTCTCTGACTATTTAACTGTCAATAACAAACTGTGCCGCAAGTTTGCTGGTCAGAAACATTTTCATGTTTCTTTAGGCTGCAGTTACAGCATAAGGTCAACAGAGGGCAGTAATTAAATTTATTCCAAACAGAGGAAACACCATCCATCCTAATGAGAGCCTTTTGGCCTGATCATAATCTCTAAACAAACCACAACACACATCACGGTCATACCCTGAGCACTGAGGTGGAGTTAATGATCATGCTGTCAGCCTCATCTGCCGCTGTAGTTTATAGGTCAACTATAAACTGAACTCAGTGGGTCAATAATAGACTCAGATTTCCTCGAGTCATCGTGTTTTATTCAGATCTGTAAAACTACACATTTAAATCTACAGTTCGGCTCTTTAGGGTTGAGATAAAATCAATACAGCGCTCCAAAAACACCTCATAATGTGACCTAAAAGTGCAAAACATCTGACTTTCAGACATAAAGGTGAGCTTGAAAACCTACATAAAGGGATCATTACGTGAAATGAATCAACATCAGTTTATCTATCGGTTTATATTCTTCCAGTCCTACTTTTTTCCTCCAGTGTATCAGATCTTACAGGGTATGTCATCAGGGTGACCTGGTAAAGGTTCATACTCAAAAACCCCAAATCCTCATCTATTGCATTGCATAATCAGGGCGTTCCACATACGCAAACCTCTGCTGGATTACATCAGTGCCTTGTTGTTCCTAACCTCATCAATAAAAGGGCCTTCAGTCTGGAAAAGCTCTTATTACAGGTCCACCTCTAGGAAGTACCAGGCCCTTCCAGCTCAGTTTTGGAGCCAGGTCATGTTGTCCTGGCTCAGGCCCCAGCTCAATAATCTAGCCCATTTGGCAGGATAGACATCCCGAGTGTCAAGGCCACACCGGTGGATGTGGGTGGAGGATTTTGGACACGGAGATGTTTAGGATGATCTCACCGAGAGACCGCAGAGATCATTTTAGGGAGTGTCCCAGCGAAGACAGAGAACTTAAACAATGGGGTCTCACTTTCTCCACGCGGAGAGGCAAAGGGGAAGGAGGGAGGGATGAATTTACACCAGGAAATGTAGCTCTTCCTCTTTTTAAAGATATACGTAAAGAAATGGAAGCAGTCAAACAGACAGACACGAGACGCCTGATCCTACCCCCTCTGTGTGGGACAGCTTGGCCAGGTCTTTGTCTGAGGCCTGCGGGACGCCTGTGGGCCACTCCACCTTCACCTCCTCCTCCTCTGGTGTCTCCTCATACGTCTCCTCCTCATCTTCTCCGTCTCCTCTCTCCTCCTCTCGTCCTTCCTGATGGCTTCCTGACTCCGAGCTCGTTGGGTTTGGATCTGTATCTTCATCCCCTAGTGTCGTTTCCAGCTTGTTGACTAGCACATAGAAGAAGAAGAAGAAGAAGGAGGGACATTGGTTATTGATTATTGATTAGCTGTGTTTGAACTTAGTTTGAGTACAGTGATATTGAGGCCCTGTGCAGCTTTAAGACTCTATGAGTGGATTAGAAGGTTATGGGAGGTTTGAGGGAGGATTAATGAAGGTGAAGTTTACTCGATCGTCACTCCTCAGTCTTCATTTCTTCCACTGGCAACAAGACAGTTAGGGCCTGTGTCCATTAACAGCTATTTAACAAAACTAACAGTTCAGTTCAGGGCTGCAAACACAAACAAGTTCTGGTGGCTGATAATGTTCACGTTAGCTACTCTACACGTCCAAGCCCAATAAGATATTCTCACCGCCATCACAGCAGGACTGTAGAGTCTCCTTTTTGCTCTGAACGTCTCCTGCGTCGTGTTCAGTGTGTCCTGTTCAATAAAACAGAGCACAAGGATTTAAGATGCAGGTTTAAAACTGAGCAGAGAGCCACAGAAAATCTGTTGAGTTCATGTTTCTTACCTGCTCCACACTGACCGAGGGTCTGATGACGCCGAAAACAAACACAGAGGCAAAAGAGACACACAGATATGGTGTTATTGAATATTTAACATATAAAAATGCTGAAGAAACCCTCAAGCCTTTCCAGCAGGAGTTGGCATCTATTCTCCAAAATCAAATCCACCTGCATCGAATGACTGAGAGCTGCAATAACATACCAGGAGAGTCACATGATGGGTGGGACACAACAGCGTCTGGCACGCGGGGCCTGCTGTGTTTGACTGTGTCTGATGGAAATCACAATCCAGCTTAAATCTTTCCTGCCCCGACAGATATATTGATTTTCTCAAACAAGTCCCAGGTGGGTTTGTGTATCTTTGTGTATCTTCGTGCATTATTATCCTCTCTACTCAGACTGTAGAGAGGGGCGCTATAAGGTTTTGTGTCTGACAGTAATGGGGTGCACGGGGGAAATGAAATGTAATCGACTGGACGTTGCTTGTGTGTCGAGGTTTACCTGTGGTGGGTCCTGCAGATCTGGCTCAGGGTCTCGATGTGTTTCCAACTGATGAAGTCCGTCTCATCAGGCAAACTGCCTCCACTGTTCATCTGGTCCCTCAGCTGGCTTTCTAGAAACACGTCAAAAAAACATAAATATTTCTACTCCTGTAAAGAATTACGTTTACTTTTTGGAGAACTGAGAAAAGAATCAGATGCATGCAGTACCCCATGTCTCCTGCAGCGTGTCGAGGTTTGACAGCAGCCGTTCATGGTACATCTTCTCCAGCTGCAGGAATTGAATGGCCCACTGGTCTGATTACATAACGAGTTAAAGATGCAAACTAAAACCTTCAATCTTAAGTCTTCTGTTACTTAATTTTCTAGTATTCAGTCAGTCATTCAGAAATATTTGCAGATTTTTCATCAAAATAAGAGGATGACTGTGAGTGGTCAAAAAGGAAACAAACTGAATGTCTCATCACAGAAATTTTAACTGATTCCTGCACATGATAACGAAACTGAATAAATATCTTCACTATAAATACATATCAGTTTTTCAGTCTTATGAAGTATCGACCCTTAGTCGCAGCTCTGTCTCGCTCATATGTTCAGCCCTCTTCACTCCCCTCACTCACGAACACACTGTCCTCATTGTAGCTTCACATGTGGGCAGCTGTTGCCACGCCAACGGCACAAACAGAGCCAGAGGAAAATACTACTGTGGGCCTTCAGGGCTGCCATTCAAAGCACGGGGATTACCCAGAGACCGGGAGACAAAGAGATGAAAAACAAGGATGAGAACAATGAGACAGACGCAGGTGAACCCTTCAGTCGATCAAATGAGAGGATATCATACTTTTTCTTCTTGTTTCATCGTTATAGTGATAGTCTGTCCCCACTTTGGATCAAATGGAAAATATAAGTGATTGCAAATGTCACAAAGAATAAAAATGTGAAAGGATACATTCCTCTTTGAGCGAGTACGCCTCCGCCATCTGAAAGAGAAAGGATTAATCAGGACGTGCACTTACAGTAAAATCATAAAAACTTGTTAATCCATCCAACTGTTGATGTTTCTGTTTAAAATTCCTCAAAAGATGAAGATCACATGACCGAGTCATACGAAGGGAAAAGGGTCAGGCACACACCCAATCAGACGTGAAGTCACATGAAACTAATTATGGTCTGGATTAACGTCTCTCTCTCTTTCTCTGTGGGCTTATTTCCCATCCACTTTTTACTCTGCAGTCCATAACCTAACAAGATTATGACCGAGTGAGTCGACAGCCTAGAGAGAGGGTTCACTTCCTGATGATATACTGTGATTCAAAGCTACAGGATAAAGTTCTACCGCTATAGTTGAGTAATTCATCCATGATTTATGCATTTATTAGTCCATTAGTTATTCAAGGACAGTTTGATTTGACTGGACTTTGACTTTCTGGGAGTCCCTGAGCTCCATCATGCTGTAGCTCCCTCTGGTATTCTGCTGTCGTGGACCTGCATGCTTTCCAGGATTCATCTCAAAATCGTCCATCTCTCTCCTCTCAGTCTCAGCAGATGATTGTCTAACATCAGTATGGTTCTGCTCGAGGTTTCTGCCTGTAAAAGGAAGTTCTTTCTCTCCACTTTAACTTGATAAATGCAGTCGAATAATTTTACCAAACATCTAAGCCACACTTCTGCAGCTGGATAAGTTAAATTGTCTGACTCCATCTGATCTTATGAATGAAATATTTGATGCACAGGAGTAGCAGAGGCGAGGAGACATGACTAAATATGGACCTTTCTCTGAAAGACACTGAATGTGTTTCTGTTTTGCATCAGCCCACAGTTATCTGGAGAGTTAAGCATCGACACTCTCAACAAATTTCTCCAAATTTAAGTTTGTTTACTTTTGTCGGATTACTCTTTCCACTGCACTGCCTGTCCTTTCCCTTCTCTGTACTCAAAGGAAAAAAAGTTTTCCTTTGTTTAAAGGTTACTGCATCCTAAACTGATGAGACAGCTGGCATAAATTAACCATATTGTGAAGTAGTGAAGTAGTGAAGTATTGCATCTGTCATCCCTGAGACTGAGACAGACCATATTCATCACACCCCTAATTAGTCTGTTTTAGTCAGTCCTCGTGATCTGAAGCAGGGGAGGTGAAAGGAAACAGACAATAGAGCAGAGGGTTTCCAGTTCAGACTCCTTCACCTGCAGTTTACATACAGCTGTCCATGAATTCAGTGAAACATATGAAGATGAATACACTCCCACACACGGACAGAGGCTTTCTGTCTGCCTAATTAAAGACACATACCCTCTGTGGATTTAGGAGAAAAAAAACTGCTCTCTTTACACACGACACACAAACACACCTGGTGCAGGGAGGTTGGCAGCAGAGTGTAGTCACTGTTTTCTCTGAGGGACTGCAGGGAGGCCAGCAGTTCTGGGCTGGGGCCTGGCGGTCCATCTCCTGAGGCGCTTCCTAGAAACGCAAAACACAAACACAGACCAGAGGAGTGAGATACAGATCGTAATTCAGCTGCTCGGTAACATCACCATCACTTCCAGCGGGAGTTATTTGTAAATTCTGATAAAAATATCTTTGCTTCAGTGTTTGTGCAATCGTTTCTGTTACTTTAAAGGACAAGTTCGCTCTTTAATACACTCTGGTCTGTTTACTGCTCATGAGACGCACTTCAGGAGCTCTTGAGGGCTCATTTGAGTGGTGCTAGCTTGATATGAAATCCTCTTTAACCATTTGCAGATTAACATGATGCAATCCCAAATATATGGAGTTTTCCACCATATGCATGTGGTCGACCAATAAGGAGTTCCAATTTTGTCCATTTTTGCACACCATAGTTGAGCTATCTCGCACAGACTTGAAACTATTAGCATCTGTGTTATTGTGTTCAGTGGATGGTTTTACAAAACACACCAGTTTGAAGACAAAAAAAGGGGAAAAGTGACTGTCGTGTGCAAAGTTGTTGTAGTAATATATGTGAGTGATGGTAAAAACCGTCATAAATAGAGGATCATACTTATTATTCATTACAGGAGCTTATTGTACACTATTGTTTTACCACTAATAGGGGTTAAGTAAGGGATAGTCCCATTTCTACACACTTTGCCTTTTAAATATCACTGAAGTACTTTGAGTTTAGGCTACTACCCACAAATAAAGCATCAAGATGCACCAAAACAGACTGATACACCATGCAACTGCCTCACAAAAGCCGCCAGAGCTGAATTTTAAAGAGTGCAAATCACTACAGTCCTGTGAATGAAACTAAAGTAAAGAAATAAACTGCAGCTCTTGCTGAAGAAATGAATGTCCTCAGATTGGCATTGCGAAAACAGACCTTGAAATCAATTTTAAATGCTACATAATAGAATCTTGAACACTCCATGTAAAATGTTATTATTATTAAATCTATCAGAATTACAAGAAAGAAAAAAATCACTTGTCGGGCTTATCTTTTTCCGATCGAAATTGCGATTTCAAGCAGGCCGATCATGTGATCGCCAAAGCTGCGGGTTTTTTTTTTCCCTTGCGCTCCTGACTGGCTCAGGATCTGTTTAGTGTCCTTCCAAACTCACCAATCAGGAGCGGCATATGCTACTCGTGCACAGGTCACATTAACCAATCAGTATTAACCTGATTTCCGGGTTTTGAAACGTGAATATGTTTTTAAAACGGCTCCTGCTCAAACACAAGCGGAGTTACGCGATTTGATCCCCAAGAAAAGAGGGACGGCGGTCATTTTGGAGTAATTTTGAGGCTGCAGAGGTGCAACAGAAACAGGTAAGCTACTGCGCAAAATCTGTCGCGTTAAAGATACTATATGAGCGGAAACACAACAAACTTACACCGGCACTTGAAAAACCTCCACAGGCACTTGCATTAGGAGCGCAAGACGAAAAGTCCGATTAAAAGTTTAGTAAACATGAGCTGAGGACAATTACAACGTCTTTTGCCGGTGTATATATGACACATGACGAGAGACACCGGGAAATAACGCCTGCCATGATAAAATAGTTTGGGCTTGTTTGTATGGAGACCTCCGGGCGAGTTCATCTACTGCTGCGGGGTGACGCAGCTCAAAGAAGAACATTTATGATCCTTTCTTCATGGAAATACAATCAGACCGAGACGCTATGGAAGAACTACCGCACTGCAATGCAAAATGATTAATATGGTGATTATTACTTAAAGGAAATGATAAAGTAATGATCATAAATGTTCTTCCTTGAGCTGCGTCACCCCGCTGCAGTCAATGGACTCGCCCAAAGGTCTTGCTACAAACAAGCGGCTGCTGGAAGAGAGTAGGTGAGTTGTGTTTAGTCTCTTTGCTTAAGAAATTAGGCAAAGTTAAAAAGATGTTTGGTGGCTAGTATTATGGCTGGGACCCTATATGTCTTGTAGATGAAGTTAGGTGCTGTTCTGAGCATTATTTGTGGCTATAGAGTGGCGTTTTGGTTTAGCGTGTGGTTCTGTGTATTGCTATCTGCAGTCGTTACTAAAGTTGGTATAACTAGAGAAGCAAGCAGTCAGCAACATTCATCTCTCAACGGGGTGTCTAACTTGATGTTACGCTGTGTTTGACCCTCACTTTATTTTATGCTGGTAAATGTTATCCCTGTAATTTTTACTTAAATATTTTGAACCACCAAGTCTTTGCGGTCGCAGTAGTTTCTTGAGCACATCACCTCTGTGGATGACTCCATTTTCTTTAAATGTGAAGATCGGCTTTCCATCCACAATTCTTACCTTTAGTTTTCATTCTTGCATTAAAGTAAACGCTTTTTATTATTTGATTTGTAAATGTTACCGCACACATTGTGAATGTTGCACTGCGGCTTGATTTGATGAAAATCGTAAATCAGATTAAAATCGCAATCTACCAGAAAAATCGCAATTCAACCTTTTCCTCAAATCGTTAAGCCCTACCACTTGACATCTCAAACTATGTAATTCAGCCCATCTGATTTTAATCAAACATTTCGCTTAATTCTGAAAGAGGTCATTCACAGCATCTTCCTTGTTGCATTGCTACAGTAGCCCAGAATAGACAAATCAAACACTAGAGTGATGTAGATGTCTTCTTGTATTTACTTTGTGTGTGTGAAAGTGTGTGTTTGTGTGTCCTGAAGATGTCACACAGGCAGGTTGTAGTCATTGGCTGTCGTACGTGATAATCTGATGTGCTCTTCTATATCATCTCAGATGTAACAGGATGATGTTTCATGAAACTGGCACTAGCTGCTAAAAGCCTTTGTTGCATTTATGTAAAGTGACAGCCTGTCGACCCCTCGCCTGTAGTCATCACTGCTACAATTAGTCACTAATAGCTGTAATGCAACGTTTATGTAACATAGCCCATCAGTACAAGAGTATTTAGAGCGGCTTCCTCACAGCTCGGTATCATCACGATCATCTTAAACTCTGTTTTTTCCGGCACACTTCAGCAGTTTGTGGGAAAGTATGCCCCGCTGATGTATGAGATTAGCTGTAAGCCATTCTGAAAAACTCCCATTCAGCAGTTTTCTATTACCATAATGTGGTTTTTTATTCTTTAAAAATGTCACTTTGCTGTACTGTTAGATTTTAATGTCAGCCTTGGCTCTTTAAAAGACGCACACACAAGTCTTGTATCTGGTTTTACCTGAGGCGCTGTCCATGCACGCTCCTTCTTCCTTCTGTGTCGTGCCAGCGCCGGGACATTTTGGCAGAGTTGCGTTCTTGTTGCCCATCACCTCAGCAATCTTCTCGTCCAAGTCAAGACTCCCCGAAAAGCTACTCCCTTCTTTTTCAGGCCCTCACGAGAAAAAACATGAATCGTTCTCGGTATTTATCAGAGCGACTCCTCTGAGTGAGATAAGCAAACTACTTAGGAAAGGTTTGAGTTCATCCTACGGGCATCAACAAAGTGTTGAAGGTTTCGAACGCTGAAGAGTGAGGTCTCTGCAGGTTTGGTTTGTGATCACTCTTGGCAGGGCATGTGATTTAATCCTCCATCGCCTCCCCAGGGTGGTCGAGTAAAAAGGGAGATTTGAAATGTCCACTAAAGTCTAAGAAGGCTGGACTTTGGATGACGATGGTCTCGTTTTTTGCAGACTTCCCACATTCCTGTGAGGTTTATTGAGCTTTTAACTGACAAGCAGAATTTGGCGTGCATTCCTTACTTTGTCCCCAGGAGGCTGTCAAAAAAATAAATGCATACAGTTACAAAAACAGAGCGTAATGAATGCAGAAGAGGACATACATATACAAACAGAGAAGAGGAAGGACACAGCGTCACTATGTCATTGACTCAAAGGGTTGTCTTTGTGTCTAACTATGACTGCCAGCTGAGGCATGACATGAGTGCTCCACGCTGAATAGCTGAATATCTTACTCGGTTACGTCACAGTAGTCTGCAGAGTAGAACAGTGACCATTACAGCAAACTGCATGATGTGCACTGACATTCTTGCATTTTTTACCCATGTTAGGGGCGGGTTATGAAGTGGGCGTTGAGCATAATTCATTTTATGACTTGCAAAATATTGTTGCACTCATGGGGCTCATGTGAATCTATAAAAAATTGCTGTAAAGAAGATAAGATCTGCAGGACCAGTGATGCCAACCGTGCATGCTAACCGTTTTATACGTGATGATTTTTAGAGCCTTTGATGTTGACTTTGATGATCATATCAGTTTGGCATATCAAACAAGAACTCCATGTTCGCTTACACAGCCTATGTCACTGACTCATTTGCGACTCGAAGCTCGGAAATCCCAACTTCCAAGTACAACTGGAATGAAGCATGAGTCTTGAACCTTGATCATTACTTTGATTCTTGTTTTTGGTTCACACTCTTGGTTCAGTTTACAAAGTTGATATCTGAGCACAAACCCCCTCCTGGTTTTGAGTGGTTAGTGAGGGAGAAGTGAGGCCAAAGGTGTTCCAGTAATACCAGTCCTGTGGTCCTACCAGTTGGGTGCTTCTTTGCACGCCATGACTCCACTAACACAATATGTCAGCGCCCATCCACGCAGTCTTTCAGCCTGTCAGTACTTTGTGTTTTTCATCTCTTGTTTTCCTTTAGGTTCCTACTTGTATTTGAGCTTCTACCCAACAGGTGAACTAACACCTGTGTACACAAATGTGGGACATATCTTAAAATCACAATCCTGGCTTCCTCTCCCCGGCTTTAGACAAAGATATTTACGCTTCACGAAACCTACATTTTCAGCCTGAGCGCTCTGAGGGCATGAAAGCAGTGGGATACTCTGTTCACACAGCATGTAAGCGGTCACATGAACATCGTGAATTCTGCTACATGGAATGTGACATAAAGTACAAGTGCTGGGAGCGGTGCCTGACTCAGGGTGTGTGGCCAAATATAAAGGGGAGATGATGAAAATCTATGTAGATGTGGTACTTAAACTGGAGTGACAGTTCTACATCGGCTTTCACATCATGATAGTTTCCCATTGTGAAATGCTGCAAGCTCCCTAAATCAATACAACATAATCATCTGCAAGCATGCCAGTCATTTTCTCGTTTTAGCCTCTCTGGAATAAATCACAAATGCTTATTTAACATCATGATCACTTCCCAAATCCAGCGCTCACTGATTTAATTTATAGAGACTTTTATGGGGACATTTGTATGAGCCTGATTTGCAGTCTTGTTGAGATAATAGAAGGGTTAACACTGATGCTATGTGGCGGTTAGCTTAGGAAGACTAAAAGGAAAGCAGTAATGACAACTTTTGGGTAACATGATATTTGTCAGGACTGAGGAGAAAATTTTAGTTTAATCAACCAACTTGAAGGTGAGGTAGGCAGGAATCCGTTAAAGACGCATCTCTTTGTGGTGTATATACAAAAAAGCTTTTAATATCAGTCTATAGTTATTAGTTGTTGATGACATTTGGTAATATAACAATATCGCTGTATTCTCTTAGGTCTGTGTAGTCAACATTTTAACATTTTTGAGCGCCCCACTCTTTCTGACTGTAAACAAAGCCGTTCTCCACCTCCCAAACCTGATTGGTTGTGAGGCAGACGCTGCTCCCCGTGTCGTTCACGAACCCAAACAAAGTTAGCGTGCTACAATATCGGACAGTAGAAACCAACCAGAAAGTACAGAAAATTGTCTGAATCCTCCTTTGGCTACGACTGCTGACATGAAAGACAATGAGGTAAAGACCGGTGACTCCGGCGGAATAACGGGCGCTTAAATAGGAGGTAGACCACCCAGACAAGAGCTAAAAAGCCAAGTCAACATAAAACGATTGGGAACGCTTCTGGATCTTGGTGACCCTGTAACCTTTCTGCTGGACAGGTAAACCGCTTTAACAAAGTAAGCCAAGTGTAACAGAAGTGTTTCTTGTCAAACAGGACCTGCTGTAGCGTGTTGTAGCGCTGCTAAACTGTTAACCTCGGGTCCTGGACTATGTCACTTTATCCTAGTTGTAGAAGTCCTGCAAACATTGTGTTTGCTGGTAGTCTGTTGGCATCTACAGTAGCACCATTACTTTTTACTTTCACCTTGACTGGGCCCCATTTGTATTTATCTGCATTATATCTGAATTTAATTGGAACGATATGAGCGAGGGGAGAGGAGAGGAGGGAGAGGAGGAGCTGAGGGGAAAACTGGTTGGGAGGGGTAGAGTTTACGTTCAAGATTTCTCCCAAAAACTGACACTTCCTCCGATCCTGACTACCCCACCTTTAACCTGCAAAAACCCAAACTGTAAAATCATGTTGCTTTTTCACGTATAGTCGATGCTCTACGGTCACTGAATTATATCCAAATTATCAGGAAATAGACCACAGACAGGAAAAACAAACTTTTGTGAGCATTTTGTTTCCTCTATAGCAGTGGTTATCAACTGGTCTCACTCTGGGACCCACATTTTCCCATGGTCCTTAAGTCGTGACCCACTTTTATAGAATTCAAACCAGGCAAATTTATTTTTTTATTTAAAAAAAACCTTTAAAGGCTCTAATCTTGAACATAAATTCACTTTTTATTGACTAAAGTTTATTTCAGAGCACGTGAAGGGGACAACATGAGGACGACAACTACTGAAGTTCGACGTACAGAAAATATAAAATATCTAATAAATATCACATTAAATATTTACTTTTTTGACCAGCTGTTCATGACCCATCCAGAACGTGTCCAGGACCCACTCTTGGGTCGGGACCCACCAGTTGAGAACCACTCCTTTATACTAAGCACAGCTGACGGGGTTGCACTACGCTGCGGCTACGCTCCAATTACGCGTCATGTTTGCGATACCCAACGCTGCTCTACGGAGAAGATACGGAACGCGCTCAGTACGGATCCAGTATGTTTTCGTCTTAAACGCGTGCAAGTGGCGCGCATCGCTGACGCTTTCGTGCGCTCGTCTCAGTTCTCCTACCTAGATACATTTGATTTATGCATATTTACATTATATAGATACTGTCCTTTAATAACCACCACCACTGACAGATGCAGTATGGAGTCTTTCCTGTTGTTGTCTCGATAGTTGGTCCTTCCACATTTCTGTTCAGGGTTTAAATCCGGAACTATAATTCCAGTTGTTTTCGTTCAGATTAGAGTTTAAACTCGGCGTTTCTCTGTCTGAGTCAGTGTCACACGAAAACACGGTAAACACACAGGAGGACAGAGGATGGAAAGATGCAGCACTCACCGCTGGATGTTGTCTCTCTCTCTCACAGTTTGTCGTCGGAACATCGACGCCCTGGCTGCGCGTGTGACACGCTCGCGCTCCTCCGTGTCCCCGTTTTAACCAGCAGAATCCACGCGAACCTGAAAACGCCTCGCGGACTCTCTCTCATGCTTGTTTACGGTCCAATCCGGGGATTTCGCTGCTTCTCCTCATTGGAAATATATCTATTCTCCTGCATGTCATGTTTATTTATTTATTTCAGCATGTGGAGGAGGAGGTTGCCATCTTCTGGCAGCTGTGTCACACACACACACACACACACACACACACACACACACACACACACACACACACACACACACACACACACACACAGGCTCCTGGTTGTTATGTAACAGCAGATGAAAGCGGTCATATGATGCGGGTGTTAAGCCTATAAACCGTGGATTACACTGGAAACAGTGAATGTACAACGTCTTTTTTTCAGTTTATTCAATCAAAAGGATAGAAATGCTCATGAGAAACACAATTAATTTAATAATATGTTCATTTGTTTTTGTCTTTCACTCACCTTTTTCATATATGAACCATGATTATACCCTGAAATAGACATTTAGAGAGTAACTCGACTCATTAAATCCCTTTTTTCCCTCATGGAGATCTTTTAACTCTACATGGCTCCTCATATGATACGATAAAATAGGATTAGATAGAGTGCTGCACCAGGCTGCAAAACCAGTGAGGTATCAGGTTTTTAAAGGGGTTTAGAGAAATATGCATGCATGATTTGGCTTGCATCCATATTTATTTATCTTTTATTTATTAATTTTTTCAAACATGTGCGTGCAAAATCAAAAGTAAACTGAAAACAATGTTTTAATGTTTTTGATCTTAAGAACAGTGAATTTGTGTGATCTCTATAACCGGGATTATGAATTATTCTTTGTGTCTTTTCTGCAGTATAGATAGTGATTATATTGTACATTTGTAAGTATTCCCCCAAACCTCTGCACAGTAGTGTAAATATGGTCAGATCAGTGAACAGTAGAGAATATGTCATGATTTGTGGTCCAGAATGTGTTTTGTTTTGCTCAGGACTGAAATGCTTCTTGACAGTTTACTTTGCACATGTCTTTATTTTTTATATAAAGTCTCATATAAAAGTGAATTCTAAAAGTCTCGTAATTTAAATGTTAAAATAAATTATCCAGAAGTAAAATTTCCCCAAAATGCACCAGATCATGAGACTTTTATTCAAACCTAAGCTGATTCAGTTTCTGCGTCTTAATCCAAAAATAGATATTCAGTTTGTGTGTGTTTGTATGAATGAAGGACTGTGGTTTTCACTTCTGCTCTCGAGTTTATGTGACATGAAAAGAGGCTGAACAATGAGGAAGTGGAGCAGAAAGAGAGGAAGGGCAAGTAAGGGGAGGAAGCATATTTGTTTATGTGTGTGTTTATGTGTGTGTGTGTTTGTTCTGCTGATGTATGAGTGTGTGTATAATTGGGTTGCTTTAGGGCTCAGCTCTGCCTCCTCTCGTTACCTTTTCACTGACTTGACGGCATGAGGAGTCGCTCTTTTTTTGTCAGTTTTCATGGCAGCGTTAAAGCTCCTCCATCTTTGTGTTTGCATGAAGAAAATTCACAAACTCTTATAATGAAAGCATGAACAGGATCTGCATAATGAATTTATTTTTTTACCAAACAAAGGAAGCACAGCATCGACGTACAGCATGTAATTGAATTCACAGTGTGCTGCCTGTCTTTTCTGTATATTCAAACGCATTGATCCAAGACCCTCAGTGTCTATTGATTACTGTGCATCAGTCCATCTTCTATGATTGTCCCAGTGACTTCAGAGCCACGATGACGTTATTCTGTTAATGTAATTACTTCTCCATTACACCAAGAGTGGATCCACTTTTTTATTCCACCACCAAACATTTACTAATGTGTTTCAGTTTATCGATCACAGTTTGTCTGCGTGTCCTGAAACCCTTCACTGTTTTTGCTCCTCCATTATAGGCAAAGAATAGAGAACAAATCTGTATGTTTACAATTCTAAAAATGTCAAAAACATGTAAATAAAGACAGAATTTGATAGGGGTTCAGTATTAAACTAAAACTTGTGCAAAAAAAAAGCATTGGTGCTACTGTAGATGCCAACAGACTACCAGCAAACACAATGTTTGCAGGACTTCTACAACTAGGATATAGTGACATAGTCCAGGACCCGAGGTCAACAGTTTAGCGATGGCTCTACAACACGCTACAGCAGGTCCAGTTTGACAAGAAACACTTCTGTTACAGACACTTGGCGTACTTTGTTAAAGCGGTTTACCTGTTCAGCAGAAAGATTACAGGGTCACCAAGATCCAGAAGTGTCCCCTATCGTTTTATGTTGACTCGGCTTTTTAGCTCTTGTCCAGGTGGTCTACCTCCTTTTTAAGCGCCCGTTATTCCGCCAGAGTCACCGATCTTTACCTCATTGTCTTTCATGTCAGCAGTCGTAGCCAAAGAAGGATTCAGACAATTTTCCGTACTTTCTGGTTGGTTTCTACTGTCCGATATTGTAGCACGCTAACTTTGTTTGGGCTTGTGAACGTGCTTCACAACATGAGGAAGCAGCGTCTGCCTCACAACCAATCAAGTCAGGGAGGAGGAGGAGAACGGCTTTGTTTACAGTCAGAAAGAGCGGGCTGCTAAAAATGTTTAAATGTTGACTACTCAGACATTAGAGAACACAGCAATATCGTGATATTCCCAAATGTCATTGATAACTAATAGCTATTGACTGACAATAAAAGCTTTTTTGTATATACACCACAAAAAAGATGCTTCCTTAACGGATTCCTGTCTAACTATGTACAAAACGACATATTCCCTGTCTGTCTAATCTACTGTAACTGAAGTATGACAATAAACAGTCTTGAGTCTTGGACTGATTCAAGTTTTGACAAAACTTAAAAATACAGAAGACACTTAAAAATTACAAAACCAGTGAACACTGTAACGCTAACTCTATTCTTCTGCTGCCTGTAAGTGAAAGACGCATACAAAAGATTTTGAGGTTTGCATCAAATCTTTTGGAAATTACATAGAGAAGTTAGATCAGACATGAGCAGACAGATGAAAGTGCCAGTTATGCATAGATTAGTTTGTTTAATATCAAGTGATAAAAGGTTTTACAGAGTATTGTAGCATCTATGAACTCTTTTTGTGTCTAAATTATTCCCTCCAGCTGCAGGACGAGGTCTATTTATGCTGGATCCTGATCTTGTGAAGTTTGGAGCTTCATAATTATTAAAAAGGACCAGAGATAATGTGACACAGATAAAGTGTAGCTTGGTAGATTTGCATAGATGCTGTTAAGCTCAAGTTTCTTCTAAGGCTCTCTTCTCTGCTCCTTTGTCCTCCTCAGTCGTCTCTTTTCATCCCATCGACCGGTGGCGACGTCGAAGCAGGTGATCATCATGATGCTAGCCTTGCAGATGTTGAGCCTCTTCTCCAGCTGAGTCGTCACTGTCTCAAGAGCCTCCAGATGCTCCAGGGAGTCCACCTCGAAGGTCTGCCACAGGTCAACTGGAGAGGAGAAACAAGGTGAAGAGTGTACTCACCAAATATAACTGCAAAATAATGAGATGGTGAGCTGTGTCATGACCTAAACTTGTCAAAGTGAACTTAAAATTATTTATCTATACCAGAGATCTACAGATATCCCACAGGCTGCTGAGAGTTCTTCCTCTCAGGACTTAAAAATGAAGATGAGTGAAGTGGATTCTGTGTGAAATAGCAGTATGCTGCCCTCTGTTGGACAGCTCTGTTACTACAAGCACATTCTTTTTCACATTAAATGAGGTGAACCTTAAACTTACAGTCAAATAATCAACCAGCTGATTTCAAACTAGTGTGTTCCTCTACTCTTCTCGTCATTGCTGATCATTTTAATATCCTTTCTTTTGCTTTAATTAGTATAATAATAATTTTACTCACACTCTCGGTTCCACTTGTCGGGCTCCAGCATCAGATTGTGTTTTGCGTGCTCCAGCTCTCCTCTCAGGTTGTTGTATCTGGCGCGGACCTCTGAGATCCTCTCCTGACGGTGCTCCAAAAACTTCAGCTTGGCACTGAAGCGTGCCGGCCCCTGAAAACACAAACACACACACACGTTTCAACACTTTTGTAGTTGAAGCATTCCTGCCCTCCACGGGCCGCATAAGATTAGCTCTTCACCCAGAATTAATAATAACTGAGTAAATTATCTGGAAAAACAGGTGCACCACACTCGCACAAAGGCTGGGTAAAAACACCACCCCCCACCCTCTTACCCGGTCTCTTTCTTCGCTCCCTCCACACACACTCATAAACACCACGTTAGGGCATGGCACAACACCCCATGGGAGTGAGTCAAGTGAGTCTGTAGGCTACTAAATAAATTATCCTCTGATTACACTAACCCTATCATGCATTAGGGAGAGCAAACATGAATTAGACCGGGAAAAATAAAATGTGTTGTAAAAAGAAAAACCCAAACAGGCAGGGCTGCTGTACCACACTCTCAATGTTATTATTATAGTAAATGTGTTTATTTTACATCTGTATATTCCCCATATTCCTTTGGAAACAGATAAGAGATGATATTTCCTAAATCAAGTGAAACCCTCTGCGGTTAATAACCAACTAAAGTCCGGTTTGTGTTTCTTCTTCTTTACCTCTTTGTTCCTCACGTTTGCTTTGACCCAATTTCCCCCATGTGGTCATTAAATTTGTATCAAAGTTACTGAGCCTGAGACTGGTGGAGGTGGGGACTGGTCCCATGAGAGTAGACCCCCATCACTGGGGCATAACATCACCACATGGCGAGCATGTTTTTGTTTCAGAGCACATTTTATATCCTGCACAGTGGCTGTTAACATGCTAGCTCTTAACTGTTTTGATTTTTAGGCAACTTCAGAGTAATTTTACTAAAAAATGTAATGTTGAACAAAAACCTGTGCTGCAGAGAAATGAAATTGAATCTGGTTTCGCTAAAATGATTCTTTTACACTGATATATTTCACAAGGTACAGTAAACAGCATGTGCAAGATGATACAGGAGAAGATTAGGGCCACTAGAAAAAAACAACCAAAAAAAAAAGAGGTCCAACATGTATATTTTTTGATTATTATTCTGAGATTAAAATCAGACTTTAAAGTCTTTTAAGTCAGAATTCTAAGAAAATACTCAGAATTATTATTTATTATTATTCAAAGATTAAAGTCAGATTAAGAAATTAAGAAAAAGCTTAAAAACCAGCTTTAAAATGTATAACTGACAGTGAAAACAGGTGTGGCACTTTTCCAATTCCCATTTATTTTAACCTGTAACACTAAAAAAGAAATAAATGGCAATGTCTGATTGGAGGGCATCTTCAGTTTTTAATGCTCCTTTTTAATTAAGGGGGAGAATTTGATAGACTCACTATTTTAAATTATGTAAAAGGTTCTGCAATATGCTCCGTTCAGACCAGATGTTAACTTACTGATAAGTAAACAACTCTGGTCAGCTATCACTACAAAAAGACTTTTTGTTCTGGGGGGCGCACAGCTGGTAGCAAACTAATTGGCCAGCTGATGCCGTGGCCACAGGCTGCATAGCTTTGATAACTTTGCCTGCCCCTTGGTCCTCTCCATCACCATCCTCTAGTCTATTTATGGTCAAATGTGGCTCTCAAAATTTCAGCCCAAAAAACAAAAATAGTTCACAAACTGATGGCTGATGTCCACCATTAATAAAGTCTTTGGGAAGTGGTCTGGATATTTGTCGCAGACGCCCTCAAAACCGAAAATCAAAATAAACCCAGCACCTGTTTGCCAGCACCTGCTCTTTTTTGCATCCCCTGCACATCGTCGATCTCATAGACCTTGATCTCGTAGGCCTCTGGGATTCCCCGATCCACCCAGCGAGACCGCAGTCCGCCAGACGAGCGTCTCAGAGACAGAGGAGTCTCATGGGAAAGACGGCGCTGGTGAATACCTAGCAGGGCGAGGCAGAAAGAGGCTGCAGTGAGACGCTGTATTTCCTCTTGTATGGACACTCAATTACTCTTATTTTAAACTGTGTCCAGTTTCAATGCTTATTTGAGGGACTAGAACCAGTTTTTATGAACACAGGCAAAGACAGATTAAGCATTTATCTTAAACATAGAGGGCTGGACGACATAGGTGGAGTTTGGAGGGTACACATAAGTGTTTGTCTTGGACCAAAGTCAGCTTTTCTCGCTATTAAGACACAAGTTGCAGCGCTCCTAAACATAAGGAATCATCAAACACTCAATCTTAGTTTTTATTTTGTTTACAGGACTTGGAGAGGTTGATTTTATGTTTCTCTCCCCTAAACTGCTTTCATTATGAGGCCAAAAGAGGAGGGTACCTGCACCAGAAACTCCCTTTGCAGCCCCACAAAAGGGAGTCCAGTTTGCGGTCGCTCTTTTACACACAAAAACAGACACACATGCTTCATGCAACAAACGACAAGAGAACCAATGTTTGCAGCCTACCTTTGTTCGATGTTTGCAAACATTTGATCCACCCTGAATATGTCGGTGCAGGTGATGATGTGCCACATGCATTAATGCACACAGGGTCCCTCTTAATGTAGAAAAGTCGATGAATGTCGATCCTGATGTGCATGAGGATTGTTCCAGGGAACAACAAGTCATGCACCGACATTACTGACACTGTGATCAATGTGTGTGATTCACATTGTGCTTCTACAAAGATTAAGAAAGATTTATTTTGGGGCTTTTTGGCCTTTATTGACAGAGGACAGGACAGAGGAGAGAGAGCAGGAAAAGACGTGCAGGTAAGGAGCCACAGGATTGGATTGAACCAGGGTAGCCGCTCAGATAATGTGCCTTAAACTCTACAGTTGCACAGATAGAGGTGGAGGTAGACAGACTTCAAGACATTTGGAGTGAAATGAGCAACAGTAAAGAAAACCAAATACCTAGAAACAGCGTTGACAAGAAAGACCGTTAAAATTTTCAGTGCATTTTCCATTAAAAATTACCTTTAGACAATAATCACCTCCCTTTATGATTTAGTGTATAACCCAAACCTTCATTTCAGTTCACTCTAGCACCTAAAGTCACAAGGTTCATATATTAATAATGTGACTTCATACACTTAAGCTTTTAAAGCCAGTAAGGAAACTAGGTCTGACTGTATTTTACAGACGTGTGTCACCCCTGATTAGAGTCACATGAATATGTGATGTAGTTGGGGTACAAACCCTCAAATACAATCCCAGAACTGCTGTTCATGAGGGTTGTGTGGTTAGGTCAGTTGATTTATGTATAAAAACAAAATTAGGGTAACCACATGTCCTCTTTTTGGGTGCTGTCCAGCCTTTCTGGCCTTGTCTGGGGGAGTTTATCAAATCCTTCAAATGTCTGGGGTCTTGTATGGAAGTTTTGAGTTTGTGTCGCGTGGACTAACTGAGTTAGAAGCTCGTAAAAAACACTTGACCTAAACCAAAAAACTCTCAAAACTAACAACGTGCAACTCTACCTTGTGCAGTAGTGTCTTCTTTTGGGGGATTCAGAATACGGTCACCCTAAACTAAATGTTTTTAAGAAAGTTTCTCAAAAATCAATAAATAAAGTCTTTAACTGGACATTACTTCAGTTTTGTGGATTGTTGTGATTTTGCTAAGTCTAAAATATCCGATTTAAAAAAGTTTCCCCCCTCAACATACAGTAACTTTTTTAAAAAGTACAGGAAAACACGTCATTCATTGTTTTTTGAATTTAATTATTACACTTTCATGGAATAAATAAGAACAAGTGCTTGCTTTGTGAAACAGACAATGTATAAATCAGTCTAAAAGGGATATTAGAAGAAATCAAATTTCTCTACGTGCTCGCTAAATAGCTAAACCATGTGAGACAAAACTAGCAAAGCCAACATCCAGCACCGACGACACACAAAGGGGGGCTCAGTAGGCCTTTAGTTTGAGATCAGTCCAGTTTAGTTCAGAAACGCCTGTTTTTTGCAGGTGTTTTACCTGTGTTCCCCCTCCTCCGAGATGAGCGACTGCTGCGGTTCATACTGAGGAGCGAGCCGCCGCGGTCGCTGATTGAGTCTCTGGTTGAGGTGCTGCTGCCCGTGGCTTCGCTGTCCCTCATCATGCTGTCGTACCCGCTGCTCACCATGCTGTTCCTGTGTGAGAAATGCAGGGATGTCTTCCCCATCGCTGGTGGTAAATCTCCACTCAATACACTGGTGGTGTCGCTCGCATGCCCGCTCATGTGATCGGGCGTACGGGGTTCAGTTACCCGGCTGTATGGCGAGGGAAGTGAAGCCACGTGGTCAAGCCCTCCTGAGGTGGGGCTGGAGGATCTTTCCTTGAAGAGGTCCGTGATCCGGCCGTTGACAAACCCCTGGATGGCTGATTTTGTGGATGAGCACGTGGAGCTCTGGCTTGGAGTCCGACTGATTGAGCGGTAGGACGGCGGAGGTGAAGAGGAGAGGAAGGAAGATGTACGCTCAAAGCTCACGGTTTTACCATCTGGGGACAGACTGGCGCTGCGGTTGACAGACTGCCGTAGACTCTTGTGGGGAAGGCTGAGGTTCTTGATGCTTGAGGTGGACAGGCGACGGACTTTGGGGCTCGCCAACTTAAGTTTCCCTACAGCAGAGAGCTTGGTATGGATATGCCTCGCAGATTGAGTTAAGTAGTTTTCATGGGTCTGGTCTGACCGAGGGTTCCTCCTGGGACTCCTGCTGGCTCTTGGAAACGTACAATCTCCATCGTTATTTCCTTTGTGACCTCGCTTGTAAGCTCCTTCAGCACTCCCCTTGGAGCTTCCTTTGGAGCTCAGCGAGGTGTTACTACCTCCTCTATCAAGATGATGGAGGTCTCTTTGGGACCTCCCGAGGGAGTTAGTCCTGGTACCCAACTGCTCCAGTTTTGCATTGAAAAGCATGTCACTGTCCTCTATCGGTGACATCAACCTCCCGCTCATGCCGCCATCATGCTTCACTCTGAAACTCGCGGTCTCAAATAAAGATTCAACGCTCTTTTTGGAGGCGTGCTGTTTGTACTCACTTCCATACTTCCGAGGAGAGGAGGAGGCATGGAGGCCGTGGTTCACCGGGGAGGTCTGCCTGCTTTGCCTCCTCTCCAGAGTTACCCCCGGGCTACAGGGAGTGGATGATGTCACCCCTCTTGGGTCTCTGTGGTAGTCTGCCAAACGGCTGCTGTGATAGCCATCTTTAAAACTGGCGTTCTGCCAGCCTCGAGGCAAACTACCTGTTTTAAAATAAGAATGGGCGGTTTCTTGGCAACCAGGTGAAACACCAGTTCCTGTGGGGCCATTCCCAACACGTCTAGAACTGACTTCTCCCCCCTCTGATCCCTGTGGAGGGTTGGAGGAGTAAACATGCTCCCTGTCTCTTGAGTGGTTCTTGTCTGGGTTTCTCGTCCTCTTTCTATGCAGTTTGTTCTCCTCGCAGAAATCTGGTGAAACCATTACGTCATTGCAATTTGGGCTAAAAGATGAGTCATATACTTTCTCAGATTTTTTGGCATGTGTCTCAGAGGCGAATTCCCCGCTCTTCTTATCATGGGCTTGACATTGTTCTTGACATTTGACGTTATTCCCTCTGATCTCAGGCGATGGCTGAAGTCCCGCTAAGGAGTCGTGAGGACGCTCACAATCCATGTCTGTAGGTATCAGCATGGGGTTTATAAATGAAGGTAAGTATCTCTTTTCCTTCCTGAAATGAGGTGGGGGGTTTTCAGTGCTCGCTTCCTTTGCTGAAGACTGAACAGAAGGGCTTTTGTTTACAACAGTGGGACCTGCAGCCGCAGACTCTTCGGTGACATTGCTGATTATTCTGATTGGTTGAGAGCTTCCAGAAATTTGAGCCTGTGTCTGTGGTTGCATGCTGTCCCTGATACAAATAATGTTGCCGCCTGTTCTCCCTCTGTCCAGCGCTCCACTGATAGTCACCTCCTCAACCATCGAGAAGACAAGTTCATCTTGACCCTTAAGGTCCAGCGGTTGTTGAACAGTCACTGTGATGGTCGCCTTCATTTCCTTGATGTCCTCAGCGGAGCGACTGGGTAAGACATCTCTCGCTAGCGAGCAGGAGGAAGTGGGAGATATCGGGGAGCTTTTGCCAACAGGTGAGGACCTTTTGTCCGTTTTGAACCACTCAGCAGCTTCAGGACTCTCTTGTTTGTCTGTGGGCTGAAGCACTGTGGTGGATCCTGTGGGAGCTGTCTCCTGAGCATCCTGAGAAGAAGGCTTATCACCCAACTTGAGGGTTTCATTTTTGGGCACCTGAGAGCGAGAGGCCATGCTGATATTGAGGGTTTGGTTCAGCAGTTCCTCGCTAGAACTGGTTCCACTGCACTCCTCACAATCGTACAGACCCGAATCTTCTCTCTGGAAACTGTCTCCAGGTAAGGCACCGTCTTTTTGCTGCTCCCCAACAGAAGTCTGACCGCACGCCTTATTCAGTTGATTCTGTGGCGCGTGTGATTGTGCACCGCCTGTTTGTTTCCCTGTTTCCCTCAGGGGTTGTGATTTGGTTGTTGCATCATTAACGGGAGCGCCTTTTGAGGAAGACTTGAGCAAATCCATCGTTATCTCACTTCCATCGATGCAGCCCAGGCGCTCTTGAAGTTCAGCAAACGTGTCACATTTCAGACAGTCTCTCACCGGCTGCTTTGAATCTGTTTTTAACCCTTCACTGTTTCCTTCAGCCTCCTCTTTTTTCTTTCCGCCCTGCAGTTTGGGGATTTTCAAAAGCTCCTGGAGCAGAGCGGTGAATTCTGGGTCATCCATGTCGGCCTTGTTAGGATGCAAAGAAGGTATAATTGGCACAAATTCAGGCTGTGTCAGTCTTGGAGTGATTTTGGACTGGACCAAGCCATATGAGTCCAGTTGGATGACTGTGTCGCAGGACTGGTCACTGCTGGAGCGCTCTCCCAGCTCTCCGCGCAAACGGAAACGAGGGACGTCAACATCTACCTCTTCGGTGGAGTGGAACGCCCGCAGGGAAAAAGTCTGAGGTGTTCTCTTTTCCCTCGTCAGGCTCCGTCCACATGGAGAACAGGAAGTTGACTGCTGTTGGAGAAAGACACAGGTGTGGATAGGAAGCTCAAATATCATTTTCCAGGTCATAAGACAAATAAACTTTGATAACCCCCCTGAGATGGGAATTAAATTTGGTCAAGACACAAAGTTTGAATAACCTTTGTCCTTTTCTGGGTCTTGCGGATGCGAGAAGCTATCTGGATGGTTGATAATGCCTCTTGAAGATGCGCCAAAGAATCAGCAACATGAGCGACCACTGTAGTGTGGCAGTTTACGTGACCCAGGGACTCCTGAAGAAGCATACTCAACTTGCTCCCCCTATCGAGACACAGAGCATCATTATTTTTCAGCTAGAATAAAGTGACTCAGATGTTTGTCAAAATGTTAATACCAGGAGTATTTTGGAGTTGTGGTCTTACTTGTTTGGGATGGTTTTATGTCCGCCTAGTAGCGCCAAAACAACAGGACCCAGATCTGAAAACGGAGGCTTATTCTGCCTCATTCCCCTCATACCACTGCACACATCTATCATGGTCAGCTTAGTTGGGCCACGGGCTCCTACAAATGAAAATGACAGAGAGCAAGCAAGTTGGACGTATGATTTAAGGGGCCATCCCGGGAAATAATTCATGGGGAAACAAGCAAATTCAGTGGGGACAAGCTGCCAGAGCTACTGAATAATTCATGTCAACCTTTGCCGATGGTGCTGCTCTCTGTTCGAGGGGGCTGGATGTAGAGAGTGAAAAACATTACAGAGCTGTGGGACAGATATGTAATGAAGTCATTGTGCCGACGCGCCGCGATGGCCGCGTCAAGTAGAGAGGCGGCCCGCTCGGCAGTGGGGGCCTTCACTCGGTTGTGGTTACGTAGCTGGAGGAAGAGAAGAAGAACAGCTTTAATATACTGTGAGTTTTATTTTGAAGAAGAACAGAGAAACGTACAGTGTGCTGCAAGCTTGCAAACAGCAGCGGGAGGGAGGAACTCTAGAGTCCTGACACAATCAGATTTGATCTTAATGGTTGCACTCACCCCCAAGATCATTATCCAAAATGACCATCTTTATAAACATTAACATCAATCTTACAGTATCTTAGAGTCAAAGTTAGAAATGTAACAAGACGTTTAATGCAATATCTCCATTATTCCCACCATCTGTCTTTTTTCAGCACCTCTGGTTAACTTCTCTGATTCTTGTAAATCTAATTAGACTCACAGGAAGTTGAATCCACACAACATCTGAAATACAAAGAGAAGCTATGATTGAGGTTAAGATCCTTGAAGTAGGGCTGGGTGATAAACTGAAAATTTACCGATACTGAAATTTGCAATAATAACCAACGTAATTTTGGCCATATCGGTATGTTCAGTGTCAATAAATAAATCAAAGTTGGTTTTGGATGTATGTAGGTAGGCAATGGTCCCATGTCCCTTCAAGATGCTGTCCTACGTCAAAGTTGTGACTCCACCCCATCCAGTCCGTAACAAAGAGGGAAAGACAGGTGAGGAGATGGAGGACGGTTCAAAAGTTGTAGCGGGTGAAGTAGACGAAGTTAATGCGGGAGGGGGTGAGCAGCTTGTGGAGTAGTTATCATCCACTTGTCGTTATTGAGGTGATAACGATAAATATTGTAATATTGATTTGAGGCCATATTGCCCAGCCCTACTTTAAAGCTTCTGTGAGGAACATCACCCCTTGTGCAATCCTCACTTATTTCGTCCTCTACACACTTAACTAAAAATCTCTCACTCCTGACTCTGATGGTTTTGTTTGTTACTTTCAGTTTATTTTATTTATTTATTCTTATAATCAAAAAACTCCTTATAGGAGCTTTGAGAGGGGCACAATTTTAGCTTGGTGTAACTGATGAAGCAAAGGAGTTATTACTATCCTACATATTGTCTAAAGCCAATTCAAAGCCCATCAAAAAGGCAGAGGAATAGTAGGAAGCACCATGAAGACCACCTTAAAGAGGAGCTCCTGACTTTATTTCCTTTTTAGTCATTTTTTCTCCTACCTGTATCCCATGGACGGGGTCCTCCTGGAGTCTAATATGAGCTTTAGGGCTGTCATGGATACTGCCTGATGAGGGGACCACCTCCCCTAAAAGATCCCTCAGAGTGTCCTCCTCCCCACAGCAGAGCTCTATAGCTGACACTGATACCGTCAGCTCGGTCCAGGTTTTCTCCCTCCGCCGCTCGATGGCGCTGTACAGCCAGGAGATCGCATAAGGGATGAGCCCGAGCTTCTGGACGCTCTCACCACTCCCTACCATGCTGGACCAGGAGCCTGAAGGAAACAACAGAGCTCACAGACGTATGCATGCTTTTTATTTTCTAGCATTTTAACATGGTGGTTGTACACACTTTAAACCAGAGCAATCCATGTATCATTGGTTCATTCAATTTTTCAAAATAAGGGATAAATGGATAATTTTTTCAGTTTCTATCTGATTTAGACATTTTTGTCTTTAGAAAGTTTTGTGGCTCGGAAGTGAACCTTAGGCGTCATGGCTGGACTCCAGAATTATTCAGATCGACGAAAAAAGGCTAAATCAGATAAAACTCTGGGTCTGTGTATTATCCATCCATTCAATTATTCCATTCAATCTAGTAAATGAAAAACGAAAAAAACGCGTCAATATTTTGTTTATTTGTTTTTCTATATAACCAAAAAGTTAAAGATTAGTGTTTGTTTTCGTATTTTCAGTTCAAAACAGAATATTTAATAGAGATGGAAACCAAAACAAAAAAATCTACTTTTCGTTTTTCGGGTTATTGATGTCCCCATTTCCCACAGTGCCTTTCTACAGAGTGGACCAAAAACTCCAGGCCAGAGCGCTAGAGAAAGGCTAACCTGTTGTCATGGAGACGGACGCATCCTACGTATTATTCAATGCCATCAGGAGGGTCAGGCTGAAGGAGGACGATATGACTGTAGAAAAAATTACAACCAGAGCTCTGTTACAACGTAAGATTTCAGCGCTCGAACCGCTCTGTCGCATCTTTCGCCATGGTAACTGTCGCTGAGGATCATGGGAAGGCCAATGTAGCCTCCATGCACGTACGCTCAAAACAGGCGCACTCAAAATTAATAATTGTAAATAAGATTTATTATTTCGTTTTCATTTCCATCTCTATTATATAATCTGTTTTGAGCTGAAAATACGAAAACAAACATTATTTTTTTATTTTTAGTTTTATAGAAAAACAAATAAACAAAATATTGACCCGTTTTTTTTGTTTTCCATTTACTAGACTGAACGGAATAATTGAATGGACGGATAATATGTGGACCCAGAGCAGATCAGTTTTTTCAGATTCCCTTTTAGGTTTTTTTCCACGTGCACTTTTGCCCCTCAGTAGTTTACAGTTATGGGCTTTTCTTTTACCTCTCTTGTCTTATCCGAACTCTAACTGAATGAGGATAACAGAATTGGTTTACTCCAATTAAAGGCCAAGCTGTCTATTCAGAGGGAATAGTATTCTGTGGAGGAGATGGATATCCGCTGGCTGGGGGCCACATGTAGTTTGTATTGGCCGACTAATTCAATCAGATTTACGGAGGGTGGCGTCATGTGAAAAAGCAGAGCCAAGGAGACCCTGTCCTTACCCTCTGTGTGTGTGTGTGTGTATGTGTGTGTCTTTGTGTGTGTGTGAGCACACCCTACAAATCTATTAAGCCTGCCGACCGACGCTAAGTGCAGGGTCCATCTCTCTAATAGCAATGTATTACAGTCTGTGTCGCTGCAAGCTCGGCGCAACCGAAAATAAAATATTTGTGTCATTTTTCAGCATGTTGATATGTCCACCGTCTGATGGTTGAGCTTTTAGAAAAGCAAAAGTGTTGCATAATTGATGGAAACGCTTTTATTTACGAGAGAAGATGTAAAAGATGAATGACCGAGAGGGGAGAGTCGAAAAAGCGCTCACGCATTTCTGTCATAACTGAGATCAAAAAGGAGAAAGAGATAAAAACGTGAAAAAATAAGACGGTTTAAAGAGTATAACAGGACTGATAAGAGGAGAGAGAGAGAAAAGAGAGATGGGCTGTAAGTGATAAAGAAAGGGTGAATGATAGTAGGAGCGGGACAGAGGAGAAGAGGGGGAGGGGGGCAGATAAAAGCGTTCCACTCTCATCTAAAGATTTAACCCATGGCCTCTCGCAGTGACCGATTACTCACCCACATCTGCACATCCCAAACCCAGAACACATCCATCGTTACCGCTGAGCACACAGCGGATGACGTCAGCCAAGACGCCTGCACACACCTCAGCCTGGCCAAGAGACAACAAAGAAGAGCGAGCGTCTTATGAATCATCCCGGCACTGGAAAAGTAAATCCAGAGAAATGAAAAATCTGCAGCAGTGGAGGAATGCACTCTGATATTGAAGACTGTGGAATCTAATTGATGGGCTGTGTGATAGCGGTGGCTTTCCTGGCACTATTAGCTTTCAGGGAAATCAAATTTATACACAGTACACAGAGGGGAAAATGTGCATTTCTTCGTCAGGTTAATAATCCGGATTCAGGACCAAACCTGGGTCGACTCTTGAGGAAACGCAGCATCAAAGTTGAAGGTCTTAACGACGTGTTTGCTGTCCCTGTCCAGCGTCATGACGTGTGATTGGCTTCTGCTGATCGGCTCCAAAATGGTCACTCTGTTCTTGAACGGCTCGACACGGAGAACGGGTGGTTGACCTTTGCACTCAGACAGAGTCGGGTTCACCCTCAGGATGACTTTGACCTGTACATACAACAAAAGAGAAACAAGATTTGATTACCGGGGCAACATATAGGCCTGTTTTCATTGTGTGTGCGCTGATATTAGCATCGTTAGCTTGACGCCTATGAGAAAGGCAGTGTCTGGATGGGAGTGGATGTTGCTCTGTTGTTCTGCAGCATTAATGGTGCCTTCCAAGATGTGCAGACTACCCGTGCACGCCATGAGTGCTTCCACATTAACATACTAGAGGCTACAAACAGGCCAAATGGTCTCTCTTCTGTAGTAGAGTGACAGTACGTCCTGTGTTACCCGGACATGTCTTCTTTTTTGGGGGGCTGTCCGGCCTTGTCCGGCTTTATCCGAAGAAGCACGAAAAAAACCACTCGACTCGACCCCCGTAATAAATTTCTAAAGTTTGTCCATAGCTCCATAGGGATTGCTGGAGGACGCAGGGTTTATGACCTATACTGCAGCCCGTCACTAGAGGGTGCTGTTCTCCTCGCTTCACCCAGCGAGGAGGCAGGCGGCGTCCACTCTATTTGCAGTCTATGGCTAAAGGTCTTTACACACCGGGGCTGACGCGAATATAGAACGCAAAATTACGAAATATTCGGAGGTAAATTTTAACGCGCCTGACTATACACATCAAGCCCAATGTGATTTTGCGACTTTCCGGAGGAAAAAAGACACTTCCTGGGGAAAGTCCCGCCTCCTTCACCTCTGATTCGCTAGAAAAGCTGGCAACGTCATCACACGCTCAAGCCTAGCACTTATCAGAAACGATAAGATAAGCATATGAAACTATGGTAACAACTGTTAGCTTACGTCAGCACAGATGAAAGTTAAAACAAAGACTTTTAGCAAACTGTTAAAGCACACAAACTATCCTCATATGATAAATCTGACGCTATGACTCCACTAGTTTTCCTTCAGGTCGTTATCTTTGTAATATTTGTGTTTTTTATCAAAAATCACTCTGTTCTCCGACACGTAAAAAACCAGCCGGTCGGCCATGTTGGATATATCGGTGAATCTGGCGTCGCAACAACATGCAATCTAATTGGTCAGAAGTGGACACACAGTATGCGAAACTTTAGAAAAATCGATCGTGATCCGAAAAAATAAATGTCGCGATATCGCAGGACGGGAAAACGTCACTGATGTGAACGCTTGTATTGACAGGATACGGGTTCGAAAAAAAATACTGACGTCCGAAATAATCGCACGAAAAAAACAGTCCTGGTGTGAAAGGACCTTAAGACTCAGCATGTTCAGACTCTTAAATAAAAGTCTAGCAAACCTTATTATTTCACTAAATCCTGTTTACATACATAATAAAGTGATTTCACAAGTGGCAAACATTCGAGACAAACTTTCGAAAATAAATCCCAGCACCAAAGGAAGACATTAAAAAAATATGAGTCTCCAAACATGAAGTTCAAAAATATCCTCATACAAAATTTATCAAGTCTCAGTCAATATGGAGTCTTTCCATCCAGAAATGTTGGGAAAAGCGATAGAGCGGGAAAAACCTCATAATCAGCTGAGTATTCAGTGTTTCATCAACGTTTATTCTCTGCTTCTGAAATTTGTTTACCGCTGGACTCAGGCAGGAGTTTCGGTTCAGGAGGCTGACATCAAATGTAGCGGTGAGGTGGAAGTAATAGTAAGACTTCTGCTCTGAGCCCCATGATGCTCAGCCATCAGAGGCTAAGACGCTGTTTTATGCAGCGTGGGTTGAGAGAGAGAGGGAGAGACATCATTTGAAAAAGGGAAACCTTGCAGAACAAATTAGATAATGTCAGAAAGGATTAGGTTTCAGCTCCGAGGAGGTGAGCTTAAGATGGTCTTTGCTGCTGTAAATGTTTCAGACTGTGCTTAATTGGAGTAAATTTGTAACCCTTAACACATCTGGGAACCTGTTACTCTGCTTCCTTGTAAAACATTTTGTTTATGCTGCAGAAGACAGCCAGCGGATCCAATTAGTGTAAAAACCATATATGCTTTTATATGGCTGCATGGCTATGCATACCTCCTGCTATATTTCTGCATGTCATGGCATCAATTCCTTAATGCAGTTCGCTGCCGGTCGGAAGCCTGAAGATTTAGAGGCTTTATGGTCTTAAATTAAGTTAGATCCTGAATCTTACAGCCACTTAACGAGGCTCAGAGGTCTTCGCCTGCGGGAAGACACGGCAAGATGTACCTCATGACGGACAATAAGCTTTAACAGAGCCAGAGATTTTTCTCAATCAGGAGTCAGGTCTGCAAGATCGCAAATAAACGCCACATCATATCAGGGGAGTATGGTTTTCTTGAGACTGTGCATGGCTGCATTACACCGCCATGACATCATCCTGAAAGCCGAGGAGTCCATCTGCCACACGAGAAGTTTCCAGTGGCTGTGAAGGATTTTTTTTCTCTCCCCTCCTCATAATTTTAATATCTTATGCAAGAAGTGGCTCCCTAACCCTATTGAACATGTGTCAAACTCTTATTTATGAGGGCTAAATTATTCACGACCCTTTTATACAAGCAGAGAAAATCCTCCGCCGTTCTTGCGCAATCATTCAGTCCGGCAACTGAGTGCTTATTGGGCAGGTGTGGGATCTATCCGAGCCCCTATCTGTAACTCTAGACTGAACCCAAGAGTCCATCTATCCTAGACAAGGGGAGGGGAGGCAGCCGTATTGATCTCCACAGTTTCTCCCAGAGGAGGTGAGCGGAGGGAGGGAAGGAACAAGATGGAGACATTAGCACCACATTACAGTGTATCATAAAGAAGGGGTGATATAGGATCTCCTCCAAATTGACTGTGATCTCTTTAGACTGTAAAAATGGCGGCAAAAACACGTCCAAGGTGGTGTTTGTGGGAGAGACACCGCGATCCAGACCTACTCTATGGTGCTAAATAAGCCCACTAAAACCTCCACCATGATGTCTGATTATATATAAAGATATAGAGTGCATGTTTACACTGTCAAACTCACAGTAGATAATGCATCAGTCTTTGTGTATTAAAAGGAAAACCTGATTGCTTCCTCCTCTGCTGTTATCGTGCGATGCTGGTTTTTGTCACTGTCATGCTGCAACAGATCAGATACATCGTTTAAAAATATCCTGTTGCCGGGTCAAATCTTGGTCCAATGAAGGGGTGTCCCAAAACAACTTTTTTACCTCCGATACGAAACCAATATTTTAGCTTTCAGTAATGTCCGATACAGATATTGATCTGACATTTACTACGGAGTATTAGGACCATGTTAAGAAAAAGAATTTGAGACTTCATAATAAAATCATTAAACAGGTCCATAGGGCTGGGCGATAAACCAAAAATTTACCATTTAATTTAGACCATTATCCAAAATGACCATTTTTATAAACATTAACATCAATCTTACCGTATCTTAGAGTTAAAGTTAGAAATGTAACAAGACATTTAATATAATATCTCCATTATTCCCACCATCTGTCTTTTTTCAGCACCGCTGGTTAACTTCTCTGATTCTGTAAATCTAATTACACTCGTAGGAAGTTGAATCCACACAACCCGTTATTTCCTGAATGACTCTCATGGAAAGTCAGACTGGACTGATCTGAAATACAAAAAGAAGATTAAGGATAAGATCCTTGTTTATTGGCTTTAAAGTAGGGCTGGGTGATAAACTGAAAATTTACCGATATCGAAATTTACGACAATAACCATCATCATTTCGCCCATATCAGTCTATTCAGTGTCAAAACAATAGATAAATAAAAGTTGGTTTTTGGTGTGTAGGTAGGCTATGGTCTCATGTCCCTTTAAGATGCTGTCCTACGTCAGAGACGTGACTCCACCCCATCCAGTCCGTAACAAAGAGGGAAAGACAGGTGAGGAGATGGAGGACGGTTTAAAAGTTGTAGCGGCTGAAGTAGACGAAGTTAATGTAGGAGGGGGTGAGCAGCTTGTGGAGTAGTTATTGTCCATTTATCGTTTTCAAGGTGAACTGATCAATATATCGTGATATTGATTTGAGGCCATATCGCCCAGCCCTTGCTCATCATATCCTGCTTTTTATTTTTGCAAATGGGAAAACTGTAAAACTGTTCTGCTCCACCTGCACCAATATTATTAATTTATTTCTATTCTTTTTACCGTTATATTTTAAAATCAGTTTTTTGCCGCACCGTTTCTGTAATTATAAACCGTCTGTGCTTCACTGAAAAATCACTTCTACTGTAAATTGGAAGCTCTGCGCTCTACCTTGCCAACATTGGGCGAGTCTTTGGTTCTGGTGGCAGCTTGGAGCAGGCAGGAGGGTACAGGCGGAGGGTTTTTCTGGATCAGCTCCCTGAAGCAGGTGGAGGAAAAAGCAGGAGCTGGATCCGAAGCTTGGCCTTTTTTCCTCAGCGTCAGATTGAGCTTCTCGGCCGCCCTGCAGAGAGGAAGAGAGATGGCATGTTGAACCGCTGACACTTGTGGTGCAGCCTCAACAAGAGACATGCTACAAGTTGAGCAACAATATCCTGTTTTCTTACCTTGCTAAGAGAGACATGGCGGCGGTGTTGGCGATGTTTACCACTCTGGATATGTGGGGGATCTTTGAGTTGGTCTGTACAGTCCCAGCGTTACCACAGGACAGCGTAGCATCATCTGCTGCCTGCTGGGGGAAAAGCTCATTATAAAAATCCAAATGTGTAATTGCACTCCTGCTGCCCCTTCTGAAGGGGCCATTACCAAGGGTATTACTCTGGGGACAAGAATGGGTGCGTCTGTCTAAGTAGGCCATCGAAGCTGAGAGCACAACGGGTTAAACACGCTGGGTAACCTCTTATAGATTTTACTGAGCGTTAGTCTGCGATGGCTGCTTTATTAGAGGTGCAGGAAACCTAACTGGGCAGAGCGGTGTGCATGCAACATGACAAATCCAACATGCTTCTGCTCAACATGAAGTCACTGAGCCTCGCTGCGGGCTACAGAGCCGACATATTTGTGCAACAGTGCGCTCATACGCCAGAGAAGATAACCTCAGCTCAGATTCTTTATTTTTAATAACAGCCAAAAACATGGCTGTATGGTGATATTAGATGTGTGTCTTCTCTTCGCCTTGTTTATCTTTATCTCTCTCTGGTGTCTCTCTCTCTCTCTGTAATCACTTAAACATAGTGCTTCATTATTCCTGGTTTTCATCCACCCCGCCCACTCCTCCTCTTTCAGTTGGAGTTTCTGTCCTTGCCCTCTCTCCTGCCAACCATCAGAGCTGTCTCTCTCTCCTACAATCACTTTCCCTCCACCCTCCTTTTTCTGTGTCTTTGTCCTCCGCTTTCTCTCCACAAAGCTTTATTGATCTACTCTTACTGGACCCGCCTTGCTGATTGTACATACAGTCAAGCAAAAGCCTGGTACAGTTTCATTTGAGCAGGATGTTTCAGGTTTATTAAAACCAGATTTTTAGACCTTATAAAGACGTACACTCTTCTGATACCTCCTGTTGGTGATAATCCTGTCCAATGGTATCCAGAGAACAAGATTAACCTGCAAGATCATGTTTCATTTGCTTCAGCAGATGCATCTTGTCAAGAAAAATCCCATCCTGTTGGATTCTGGTCAGGCTAATCACATCTATTCATAATGGAGGATGAGTTAAAGCGTTGAAAGCGGAGGCATTTCTGCAAAATGGTTGCTTTGGGTTGTGGCATTCAGGATTTGATCTGGCGCATGAAGGCTGTAAACTAATACGATGCTAAAGTGACTGAATAGTACCTTAAAATATTGAGTATGTTTATGAGGTAAATTACCTGTAAATAGTTGGGATGCACCGATCAGATATTTGGATCAGATATCGGTTCTGATATTGACAAATTAACTGGATCGGATATCTGATGAATGATGCTGATCCAGTGTTCCGATCCAGTCTTTTTAATATATTTTTTAATTAATATCAAACACAGCAACACAGTGATTCTGTTGGCTCGATATTCTATGTTTGTCTATCCTTTCGCACTAAATGTTGACATGGAAGTCTTACTTCTTTTTGCTGTGTGCTAATGTGTGATTTGTTATTTGTTAATAAATAATATTAAAGGCATGGTTGACGATTGAAGAGATTCGTAATTATTATGAACCTCGTTTCTATGGCGATCATGGTCCTATAGTGCGATCTCCACAGAGTGAAGAGAAAAGAGAACGGAAAAAATCCATTCACCCTCACAAGTCCAGGGCTGCAAAAACATTGACCAATGGGAGCCATCCTTCCTGGACAGCTCCTATTGGTAAACCTCCTGCTCCGCCTCTCCATCCAATCACCTTGCTGCATTCGACACACCCCTCTCCCGTAGTTCCGACTTGTCCCCTCCCACTCTCCCGGCCCTCCTCGGAGCTCTGAGCGGCTAAAAGTAGCGGAGCAGCTTAGCTACAGAAGCTGTGATGGAGAAGGACGCAAAAAAAACAAAACACTTCCGCCAAAAGTGCAAAGAAAACGCACACTGACAGAAGAAAGGGCGGAGACGAAGAGGAAATGTGACCAAGCGAGGAGTCTACTTCGAATAAACATCGGGTCATCCTTGGAGCGGTGGAGAAAGCTCCGCCAGGATTTGGTCCCGAAAACAGCAGTTTTTGTTGAACAGGTAATTTTTATCGCCTTTTATCGTGGCACATGTTACATAAATAACTCTTATTAGTCTCTGCAATGTCAACACGGTAGCTGTCCAGGCAGCTGCAGACGGCGCTCGCTAGCAGAGCTGGCGTTTACTGCCGCTAGTCACTAACAATCCGACATGGTGAATCCTATTTGAAGCTAGCGTAGGATCTTCTGCCAGAGGGGGTGTGTCGTGGGGAGAGTGAAACAGGTTGGAGGAGGAGTTATCGTGGAGCACAGAGGGGAGAGGTTTGTGTGTGGGGGTTGGGACGATCGTCAACCATGACTTTAAGTCAATTTATATCTGTGTTGATTTGTTGCCTTCTTTTTAACAAGGCTAATGTCAGGCGTGATGTCTTCACCCACATGGTAAGGTATACAGTTCATTCATTCAATAATAGTATTGGATCGGTATCAGATATCGGCCGTTACGCTCAGCCCAGGTATTGGATTGGATCGGAAAAAATGGATCGGTTAAGAAGACAAAAATGACAAACAAAAAAGCATAATAATGAGGAGACAGGTGTATCTGCTCTCCACATAAACCGCTCAATTGTCTGCATCATATGCTCCCTTGTGCCCTTCCTCTCAGACTCTTTGGACACGAGGACTGTGCCGTCTATTAGAAAAACCCTCCTTGAGCCAGCAGCTTTAAATGAAACATGTAAAACTCTCCCTCATTGCGTTTTGTACCCCTTTCCATTAGGGACTTGAAGGGGGGGGGGGGGGTTGATGTAGAGTGGCCTCCATCACTGTAATGCATATTTCACCAGCCGCCCTGTTAAATATGACCATCCCCCCTATTGATCACAAGTGCTTTCTGACTGGCCGTTTTTTTATGACAGGGGTAAATCATGACCTGATTCCATTCCATTAGCAGAAGTAGTTTTAAACAACGGCCCGGGACGACCATGGGATCTAAGTAGGCTCTGATTGGACCCCATGAATCATATCTCTGCTGACACGTGCGCCCATAAAGACCTACTTTGCACACACAGCTCATTAAAACTGAAAGTGTTATGTGTGATTTAGCGTTGAGAGAGGCTTTTAGGGGTACCTGGCGATAAGGGTACACGGCGACACCATCAGTGTTGGGCGTGGATTTAGATGCAACCAGCTGCTGCTGCTCCTCCACCCAGCGGTCCATGTCACAGTGTAGAGGTTTAGGCCCCCTCCGTCTGAGGGTCTGAGGGGTACTCTGAGGGGTTCTTTGAGGGGTCCTCTGAGGGGTCCTCTGTGGTGTCTTTGGGCTTCTCGGACTATGTGGACTCTGAGTGAGACTGCGCGGTTGATGCACCGCTGTGGCGGCGTCACGCCGAGCCCTGTCCCCGTGCTTTGTCTCACTTTGTCCCAGCAGTGTTCCCATACTGAAGCTGGGTTCAAAGGGGGGCTTCGCTAACGCCTGACCCCTGCTCAGAGCCAAGTGGACCGCCTCCTGTTTGAGCTGGTTCAGGTTCACACCGCAGGCTCCACACTCGATGTCCCTGGACTCATTAATGGAGCGACCGTGGACTCGAAGATTGTCGTGAAGAAACGCAGACAGATCACCTGAGTCCTGCACAGTGACACAAAAAACGAGAGTTATTAAACGCTCTCTGCTTGGGGTTTGAAGAAGTTACTCACTAGTATTTGAGATAAGCTTTAAGACCTAGTGAGCTCAAGATACAATCATGAGGCTAATGACTGAGCTAATCTGCTTAGTTTGATTTCTGACCAGGGAGTTACATAATTGATTATTGAGCTCTCTGAAAACGAGCCGTGGGAGGGCGATGTAAGTAATCTTAGCACTTAGCAAAGTAATTAGGACCCGAGCCGATGCTGCAAGAGGCAGGCGAGAGCCCTATTAAAATTGCAGGAAATATTTATTATTATTATTATTATTTTAACCTTTACTCTTTTTTCATCTTTTACACCCTTTAGCCTTAAAAAGTCCTGAAATTTGGCAGGCGAGACGGGCCCAGTTCAAGTTTGCGTATTGTGCCATGACCCTATATATATGAAAAATCAATCAATCAATCAATCAACTTTATTTCTATAGCACAAGAACCACGGGGGTAGCCAAAGTGCTGTACATTGTGACATAAAAACAAATAAAACAAGCAAAGAACAAGTTAGAGCGAGCAAAAATACATAAATGCAATAAATAAATAAATATATAAGCAGGCTCACGGTAAATGCTAAGATGAAAGTAAACAAAATAACACTAAAATATGTTAAAAGCCAAGGAATAAAAGTGTGTTTTCAAAAGGGATTTAAAAACAGGGAACGAGGAGGCCTGTCTAATTCTCAGGGGCAACTCGTTCCAGAGGTTGGGAGCAGCTGCGGCAAACGCTCTGTCACCCCTGAGCTTCAGTCTTGTTTTGGGGACCGTCAGTAACAGCTGATTGGCTGATCTTAGGGGTCGGGGTGGGCAGTAAGGCTGGAGCATATTGGAAATGTAGGATGGAGCCAAGTTGTTCAGGCCTTTAAAAACAAATATTAAAAGCTTAAAATGAATTCTGTACTGAACTGGGAGCCAGTGTAAGGACGCCAGGATGCCGCCACTTGGTCCAAACAACATTACTTCTGTCTTGTTCTCATTAAGGCTGAGGATGTCAAAAGAAAGCCAGGCTTTAACGTCCTTAAGACAGTCAGTGAATTGTTGGACTGAGTTGGAGCTGTGCCAGCGGAACATAGATCTGGCAATCATCGGCATAAAAATGAAAGGAGATGCCATGTTTCCTAAAAACAGAACCAAGGGGGAGTAGATAAAAGGCAAATAAAAGAGGGCCGAGGATTGAGCCCTGGGGGACCCCATGTGGAAGAGGAGTTGTTGAAGACACAGAGTTGTCAAGTTGAACGCAGAAACTTCTGTCCGTTAAGTAAGACCGAACAAAAAAAAGACTCGCTAGCGCATCCTACAGTTTTCTGTATAACTTCCCGTACACTGGTTCCATCTCCATTTGATAACAGTCCAGCTCTGGACAATTTGACAAACTTACGCCCGTGTTGTAGTGCCACTTGGTGGCAGAGGGGAATGTGTCTTTCGGTTAATGGCCTGTATCTCCTTCTTTATTAATGGGATGCAGCTGAGATTTGTTCAGGACACACCTGATGAGGTTCCAGATATCCTAGAAATTCAGCACCTTGTTTCGTTAAACTGTGCCTAGGTTGTGCTATAAAAAAACCACAAAAAAAAATAGCAATCTATGATATTGATATAGCAACCACATAAAATTTGGTACACAGATCAGGAGGGGCGTCGTCTTAAGGGCTCCAATGTCACAATGTAGATCCAACTAAAATGGCACAATAGCGCCCACAACAAAATTTCAAAATGTAACTCTTGCTCCTGTGAGTAACCCAATCAATGACACTTATGTTAGACCCCGATAAAAAAGGGGAGGCGGTCCACAGAGGTGGCGGCGCAACACAGCTCGTCCCGTTGGTGCCCCGCGGGGCACTAGTTACGAGATTGTGAATGTTGTTCCATAGAGAATGTAGTAACAAAAATTACAGACTGCACCTTTATTAAAAAGCAACTTTCTTTCATGCGTTTTTTTTTTTTTTTTTCTAAACGAATTACCATATTTTTCACACTAAAAGGTGCACCTGATTATAAGGCGCACTGAGGATTTTTGAGAAAACTGAAGGATTTTAAGTGCACCTTGTAATGTGAAAAATACGGTATTTCATTTTTCCATCTGCAGGGAAGTTGTGATCTTAAATAAACAATTTTTTCTTGCTTTAGAGAAAATTAAACATTCTTTTTCAACAGTTTTAAGGTTGCATTTGTAAAAGTTGAAATCAGTCAGCTTGGTTTTAAGAGAGCAGAATTTCAAATCTTTAAAAACAAAAATTGGGGCCATCATCTGGACTTAAGACATTCTTGAGCCACATCCTCTTTGGCCTGCCCTTGACTTCCACTAGACTCCCTTCTCCTCCCCCCATGTCTCTCCATCCTTCCTGCAGGTCGCCAGCACATTTCCAGTGACCCATTTTCCCTCTGAAGAATTATGTAAAACAAAATCATTAAACTACATCAGGGGCCGCCACATCTACAGTATAGTCCAGTTTCCAGAGTCCTGTATTCTAATGACAAAGGCATGTCAAACACACGACTGGACTTTGATTTAAAGATCGTAAACTGGACTTAAAAGGTGGTTTTGAGAAACTGTGCTCAGATCAATAAAACTGCAAGGAGCGGGTCTGCTTATCTGATTTCTTCTGTGGCCACAAGATAGCATCTCCCCCCTCCTCAAACTATGCACTCTTCTGTGTTGCGGTCTCTTTCTTAAAAACATGACGCCCGCTGCGCCCCATCCCACTTAGCAGGACAGAAATAAACAGCCTTTCCCTCAATGGAGAGGACAGTAGAGATGACACACGGTTGTCAGAGATGAAATATTCATTTGAAACCACTCGCTGAGGAATAGCACTGGTTTACTCTGTCGATTGGAGTGAGTTTGATGGATGTGAGTGGTGACAAAAGTACACACGAATGGCGAGAAGCAAAGCTGCACAGAAGACTAATGAGCCCACAAGAATATTATAACACCTTTTACTTGACATTAACGCACAAGAAAATAGGGGGGATAGCAGTTTTATTAACAAAGCCTACAGATCAGTGGTTCTCAACCGGTGGGTCCCGGCCCAAAAGTGGGTTGCGGACACGTTCTGGATGGGTCCTGGTCAAAAAAAAAGGAAATATTTATTGGTTCTTGGTTTCTTATTAATGTGGCCTGAATGCAGTAAAATTACATGTTTTTTAAGGTCTTTATTTTGTGAAATTTGATATTTATCCACATTTGTCCTGTTGCAGGTTCTTCTGAATATGCTCTAAATGCAGAGATGCAAATAAATCAAATTTTTCATTCTGCTGGTCTCCATTTTGTGCGAATTGATATTTTCTGCACGTGCAACTTCAGCAGTTGCCATCCTCAGTTCATGTGCTCTGAAATGCACTGTACTCGATAAAATAAGTGTATTTATGTTAAAGATTTGAGGTTATTTTTTGTCTAAAAAAATAAATTGGTTTGAAGTTTATAAAAGTGGGTCACAACTGAAGGACCATGGAAAAATGTGGGTCCCAGAGTGAGACCAGTTGAGAACCACTACTATAGATAATGAAGGCTATTGTTTATATGGATGTAATTTTACTAGGAGTTGGATGTTTCTTTTAATTTGCAAAATATTGAAAATGAAAGTAGGATATTTATTAGAAATTCTTACTTTTAGTTTAATCTAACTGTCTAAATGTTTGATTTCAGCAATATTTTTCCTTATTGTCTTCAATTGAGCAGTCTGGTCTTCAGTGCTCCACTATCAGAGGTTCCCCTAAGTCTACTGACCTTGTAGGAGAAGTGATGGTGCACAGCCAGACTCAGAGCTTGTTTCTTCAGAGCAACAAGGGACGCTGAGCACTTCTCACAACACGCAACTTTCCTCTCAGACCTCCAAAAGCCGGGGTTCCTGGACATGGTGTCCGTGCAGAAAGTGCCGTTTCCTCCAGAGGACAAAGTACTCCTGATGCGGTCCTCCACGGTTCTAGACAGACTCCTGTATGCCGGGACGGGGTCTGCTCCTCTCTGGCACATATTCCGATGTGGGTCGCCTCGGGTCCCTCCGGCACCCTCCGGGACAGGGCGCTCCTTGGGTTTGGAGTCTGTCCCGTTAAGAGTTGCGGGAAAGCCGGAGTGATGCTGCACTTCTGAGCTCTGAGGAATAAATCATTTCACAGAGGATGCATGTGGGCTTTGGCAGTGGGAAATTAGATATCAATCGACGCGGGGCAACTGTAACCACACCCAAATGTTTATCCTTGCTGTAAAAACAATAACTCGCCAAAGAAAGTCCAGAAAGACCCTCAAATGCTCCACAGATGCGAATGAATCTGTTGAAAAAGGTTAAATGGGACTTACCCTGAGAGTTCCTCTGACCGAGGCAGTAAATCTCTCGCCTCTTCCAGTCAGAGATGACATGACAACTTGTAAATATTTAAAAAGATATCCGAACAAAGGCAGGGTGCACTTCTCATCAATTGCGCCAAAGTCCCGTGGATGCTCAGCGGAGATGTTTCACTCATTGTCGGAGAAAATGGGAAATCTGAGGATGTGAGAGCCAGAAACAGAGTCTGAGAGCTGAGGACAGATGACAGTGGTACAGAGGAGGAGAAGAGGAGGAGAGGAGCGCACTGGAGAGCGCTTCATGACTGCGCTCAGCTTTTTATTCTTACATCCTCAGGGAGGCAGTAAAGAGCAAGAGATCAGACAGGAGAGAGCATGCTGCTGCTGCACAAAACAGGTTTATACAACTAAATGTCCTCAAAACCAACGTCCTGGTGAGGCTGCTATGGATGATGTAAGTTTCATGGATGTACAAAGTGCTCTAAAATATGACTGTTGTATGAGAACTGCATGGTGAAACAGGTCAACAACAGACAAAGTAAAGGCAGCTCTAGGAAAATAAGGGTGTAAATTATAGGCTTAGAGAATTGAAGCACCTGTGAGTCCTTTCTTATCTTGTCCTCTAAATGCCAAAGTAGTGTCTTTTCACAAACCACCTCATCCTGCTGACTCTGACAGTCTAATGTTTCATTTATTGTACTTACTTTGTGTGAAAACTGTAAAAGCAGAGCTGAAACCTGTTTGTTCAAGTTTTAGGCATTAAAAATGGTTGTATATAAAAGGTCAGTTTTGTCCCTGACGGTTTTTCTTCCCTTTTTATTTCATAAGAAGAAACCAATATGAATTTCAGTCTAATTTGAGTACCAAAAAAGCTTTTAGGGACTATTGCAGCAGTTGAAACTGCTGTCTTGTAAAGTTGGGGGTAATAATTATGAGAAATAGATGGTGTTGGATTTTGGCTTCCATCAGCTGACTTTATGATTTTATAGGGGAGACCAGGCATGGTTGAAACATGGGGAGAACACATACCAACATATTACATATGCTGCTTTTGAGTTATCTCGCAAGTCAGATGTCCAAGCTGGGAATGATGTCACACCAGAGTAACCAGCGTTTCAGTTACCATGTCGGAAAAAAGCAAAATCGGAGGCGAAAACAAGTTGGCTACATCTACGAAAAAAGCAAGAGAGAAAAAAAGAAAAGGAAAAAAATAATAATTATATATATATATATATATATATATATATATATATATATATATATATGTATATATGTATATGTATGTATGTGTATGTGTATATATTTTTATAAATATAAGTATATACTGTATGTTTGTGTATAAATATATATAAATATATATATATATATATATATATATATATATATATATATATACTGTATATGTGTGTTTGTGTATTTATATATATCCACATATATGTATAAATGTATATGTATTTATGTATGTATATATGTTTAAATGTATATATGTGTGTGTGTGTATATATGTATATATATATATGTGTGTACTCTATTTATCTATCTATCTATCTATCTATCTATATTTGCACGTACGTTCAAAAGAAAACAAATGTTTAAGATTATATAAATACAATGCATACAATTGGAAATTGGTATTATACTAATTACAAGTAAATACACAAATAAAGTCATCGGCACAGCCCTGTCTACATAAATAATCATGTTTAGTGGAACTATAGTTCACACATTCAACATAACCAATTTAGCTGCATTCTGATTACATTTTACATAATATATGTTATAAACGGAAGCTTAAAAAAGCAAGTAAAGATATTTTAGTGACTGCCTATCGCACCTTTATCTGTCCATCGTGCTTAAATATGCGGAAAACTCTTCAAAACATTAAATGTTGTGTTTTTTCATACACCACAACATGCCCTACTTTCTACTACTACAGAGTATAGTAGAGTTGGGTAATTACGACAGATGGTCGCCGTGCTATATAATGAGGCTGCGCTGCTCTCTGGGTAATTACGGTAACAGACGTCGTCATCCTCCCCCACGCCGCCGCAGACTCTTTAGCCGGTGAAGCGTTGGTTGGACGGCACGGGTGCCATTTGGCGCAGATTTGGGCTACAGCCGCGAACAAAGGGAGTCCTGTTATTTATTTATCGTCGTATTTGTTTTAATCGTGTCTAATCTATTTTGCCCGTCAAACGTCAAAATGAGCTCTATTAACGTGAAAAAGCTGAAAGTGAACGAGCTGAAGGACGAGCTGAAAAAGCGTAATCTCTCGGACAAGGGGCTGAAGGCCGATCTGATGGACCGCCTGCAGGCCGCTCTGGACGAAGAGGCCCTCTCCGGAGAATCCCCGCTGGACCAAGACGCTTCGGGCATCGACCAGGCCGCCGACCCGGAGTTCATGGGCGAGGAGGAAGAAGGCGACGGCCAGGTGGAGGAAAGCATGGAGGCCAACGAAGAGGAGGAGGAAGAAGAAGAAGAAGAGGAGGAAGAGCCGGAGAATGGAGGCGGTGGGGAAGCCGTAGCCGAGGACGAAGAGATGGGAGAGGGCGAAGAGGAGAACGAGGAAGACGAGGATGAGATGGATCCGATGCTTAAAGGGGTTGTGGACGACATGGAGAAAGAGGATGGTGAGCCCGGGGACCAGGCTGCTGAGGGTGAGTCTAAACGGGGGTTGGTTATGAAAATGTGACCGGCTGGATGGACCGTGACTGGGTGTCGGTTTTTTTTTGCTATAACGCGGGAGGGAGGGAGCCGACTGGGATTAGCCAATTTCAGATGCAAAACGTTAACCACATAACACAGAGTCCATGTTTTAATAGCAAGCGCAGTCTGACCTCCCTATAGCTGCCGTTAGCATCAAACTGAAAACGATTAGCCGGTAAGCTAGCTCAACGTTAGCAACGGTCACCACCTTGGTTAGCTTATATTCGCTTATTTTCGTGCATCTAGTCAGAACCGTGTACCCTTGAGTTACAATTTCACAATTCAATGTTGATAAGCGAAGAAGGTCAGAGTTAATGTCTCCCTATAGCGTAGTTTGGGCTTTTCGTTTCACTTCGTTAGCATATTAGCGGCTAGCTAACCGCATTTCTTTGTGTGTGATTCAGTGCCAGCTAGCTAAGGACCTGTTAGCTGGTTCAGTGTTCCCGTAATGAAGTCCGACCTCAAGGGGGGTTATTGGGGCAGAGGTGTGCGAAGGTAATCACTCACTTCACCACCAACAAAGACCGTATTTTATGGGAATTAAGCTCGAAAAACAGATTTAATCCGATAAAGCAAGAATTTGAAATCGGGCTGATCTATGCCGATATTTTTTAAACTGATTTTGACCATCAAATACATTGAAACCGATACAAATACACAGTCTTATTAATCAGAGGAGGCAAGGTTTTGAAATCTGGCCGATACTCTTTGATTCTTCTATGATTTTTTTGGTATCCAATTGGATTTAAAATGCAATTTTATAATACTGTCAATTTTACCAGTATTGAGTCTGCATTTTGAACACCAGTGAAACAGTTGAGTGATTATGATTGTTGTGATTATGATGTTGAAGGAAAAAAATGTAGATTTATATTTGGATGATACAGTTTGGTGAAAGGACCCCCAATTCCCAGTTAATTCCCATGGAAAGTTTCTGGAAATGTTCTGCCCCTTTTTATCCCTAATTGACACCGATATAAATACCCACTCTTATTAATCAGAGGTTCTCTGTGCGGTCCAGGTTGATGGTTCCAGAGATACTGAATAAAATTGGCAGTATTTAAGACAAGTTACTGTCATCCTCCTAAAATAACACTCGCCTTCACAAGTTTTCCATTTGGCTGTTTGGCCATCTGGGAAAACTGCACCAGCTCTGCCTTATTAACTCACCCTAATAACCAGGACATAGTTTATGTTTGCTTTGCCTTGATTTACTGTCTATGCATGGGATGCCCGTGTACAAGTACACCTAACCCTGTGACAGGCTGGGAACACTTGAACTAGCTGATGCAGCTGTGCAGGCGCTGAACTGCTTGTCTAGCACATGGTTAGTTTGTATGTGGTTTGAATTGAAAATGTCGCCTAGATTATCTCAGTTTAAAGTCTAGCCACCAAGGTTATCAGTTATGGGGGAGGGGATTATCGCAGTAGGTCTCTTCATATCCTTGCATGATGCTACTGTCCCACACCACAATAGGCATGTCCTCTTTAATGAAACAGATTACACATGATGACTAATCAGAGACTTGGTTTACCAGTCCCAGCCAATCCAGTATGAAGTGTTCATTTGGACCAGCTTCCAATGTAAATCCTATCTGGTCATTTGGTCTGTTACAATTTCTGGAGTATGACTGTGTTGTTTAAGTGTAATTATGAGGTGTTACCTCTTAAACGTAATATTGCTGATTATGGTCGACTCAATGTAACTAATGAACGGGCTTCGTGGGCCAGAACCCCACTGCCAGTCCGACCTCTCTCCATAAAAAGGAGCACCTCATTCTATATCTTTGTTCTATTTTCAAAGGGGATGCGGACAAAGACACGAATGCTGATCAGAAGAATAAGAAGGGTGTTAAGAGACGCCGGGAGGAACATGGAAGGGGCTACTTTGAATTTATTGAAGAGAACAAATACAGCTGGTAAGGATGGGACAGAGCAAAAATGGCCTTCAGCATCCCTGAAGCGCCATGCATAGCTTTGTTAAACTGTATTGGCTTTAAGTGCCAATGCACATAACTAGCAAGAGGAAACCCTCATATTATAAGTATTATACTACCTATTAATGACCTTACTTTCACACACACATGTTTTTGAGGGTCATCCCTGACTCCTTAAAGAGCCTTACCATTTATCTTTTACAGTGCCCACTCACATTTGTGTCTTTTACGGACTGCATTCTGTAGCAGAAGTGCAACTCTCAAGTCTCTACGAACTGTCACATCTGTTCCTCATGCCACTTATTGTTTTGCAAAGCCCATTGTGTCCTGAAGGTGAATCAAGGCTGCTCAGAGACTACAAACCCAGAGGAAAAGTAGCAGATGTGCACTTTTCAAGGAAGGGGAGGGTGGGGAGGAATAGCTGAGAGGCGTGGGAGGAGGAAGAGGAGGGTCCATTACAGCAGACTAGCACACCAGGATGTATTTAAACTCCCAGTGTGTTTTGGAACGTCCACGGAGGAGCTCGCAATTGACCGTCCATCGTTTGGCCTCGCTATGGTCCTTTTTTTTCCCCCCCGTTTTTGTTTGGTTGTATGATGTCAAAATGCTATTTCTGTCTCATGTATCATGTGTTTCTGTGTGTTTCTCATGAAGTGAGTGTGGTTTCGTTTGAGAGGTTCTTTTCCGCCCCTCTGCAGTGACATCAAGCATGTGTGTTTGTCAGTGTGTATGTGTGCATACCTACTCCTGGGTTTAATTTTTTTTTAATTACGCAACTAAGAGACTGTAAGGATCAACTTGTAGAAATGCAAATGCTTTGTGATTCAGGCATATTTTTATTTTTCTGGAAGGAAGAGGGAACGGAGATGGAAAGGCAGCAACAAGAATGGTTAAATGCTCTTTTTTTTTTTAGTTGTTAAATATATATATATTTTTTTTCACCAACATTATCCTGTAGCTGTAATCTGAAAGTGGCTTATTATGCAGTGAGCACCAACTCGGAAGTATATTCACCCTTTATCCCACCACTGCAGCCGTTTGTACAGCATTCGTGGCTTTTTGAGGACAAACACATCAGCATTTATGATCCTAATAACTGCTGGGTTTACATCGTTTCCAATCACTGAGGTTCAAACCTTGAATTTCTAACTTGTTAATGATTATTCTGATATTTCACCTCAAAGCTACAGAGTTGGTAAGTTGCTGTAGCTCTCACACCAAATCTTCCTAGACATGTTGATGACTTAGTCACAGATCCACAGAACAGTGTGTGTAAGCCGTGACCTTTTCATTGAGAAGTTAAAAATAACCGCACCCACTACCACTTTAAATGACCCCACAGCAATCTCAGATATTAGGAGTGCAGATCTCTTTGATTTCATCAGGATGAGGTCTGCTTTGGACCAGAGGAGGCGCTTCCTTTTTTTTTTTTTTTTTTTTTGTGTATCTCTCATGTTTTAGATTTCGCTGGATACTGCAAGGTAAGTGTTGTCTGCCACTACAGCTGATAATCCATATGTTTGGTGGCTTATTTGCCCAAATTCACTCTCTATTGATTTCGTACTGTTCACCCCCTCCTAGTCTGGCTTTCCTCTTTTTGTACCCACATGTTTTTCAGCAAGTGGTACCAAGGCAAGCAGGCTACATGTGCCATGAATTTGCCCTGAGATGTGAGTCCTCTGAGTGACTGGTTGGTATCTCTTTTTAGGGCCTCATTTAAGTCTCCTGTGCCCCCCCTGGAGGAAGAAGACGAGGAGCTTGATGACACAAAAGTCTGCCTTGACGCCTGTAAGTTATCGGAGTGTGGAAAGTTGATGATAATCTGCTTTAATATCCGGATACAGTGTTTGAAATGTTTGGGTTTTTCTTTTGTTCTCCAGACAACAGCGACCTGCACTTTAAGGTGTCACGCGACCGATACAGTGCCTCATCTCTCACCATGGAGAGCTTTGCTTACCTGTGGTCCGGAGGCAAGGCAACATACGGTGTGAACAAGGGCAAGGCTTGCTTTGAGATGAAGGTACGTTTTCTGACACTTCAGTCAATCAATAAATTAGACTTAAAAATACAAGAAATTCAAATACCAAACCCCCATTCAACACATACAGCACTCACACACTCACACACACAGATGCACACTCAAAAGACCAGGTAAGGACTCTTCAACTTGTCACAGATGACTGAGGAAACGCTGGATCTAGGACTGAAACGATAAAACCATGATTAAAAACTCTCTTCCTCACTCAGAAAAAATGGCTGCCATCAGTGCACGCACATTCTATGGGAAGAGGAAAAGTACTGAAGCCCCACCCCTTTAATTAAAATTACAATTAAAAGACCTGGGGGCTCTACTAGGCAAACAAAAGGACCAAGACCATTAGAGCTTTAAAAACTTATAAAAGGAACCTAAAATCTACTGTAAAAGACACAGGAAGCCAATGGAGAGTCTTCGTAAATCTTAATTTTGTTTTGCTTTGTTTCCACAGATCACAGAGAAGATTCCTGTTAAGCACATTTCCAGCAAGAACATGGAGATCCATGACGTGCAGGTCGGCTGGTCCCTCGCCACTGGCACCCTTCTCCTTGGTAACTGTCTTTTTTTTAAAAACCGTACATCCAGAAAATGATTTAGAGAGCTGAGTGAAGATAATTAAAGTGGTTTTGGTGACCAAACCAGTCGAGACAATTGCTATGAAGGTCTGCTGGCGGTTTGGAGCTGAACTCCGGCTTCTCTGATTCCCCAGAAAGTCAGTCAGTCAGTCATAAGGTGTCCCCCTAGTGGTCGAAAAGCAGCATGACACGCTGATTTAAAATGGCTGCAGCTCTCCCGGCATCATAGTAATGGTGGCTGACTGGGCGCACACATGCATGAGTCACATCGTGTGGCTGAGTTTTGGCAGCGTGAGTTAGTTTTTTTTTTTTCTCTCAAAAACGATTTTCTATTTCTAAATGTTTTCTCATGTGCTTGAAGGCGAGGAGGAGCACTCTTATGCGTACTCTGGGAAAGGCAAGAAAACCTCCAACTGTGTGACCGAGGACTTTGGAGAAACCTACGAGGAGAACGACGTCATCTGCTGCCTTATTGTAAGATATTATGTCTTTTATTTTATATAAACATGAAGCCAACGTGATGATTCCGTGTGGGATAAGAACCAAAAATGAACAGTTTTCCATCTTCGATCTTTTCAGGACTTTGAGGATGAGGAGTTTGTGCTGTCCTTCGCCAAGAACGGCGGCGAACCGGCTGTTGCTTTCAAGGTCGCCAAGGACACCCTGAACGGCCAGGCTCTTTTCCCCCACGTCATCTGTCACAACTGTGCTGTCGAGTTCAACTTTGGCCAGATGGAGACTCCGTACTTCCCTCAGCCACAGGGCTACACCTTCCTGCAGCAGGTCCCTGTGGACGATCGAGTCCGGGGGCCTAAAGGGCCGCAGACCAAGGCTGACTGCGAGGTAAGAACGATTATTCGGATAAACCTGCTGAAAGTTGTGCTTTTAATGAATGTTCACTGTAAACGTAACCATTTATTTGTCTTTTCTGCAGATCATCGTGATGATTGGCCTGCCAGGTTCAGGGAAAACCACATGGGTGAAGGACCACGTCCAAGAGAACCCTGGGAAATACTACATCCTGGGCAGTGACACGATCGTGGAGAAGATGATGGTCAGTACTGAAACAGCCGGTGGATGTTTGATCTGGTTAAACTCAGTCTCACAGTCTCTGTTCGAGTCACTCTGATTGAATTTTCAGATTTTAATGTCGTTTATTTCATCGACAGATCAACAGTCTGAAGCGCCAGTCCAAGGACATCACAAAGCTCACTGCCATTTCCCAGAGAGCTCCTCTGTTCCTGGGAAAGTTCATCGAGATCGCTGCTCGTAAGAAGAGGAACTACATCCTCGATCATGTAAGTAATCAAAGTCTTCACAGCACTTTTCCAATATGACCAGCATGTCACTGTAAAATCAAACATTAGTATTTGTTTAATTGATCCGCCTTACTTCTCCTCTCCCTCAGACAAACCTTTCTGCCCCGGGCCAGAAGAGGAAGATGTGTTTGTTTGCTGGTTTCCAGCGTAAGGCTGTTGTGGTCTGCCCCTCTGATGAGGACTACAAGCAGAGGGTCCAGCAGAAGGTTGAAAGCGATGGCAAAGAAGTGCCTGAACACGCCATCCTGAAAATGAAAGGTACACAAAGATGTTTGTATTATAAAGTCTCATTTGCAGGATCTGTGTCACTCTTCTTGAATCTCATTTGTTTTTGTTTTTTCCGTTTGTCGCAGGTTTTTACTCCCTTCCTGAGGCTGGAGAGAGCTTCAATGAGGTCGTCTTCGCCGAGCTGCAGAAAGACGAGGCAGCCAAGCTTCTTGAGCAGTACAAAGAGGAAAGTAAGACGGCTCTGCCAGCTGAGAAGAAACCCAACCAGGGAAGCACAACACCAAAGAGAGGCGGCGGTCAGCGTGGTGGCCGCGGTGGCAAGAACCAGTTTGGACGTGGTGGTGGACCCGGACAGAGAGGCGGTGGCCGTGGAGGTTTCCAGAACAGAGGCAACTTCAGAGGAGGTAGGTGGCAGAAGCAGTAGAAGTGGAGAGTTGGAAGACATTTAAAGTCGTTTAAGTCCATCAAAACTTGACCCTCTCACCTGTCTGCAGCTCCTGGCCCCCGCGGCGGCTTCAACCGTCCACCTCGCGGCTTCATGCCTCCCCCAGCCTTCAGAGGAGGCTTCCCCAACCGCGGAAACTTCAACAGAGGGGGGCCCATCCCCAGCCTAGGCGGATCCCCCAGGGGTGGACCAATGAGGGGTGGCAACATGGGACCCAGAGGGGGCCACATGAACAGAGGCGGCCCCATGCACAGGGGGAACATGAACAGAGGAGGCGGAGGCAACATGAACCGCGGTGGAAACAGGGGACATCCCGGACAGGTGGGTGTAAAAACCTGGAGTGTTCATGAGGTTTCTGTGGGGTATGTTTGAATTTTGAATGATTATTCTGTTATTTTTTGACAGTTTCACCAGAGAGGTGGTAACCGTGGCAACTTCGGCCACAAAAATGGCAACTTTGGCAACAGGAATGGCATGGACAAGGCTCAAGCCTTCAACCAGAGCTGGCAGCAAGGGGTGAGTCGGAAGAGAGTGGAGCTCGTCTCTGTATATCTGACAGTAACATCACAGTTTTATAAAAAGATGATGTGTTTATTTAAAGTATCGGGTACATGCTGCCGTTAGGGTTTATACTCTGACAGTATCTGATGAGTTAAAGTCTGTCTCTGTTTTCTGTTCAGTTCTGGAACCAGAAGCCGTGGAGCCAGCAGTATCAGCCTGGATATTACTAAGACACTTGTTCTTACGGACTGGTGGCCCAAAGTGAGACCCACCACTAGCCACGGAACATCCCTCCACCCCTGCTTTCGATTTTCTCGTCATAGATATCCCAGTTTTAATAATCATAACGGCCCCTTAACTGACTATTCGCAGTGTTGAGCAACAACATTCCACATCAGAGAGGAGACCAGGCATCCTGAGTGTAATTGCGGCTTTATATATCTATTTACACATGTATGACGTGGGTTTAGTCTCATTCAGCCATCCATTAATTTTTTTGTTGTATATTTCATTATCTCTTTATTTTCCACCACTTTTAAAATGATGTGCTTTTAAATAGAATCTCATGTTTGTAATATCAGAAAGGAGAAACATTTTGAGAAACATACTTTGAGTTTTTTTTTTTTTCTTTTTTTAGAGTTGTGCATTTTATCTGTGCTGTGATTTTTGTTCTTGCTTTTTTTTATATAACAAATTGTAAATATTTTGGGGTTTTTTTGGCGTAGTTTCTATGCGAAATTTAAAGAAAAGAAAAAAACAGTTACGATTGAAAGCAACCTTGACCTGTTAGTGAGACGCATGGTTGGTGGTTATAACGTTAGACTGTACGTGTCAATATAGTCTACTGTCAATCAGTTAAACTGAATCAACAGATGAATGACAGCAAGCTTTTGTCTTTTGTTCCCAGTATCAAACTTGTAACCTTTACTCCATAGATCTACAATAAACAACTCATTGGACTTTTTTACATTCTCCCTGGCTTATGACTTTTGATTCAATTCAAAGGTGTGTAAATGACCTTTGAATGGGCGATGTCCCGTTTTCCTACTTCAAACAGTCAGGACAATAGTCCCTCTCCGAGCCCAAGTTTACACCTCATTGCCTAAGTATTCCCTTTAATCGTCCTGTCTTTGAAATGTCTTCGATATTTAAGCTATTCCAGTGCACACTGCTTCGAGAGGGTATTTTGGCCAAGCCATTTCAAGAATAAGAGTAAGCCATTTCAGCACTACTTCTGCCTTGAATTCATTTATCTATCAGATTAATTTATGTTAGAATTAGGGAGTAGACGACCCTTTACTCTCAGGGGATGTCTGGATTTTTGTCCTTTTTTTTGAGTGCAGTAGTCTTCTGAGAAAAAAAATGGCAAGCACTGACCAAATCCTACAAGTAAAACCCAGAACAATAATAGCATTTATTTAAAAATGTGTATAAATGCCATGATTTCAATTTTTATCAAATTTCTGATGATCTTAGAGGAGCACAAAAGCGATAGAAAGCGGGCAGGGTTGGTCATTTTCACCAGCAAATTTAAAGGGCTACACAGTGTCACGACATCAACATTAACACCGTGAGCAGTTCATGAAAAACCTGAGACTGACAGAAAAGAAGAGACGGGTGATTTTTTTTTCTCAACTCTTAAGGCACATCCTGTCAAGAAGCACTCCGAGCCTTCTTGTTGGTAACTGTGTGGCCCAGCAATAATGGCAGCTCCTCATCCAACTGCTTCTAACGTGGGTTACAACATGTCAGCGGCCTGTGTTTCAACTCTAAACATCATCAGAGCTGTAAAAAAACAAACTTATTACAGTAGATCAGACAAACGTGGTTGTGAATGTCCGATTTCTGCTTCGTTTTGACTGCCATTGTTTATATTTAAAAGACGTGTAAATATCTTACCACTATTTCAGCCATGCACGAATGTTCAGTAATGAATTGACTTTGAGTTTTAAGTGTATTGTGATAAAGAAAGTGTTAGTTTGCCCGAGTACTGCTGTGTAATGAATTGTCTACTTTATTGAACCGTCTGGAGAGTTTGTGCCCACTTGTTTTCTTGTACTGGACCCATAAATCTAGCTGAATGCAAACTTTGATTTTACAGTATAACCTATAAACAAACACTATATTTTTATCGCTTTCTGTTGCAGGTTGTATATCAGGTCTTTTATGAGTAAACCAACAATGCAAAAGCTTTTCTATCTTTTTGATATTTGTGTTTCAGATCTGGAGTTGTTTTTTTTTTTTTTTTAATTTGTCTCAACTCAATTAAAATAAAAGAAGCTGGTAAAGAGACTTTGTGGTTTTCAAACTTTACTTAATGATATGATTTCTTACCATCACATCTGAGACATTAATATTTATGCATGCTGAATAAATTAAGTAATTATATTTGTAATGATTTGCTGTAATGGGGACTAAACTTAAACACTCTTCAAGAATGGACTTTACCTGCCAAACTAGAGGCACATTGAAAAGCCTGTACTGTATTTTTTATTTGATAAGAAGTTTCACAGTTGAAATGAGAAGGGGTTTCTTTAGTGCCAAACACAGGCAGACCTGGCAGGAACGTAAACCCTAAACCACAACACCACAGGTGAGCCTGATCCTGTTTGTGTTTTTAGGCCTTTTGATTTATGGGGTGCATTTTGTAAAGCTGCGTATGTTGAAAATAACAGCGACATTTTGTCACATTTGGCTTCAGGAACTCACTTTTACGGTGGCTGAGAACCGCCACTGCTGCAAATAAAAAAGAATGCAAACAAAGGAGCTACAATGGAAGTTACCGATGCCAGAACAAAAAAGACACAGAAGCCTGCTGCAAATAAAAAAGAAATGGTGCGTATAAAAAAAGGAGTGGCAATGCAAAAAAAAAAAAGTTACCTACTGTGGAAATAAAATGATGCAAAAAAGAAAAAAAACAATGGAATTGAGCTGCCGGGGACCAATGATGATGATGCACCGGTGTTTTACTAGCCACAGAAGACTTCGGCTTTTTTTTTTCTTTTCTTTTTTTGCACCAGTAACTTCCGTTGTGGCTTTTTTAAATTTGTACTCTTTTTTTATTTGCAGCAGTGGTCCGTTCTCGGCCACCATACATTTTTTAGCACGTGTACAGCAAAATTGTGAACTTAAAAATATGCTAAATAGTAAAATCTAAGTATTTAATGTTGCACCTAAATTTTAAATCTAAATACTAAATCTAAACTTTAAATCTAAATTTTTCGGGTGAAACTAAATATTAAGCCAGTATGCAAATATTAAAATGCCGGTAACCGGAAGTGCCAAAATAAAAGCGGGAAGAGTTAAGACTTAGGAGTGTTCACACCTAGGAGTGTGAAATAACTCTTGGAAATTGACTGTGGACATAAATTACATTGATCATAACCACTTAAAATAACATACTTGTTTGGAGAGACTTTATCTGACGAGTACTTGTGTTCTTTGTGTCAATTTATTGTGGAACTTATGACCAACTTATGACTGATTTTTTATGTTCGAAGGCCTACAGGATGTTCTGCTGACATGTCGAATCGGCTGAGCCGTTTTGGTGGCCTTTTAAAGTTTTTCATCGGTGACCACAGACGACCTCGGTAAGTGTGTTTTCCATTTCACTAAGCAGAGAGTGGGCTACTTACCGTAATCGAGGCTAACCTAACTTCTTACCGAGGTCGTTTGAGGTTCTAAGGAACATGACAGGTCAGTCAGGTCATAAGTCCCACACCAAAGTGACGCTAAAAACTCAAGATACTCGTCAAATAAAGTCTCTCCAAACGTGTTTTGTTATTTTAGGTAGTTATTATCACTATTATCTATATCCAAGAGTGAATTTCTTCATAAAAGCCCGTTTTTTTATTAGCTCCTCTAGCTTTTATTTTGGTACTTCCGGTCACCGGCATTTTAAATTTGCATATTAGCTTGAAATTCAAAATGATTTAGCTTTAGCTTTAGCTTTAAACATTTAGCTTCATCCGAAACATTTAGATTCAACATTCAGGTTTTTATCTAATATTTAGATTTAGATTCAGTATTTAGATTAAACATTCAGGTTTAGCATTTAGAGTTAACATTTAACATTAGGTGCATCATTTAATATTTAGATAGATATCTAGTGCATTTCTAAGTTCACAATTATTGTTGTGCTAAATGTGCTAAAAAGTGAGTTCCTTGAGCTAAATGTGACAAAATGTCGCTGTTATTTTCAGCATGAGCAGCTTTACAAATGGCACCTAATACTAATTTCACCTCTCACCTTGTGGGTCCTTGTTGTGTCTAATCTTTGACTTTGAAATTAAAACAGAGATCCTGACCACAGCTCAAACTACATGTAAAGAAAACAGTTATTCCAGGCTGACATTAAGTTCTTCTGACCTGGATTTGAGCCCAGGAGGCAGGCTTCACCACTACACCACAAGTGAGCTGGGCTGTGCTTGCTTTTTAGGTGTTATAAAGTTAAAAACCACAGCTTATGAGAGATGTAAGATCAGATAGGATATAATTTCATGTTTTCATTTTTATATTGGAGTCAATGGGGAAAGATGGAGGCATTTTGAGGATACCTAGGCCAGCTGGTGTCCACTTACGCCAATGTGTGTGTCTGACTGCTTTGGTTTCTCAGTTTAGAGGATACATTTTCAGCCTCTCCAACTCAAAATGTGTTGAAAACATGGAATAACGCAGAGAGTATGGATGTTTGGAGGATGAATAATAATAAATTAGGGGTATGTTTAAGTAGTTAAGGCGCAGAAAAGGGTGGAATAATAATAGTTATAAGAACAGATATTGGGAACTGCTCTCACATTTCCACCCACAATCCATTTTCCCTCCAGACACACAACTGCTTGTCTTTGTCGAGGTAACATGTTTACCTCCATCAGTAGCATATTAGCGACTGACAAGACCCCCTACTCAGACAGCAAACAGTGCATTAGGCATGGGCCCTGATTACCAATGTTTGACCACTCTTAGGTGGATGTAAATGCATGAAGAGCCTATTCTAGCTGGATGTGAATTGACCTGTTACTCCGTGTGTTGCCTTGTAGCTCCATCCCTCTGTAAATAAAGCATTACAAGTGGGTTTGACCACCTCAGTCGACAACAGTTTGCCCTCCCTGTGACAAATGTTTGAAGTCATTAGGCAAATTATTTGCTCGGCTCTGGTTTCCTATAAGTGTAAATAAAGAGGTGAAAGAGGAGGCAGCTGTATGTCTGCATCTGAATGTGAGCGTGAATGTGAATTGGGCCGGGCAGCAGGGGAGAGGAAGACATCAGGGACATCAGGACTTTTTTTTTAGTGAAACAAAATATTTTATTTTTCCAAACATAAACTCATTCATTATATGTACAGCTCAAAATAACACTTTTTGGTACACATTTTGAGGCATTTCTGTAGATTCAACATGACAATACAAATTTGTATAAAAAGATATCAAAATTTACAAAATATATAAAAGTGCTTGCGGATGGAGATCGAGTTACAGGTGATCTCCCAGTGAAAGTCCATTTAAATAGAAAGTACTCGATTAAATATAGAAGACCCCAAACCTGATCAAACATCAGAGTAGTCCTGTAACACCCCCAGGATTACTTGATATTTTCATGGTTTCATACTAAAGAGAGATTGTCCATTGTGCACGAACACCTCTCCACAATCATGTTGGGGAATTCAGCAACTTCTATCTCAGTGTAGTCTCCCTTCTTCACCAGGTACATGATTGGCAAAGGGGCGCTTTCTGACACTGTACACCGCCTCTCCCCATAGCCGTAGTTGCGCTTTGGCTGTTTGCAGCCTCCAGTGCATCTGAAGGCCTGGTACCCGGCAGGCTCGATGATCCAGTACTGTGTCCATGTGAGGGCTCGGAAGTTGATGAAGTACTGTTCCCTGCAGCAGGTGTCCTTGTTCTGGTTGACATCACAGTCTCCACGAGAACTGGGGGGACAAAGAGGGAGAAGGTTAGAAAACTGCAGAAACAAAGGGGTCCAGAAGATACTTATGTGTGCTTTAAAACCCCAACAGTGGGAAAATGCTTGAGCTTTTTTGGAGACACCAGACAGTGATCTGCTGCCACAGTTCTCCTGAACATGTGAATGAGTTAACTGACGTCCTTGTGTCGCTCTACAAATCGACTGATGAATGCAAATGGTTGACAGGTAAAGGAAAAAAGGGGGAACGGACTAATTGTCACCCTGACACAATATCCTGTATATCAAAAGCTCGCGCCCTTACCCGTACTCTTCGAGGTTGAGTGTGTAGAGGATGAGCTCGGGCTTTCCCAAGGTGTTGTCTGTCTGCTCTTGGGTGGTAAAGCGCACACTCTTGGCCATCTCTGCCGCGTAGCTGCCAGGTCTCTCGCCCTCGATCCACACCTCCAGGTGCATAGGTGTCTTCTGCTGGCTCTTGGACCAATAGTGCACGGCCTGCGTCACATCAAAGCTCTTCCAGCCGGTCTCGTGAATGGGGATCAACCTGTGAGCGATAAGGGCGATTAATTAAACGGAGATGAAACGGAGAATAATATAATTTAACAGCCAGGGTCAATTAAGATGAACGTGTGACGCCTCAAAGTTTCCAAGAGACATTGAACCCTCACCGTGAATCGACAAGCGATGTCCGGTTAGATCCATTTGGTAGGACCTCCACCCAGTAGATGCTCACACGGGCATTGTTCACGGGTCTGTGGTTCTTCCTCTCCACGGCGAAGCGTTTGTGGAAGGAAGCCCGCTGGTAGAGCTTCAGCTCCGCCATGGTCACTTCGCTGTTATCCGGAATCCTCGCCTCCATGTCGAACACCATGCGATGCCTCGTCGTATCAGAATACACATACTCCCCGGAAATATCTGTATTTAAAAAACATATACAAGTTTTTGATTATGCTTTGTCCCTGGAGTGTCAGTTTGGTGCGTAAAACAGCCTTTTGCGCATTTACGCACAGTGCGCACAAACTTTATCTGCTTTTCTCCTGTTATAATTTGCATCGTGTTTCAAATTACATGCCAGGTGTTGAGAATAATCATGGTTCCATACCTGCATTTCCAGGGATTCCCCTCAGGATGCCCGCCAAACTGGGCAGAGATCTGCGTCTCCTGCTGTGGTGCATCTTCAGCATCGACAAGTACTTGTTTCTGATATGCGCCGGAATGACAAGATTCTCCAAATCCCTCTTATGGATTTTAGGAACTTCATCCAATCCGAGTTTCTGTAGCAACGCGTCCTTCATATCCTGATGCGTAAAAGCCTTGGCGAGTCCAAAGAGAGCAGTGCAAAGAAGACAAGCGCGGATGAAATCCATGATAGGAAGGTACGTGTGATAAACAGCAGCAGCAGCACGGTAGCACGGCTCACTCAGGGATAGACAGTGCCCCTCTGACACTCCTCCTGCCCCTTATATTGTTGCGGCCCTCCCAGTCGTTCGCACTTTGTCAATGGGGGCAGGGACCCTTATCAGAACAAAGGTGCGACCATACAGCCCCATCCCAAACAGGATATCTAAGTGGCCATACTTCAAACAGCAACAATTAGACTCGAGTGCCATCCGTATTGTGGTGTAATTTCAGCGTACCATCATTAGAGCTGTGCCTGAGGTTGTTGGTGGCCTGTGTTGCATTTGATAACAGAAACCAGGAACAATCTGCCCTATGGGTGTCAATAAATAATGAAATACAGATCAATAATAACTGTTAATCATTGGGAATTAATCGGTTTGATGTGCAACTTAAAGATTAGAGAGCTGCAAAGACCAGTCACCCCAAAAAGGAACAGGTTAATATTTGGCAAAGATGTGCCAGTTTAAAAAATAGGACTTAAACACACAGTAAAATTCATTTTAATTATAAGTTTCACATTTATAATCCATATCAGGTTTAAAAGTTTCGTGTTTAGTCTCATTCAAGCTTTGTTTGTATAGTTTGTGCTGAATCCTCTCCATGTCTAGACCCTTTAATTATTTCTTCCTCCAGAATTAAAAGCTTGTCTTCCTGGTCCACATGCATCCCAGACAGACATCTCTTGACCCTGTGAACCTCAAGTGCCCTCTCCTCAGTAGCACCCTTGTCTGCACACACACCCCACACTCCAGCGTGTACATTCCACTGAGCGATGTCAGGCTGGGACAGTCTGGCAACAGTCTGTCACACAGCCGCCTTATTTCTGTCTGCAGATTCTGAACCGGCAAAAGGTGGATCAGATCAGGACTGGAAACCAGACTGTTCATTGTGGGCACATGTGTATAGATCCAGGAGGAAGTCGGCGGAGCTCAATGGGAGGAGGGGGACTACGGGATTAGATGTTTATTCCGAGCCGTGTCACCCATTCTTGGCCCTCTCCAGCAGATTAAAATTATTAGCCAAACAGACAGTTAATCCAGGGGCCGGGGGGCCGGCGTGGATGTGGATTGGGGCAGGCTCTTCACAGGTTGGTGATTATCTGATTCCATTGCGAGGATTTGCCTTGCCTTTTTTGTCACACAAACATAAGAAGAGGGCAGCTCTCACTGGCTGCCCAGAGGGCCCTGCCTGTGGTTGTGTATTGGCCTGTGTTTGCTTAGAGATGTCAGACAGACTCAAGGAGCACACAGGAAGAGCAAATGACAGATGACTGCCAGACCTGCTCACTCCAGCTCCAGCCTACAAACAAGACAAATTATTAATTAGTGCTGTGGACCCACCGTGGATGGTACAAACGCTTTTCACGCTGGACTGAAACAGAATTTACAAAATGTTGCGTGCAATCAAACTCAATAAAAAGTGTGCATGGATTAAAGTTTGTAAGGATGACTGCACACTCACAACAAAAACAGTTAGGCAAGTTAACTTTTGCATTTTTATTTCAGCAAAAGCTGTGCATGATTGATCTGCAAGAATCTGTTGGACTAATAAAATGCATCCTTTTTAAACACTTGAGAGGAAAAAACTCAAATCTTTAACTTTAATTATCATCATCCTATTAAAATAATGACCATAATAATGACCATAAATCATCTCTTGAGATAAATCATCTCTTGAGATGATTTAGACATGATTTAGGCCAAAAACTCATCTAATTTTCATCAAAAAATGATTTACCTGCTCACTCCAGCTCCAGCCTACAAACAAGACAAATTATTAATTAGTGCTGTGGACCCTCCGAGGATGGTGCAAACCCTTCTCACACTGGACCAAAACAGAATTTACAAAATGTTTCATGCAGTTAAACTCAAGAAAAGGTGTGCATGGATTTAAGTTTGTTAAGATGACTGCACACTCACAGAAACAGTAAGACAAGTTAGGGGGCTTTTGCATTTTTATTTTAGTGAAAGTTTAGCATGATTGATCTGCAAGAAACGTTGAAATTAATGCGATAAAACTGTTGGACTTATAAAATGCATCCCTTTTTAAAACACTTGAGGGGAAAAAAAATCTCATCTTTTACTCTCATTATCGTCATCCTATTAAAATAATGACCATAAATCATCTCTTGAGATGATTCAGTCCAAAAACTCATTTTCATTTTAATAGGGTGACGTTATGAAACACAACAACTGTTAATCTTTTAATATTGACAGCATAGTCTTAATTCAAAATCCATCAGCATAAAAACACAGAAAAAGTGCCTTAAAGTCAGATTTTTATCTCCGATTTCTGGCCAGTTTTTACGTCTAACCAGGATAAAGGAAAAGACTTTATTATTGTTTATATTCTGGTGCACCCTAAAGGTAGTTTCAACAGCACCTTGTTTAGTGGACAAGAGTCTCAGAGATGTTTTTGGATCTTCAGACAGAATCACATACTAACGGATAAAAAGATGCAACATGTATTTCCAAAAAAGTAGATTTTGTCTGACTAAATTCCCCCCAAAAGCTCAAAGCCCGTCCCATCAAACTTGTCTATCAGAATCATGGCAGCAGACATGTAAATTCACAGCATATCCATTGTCCAGTCCAGCCAAAGGCCAAGTCTACCTGCCTGTTATCTTGGAAAGAGACCTTTTCTCCTCTTCGCCTCACATTACAACCCCTAATTCGGGAAATTAAGATTCCCTTTGTGTGACATTTCTCAGTCTTTCTTCCTTCCCATGCTACTCAAAGACAAGTTTCCTAGTTCAAAGCTACATCTGATGCTCCAAGGTGCCATTTCTTTTCAATCAAAGGCCAACAAGCTCCCACAATCAACAACTCAGGTGTTAATTAACATGCATGCATTTGCATTCAAAAGCAGTCCAATTTATAGGTCATTGCCTTCCATTTGTGCAACATGAAATCCCCTTTGCTTTGCAAGAATGCTGTTTGTAGAAGGCCCTGGAGAAATATGACACAATCTCTGAGAGTTGAGGAGGAAAAAGTTGGGCTGCTGTGGGTTTTTCACGATGTTTGCACGTTACACTAAACGTATCAGCATCTTATTTGGAGTCTCCCGTGGAAGAGGGCGGCTGCTCCAATAAGTCAATATTGGACTTGTGTTGGTGGTCAGCGTAAATTCCTCATTATGCACCAGCTTACTGATCTACAATTGTCCGCTTTATCTTAATATCAAATATTTGGGGGAATGTAACGCGCTGTTTTGCACCTTAATGGCTCTCACACAAACAATGTCTGCAGACGCGAGGTTCACTCCGAGTCCGGATTAGTCCATGCCAATAATCATCGATCAGTCTGTCAGAGAAGGAAAGCGCTAGACCTGTGCAGGGAAAACACGATTATTGCTCGATCGGCCTCCACATGTAGACGGAGTACAGGGCAGTCTAATTGCATTTCAGACGAGCAGTGACGGCTCAATCAGCGCAGAGACAGGGGCTTTAATCCCGGGGTAGACTTCAGCAAATGGGATCAGACATGATTAGATAGGACTCAAGAGAAATATTTTCATTAACTTGTAATTAATCGACACAGGGGAGACTCGAAGTGGACTATTTAGTGGGATGAATTTTGATGAGAATTGGCAAATATAAGAAATAAAACTTTATAAGCTCAACTTTTTCATCACAAATTAATAATTTAATGCAGACTATTCATGATCAAACTTCTGGAGTCTGAGCACCAAACTCTTAAAAAAGACCAAAATGTGAAGAAAATAAGACAATAGCTGTATTTCACCAATACTCTCCATTAAAGTCCTAATGCAAGGAGACACTGTGTACAGCAGAGGGCGCTGTAGTTACACACCAAACTGTTAAAAAAAAAAAGACAAAACATTCAGGGCAAGAAAGTCACACTTTTATCTTCAAACAGATGTCTCCTCAGGCCTAAGCAAGATTTGATTTTGGGGCCCTCTATGTCTGCCAATAATGTTGATTGTTGATCATTCACACACCTTCACAAATCTCCATGACATGCAAACATACCTTTATCTCAGCGTTTTTTCTCTTCCTCCTCTTTCTTTCTCGGCTCCTGAAGGATATGTCCTTTTTGCGAGACTGTTTTGCCCAAAAACTACCTGCTCTTTGGATGCTCAGTGCACATTTCACAGCAGGAGGAACATAACAGTAGCGGAGCAGTAAGAATCATAGGCCTACATCAGCAGCAGCACTAAAATGTTTTTACTTCATTTTATTTTATTTTATTTTTACAGTAATGTATGTTTGATCATACAGAAAGCATCACTCATACATGCAAAAAAAAAATATATATATATATATTTTTGTTTTTAATTGCTCTTGGAGGCCCCCCATTGGCCGCGAGGCCCTAAACAGGCGCTTAGTTCGCTTATGCCTTAGTTCGCTCTGCCTCAGGCATAGCAGCTCGAGCTACGGTGGCCCTGAAGGACAAATGTATACATAAAGAATTTTTTTTTCATAGTTTTTTATCTTCTTTTTTCCTCTTTTTGTTAATTTGTTGTGTTATGTGAATTGTTTTAGTTTTTTATAATGGCCTTGTTGTATTTTATAAATGTTGTGCATACCTCAAATGCTTTATGAAATGGTTTTTCAATTCATTATTAAATTAATATATATTTGACCCTACATTAAAGCCTGACCAGGGACAAAGACTGCAAATTAGCTGAAGCTAGACGTCTTATATACATCGCATTTTTCATTTCTTGTGGCAATGTTCGTATGCATTGTCCCTGTTAAATAAACATAAAAATACATAAATAAATATATAAATATAAATTTGCATTAAGTGCAGTGTAATTGTAGATGAAAGGTTTGTGCATTTGACCTTTAGGGCAATTGAACCTGTCTTAATTTAACCTTAGTCGTCCCTCTGCATTCACCGACTGAGTCTTTTATTAATCAATGTTTCAGTAACATTAAGATCACAGTTTTAGCGAGTTTACAGTGATTTAAAAGGAGAGCACACCCATATTAATTCATTAGGCTGATGATAAGCTCTGTGATTAGAACTATTTAACCCACCCACAGTGATTAACAACGGCTAAATGATAAGTGCACAATCAAAACTGAATGAAAGGAAGATTAATCCCAGAAAAAAGGAGCACCAAACATCAAAGTAAGGCTGCTTTAGAACAATACAGCTGATACTTTACGGTATTTATAAGCTTTGATTTCCTGATTTCTGCATGAATGTTACATTTTCAGTTAACCTGACGCCGTTGAATCAAACACTTTTAATAAAATCTGAAAAAAAGAGGGTGAACTGAACTTGTATTGTGTTGTGTTGCTGGCATATTCTTATCCATAACATATGTGCAAGTGAGACGGTCAATCATCACACAGCGGTTGCACATTTCAGAATATATAAACCGTCGTTCGTCTGTTTCTGATAAACGTCCAGGCTGGAGGAGAATGCTTCAAATACACTCAACAAAATCAGCTTTATTGGACACATCTTGCACCCTGATTTGTTCTGTGTGTGTGCACTAATTTCATCACAGAGCTCCTTTGTGCACATCAGGAAAAAAAGTCAATTTTTTATGAGTAGAGATGTCAATGTTTTTACGTTGTTCTTTGATGGTGTGTGGCTCACAGACACACAAACACAAAAGCTGCTTTCTTAGACCCCCGTGGACTGAGCTGCACCGTGGGCCGTTAATCATTAATAGTTGTAGTTTCAGCAGCGATAAGCACCTCACTTCAGAAGGACGGGCCACTTCACAGCAAAAGATGATAGTTTGGGGGAACAAGCTCAGAGTAAGTAGCCTAACTGGACATGATAGATGGTAGTTTGGCTAATTTCACAGTTTTTATAACTGTGTATTTGTATATTTTATCCCTACAGATCTCAAAGTCAAGAGAAAAATCAAGTCTAATACACCTTTTTGTTTGTCTTAAAGAGTTTTAACGGTTCAAGTTTGCCGAAAATCCTTGACAAACTTCTCACACCTTGATGCTGACTTGTAGTAAATGTGCCTTTGAATACTGTAAATGTATTCGACCCTTTGACAAATGCTGGAATGACTTAAAAATATATCTGGATAACTTCTCACAGATAACTAGATGAGTACTGTCAACGGTGTGATGGTGTTGGTTGTAGAACATCTGCAGGAGTAGCTGTTATTATTAATTATTTTATCCTTTCATTTTTTAACATTAATATTTTTAATATATTATTATTATTGTCCTTTTAAATATTTACCTTAATAATTTCATTTCTTTTATATTATTATTATTATTATTATTATTATTATTATTATTTATTATTATTATTATTATTATTATTATTATTATTATTATTTAATTAATTTACATTTATATTTTCTTCTATATTATTATTTATATTATTATTTTCATTGTTACTATTTTTAGGGATGAAGGTAAGAATTGGCCTTTGGGTTTTGTTATGGAAGGGTGGTTGGTTTGGGTGAAACTTGTAGTTCTACTGTTGTTGTTGAAGTTGTAAACTGTTTTTGAAAAAAAAATGTTAATGAATAAATTGTTTTAAAAAATGTATTTGACCCTAAAAAGCAAATGTCTTCGGGATTACACTCCATGTTAGAGCATGTTAGCATCACTACTCTGATCCAGGATTTTCCATTTTCATCTCTCACTTGCAGCCAGTTCACCCTGTGTGTGTATGGGATAATATTAAGAGTATCTTACTTTAATGCAACATACATAAAAACACAGGCCTACCATTATGACCATGTGCACTAAAGGTTGTGTGAAAGTGTCCCTCTGCAGCTACCATCAGGTGCTGCTGCTGCTTAAATTGCATTGACGCAGAACCCTCCTTTGCATGGATAAGTGTTGTGCAGGTCGTTGAAGTCACAGCAGTTAGTGTTGTTTAAAACAAGAGAAAAAGTGTGCCCTCTGCACCACGTCACCAGCACACTGACAGACAGACAGCTCGCAGTTTCCATTCACAATATTGACAGCCCCCACCTCCACCACCACCACCAAATCCCCCACCCCTTCCGCACAGCAGATGCTGTGACGGGCGCCATGATGATGATCTGGGATTTTGCCTGCAGCAGCAGCAACCAGAGACGGTAGAATGTGCTGAGATGGGCCGCCTGCAGTAAAGTTATGGATGGAAACGGGCTATGGAAGGACAAAGATGGCCGAGGAGTCAGCCATACACGCATGCGCTGACATCACAGGACACAAGATATTTATTATAATATATATTTTTTATATCATCAACATCAAAAGTAAACTAAAAACAAACAAACATAACAAGTGAGAATGTTGAAAACAACAATAACAACAGGGGAGAGTGGGGTAGGATGAGCCATTTTTCACATTTCGGATCACTATATCAAAGTAATCTTAGTTTTATCTCTTACTAGTGTATCTGCATATATTTCAAGATGCTGTTCATCCCTGCAAACCAACAGAATGAGTGTAAACACAACTGTCTTGATTATAAAGCATGACAAAAAAAAGTGGTCTCCTAAGGTCAACTTACCCCGTGTATGGAGGTAAATAACAGCCACTTCTTCACATGCATGTGTATTTTTATTGTTTATATGCTATTTAACAGGCACAATAATTCATTTTAATTATTATTATTGCATATAACTGCTAAAAAGCTGTTTTGTAAGTCATTTTAACACGAGAATGTCTTTAAGTGATTCAGAACATTCACAGCTGTATTTTTGAAAAGAAAAAAAATAAATCTGAACTGAAACTCTGATCCTCTCAGAATCAGAAATACTTAAATAATAGTGCCCAGAGGGGAATTGCTTTCGTTACAGTACTCCAGTGCAAATACAGGAAAAGAGGCGATAAATAATAGATAAAATTAAAGATAAAATAAGTTAAAATATAGAGATAATATACAAGTATTTACACTATAAACAACACAAATAGTGACATTGTATGCATTCTTATCAGACTTCTTTACTTTCTCAGTTACCCTAGAACTACTATGATGACTTCTAATCTAAACTGGTGGACTTTTATGTTAGGTTTTGAACTCATTGGAGCTCATAGATACCATAATTGATGTATAAAACTATTAAAAAATGATCTTTTTTGGTCTGAACACAATTCTAATCAAATTTAAGACAGACTAAATTCACTTCCAGGAGTGAAAAATGTCTAACCCCTTCAGCCATGTGCTTCTTACCTTCACAGACTCCATGAATTGATGCCCGTCTCCTAAATATTTGGTCACATTAACAATTTCTTTTACAGTTTCCAAGCAACTGAGGGTGGCTCAACCTATCCCAGTCTTCCCTATTTATAAAAATATCTCTTTAAAAGTATGACGCTACAACTAAAACATTCTTTATTATTGAAGAAACTATCTTAATAAGCGTTATAACTCAGTTAATCGACATGTAAATGCACCGTTTGGAGGTTAGCATCCATTTGTATCCCATTCATGTTTTACAGTTGAATCCCTCTTCCCAGAATCCAGCGCGACGTTACCGATGGTGTTGTTCGTTGTGTCATCTCCGCTGTGGAGAGTCTCTGTCATCAAGCTGCTGGTAGCTTGACTGTGCAAAGACGGCGAGAAGCGACCGACCGGCGGGGGAGGCAGGCAAAGCAAAGGAAAGGAAAGGACAGGGGGGGGAATTTAGGTTGTGTCCCGTATTTGGAATAAGCAAGACAGGACGTGAAACGGGCTACTCTTTAACCTTCAAGAGAAAAAGAAAGAAAACGGACCTGCATTTTTCACTGCTAACTTGTGTGGAAGTCCTGAACTAACTGAAGAAACTACAGAGACATTTCCAGGACGGAGAATGGGATTTAAAGAACATATCTGAGAAAACAAGGGAATTATTTTTCCACTTGGAGGAAAAGCATCCACTCAGAATAAGTTACGCTCTTTTATTTAACGCAGTTCTTGTTCATTTTCGCCTTTTTTCCACTCCGGGGATCAGCGATGGCTTCGAGGAGCCACGAAAAGTAACGTTTACGTTAGCTCGGCGGCGGTTAGCTGGAAAAGCTAACCTTAGTTAGCACGGCTGCTAACTAAGCCTGTGTCGCCCTTCCATTCCTGGAGCAGAGGAGGGGCACCGGGGCTTTGTAGCATTGCAGATCTGCCTTGCATTTTTTTTGTGGGTTCCTGCTGCAAGAAATGGAGGATCCCAAAACAACTCAGGGGGATTTTCTGATTGATTTTCGATTTTAAAGCCCGAAAAGCTGCCAAGCTAACATCTGAATTCCATCATTATCAGCCGGCCCGGGGCAACCAGGGTCTGGAGAATTGGGACTAACGTTACTTCATTTCGTCTATGCCCCCCTTAGGGAGAGGTTTTTATAAAATGAGGGGGTTTTATCCACCTCTTGGATACTGGATCTCCGAGTAGACAATCATGAACAGCTCGATTTTCAGCTTCAGTTTGCCCTAAAGTTGAAGTTTTATTATTTTCTACATACATTCAAGGTGAGAGAACTTCTCTACAGGCCCCTCTGCGCCAGCTTGAAAAAAACAAACCAAGGAGGTGTTTTTTTTTTATTCATTTCCACCATTAGTTCAAAAAGCCAATAATCGGGAATAATCATGTCTGGAGAGGTTCGTTTGAAGAAGCTGGAGAAGCTGATCCTGGACGGGCCAGCTCAGGCTAATAGTCAGTGTCTGAGTGTGGAGACCCTGCTGGATATCCTGGTGTGTCTCTACGATGAGTGCAACAACTCCCCGCTCAGAAGAGAGAAGAATATCACCGAGTTTTTGGACTGGGGTGAGTTAAACTTGTCTTTTTTAAAGGTAGGATAATAAGGTTGTAATGTTGGTGGTGGTGGTGCAGTGGCCCTCCCTTCCCCTCACATTCCTTTTATAGTAGTAGTGGGGCTCAGTTGGCCTGCTCTGCTCTCACTCAAACACTCCCTTTAAAACTAGAAGTATAGAGATTTTAGTCCTCTGTAGTCAAACCTGACATAAATCAAACATGAGACATGTCTAATTACTGTAAACAGATTAATCAAGTTGACTATAATGACAGAACAAATGAGGGAACTCTACTTACTGTTTACATTCATGCTACTTTTGTATTTTTTGTGTACATACTTGTATATTATCTCTTCATTTTTACTTATTTTATCTTTTATTTATCTCCTCTTTCTACTTATTTGCACTGGAGTTACTGTGACAAAAAGCAATGGGTATTGTTAAGGTATTTCTGATTCTAAAATCACTTAAAGATCTCCAAAAATGACCTCTGTCGTCAAACCAAACACAAATCAAACATGAGACATGTCTAATTACTGTAAACAGACGCATTGAGTTGACTATAATGAGAGAACAAATGAGGGAACTCTACTTACTGCTTACATGCATGCTACTTGACTATTCTTTGTGTACATACTTGTATATTTATCTCTTTATTTTTACATAACTATTTCTATGTTTTTTTCTTGTTTTTACTTATTTTATTTATTTATCTCATTATTTTTTACTTATTTTTACTTTATTTTTATCCATATTTTATCTCCTTATTCTGCACTGGAGTTATTGTGTCAAAAAGCAATTTTCTCCCTGGAGATTATTAAAGTATTTCTGATTTTAAAAACACTTAAAGATCTCCAAAAGGTTCACTTTTTATGTAAATCCAAAATTACTGGGCATTTTTTAGTTGCTTATTTGGGCTTGAGATGAACTGATCCATTTTTTTCGATCCATTCTGATACCGATACCCGGTCTGAGTGTATCGGCCCATATTTGATACTGATCCTATAGACCAGACCTGGGCATTTTATGGCCCAAGGGCCAAATCCGGCCCCTTGGATGTCCCTGCCTGGCATTTCGTGAAGTCCGTCCATCAAATCATCAACATGCTATACAAGTGTGTTGCTTTTATTTTGAAAACCTAGCTGTTGTTTTATTTCCATTTGGACACACTTGCAAATGTAAGATCAGTGCATCCCTAATTTTTACTTTTCTTATTTGATCTATTATTTATCTCCTCTTTCTGCTTATTTGCACTGGAGTTACTGTGACAAAAAGCAGTTTCCCCCTGGGGATTATGAAGGTATTTCTGATTCCGAAATCACTTAAAGATTTTTTAATATAAATCCAGGAATGATCTAATGAAGATGCACCAGGATCACCCAAACCATCATTTAATCTTATGGAAATGCACTCAAAGTAGCTGCCTCTCTGTCAGCCTCAGCTTAAACGACCTTTGCATGCCGGTTTGTTTTCCTTTTTCTGGGTGTGTTGGAGAAAGCTTGTTGATATCTCACCTCCTTCTCTCTCTCTTTCTCTTATCAGATAGTCATTGTTATGAAGAATAGTTGCCATTGCAGCAGAAAGATCCGAGTTGAGCACCCTCTATAGTTCACTCAAGATCTGATAAGTTGATTAATAATCAGGAAGAGGGATCGTGGAGATAAACGTTGTTTTGTAACTTTCCCTGGTCGCTTTTTTAGAGCGAGGTTAGAAAAAAAAAACAACACACAGGAGGCAAAAGGACCACACACACATGTACACACACACACTATCACAAACAACTCAATCACTTGTGCAGAAGGATTGTGTGTGTGTGTGTGTACGTGTGTGACACCAGGGGTTTGGTTTGTGCATGAAGCAGGAATGTGAACAACTCACCTTTTTTATCTGGCGCAGAGGCCTAGCTAGCTGCTGGAGCATGCCTGGCTGGCCTGCTTGTCTTTTAAAAGCCCCGATTGAAGAAGAAGAAGAAGTGCTGCAGCAGTTTGGAGTCAGCAAGGAGACAAATTAATAATACAGAAGGCATTAAGAAGGCAAAGTGTAAAGGGAAGGGAGCAGAGTTTGGAGGATCTTTTCAGCATGTTTTTTGATTTTTCCAAACAAGTGTCAAAGGTGGGGTAGTCAGGATCTGATTAAGTTTTCGGGAGAAATCTTGAATGTAAACTCGACCCCTCCCAACCAGTTTTTCCCCTCAGTTCCTCCTCGCCCCTCCATCTCTGCTCCAACAAGCCCCGCCCACAAATACGCTCGCTCTTATCGTTCCAATTAAATTCAGATATAATGCAGATAAATACTTCAGATAATTACAAATGGGGTCCAGTCAACGTGAAAGTAAAAAGTATTGGTGCAACTGTAGATGCCAACAGACTACCAGCAAACACAGTGTTTGCAGGACTTCTACAACGAGGATAAAGTGACATAGTCCAGGACCCGAGGACAACAGTTCAGCGGCGCTACAACACGCTTGTTGACCCAGCTATTTAGCTCCTGCTACCTCCGTTTTAAGCGTCCGTTATTCTGCCAGAGTCTCCAGACAATTCAGACAATTTTCCGAACTTTCTGGTTGGTTTCTGCTGTCCGATATTGTAGCACGCTAACTTTGTTTGGGCTCCTGAATGACACGGGGGAGCAGCGTCTGCCTCACAACCAATCAGGTCGGGGAGGTGGAGAACGGCTTTGTTTACAGTCAGAAAGAGCGGGCCGCTCAACAATTTAAAATGTTGACTACTCAGACATAAGAGAACACAGTGATAACATTATATTACCAAATGTCATCAATAACTAATAGCTATTGACTGATATTAAAAGCTTTTTTGTATATAAACCACAAAAAAAAAGATTCCTGCCTACCCCGTTAAAGGGGCAGCCGCTACTGGTATTAGGGCAGCAGTGTCAGACAGGATGGTGGTGAAATCACTGAAATGGTGGTAAATTTTAGCTGCAGCTGTTAAGTCCCACAAGCCACAATCTGGATAATCCATTCTTTGCTCAAATATGTACAAATCCTGTCTGTAAAACTAACCAAAGCAGCAGGATTGGGCGATAAATCTGTCATCAAAGGGACAGACGAAAACTTTCCTGCTCGATTTGAAGTCAAACACTCATATTTGTTTCTGATTTTCACTCTTCCTCTTAGAGCTCCCTGCAGCTCTCTTACATCTCGAGGTGCCCTGTTTCGGGTGCCAAGTTGTGACTTCATCCTGACATTTCCCTGTGTTGACACGACAAACTTTCTGACTGAGCTCACCCAGACACAACACACAACGTGCAGATGTAACCGCCGCGCCGTCACAGTCGCCGTGTTCTCGCTCGTTACTGTGTTCGACTCCCGGGGGGATTTGCATGAGAATCCTCCGGTCCTCTTCAGTTATAATCAGTTAATTGAATTAAGCCAGAGTGTTTATACACATAAGTCAGTGGAGCTGAAGTTTAAAAGAAATGAAATGAGTTGTTTATCCTAGTCAGTTAGCCCTCGTTTAGGAGCCCCGAGGGAGTTTTTTTTGCATTGTGTCTGCTGTTGCGTCGCTCTGAAAGAACAATAACAAACATCAGAGAGAGGCATATATTAAAACGGAAGGTTCATCCCTGTCCCCGAGAAACTAGTCGACTGTGAAAACAGGAGTTTACTTTGATGTGTAGAGCTGGGAACAGTTTAAATTTGTATAAGTAGCTTAAAGGAAGACAGAAATACAGAGTCTGAGCAGCACAGTCTGAATTGATAAACCGTGGTGTCTCTTTTGCCTCCTTGGTTTGTAGAAATTGGGGATATTTAGTAAAACCTAATGCTTATATTTTTGATGATGCACCCTTTTATCAGGGAAATGATGGTGGCCTATAAGGACAAATAAGGTAGTTCTTCTGCCTTAGCGTCTCAGTCTGATTACATTTCCATGAAGAAATGATCATAAATGTTCTTCCTCGAGCTGCGTCACCCCACTGTAGTTCATGATGGACTGGCCTGAGGTCTCGCTACAAACAAGTGGCTGCTGGAAGAGAGTAGGTGAGTTGTATTAAGTCTCTTGGCTAAAGTTAAAAAGATGTTTGGTGGCTAGTACTATGGCTAGTACCCTATATGTACTGTTGATGAAGTTAGGTGCTGTTCTGAGCATTATTTGTGGCTATAGAGTGGCGTTTTGGTTGAGGTTTGTTTATGGCTCCTCAGACCGCTGTGTATTGCTATCCTGCGGTCGTTACTTAAGTTGGTATAACTAGAGAAGCAAGCGGTCGGCAACATTCATCTCTCGAGGGGGGTTTAACTCGATGTTACAGTGTGTTTGACCCTAAATTAGTTTTACGCTGGAATATCCTTTTAACATTACTCACTGTGCCTTTAATGTGCCATTAGAAAACCTGGTTAGAATATTGTTTAAACTCTAGCTGGAGAGATGCAGTCAGTGCTTCTTAGCAAGATGATGCAGCAGCTTAGAGGTCGGCTGCAGCCATTTATTATCATTATTAGTTTATGATGATGATGATAAAGGAAGGATGAAGGACGAGACGTCTGCTGATTCATTTAGACACCGCATCAATCTGAAAGGATGTCGTATGAAGAACGGTGATGTTCACTGTGTGGGATTTTGTCTGTGGCTTTTACGTGCTTCAACGTTACCCATGAAAATAAAACACTGAGCCACAGAAATACTGAGCTGACAGTCGTAATAACCCGACTCGTGGTTCAGCGATGGGATAATGCACGTCTGCTTGACAGTCCACCACACCTTATTGGTGCAGCTGTCAATAAAAAAAGATGCTTAAATGGAGATCAAGTCTTATCCTGTTCTTCAAAGATTTCTCTAAAGTGTCACCACTCCCATGTTTTCAGGATAATCAGCTATACAGTCAAAGGAAAAATGCACACCTGCTGCTGCACATGCAACACCTTTTGAGGAATTTAGACATGAGAAGTTGTATAGTTATTACAGCTACTTTTTTAATCCTAGTGTGAACAAATACTCAGTTAATTCCTACACACAAAACGACGAGGTTTAAGATGGGCGCATGAAACCTAAGACCTCCTCCTCAGCTTTAAAAGCCCCTCAGAGGCGACCTCTGCAGCTGCACTCTGCCCTGACAGGAAGAGTCAGCGCGGCTTGCTTACCCAGGCCCTGTGTTCCTTATTGCTGCAGCGAGCCGGTGCAGCAGCGCTCCCTTTTCTTCTCAAGAATGTACATGAGCCGGAGAAGAAACAAATGTTTGGATTGGGGTAGCGTTTCTTCTTGTTTGGTGACCTCATTTCAGCTGAAATGGAGACCCCTACATGACCTGAAGCCACATGGGAAACGAACACGGGAAAGTACGCTGTAGCCTGACTCCCTCGCCTAACAACCTGGTTTATGAAATATATCTTTGTGTCTGTTGACATCCTAATATTGTATGATATATTTATATTTTTTAAATGACATAATCTCAGTGTTTCTTTACTGTTTATTTACTGCAAACACTGAAGGAGAGGAGACAGACAGATTGGGCAGAGTCAGACTTTTACACCGTCATTCTGTTGTTCCCCCCTGATCTCCCGCCCTGTTTTGGGGAACTGATCGCCTGGCAGCTGCAAACGGGCCGCCGTGCCAGCCCACAGTAAGCAAACATGGAGGAGGCAGTCTGACCTTTTCTGCATCCAGACTCGGCGTTAGCCTGCAGTGGCCAGCTGTTCAGCTGCAGCTGATGTGAGCTCCACCCTGCAAGGCTTTGGTTGGCAGCATGCCTCACACACTACTCGCCGTGGAGACTTGCACACACACACACACACACACAATTATTATTGTGGTTTTGTCTAACAAGGCTATCTGATAGTTCAAAGACTGAAGTTCATCCTTGTTAATACCGTCACTGAAAAGGCTTTAAGTGCCGACATTGTCAGAAGAACCTGAATCCAAAAAAAAAAAGATTTTGTGTCGTTTGGTTTTAAATTCTGCTCAGCCAGCTCCACCCCGCCAAGAACAAACAAGACTGTATGCAAGGCTAGCATTTTCACCGTTTGGCTTCATATACATTGTGCGTGCTTGCAGACTTTGATCAGCCCCTCACTATACTTAGACGGGGTAAAGTGGGCAGAAAATGCCCCGTAGTTAACATTTTGGTGGTTGTTAAAAAAAGAATGGAGAGTTGATAGTGAGGATGAGGAGTTAACGGTGCAGTCGTGTTGGGCGGTATGAACAAAATCTGATATCATGGTATGAGTAATTTCATATTACGGTAACTGTATATATCACAGTATGTTTTTTGCCTCCTGTAAATTAAATTAATGGCTTCAAAATAAGCATACTGTCGCATTTGTTCATTTTCCTTGGATTTTTATACAAATGCAAACAAAATTCCAGACCAGTTTGGCGATTTTCTATCATATGTTGTACCTTTGGCGAAAGACTCTGCCAAGCACTTTTGTATGAGAGGAGCTGCTGCAGCTTTAGTTGTTGCAGCGGGTGCGTCACGCATCTTTTGGGTCCCATAATAGAGCTTGGCGTGTTTCATCTAGTGGCAGAAGAGGATCATTGTCAGATTTTCTAAACCCGAAGGATCTTCCGACAACTGATATCGCGGCTCGGTTCCTCCTCTTCTTCCTCGTGTTGGGTGGGTTGGGCTGCCTCCATTTGCTTAGTACTGACACTGATCTCCGCGTTTGCCGTGACCACCACCAGTGAAGCTGTTTCTTCTTCGTCGAAACTTTACCAAGCAGTCTGCTGGACACGCTGGTGATTATAGGGTGCGCACCCAAACCCGACCAATCAAACGGAGCAAACAATCTTCACACGCTGGTGAATATACGGAAACGCACCCTGATGTGCTCCGGCTTTCCTGTTAGCGAGTGCAGACAACTACACACTGACTCAGAGAGATGCAGCAGATATCTACCAGTAGACACTTTTATACCGTCACACAGTATATACCGTCATACCGCCCAACTCTACGGTGCAGACTGGGTGCTGTTAGATATAGAGTCTGAACCGATTTCAGCCTGTGTCAGCAGGGAAGTCAGTGATCTGAATCTTTAATATCTATGATGTCAACAATAGTCAGAAACTTTGAAATTCTCCGCCTGCTGGATTTCATCACAACATCCTCGCCACCTCTCTGATTGTTCTGCCGTTTCCTGTTTGGCTGTCCGGTGGCGGGCACATAGAACAGGAAGGAACCGCAAGGACTCAGTGAGTGAGTGAGTGAGCGAGTCCGGACCCAACGGGTACATGATGTCATAGGAGGAAATGGGACAGCTGTATCTCATTGTGTTGTTGTGTACTCTGCGGCTCACTGGGATCCAGTATTTTAGGGTTGTCAGGAAGGTGCAAGGCCACAAACATGTTTTCTTTTTTTTTTTGCTCGTGGATTTCTTTTTTTTCACACCCACTTACATACTGTCTGTTTGCTCACTCGAACACTCACGACTCTTTACAGCGTTTCTATTGTCCTGAATGGACTCACAAACAGTCAGATAAAGCAGAGGGGCCCATGTCTCTCTCTGATCGACAGAGAGGTCCCTCAGAAACAGACAATTCCTAAGTAGTTTATTGACGATAGCCTGGATCGGTTAATCGGTGTTAGTTTAGAGTGCAATGCTGCAGGAGTAGTTGGATATTTTCCTGTGTCATGTGTGAAATTGTGCACGACATTTCAGCGTCCGTGTATTCAGCAGATAACCTTTAAAATCACTTATTCTGGAGCCTCTGAGGGCGGAGAAATGCACGCTGCTAATTGTGATGTGTCATCAGAAAGCGGCAGGGGAAGGCCCGGCATCCTTTCCCCCGTCTCCCAGAGGACACCATGCAGCTCAGGTCATTAGCCATCCTTTCAGGACCCTCGGGATCTGACTGCAAATGGCCTCTCCCCCCTTTCCCCCTTCGTCTTTTCTTTACCTTCACTTCTTCTCATCCTCCTGCTTCTTTCGGGGTTTGTTTGACCTCTCCGCTCAGCTGTCTGTCCATCTCTACAGCCGAGTTAAAAACAGAGATGAAGCTGCTTTTGGTTTATTCGTTTCTTCTGCAGCCTTTTCAAAAATAAGTCTGTAGGATGTAGTTATTTTGGCACAAAGCACACTGTATTATTCTTGCATAAGTACGAGTTATATCATTTTCCAGCTTGTTAGAAATCAGGATGACTTATATATAGTTCACAGTCATTTGCAGCTACACACTGAGTCATGGTTTTTACTTTAGTTATGCTGGTGATAATATCAAGCGAGATGAGTTTGACCTTAGAAAATTACAAGTGCTCCTTCAAACACATTAAATCACCTGTGAGCGTGCTGTTCTGTTCATACTGAAGGAACAATATTGGTCTGCTCCCTCTAATGACTCTTCGGGGCAGAAGAGCAATTAGCAAGTCTTCCTTATTGTCTGCCAGCTACGTCTACAACAGCACACACAGGAACGCCACAGACAGAGCAACATTGTTTTCTCACAAGATTTTTTTTTTTATGTTGCCAAAGGGTGAATTTGGGAAAGCTGCTCGCCCCCCTCCTCCTCCTCCTCCTCCTCCGCCGCTTCAGTCCAAATGATCCCTCAGCCAATTGGCGAAGGCACTCGCCCGCATAGTTTTGTCTCTTCCCATACTCGCTGAAACGGGAGTGTGTGTCAGTGAATGGAGTTTATGCACACTGGTGTCACTGGACAAGATGTTAGGATAAACTTACACAGCAATTGGAGGTTTATTTCTTTTAGTGCCTGATCACCTCTAGCAGGCTAACCACTGAGTATATAGGATGCTATGTCTCATTAGCTGACTACATAAAGTTCTGTAGTATAAGGTGACCAGATTTCTGGAATAAAATTCAGGGACAAATTTGGATGATGTGTGTGTGGATTTATTGGCTTGGTAGCCCCTCATAAGAACTATTGTTTAGGACTTAGCGCTACATGCTAATGCTGCGTTCAAGTTGCTTCGGAAGTCAGATGTCGGAGCTGAAAATGACGTCACACCCAAGTTTTCAGCGTTTCAGTTACCAAGTTGGAAAAAGCAAAATGGGAGGCCTGAAACAAGATGGCTACATCTACGAAAGTTGTTTTAGCGCTTGCCTTGTCCAAATATGAGGCAAGCGCTAAAATATCTTTTGTAAATGTAGCCATCGTCTGTCTCCTAACCCGACAGACGATGACGTTTCACAGCCATTAGGAATAACCAATCGGAGCCCAGCACTTCTAGCCAATCAGAGGTGAAGGAGGCGGGACCTTCCCCTACCATCTTATGACAAAACATTCTGCCCCCCCATAATAACTCTTGTGTCGGACTTTGCGCTACATGCTAACTTGCGCTTCCTACCTGCCCGGCTACTGTAATAATCATTGTTCTAGACAACATGCAACGTTTTTTCGTCATTCATGAAACGCCAAAATCTGGGACATATCCGGGGATAGCTTTATCTGGGGTCAAGTCATCCAAAACAGGTACTGTCCCTGGAAATCAGGGACGTCTGGTCACCCTACTGCAGTGTTGCGATAAGGTGGTAATAACTCTATTATAGCGTAGATAAACTTGTCTTTGCTTGTTGAAAATAAAATTCTGATTACAAATCATCGTCATTATGCATTTTTAGTTAACATAATCTATCATGGCGCTCAGTTTGCAGCCAGGAAAATCCTCTTCTCTACCTCCAGTTGATGACATCTTTCATAAAGATGCGCTTTGACAACCTGGGATTATCGCTGTTATAGGACTTAACACTAAATCAGAGTTAGGTAATGGATCTGAGTGATAACTTATCAGTAGAAACTGTCTCCGGTGCTGTAACTCCCTAAATGACAGTGAAGTGTGAAACTCTTTCATGAATTACAAAGTTGTGATTAATACTTCTGATTCTGAAAAGTTGATGTTTAGCCGCCGATAAATCCAGGGATTAGGGAATCTTAGAGTTTTTGGGCAGCAGCCACAAAAACAATTTGGCTACAACACTTTTTCCACTCGATCCACTTTAGACTGTGTACACACTATTATAGTATTGTGCTGTGTTTCTTAATAGGGATCAGTTTGCTTTGTGATACCAATCTTTTTAAGTGGAGGGTTAAGGGTGGAAAATAACTTTAAATTGGGAACACACCGTAAGCTCAGCTCATAATAAATCTACCAGTAAGGGAGTGTGCCTGCCTGCTTGCTGCTCGACCCTCCACCCCGGGATAAAACCCATTAGCTGCTCAAAACCCCATAGCCCTCCGGAGTCTCATCAGGGCACAAGTTCATAAATTACACGACGGCATGTGATCGTCTCTGGCACGTCGGTTTCTTCTTTTCCTTCTCCTCGCTCCTTTCTTTCAATCACAGGATGTCTCTCAGACGCAGAAAAACAGCGAGGCAGTTTGGCACAAAACACCCAGTTGTGGTAGTATCATGAGGAAGTGCCAGAGAATCTACTCCTCATCACGTTGTCTCCGCCTTAGGCATGTACTCGCTCGGCGTTTTAGCTCAGCTATGGAGTTAATGTCTTTTTATTTACGACCCTGATCCAAAAAATGCAGAACTGTGGATCATTAAGGCTTTTAATTTATCAAAAATAGTTCAAACACTGAAAAATTTAACTGTTCAATAAAAATGTGCTCAATTTTAGGATTTGTGACTCAATGATTGTTAAAGGAATGTTCCGGCGTGAAATTAATTTAGGGTCAAACACACTGTAACACCGAGTTAGACACCCCCTCGAGAGATGAATGTTGCAGACCGCTTGTTTCTCTAGTTATACCAACTTTAGTAACGACCGCACGATAGCAATACACAGAAGTCTGAGGAGCCATAAACAAACCTCAACCAAAACACCACTCTATAACCATGAATAATGCTCAGAACAGCACCTAACTTCATCAACAGGACATATAGGGTCCTAACCATAGAACTAGCCACCAAACATCTTTTTAACTTCAACTCTTTAGCGAAGAGACTAAACACAACTCACCTACTTTCTTCCAGCAGCCGCTTGTTTGTAGTGAGACCTCAGGCCAGTCCATTATGGACTACAGCGGGGTGACGCAGCTCAAGGAAGAACATTTATGATCATTTCTTCATCATTTTCTTGAAGTAATAATCCTCATATTAATCATTTTGCACTGCAGACGCGGTAGTTCTTCTGCCTTAGCGTCTCGGTCTGATTGTATTTCCATTAGGAAATGATCATAAATGTTCTTCCTTGAGCTGCGAAACCCCGCAGCAGTCTGTAATGGACTGGCCTGAGGTCTCGCTACAAACAAGTGACTGCTGGAAGAGAGTAGGTGAGTTGTGTTTAGTCTCTTTGCTAAAGAAGTTAGGCAAAGCTAAAAAGATGTTTGGTGGCTAGGACCCTATATGTCCTGTTGATGAAGTTAGGTGCTGTTCTGAGCATTATTTTTGGCTATAGAGTGACGTTTTGGTTGAGCGCATGGCTCTCTGTATTGCTATTGTGCGGTTGTTACTAAAGTTGGTACAACTACAGAAGCAAGCGTCCAGCAACATTCATCTCTATAGGGGATTTCTGGTGTTACGGTGTGTTTGACCCTATAAATACTACCCTGAAATAGTTTAAATGCAATAAAAGTGTGCACAGTTTTAGGATTTGTGACTCAGTGATTGTTAACGTTATAATCATCATAGGAATAGGAGCAGATCTCCTAAGTTGAAACTCCATCTGCTCACTGCTGCAGCTGTATTTTCTTAATTATGTTGTCATAATTATCAAGAGTTATTGCTTCTGCTGCTACAGCTCTAATCTGTTATTCCTCCTTGACTCTGGTGTGTCATTGAATCCTCGAGCTAATTTGATTTCATTCGTTTATATTAGTCTCTCTATCACATAACCAGTCTGCTCTCTGTCATTCAGGTGCGTAAATGTGAAATAACACATGTGGCACCCCAAAAACCTACGCCTGCTTTCTGTCCCTCTACACGTGCCGTAACCAGCGCATCCCCCTCCCCGGCTGCTTTGAGCGGAGGGCTCAGCTGTGTGAGAGAAAAGCGCTGACTCAGGCCCCTCATAGCCAGGCTGCCTGTGGAATTTGGAGCAGAGGTGCAATGTTAGGGAGAACAGCAGCTGTTTAGATGAGGCCAGGTCTGCCTCTTTGTCTGCTGGTGCCAGCGCGCTTCCATTCACTCTCCCCCGTGTGTGTGTGTGTGTGTGTCCGTGGATCTGTCAGTCTGTCAGCTCATGCTGCTCCGCTCCTGTGTCTTTCTGTCAAACTGCTATCTCTTCCATTTACAGAGGAGCTCAATCTGCTGTACTTCTACACACCTCATGCTAGTTATTCAGCTGTCTTCTTTATTTCAGTATCATCTCTTTCTGCTGTCCCTCTTCCCTCTTTATTCCCTCTATTTGCTCTTTCCTTCTCTGCCATTCACAGCCTCTCTGCCCCCTCCCTCCCTTTCTCCAGACTGCTGTATCCCAGCTCTGCCTGGTGACAGAGAAGGCTGGGTTTGTGTGTGTGTGTGTGTGTGTGTGTGTGTGTGTGTGTGTGTGTGTGTGTGTGTGTGTGTGTGTGTGTGTGTGTGTGTGTGTGTGTGTGTGTGTGTGTGTGTGTGTGTATTTATGAAGCAAGTGCTCCAGCATTGATGATTGTGATTGTGTGTGATGGAGGGTGGGTGAAATGGGGGGTTTGCAGCACTTATTTTCCTCGTTTTGGGCGCTCAGACACTGCAGTCTGCACATTAGACAGCGTGTTGCCTGAGCAGAATCCTTAATAAAGCTCATGTGCTGCATGATCCACACACATGCACATGTTAGATCCTCTGTCTCATGTTGCAAATTTCAAATTAAACGAGGACTCTTCAGGCTGCAGAGCATGACCTCTTCACAGTGCTGCTGGCTCAGTAAAGGAGAATTTTGTCGTTATTGCACGATGTACAAACCTTAAATTCATCATGTCATTGCAGCTGCATGTGCAAGGTTAGCTAGCTTTGTCTTAGTGGTCGACCACGAGTGGTATTATTATTTGAAATCAATTTTAGGTCTTTAGTTCACATGACATTTAGGCTTTGAAGGAAAACAGCCTTTTGAGAATATCAACAAGTAATTTATTGATGGTCCCCTATTCAACACCCGACGTTGACAGCAAGGGTGCCGAGTAGATTTAACGTCACGGGTAGATCCACAGTGAATGACCGTCAGATATCCAACTTAAACTATCTTTACTGCGTTATTTACATGATTGGTAGATACCACATAATTTATTAAATTAGTAATTCATTCACTGGTTATTTTTCTAAAGCTCTGTTCTGTTTTAAAATCCCTTTTTATTTAAAAATAATGTGGCTGCACTTTAATTTTTAAAAAATAATTATTCCTAGATTTATTTAGTTAAATTGCATTTGCTGTTTTTTTTTATACTGTTCTATTTGAAAAAGAAATTGCTTGAATATGCAGAATTTATTTGTGTTTCACAAAGGGTTTAACCTGAGCCAGATCTTACCACAATGATTATCATATCACAGTCATACAGGCCTGGTATGATATTTTTTTATAACAAACTGGTATCGGATCGGTACTCAGTAGCGGCCGATACCTACAGCACAAGTATCAGAATCAGGACGGAAATATTGGTATAGGAACATCTCGTCTTTAAAAAATCCCCAGATACATAAATATTAAAACTATTATGTTATTTCACAATTTTAAAGTGACCAAGATGACTGAAGAAGATGATCAGAGACCACCCTTTTTCTTGGATATGCTGAAGATCTCATTAAAGTCGCCTCATTTCTCCGTTGTACTCTCTGTTCCCGCTTGCAGTCGCTGACACTGACTGAGCATTGACCTTGGCTGTTGGTGCGGTGGCGAATTTGACGGTGACCCGATCTATTTTAAGGCCCGTCTATATATCCGCAGCGCTGTATGTGAGCATGTCTCTTGTACTCGCTGTTCTGACCTCCCCCGTCTTCATAGTGGAGACGCATGACTCGAATAATGTCGGATGGGAGAGCATTGTGTCAGCACCATTCAGCCATCTTCCACCTGAATGGCGGTCATTCACGCCGGTGGGTCTCACATGCAACTGATCTGATGGTCTCCCAGTCGTCCAGCTGGGCTCTGAATCACCGTGTTGTCTGTGTAGATTCTTGGTGATAAAATGAAGCCCCTGTGAGGCGCCTGGCAATCTGTTTACACATTCCCTCGTGAGCTTGTTTCCTCCTCAGCGTCGTTGCATTCTTCACAGTGATTTAGCGGTTTGGTGGCGGTGGTGGTATCGGGTTTGAGAGGGGCTTTGTGGGTTGTGGCTCCATGTGAGGGAGTTTATGACCGGTGATGTGCACTGAAAGACTTCTCAGGAACTGTTTGTGTGACGACGAGAGTTTATTTTCTTTTGTTACGGTTCCTCTGAAAGTTTCAGTGAATTTAATCTGACTTGACGACCACAAACCCCTCCGTCCCTCGTCTCGCTCTCCCTCCTGAGACGTCTCTGGTGGTGGAAATCCTGCGGTAGCTCCGATTGTTTTCTACTGAGTCTTTTTGTTACTCATCTCCAAATATAGAGAGCTGCCTCACACTGTTCCCTCTCTGCGCTGAAGGTCAGGATACAGACACAACAATTTGACTAGCTGCTGATGAGTAAATTTCACCACCCCCAAATCCAATGTTTCCCCCCTGAGGCATCTGAAATAAGAGTAATCAGTGACAAAACGACTTGATTTGTTCCTCTCTCTTCCTGTTTATTGATTACTTGTATTTTATAGCTGACAGGGTTTGACTTTAACTAAGGCACAAAAGTCTGTAGATTTAAAAGCAACACAAAATTCACATGCAAACCTGCTGTCTGTCTGTGGAAAGGAGCCCTGCTTGTCTAAAAGTTTGTGATTCACTCTTATGTTGACAGTGTGGCAAAACTTGAGTGTCAGATCGCATAAAGGATATTTTTGGATTTGACCATTTAATAACAGAGAAAAGAAATCAAAAGGAAACTGCAGAGGAATGTTAAACACACATGGAGCCGGCTGAGACATCGGCCAAATTGAAGAAAACAGTAGGGCTGTAAAGTCCTCGTTGACTGGTAGACTTACCCCCAATTTCCACTGCATCAAGAATGCTACGAAAAGGCCATATCCACCGATCATCGTAGCTGATGGTAACCATTCAAGTTAACGTGTCAATTTCCACCGGCTTCTTTCCGTTCCGCTGCGGATCGCCGGACTCCACAGCTGATCACAAGAGTTCTATTTTTCCGGACGCTGGAGCATGCTGGGTAAATTCAGCACAGATTAACCCGTGCTGGAAAGGAAGTCAGGCACAGACACAAAATAAAATATCCGGCTTCATTTCAAAATAAAACACTGTGTTTCAGGCGGATCGTATTTCACACCACGCAAACGGACGGGGACGAACAAGTGAAAGGGTTTTAGATGTCATTTCACCCCGATGACACCATGGATGAGGAGATGCCGATTCTAGAAGTCCAGAAGTAGATTTCCTCACAATCTATTGCGTTTATGACTAGCCTCTGTGGTGAAGAGAAAACTGGTTACCGCGCGATTGCATGTGAATCTGTGGGTTTTTGTGAGTTCTCACGATTACCGCTGTCCATAATCCACCGCGAAATTCATCTTACAAACAGATCCAGTAGGAATTGGCGAATACTGTGAAAATCGCTGCTGTTCCTGATCGGAGCCGTTCCAGATGCAGAGGGAATCCCGGGTGAAACGTCGACCAAATTGAAGAAAACAGTAGGGCTGTAAAGTCCCAGTAGACTGGTCGACTTACTGGCCGACTCGACTTTTTTCCATGTTAGTTCACAGTCTATGGATAATTTCATCAGGAGGAACGAACCAAGTGCTAATGGGGGTGTTTTCAGAGCACCCGCATTTCACAGGTAACAGCCTGTCTCAGAACACCCTCCTTGTTTTCACCATTTTGGATTCACCCTACCCACTGAAAAATGGCTGGAGACAGGAAGATTGATATCAAGGCAACTAGAAACTTATCTTTTTAGATATGCAGATGCTAAATTAGCTTGTGTGAGTTGTCTTTGCATGAGTGAATTACTCTCCACTTGGTCCAAATGTTTTCTCTCCTGTTGCTCAACGTTTAGCCTAAATTGCTTTGTTGGGTTCCCATCTGTTCTCAAACTACCTTATTTGTGCAAATCTGGCCCCCTCCAGACTCTGTCCTCCTCTGACGGGGAAATACCGTAAATGAGGCGTATCTGTTTATTATTGTAATGAAATTCTCAAGGTTGGCAAATTGCTATGGCACTCATTATCCCCCCCACCACATGCAGTAATGAATACAGGGTTTTATTTCTACTGTTTTTTGCTTTTTAGAGAAGAATAAGATGATACCCTTGCAACTCTGAGGAGGGAGGGGTTTGTTTTTACTGCAGCATCATGCAGCAGAGGATGAGAATAAAAGGTGATGCTAAAGTGTATGTTTGAAGACACTCTATTGAAGAGGGCAAAGAGCAGCCTGTGGTTTATCCGAGAGTCTATGTGGTCACCTAGATGTCTCAAGTCCTCGTCAAAACAAGGGCCCATCCCGCTGCAGCCTCCCACGCCTACTCAATCTGCTTATCAGTGAGGTCATTAGTCTCGTAGCTGTTATCTAGGTGTCTGCCTGCTACCGCCCGGGCCACTGTTTGTTCTTGCAGCTTACACCTCCGGGCCTGAGCTCATGGATAAATCCTAAATGGATAAGGCTTGAGTTTTCCCTGGGTAGTTTACTCCCCGGGCGGATCCTTTAATTGTTTGGTTATTGAACCGAATTAAAAGAAAATGCAAGGATGTTGTGCCACATGGGCATGGCCTGATTACTGGTGCCAAAGTATGCTGCGGTCTGAAGGAGTCACAGTTACAAACTTGGTGATATTTTCCGTCAAACTGTCCTCGCCTCGCTCCCAGAAGGTTAGAACTTTCAGGCCGGTGAAAATGGTAATACTCTGTGTCAGCCCAAGATGTTCAGGGAGAGAAACTGCTGCTTCAGAGATTAAAAACCTGGTTTCCATTTATTATAAGGATTTAATGTGCTCACACTGTTTGTTTATATATATACACTTTCTCTGCGGTATCAGCATAGAGAGATTGGATCAGGACTGGACTCTGTCCTGATCTGATCTCTGCCTTCCAGCAGCTCCATAATCTGCCTCTAGCGCTGCACTGCATCCTCACTTAAAACATTATCCTCCTTTTTTGAAGTGGCCACATGTACACTTCTATTTTCCTCTGAACATGAGGCCCGTCCTAACACGCCCAGCTGTTGCCAGATGCATAGTTTCAAGTTGCTTTTGGTTACAAGTCCCAGCATTGACACCTTTCTTTTTGAGGTTATAATTAGTAGCCGAGTTGGTCTATTTTGCTGAAGCAGGGACTAGTTGTGGCCTAGAAAGTGTCTGTTGTGCACGGCTGCAGCAGAGTGTATATATATAGTTGTAGCACTTCAGTCCCCTCCCTTTATTTTGGGAACAGCAAATAGTAATTTAGTGGTTTTCTCCAGTTTTAAGTGTCAGCTAACTTAACAGCTCGGTCATTTCTTTTGTAAGAGTCGGGGCCACCACCTGCGTAGAAAAAGGGAATCGTACTGCAGTTTTTTTGTTGTTTTAGCTGAAAGAGTTCAGAAATATCTCTGTGCTTTTTTTCACTTTTTTTCACAGACCTCAACAATGACCACACGACTAAAGCAGCACAGAAAGCTCATGCATCCCTATTGTTGTAGCTCTGTTTAGAGTTGTAGGTTTTTTTTAATTTAATTTAAAAAAAAGCCAAACTTTTTTTTCAGTTTTTTAAATTTATTTTTATTTATTTATTTTCTATATAGCTGTAGATTAAAGGGTTATAATGATCCTTTTTTTATATATATATTAAATATATATATATATTTTTTTTTTATTGTTGTAGTTTTCAGGGTCGTGATGATACATTTAAAGTTTTTTAAACATTTTTATTTCCTAAGATTTTTTTTTATATAGTTGTAGTTTTAGATTGTAATGATACATTTTTTAATTATTTATTCTTCTTTTTTTCGATTTTTTTATTTATTTATTTATTTATATTTTATATAGTCGTAGTTTTAAGGGTTGTAATGATACATTTTTCCTTAATTATTTATTTTTCAAAAATTTCAAAAATTTTTTTTATTTATTTTTCATATAGTCTTTGTTTTTAGGGTTGTAGTGATAAATTTTTTAAAATTTACTTATTTTTTTCTTATTTTTTTTCTTTTTATTCATTTATATATTTTTATATAGTTGTTTTGGGGATTGTAACAATACATTTCAATTAAGAAATGACTCATATTTAGATGTCCTTTTCATTAAGAGTGCATGAATACATCCACATTCCCGGTATTACCTGTGCTTAGTGTACTGCACGGTTTCTCAGAGTCATTAGGATTCTGACTCTAAAACTGCTTATTTGTTTAAACAGCTTACACGCCACCAAATAAGAGCAGGTTTGGGTCAAATTCAAATTTAGCTAAACGGACTTGCTGTTTGGTTTAAGTCAGTGTCTGTCAGTAACCAACCAGTGACACGGAAAACTAAAAATTAAAATGCAACACCTGTACCATTCAGTCTCCTGCATCTCTAGAGGTTTGTCTTTACTTTTCATATTGCAGAATGATGTTTGTTCAGTCTAAAGAGAAACATGGATTCACCTGGTTGTTAATCTGAGAGTATTTTGGCCCCATAAAAGTTGGAGGTCTAGTTTTACTGTCATGGACTTCATACAACCCCATCACCTTTTTCCATCTGTGCCAAGTCCTTGTAGATTTTCTCAGTGTCACTCTTCCTGTAAAGCCTTCATGCTTTAATTTACTGGGGTGGATCCATTTATAGATCGGATGGGAATCAAACCCTTAAATGGTGCAGTGTCAGTGTTGGGCTGTACCAGTCGAGCTGTTGTGTAGTTCCAGCCCCCCTTATTTTCCATGAGTGCTGACATCCAGAGAGAAAAAAAAAAAAGGACAAAGGATGAGCGGCGCAGAAAAGGCCGTAGGAAACTTGTGCTGTAATATCTGTCAGAGTGTTGTGACATGTCAGGGCTGGAACACCACCAGCAGTGAAATCTTACTTCTCTTTGAGTGTCTGGCAGCTTGAATTCGGCTGATCTTGAAATTTACAAGGTGCTGCTTGAAGTTGACAGCGTGCCACGGTACAGCTCCGGTCTTGGACGTGCACTTTGCCAGCTTTACACATTCGGTATTGGAAAAACTTGCCTGCAGTTCTGAACCTTCCCACAGCTTGTGCCCGGTATTCCCTCGCTCCGGGTCTTGTGGTGTTTTTCCCTGGCCTGTGAAGGCACTCGCACAGGCTGCCATAAAAGTCATTTGTTCCTGGGAGTCATCAGCAGGTGTTCCTGCAGGAGATTCATACAGCTGTCAGTGTCTGTTTCTCAGGTGGCCACCCTCAGAGCCTGTGAGTTGAAGTCAGAGCAAGCATTAGAAGTTATCTATTGTTTCTTTTTTTTAATTTATTTATTTACCCATTTTTTTTAAATAATAGTAGATTTTAGGGTTGTAATGATATTTTTCCCCTTTTTTATTTTTTTGCTATCTTTCTTTTTTTTTGTTTTTTTTAATTGTCATAGTTTTTAGGGTTGTAATGATACTTTACTTTTTTTCTTTTTCAAAATTTATTTATTTATTTATTTATTTTGTCTGCCTTTAGGTTTGGGATATCTGTCCATTTTTCTAGATTCTACACTTCTTACTATCGTCCCATTCAGTCTTCTGCATTTCTACAGCTTTGACTAAGCTCTGTGAATTAGGTATCATAACACCCTTTATGAGGATTGTTTTCGTGACTCGCACAGTGCGATACTATCCTACTTGAATTTCTGCCACCTTATCGCAGCCATCTTTCTGTTACTATCAATACCTTTCAGAGGAACAATGCAGCACCTGGTGTTTCTACCACCAACAGAGTGGCAGACAGGGAGGAAAGTCAGCCAAGCTGGGTATCATGGCCTGGCAGGCTCCTCTCTCTCTCTCTCTCTATCTCTCTGTCTCTCTCTCTCTACAGATGGTATCAGGAGATTGTTGACACAGAATTGTGTAAATCAACGTGTTTGCAGAGTGGGTTGAACAGGTCGATGTACAGGCCTGGAGAATCCTTTGAAGCAGTGAGAACACTTCCTGTGCAGACAGACATCAGAGAGCGGTGAAGCCCGGCCCCTCCAAGGCCCATTTTCTCACGTCGCTGGCCTGGGTGTATGCTCACCGCTCACTGCTCACTGCTCACTGCGGCAGACTTTGCTCTGTAACACACTCTCGATCTGATCTATTGTTTCGTCAGGGCCCGCCCCTCTCCTTCCTTTGGTGTTTGCGGTTTCTTAATATTTTGGGAACATCCTGTTTGTGTGTTTAATGCCATGGGGCACAGCTTGTTTAGTTTAAGGACTCTCCGACCATCCCTGCCCTCTTATTAGTGGGACAGGACAAGAAAGACGCGTGAGCGGAGGAGGAGGAAGAGGACAGACCGAGGAACCCAGTGAGGAGGGTCTGAGGCGAGCTGTCAGATTAAAGATCAGAGAGGGGAGGATGGAAACGAAGGGATGAAGAGATGGAAAGAGAGGGAAACGGGTGGGTATGATGGCAGGGAAAGGAAAACAGCACCGAGGGGAACTTGAGGTTAGCAGGGGTGGGGTGGAGCGGAGGGGGTTGGGATTATTGCAGACAGACAGCACTGGGAATTCTGGTGTCACTGGTGTGCAGCCTAGCATTAAATGCACTTTAATGCTTCCAGGCATGTTTACATGCTCTGTAAGTGATTCCCTGTTTTCCCATAAATTTCCAGTGCTTAACAGTGATTTAATGGAATAACCCTAACTCCCATGGAGGCTGGCACGCATCATAAATGGTAAAAACCCCGTGTTTGGGCCTGTGGGATCAGACTGTCACAGCTGTGCATGTGCCGTATGAGACAGAGAAATGTTTAGAAATCACGGAAAGAGTCCTGCTTCTATTTTCATCTGTAATTTAGTTATTTACTGGATTTTTTTAAAGCTCCTTGCGCTTGAATTGCTCAGAGGGTTGTGTTTTTGAAGGGCCTCTGGCACTGACTCACTTTCCCTTTTAAGGACTAAGTTATCAGATTCACACACACTTTCCCCGATGACCTCGGCACGCTAGTTATTCGGCGCTTAGTCGTATTTATTTCTTCTGTTTCTAAACAGGAAGCACTTTTCGCACCGAGACAGCTTTGATTTCTGAGTTTGGCTTCTGCTGCAAATGAATGCCTTATTTCCTCACATTGGACTATTTTTAGATTGATCTCAACCCTAAACCAGTCCTCTCAGTTTAAGAGAGAGAGCTGGCAGGTACAGCTCGAGTTGGACTCAGGGACCCGCTGACTTGGAGGGATCGAAATGTCACATAGCCAGTCTGAACTTGACCGGACGGCTTCACAAAAAACTGCAGAGCGACACATTTTTGACCTAAAAAGTCCTTTTGAATGAAATCATATTTTCTCCGTCAGGGTTTATTCATCATCTCCTGCTGCCCTTTTATGACCCTGGCCGAGTTATTCAGTCATATCATTAGCTCCTTTTTTATGACGCAGAGTGTTTCCTCAGTAAAGGTTTACCCAGAGCGGGAAAACTCCCAACCTGCTTATGAGGTGTGATAAGTTCACCCCCTCCAGCGGTCCCGCCGCGGTCAGCGAGAAGGAGAGGCCAACCCGGGTATATTACTCAACCCTTTTTTTTTCCTCCTTGTCCTGGAAAGCCTCTCTCTCTTTTTCTCCATCCTCATCTCTCTCTCTCTCTTTCTCTTTCCTTCTTCCTTCATCTCTCCGTCTCTCCTGCAAGCAGCATTTTTGTGTCATTACCTCACTGTGGTTGTAAATAATCCACGTTATGGCTTCCAGATGTCCCTCCTCCGTCCCACACTGGAACTGTGGATGGGGTTGGTTTGGGGTGCTGGTGTAAGGCTTAGACACTTACTGTAACTGGCTCAGCTGCTGACTGTGTTCTCCGTCTGTCACCCGTCTCTCCTGCCCAGACCTGCTTGAGAGTTTGTCTTGAGTTTTTTTTTTCCTGCTATTGTTTTTATCACATTATCGTCTTTTTTGCCGTTATTCCTGAGAGTGCGTTTGCCCTTGAAGCGATGAAAGGGTTCAGGACAGCTGGACAGAATCTGAACTTTCCTGTTTCATGTTTGAGCTTGAGTGCTGCTCTGATTCATGAGAGCTGGACTCTACACTGCAGAAATTTCTCCATATGTGAAGTTAACATTGAGGGTTGTTGGTGTTAGGGCTGGGCGATATGGCCTCAAATCAATATCACGATATATTGAGCAGTTCACCTCGATAACGATAAATGGACGATAACTACTTCACAAGTTGCTCACCCCCTCCTACATTAACTTTGTCTACTTCAGTCGCCGCTCCAGCCAATACAACTTTTGAACCGTCCTCCATCTCCTCACCTGTCTTTCCCTCTTTGTTACGGATTGGATGGGGTGGAGTCATGTCTCTGACGTAGGACAGCGTCTTAAAGGGACACGAGACCATAGCCTACCTACACACATCCAAAACCAACTTTGATTTATTTATACTGATATAGGCAAATGACGTTGGTTATCGTCATAGATTTCGGTTTATCGCCCAGCCCTAGTTGGTATTAATGAGTAGTTGGTTGAACCAAGTTTGCAATTCGATTATCCATCCATTACCCATACTGCTTGTCCTGTTGGAGTTTGGGTGGCAGTGTACATCCTAGACAGGACACCAGTCTGTCAACCAGACATATTTGCTCTTACAGGCAATTTACAGTGACCAAATAACCGAACGAGCATGTGTTTGGGCTCTGGGGAGAAGCTGGAGGGAACCCACGCATACATCAGGAGAACACGCAAACATTTCAGTCCAGGAACTTTCTCGCTCTAAGACAACAGTGCTCACTGTGCGCCTCTGTGCAGCCTATTTAGATTCATATTAGCAGATATTGTCTCTCTGGGGTGGTTCTGGCTCCTTCAGTCCGTTTAAAGGGTAGTGGTTTTATCCTAAATCCCAGTGGACACAAGATGAAGTGTCCTTGAGCAAGACTCTTGACCCAATCTGCCCCCGCTGGCTGTGCCCAGTGGTCCATGAATGGGATTAGTGAAAAACCGATGGGTGCTTCACAGAACAGGCCCTGCCATCGGTGTGTGGATGTGAATGGGTGAATGTGGCACATGCTCTCCAAGAGCTCTGAGTGCTCAGAAGTCTGTGAAAAGCTCTTAATAAACAGCTCAGCTTGTGTGACCATAAATGCAGAGAGTGGGTCATGATTATGTTATAATGTCACACTCAGCAGATGGTGCAAATCATCAGCATGCAGAGCACAATGGGAGGCACACTGGTGGAGCAGTGGTGCCACTTTCTGTTGCTTTTTTAATCGTGTGTTTTAACATTTTTGAAGTCGCTGGTTTGATAAAAAGATTTTAGGACAAGTGGTGACTGAAGAGCATTGGCACTCATCTCTGCAAACTGGTCACAGGCAGGGTGGCCAAACACAGGTCAAGCCTCCCAAAAACAGATATGTGCAAATTATAGGGCCGGGCGATATGGCCTCAAATCAATATCATATCATATCAACATCTGACATAGGACAGACCATAACTTCCCTACACACATCCAACACCAACTTTATTTATTTGTTTTTCTGACACTGGATATATTGACATGGGCATCGGTTTATCGCCCAGCCCTATTGGATCCTCAGCTTCATTAGAAGTACTATGAGAAAAATAATGCAGAGGTCAGACTGTGGACTCCTTTTGTCTGTTATGAATTTGGGATTAGGTGATCGGAGTCAAAAGTTCTCATCAAACAATCCACATGATGATGTAGGAATGGAGGAGGCTGGGCATTTGCATGTGTTTACATCTTGAATTTCAAAATAAAAGTCTTAAGAGCCGGCTGTAAATTTCGGTATCGGTAAATTTTCTGCTTATTTCCCAGCCCTATTAAGACCTGTGTTGTTTTCCCGAAGTATCTCTCGATATGTTCGACCCACAGTGTTTTGTATTATATTGAGCACAGGGCCGACCCAAGAATGGTGGACGTTTGTAAAAAAAAAATTTGATTTCTCATAACAAATATTCTTATTGTGCATATTTCCACATATGGCAATAAAAACAGTCGACTGTGTAATATCGTCTAAATAAACAGTTTAACAATTGCAAAAACAAAACAAACAAAAACACACCGGCCATATGTTGGTAGCTGTGTCTTCTCAATCAACATTTGCTCTGCAGGGTGTAGCACGCATCTGAAAGTGTGATGCGTCAGGTGACTGTTTATGTTTGTTTTTACTGAAATATTGACTGAAGTCGTGGGTGTGCCATTTTTGCACCAAAGAACACAGAATATGAAGCACACCCACAGAAATAATCCCTGAACCAGTCATACTTTCATCCGTCCTCTGATAGGGTGAACCCTGGACAGGTCAGAGGGCGGACCAGGCACAGTTACACTCACACCTACAAGCAATTAAAACCACCAATTAACCTAACGAACCAGCTTTTGGACTGTGGGAGGATTTGAATGACATTCAAACATGAAAAACAAGATCATTTGTTTCATCGTAGAGTGCTTAAGTTGCTCTTACTGCTTGAAAAGATAGAAACAGTGCTTGTGTAACAGACAGAGAGACAAACACACATTTCCCATGAACACACCCTGCAGGCATAGCATGGAAGAGATCCATTTTGAGGCCGGCTGTGAGCGCCGAGCATATCATTTGCGGGACGGCAGCTAAGTGAACACATTTGCCTGTAGTTACCGAGTTTCACACAGAAACGGCTCTGACGGAGGGAGATGGGGCCTGATAAGCACTCAGCGTTTTGGGCTAAACCAGTCTGGCTATGTGGATTAGCTGGCGTCACTCATGTTTTTCCAGTTTCGCTGCATCCTTAGGCCTTGTGCTGAACATGTGTGTGTATTTTTGAAGTGTAGGGAAATCCTGTGTTTGTGTCGGTGTAGTTTGTTGTGTTTTTGCGGGATGGATGAGCCCTCCACGAAACAGGCAGCATGCTAATGTGACTGACATGTCGTCTTTACCGTACCCTGTGGAAACAAAGAAGTCTGTTCACCATCATCAGTGTTGCCGTTGGATCCCACCACACCTTGTCATAACAACAGTTGCCATGTGTATATTTTTTTAATGAGTAAAGGTATACGTGTGTTTTCCTCTGGATGCACAGGGAAATACAGACACATTGATCCCTTAGTGAAAATATGTTGACCCTGCACACTTGTAGAATATGAGTTACAGCTTCTTTTTATATTCATAAACCACGACTGTTGAACAGAGCGCTCATGAGTTTTCTTTTCCAAGAAAACAATTAATACAATCCCTGTGAGTGAGCGGTTTTCCACACCAAGAACGAGTCACTAGCTGTGTGTGTGTCAGATGTGAACGGGGCCTGCTCTGCGTGTGTGCGCACATATTTGTATGTGTCTATGTTTGTATGTGCGCTTTGTTGTGGACAGGGCCTGTGGTCTCCTGGCTCAGAGATGAAAGACATTTCTCATGTGGCTGGTTTAGCGGAGCCCCTGAGTCAGCATGCAGCTACTAATCAGGGTTTTCTCCCCGCTCAGCTACCCTGACTCTCTGGGCCCGCCACCGCCGCCGCCGTGTTAGTTCTGGCTTGCATAATGAAGGGATACCGGCGTTGTAACCTTTGGTGTACCGTTGACCAATCCTGACTGTCAGATCAGGGTTTGAGAAAGGCAAAATGTGGCGATGGAGTGAAAATATTGAGAGTTATTAGTTTGACTATAGATGCTGTCAGACTGTCCGCTGAGTCTGAAGCCTTTCTTAAACCTTTCTTAATGACCCCACTTATGTGGCCGCCAGGATATAGAACATGCTGTCCAACAGTTTGAGCTCAGCAGAGGCTGTGTTCGAAGTTGTGAAGAACGGACGGTCTTGGGACTGGTGTCATCCCCGATTCTTGTTTGAAGTTGAGGAATCTTTTTAGGTTTGTTTTTAAATGCATGATTATGACCTCTCTCTGCAGCTGAAACTGGTGTTTTCTTGCACCTGTGTACAGGTTGAACAGAGTACCATGCTAGCTGAGTGGTATGTAGGGATGGGTGATACTGGCCAAAAGACTTGGCGATGGTGGCGATGAAAGTCCCAATAAAAATTATAGGTCTAATTTATATTTTTTACTCATTTTGTCTTGAGAACACCAGTTGGAATAGTAAAATAAGATACTTCACCGTGTGGACTATGGCTGCAAGTCTGTCGCTCATGCTTACGTCATCAACTCGCATTTATCGTATTTATCATGAGATGGCAAATATCTAACATAACACCTATCCCAAGTATTATGTTTGACCTGCAAACGTTCAGCTTCAGTTAGATGCAGTTAAAACAATTACGAATGCAGTGAGCAGTACCTTCAGTCCAGAGCCTAATGATGGTAAATCTAACTTGGTGCTTCTGGGCTGATCCGTCAGCTGTATCGGCAGCTAACCAGCAGTTATTCTGTCTGAATTAATAATCATGATGGAACTATTTTTCTAATATCACGCGCCAAAGATTCCATTAACGCTGCGCCGTAAATAAAAGGAATTTGGAGAGTGTATTTTACCTTTCAGCTGTCTTGACTGCTGTTTGGATCTGATTTGACGTTTCTAATGATGAAACTCTTAAGGTCTTTCCAGGTCAACATATCATAGATTTTCCTCCATCCTGGTTTTTATGGGTTTGCTGGAAGCTTTAATAACAGGGAGGCACAAAGAAGACACAGTGAGAAAGCTGTATTTATTTATATAACAGGATTTATCAGGTACATCTGACAGTGTTAATATTCTTACTCTGCAGTTATTCAGTCTTGAACTTTTGCTTTGGGGTACGGGACTCTTCAGCCGTCCCTGCTCCCTTCTTGGCTTGTGTTTCCAGCCGGCAGGTCAGCTGTGAGCGGAGTCAGAGTCAGAAGGGAGTGTAGATGAACCGTGAGTGACCTGTTTGTTTTCTTACTGCGGGCATTTCTCCGTTTCACAGTGGGAGATTGTTCGTCCCTTAAACACTCAAGGTTCTGTAAAGTCACAGTGACGAGATGTGTTTAGCGTGATGTTTAAGACACACACTCACACACACATGGAGAGGAAACTCATAAACTATGAAGGACGCTTGTTTAGTCGATGTGGAATCTAGATGTAGATGTGCGCTGATGATTATTTGTTATGATGGTGAAGTAGAGAGTCATATTGTGCTTCTCAACACTATCAGAGTGTGTATCAGTGTAAATCATTCGACTGACCTTGGTGAACTTACAGCCAATCCAGGTTATCCTTGGCCTGCTGGGATCATGTAAACCAGGAAGTGTTTGAATGGCCCTCCACAAATGAGGGAAACGCCGACTTTGTTAGCCGCAGATGGAATCTCTTTAGCCTTGTGAGAGAACGCCGGCTGCACTTACAAATCCCTCCCAAGTCCTTTTTGTCCACGAGGAACCTCAACTTCAGACGAACAATAGCGACCTTTATCATCCAGTCTCGCCGTGTCCGGCCTCATGTGCTGTACGGATTTATACATGATCACCAACAAAATGATAAACATTTAGAAACGGTGGCCTTTTATGGGTGATTGAGGCACCGTCAGTTACTTCCTCTGTGAGCCGGGTTCAGACGGTTTTCTATTTTTGAATTAGCGACAAAGGAAATGCCAGAGCTCCTTCAAAATAAAAGATGTAAACACACACAGTCAGGGTCTTTCTTTCTTCTGAGTGTGATTTACTAACTTTTAAACTGTTTTTAAAACCCGTACTTAATGCCAGCAAAACAAAACTAATCTGCTTCTTAAGGTCAAGAGGACCGCTGCTGCTCTTGTTGGTGGTTTCGAGCGTTTTCTCTGAACAAAGAAGCGACTGAACTTGTCCTAACAGACCAATGCTTTTTTTTTTCTTAAGTGTAATCTCTCCTCTAACTATCAAATAGAGTATCTTCAACATGTGTCTGGGTTTTAACATGAGGGTAAAAAGGTGACGCTTGTAGCGGCAGGAGGAGGAGGATTATTACCTGAAATGTAAATTTAAGTTGTTGGGTTGCAGTATTAGTATTTTGTTTCTGGTTAAAGCTCCTGTGAGAACTGGACTAAAGTTCGTATTGATGCTTTTTATGATACCAAAAGCAAAACAGACCATCAGCAACAAGATAAGAATTTTCTACGACTACTTTTGTTGCCTGAAACTGGTGCGAAAGGATGAAAGTCAGCCAAGAAGATGAAGAAAAAGCCCTTTTTTAATATTTCTATGTTGAATATTCACAATAAATGATAAGTTTGACTGTCAGAAGTCAGCAGGATGGCATTATTTGTCAGAAGATGCTATTTAAGCATGTAAAGGACATGATAAACAAAGACTGCTTTGTCCACAGGGGGCGCCAAAATTGACACAAACTAAAAAATCCTCACAGGAGCTTTAATGTGGTTGCTATGGCGTATATGCCTGTTCAGGGTGTATTTTTAGATAGTTGTATGATATGGCTTAAAGGTGTCTTATATTTTCTTCTAATATTTATTCAGACAAATCAAATGGCCAAATACTAAATCAGACTAAATATACAGTCAAACTTTTATCTGCTGTCTTTGCTCAAAACCCATAATGCATCACTGATTTCCATATTAACCCGACATCTTTTGTCCTTTTTTTGTGTTAACAGCGAAACCCTTCACCTCCAAAGTGAAGCAGATGCGCCTCCACAAGGAAGACTTTGAGATCCTGAAGGTGATTGGACGAGGAGCCTTCGGAGAGGTAATATACACTTTGGTTTTTACGCTCAGCATAACCACGGAGCAATCTATTACCTAACAGGTTGAGAACCTGCAATTTGGGTTTCCCCTTTTTTTCTCTTTTGTACAAGAAACAGGTGTTAAAGGGTTAGTCTGGAGTTTTTTCTCATGGACTTCAGCTTCACAACAAGACAAGAGGACTCTTTAAACCGTAAAGTAATAGTTTGGCTCAACTGGTAAAAGTGACAGTAGATTAATTTCTGCTGCATTCCAGCAACACTGCGCACTATTGGTCTTCTGGACGAGCATGACTCTACTTGCAGCTCGAACAAAACGCTTGAATTCCTCCTAACACCTAACCTCCTGAACGATATTGATGGTTCGCCTGTGTGGCATTCATGAGTGTGTGTTTATTCAGCGCTCTGCATTTATGTGCCTGTAGGGAGGTTGAAATACTTTTGTCACTGGGTTTCAGGTAATGATGTCAAAGCTGGGGAATGTTGAAGGGACAGGTATTGTGGTCCTCAGCCAAGTCTCTTGCATAATTTCAGTGTCCCGCAGAGACCTTAGTTCTTCAAATCTAAGGTCTCTGCAGTGAAGGAAAATTATTTACCCGGTGAAAGCAGGTCGGATAAAACATGAATCAGATGAACATGATTGTTAAACCCACAAGAAAGTGAATTCCAGAGGCGGAGAGAGAAACCAGCAACGTGAGAGATGAAGTGATGGATGGAGATAGATGTGGGCACACCTGTCCGCCTGCATGTAGCTGCAGTACCACCACAGAAATCACGCCAAAATACAAATGTGCTCTTTTAGTGTCTGGAAGGAGTGCTGGTGTGAGTCATATGCGTGTGTGTTTGTGTGTATGTGTGTGTGTGTGTGTGTGTGTGTAACAGGCCTGTTTTGCTCTGGGATGTTGTGTGAATCACGAACAGTGTTAACTTGTGGGTGACATTCCTGCGCTGTTTCACGTAGTCAGCTGTCCTGGTGCGAGTTTTACATGACAGGAAGATTAAATTAGAGGTTAAAGAGGTTTCATTGTTTTCAACTGCTCGGTAGAAAATACTCTGGTATATACTTTGGTAACTTCTTTGTACATTATTACAGTTTATTTTTAAGTTTTTTTCAAGTTCTCTGTGAGTTTCAGACAGAAATCAGATAAAAGCAGAAAACTCTGAGGGAGTTTAATGACTTTACGCTCACTTTCCTGAAACTGTAATGGTGGTACGAAGTAGACGAAGTTAATGTGGGAGGGGGTGAGCAGCTTGTGGAGTAGTTATCGTCAATATATCGTGATATTGATTGAGGCCATATCGCCTAGCCCTAATGTGAAGTTTGCGCATTTTGTAAGAAAACAGTAAAAACCACATTCTATCCAGTCTCCTGGTCTTTCAGCTCTACCTTCAAACTAACCTTTATTTTTATATACGAGCATGACCTAACAGACTGTACTCATGTTTTCATGATATTCATGGTAGAAGGTCAGTGACAGAGACCATGTTTACACTTGTATGAGTGATCGGATCAAGAGTGACAATCCTGAACTCCAATCTTTCTTCTTCATCTGTTGGACATATTTACTTTACTCCTCTCAAGCAAAGGTGTGGCCTGTATTCAGGACAGGTGATGACAGAAACAGACTAGAGCATGTCCATGTTTATTCTATGAGTGTAATTTATTATTACAGGACAGTTCACATCAGTTACTTCTTCCAGTCTAACAATCATTGTTTTGACTTTTCTCCGTTATCAGAGAATCTGTGTCGTCGTTTTATTTCAAAGAGGAGCAACAGGAACATCAAACATTGTTTTAGTCTAATGAAGGTGAACGGGGCACGGTGTTAATTTGCATCTAAAGTGGGAAAGAGAGATCTGATCACAAATGTTCACAGGCTTTAAAATGTCACAAGGGCAGTCAAATCACATCTGCAGGTACAGACGCACTGAAGTGATGAGTGAGAGTGATAATCTTTGTACGAGTCTATTTATAGTCTTAAGTGTAAAATTGATCATCCTAACCCCTAAAATGAACATAAGAAGTGTGGTGTCATGTTTTCAGGGATTAATACTGAAGTAGGTTTCAAATAAGAGAGAAAAAAACACATTTTATTGTCAGCTGTTCTTTTCTTTTTGCCTCGGTATCAGAAGATAAATCAAACATTTTAATACTAGTATTTAGGGCTGGACGATATGGCCTCAAATCAATATCACGATATATATTGATCAGTTCACCTCGATAACGATAAACGGAGGATAACTACTCCACAAGCTGCTCACCCCCTCACACATTCAGCCGCTACAACTTTTGAACCGTCCTCCATCTCCTCACCTGTCTTTCCCTCTTTGTTACGGACTGGATGGGGTGGAGTCACGTCTCTGATGTAGGACAGTGTCTTAAAGGGACATGAGACCATAGCCTACCTACACACATCCATAACCAACTTATATTTATTTATCTATTTGACACTGAATATACCGATATGGTCAAAATGAACTCAGTTATTGTCGTAAATTTCTGTATCGGTAAATGTTCAGTTTATCGCCTAGCCCTACTAGTATTATTTAGGTGTTGTAAATTCCCTAAATGGCCCTGAAAGTAGGTTAAAGGATAATTAAACTGGGAATCAGTTTTTGAGATTTTTGAAAAAACGTATCAGACTTCAAGGAACAGCTATATAGACCGACTCAGGTGGACGGACACAGGAAAAAGACGTAAAGAAAAATGCCCAAGCATCAGACAGGAAGAGAGGAGAGCTTGAGTGCAGGATGTTTTGGTTCCATCCTCCTATTGTCAGCAGCAGATGTGTGTACTGACTGAGCGTCCAAGAGCTCCCTGAACTGCGAGAGTTCTGCTTGTATGACTCGATTTGTCATGTGTTTGTCATCAAGATAGCTCCACTTCCGTGGTAGATCATCTTTTTAATGGTTAGATTGAGTCAATAAAGTTAACTACACTTCTTAAAATACCTCTTCAAACCGATATAGTTAAATTTAGATATATTAATCCACTTTCCCAAGTAATGAATCCTTGTAACATAACATTCTTTAATATGTGACTTTCTCCAGAGAGCGTGAAGCGAACCCTCCTCTCCGTCTCCCCTGCAGCGGACACTTAGCTTGACTGACAGGAAGAGATGCAGGAAGGAACAGTGGGGTGAAGGAATGAGATGCAGGAACAAAACAGAAAAAAAAAAATGTCAGCAGTGGCCAAGAACAGTGCGCTCCCCCCCCGTCCGTCCGTCCTCCTCTCTTCCTCCTCCTCGTTCCTCCTCTCCTCTGCGGAGGGATCACTAGGGGAAATCCAAACACTGCAGGAATGTTATCATTGTATTGCATTAGCAGCATTCCCCGGCTCATTTAATAGACTACAGACCCCTCTGTTGCATGGGACGCCTGTGTTTGTTTCACTTTTCTTCGGCCCGTCCAGCGCACTTCTAAATTCCTCTCTGTCTGTTTATTTGGGTTTTTCTTTTTTTCAATTTTTCCATACATTTGAATGTAGTTAAATGTGATAAGGCCTCATTAAAATTTAACTGTGTGTATAAAAAATAAAAAAAGACATGATCCAGGATGTGAGCTTGTATGAACATGTGCACTCTCTGGCTGTCAGCTCGCAGCGGTCTGTCACAGCAGCTCCTTTTTTGGCAAAATGCAAAGGCAGAGTCGGGGAAGCTTGACATGGTACTGTTGGACAATTATCAGGGAGGGGAGAGCTGGCAGTTGTTATGTTGTTAAGGCAGCACAGGAGGGTATGAGAAGGAAACGCTGTTTAGATCTCACATATTTTCAACACTTATATATACTGTGTGTTTCAAATGTGCTTTGAGATTTGATGCCAGTACTCTCTTTAGTTCCCGTTTTTCAGAAAGTCCCTGGAACGTGTCTCAGAAACGTTTTGTTGCTGTTCTTCCTCAGAGAGGGTGTGAGACAGACTCCCACACACTGACAACATTTTTTTACACTTTCCTGTAAGCCGTGAAGGTCTGTCGAATAAGTGACCTCTTTACTCAATTTTTAAAAAAGGAAAAACTAAGAACATACTAACTTAAAAGTCCCACTCCGATCTTTTTTACTACTTAAAGTGTTCTCAGTGGTTTTTAAATTGTAATCATGAAGTTTGTACCAAAAATCACCTTAAAGTGCTTTTCTTCTGCTGAGCTCCAGTAGATCATTAGCAGGGGGATATTCGCTGTTACCTCCACTCTTTTACTGCCTCAAGAGCTACGCTGTTACATTCATGTCACGTTATGGATCTTATGTTACGTTACGTTACGTTATGTTACCCATTGCGTTCGGGTTACCTCAGAAGTCAGAAGTCCAAGCTGGGAATGACGTCACACCCGAGTTACCAGCGTAAGTCGAAAAAAGGCAAAATTGGAGGTGGAAACAAGATGGATATATCCATGAAAGTTATTTTAGCTCTTGCCTTGTCCGAATATAAGCTAGGACAAGGCAAGCGCTAAAATAACTTTCGTAGATGTAGCCATCTTGTTTCCGCTTCCGATTTTGCTTTTTTTCCGACTTGGTAACTGAAATGCCGATAACTCGGGTGTGACGTCATTTTCAGCTCCGACATCTGACTTCTGAGGTAACTTTAACGTAGCCTAATTCTATGAATGCTATTAATGCTACCCGCTATATAGACCATGTATGAGCTTCAGCGTTACCTTTCATGTTGATGCAAGAGGGTCCGACAAGATTTGATGCACTCGTTGAAGACTTAAAACAAGTCGAAAATAACGTTGCGTGTAGTTTTGCTCACACAGTGCAAGTGGAAATCATTAGCTGCATTACCTGCCGTGTTTACCTCTGGTTTATGAACATAACTTTTAATTCTGAGAAGACTTAACTCTTGAAATGAGGACGATGATCTGATGTTTTGTTCCCTGATGTTCAAGTATCACAGGAAACAATGTGAAAGAATGTGACATGAGCTCATAGGCAACATGATCTCCTGAGCGAGTCCTTTAACCGGGCGAGTGTAAGTGCAGTCAGCTGATTCAGAGTCTGTCAATCACACAGCCAAGGCCGGGTTATAATGTGGATTCCTGCTCTAATAAGATGAGATTGTTGTGTTCCCTTATCTGATGGTAAAGTAATACTTAAGGAGATGATTGAAAATGGCTGTCCGCTGTAGGAGAGGCCTCATCTCTCTCATCGGCCTGCTTTTTTGTACATCTAAAAATCTTTTGACCCACAATTCAAAGAGTTTACAACTAGCAAGGAGGAAACCTAAATGGTGTTAAAGTATCCAGCTGTGTGTGTGAGTGTGAGTGTGTGTTTATGGCGGTGTGTATTTGTGTGAATCCAGGTGGACAGCATCTGTCGGCCTTTTAGGTCAACGCCGTCTGTGATCATTTCTTCTCCTCCTTTCTTCACTTCTTTTCTTGATTTTCTGGATCTGATTTTTTACAAACTAAAATGTCTTAAACTTGTTTGTATAGCTGTGAAATTTCACGTTATAGTTCTGTCAAATGTTTAAAAACAACTTTTTAATCTTGTTTTTTTCTTCTTTTGCTCACACAGGTTGCAGTTGTAAAAGTGAAAAACACTGACAAAGTATTCGCCATGAAGATCCTCAACAAATGGGAGATGCTGAAGAGGGCAGAGGTGAGCGTTTATTCAATTAGTATTAAATTCTGCAGCAGTGGTGGTGGTTCTATCTTTGCAGACTTAAAAAGGTGTCGACTGTTCAGAAAAATCAAACCTCAGCAGGTCTTTGTTGATAAATGCTCGTCGAACATGTCTCTGCTTGAGCCGCGTTCGCTGCGTGTTGTTTCTTTTTCATCGACCTCTTCCTGACAGTCTGACATTCCTGCCGGTCCCCCGGGTCTTCTGTCTTCATGCCTCATATATGTCACAGGCCAAAACTGCTCGCTGCTGCGTGTGCGAATGCCTGGACATGGGAAAAACAATGTAGAGCAGCAGATGTACTCTCTGACAGAGAAATGAACAAGTGATTAAAAATACTGGAGTTAGTTTGCTGTGCCGTTGTCATAGTTACGATACTTTTTAAGAGCTGTCCTGTTAATATGATGTTAAAAAATGATAAATGGTAAATCTGCAGCTGCACAAAACCAGGCTAAAAGCTGTGCAAGCAACTTTTTATGCGTCAGTATTCTCTCTACATGTGCAACAAAATTAAAGGTGGGGTAGTCAGGATCTGAGGAAGTGCCAGTTTTGGGGAGAAATCTTGAATGTAAACTCTACCCCTCCCAACCACTTTTTCCCCTCAGCTCCTCCTCTCCCCTCCCTCTCTGCTCCAGCAAGCCCCGCCCACAAACAGACGCTCCTGCTTGTTCAGATATAATGCAGATAAATACTTCAGATAATTACAAATGGGGCCCAGTCAAGGTGAAAGTAAAAACATTGGTGCTACTGTAGATGCCAACAGACTACCAGCAAACACAATGTTTGCAGGACTTCTACAACTAGGATAAAGTGACATAGTCCAGGACCCGAGGTCAACAGTTTAGCGTTTGACAAGAAATACTTCTGTTACAGACACTTGGTTTACTTTATTAAAACGGTTTACCGTCCAGCAGAAAGGTTACAGGGTCTGTAAGATCCCAAGCGTCCCCCAACATTGTTGACCCGGCTTTTTAGCTCTTGTCTACCTCCGTTTTAAGTGCTGGTTATTCCTCCAGAGTCTCCGGTATTTACTTTGTTTTCTTGCTTGTGTCGGCAGTCGTGGCCAAAGGAGGATTCAGACAATTTTCTGTACTTCCTGGTTGGTTTCTACTGTCCGATTTTGTAGCACGCTAACTTTGTTTGGGCTCCTGAACGACACGGGGGAGCAGCTTTTTGAATCACGTTATATCGTTATAATCCCCAAATATCAATAACTAATAACTATTGACTGATATTTAAAGCTTTTTTGTATATTCACCCCAAAAAAGATGCTTCTTTAACAGATTCCTGCCCACCCCACCTTTAATCTGAATATAACCCTGAATCATTTCTTCTTGTAGACGGCGTGTTTTCGGGAGGAGCGGGATGTGTTGGTAAACGGGGACTGCCAGTGGATCACCACCTTGCACTACGCCTTCCAGGACGACAATAATCTGGTAACTTCCTCTTCCTCATGTGTTCATTCTTTGATTTGTGGGCCTAAAACCTCTCATAGGGAACTTTTAACCTTCACTTATCTGATCCCCTTTGGAGGATCGCCACACCTCTCAGCTCAGTACATTCAAACTTTGGTACTTTCCACAGAAACAACAACACTCCACCTGCCATTCTCACCGTTTCACCCGCCAGTTCATTTATAGAAAACAGCACCGGCTCTGCCAGACGCCGACTAGCACATTCGTTCCTCGCCACAAAGCACAACATGACTTAGAATTGTAGGAAACTGGGCAACACCGCTTGAAATCATTTATGTAAAAAAAGAAAAGAAAGAATGACTCTGTCTGGACTGGAGCTCGCTGACTGGTTATTGGCCGAGCTCTTTCTCGCTCTCATTGGCTCCTGGAGGCAGCAGTTCTTCTCGCTCCGTCCTGACAGTCTGTCCTCTCTGTGTGACCCTGGGTTCAAATGCCAGGACTGCTTGTCATTCCTTTTCCCACATTCTCACAACAAATGCTTCACCCTGGACACTCCCCAAACTTTAAAAATACACACCGCCGCCTGACCAGACGTCTATTTTTAGGAAAACCATCAAAAGTCTAAAGCTGAATATGCACTCTGTGTGAGAAAGGAGGAGATGAGAGTGATGGGGGGTGGGGGGAGAGAGACAGAAACATGTTTGACTTTATTTTTAACCCTCTGTTATCTCTTTGTCCGCCTCTCTAGTACCTGGTCATGGACTACTATGTGGGTGGGGATCTGCTGACTCTGCTAAGTAAATTCGAAGACCGTCTGCCAGAGGAGATGGCCAAGTTCTACCTGGCTGAGATGGTGCTGGCCATCGACTCAGTACATCAGCTTCACTACGTCCACAGGTGAGGACCAGGCAAAGTGTGTGTGTCAGTGTGTGTGTGTCCGTGTGTGTGTAATTATTTTCCAGAGGAGCCCCCCGGGCGAGAAATCTGGATGATGGATGTTCAGTGTACTCTAATCCTCCAGCTGTGGGGAGCCACAGCAGCTAAATGAAAATAAATAAGCACTGTGGAGAGTGTGTGTGTGTGTGTGTGTGTGTTTGATGATCACTGTTGCTAGTCAATAGTGCTGACTAATTATAGAGAATATTGGTGTGTGTTATTATTGCACTCTTGAATATTTGGGGTTTAATTTGGTCATGGATACGTGAGAGGAAGGATTGCTCTAACATGGATCTGAAGCTTTATTAAAAGTGCTATGAGAATAATAATAATAGAGGTCAGACTGAAGAGTCTTTATGAATGTTAGATTAGGTGATCAGATAGGGTGACCACACGTCCTCTTTTACTCAGACAGGTCCTTTTTTTGTGGGAGATGTCCGGCCTTGTCCGAAGGAGTTTATAAAATCCTTAAAAAATCCAGGGTTTTGGATGAAAGTTTTGAGTTTGTGTTTCTCAAAATAACACATACATTCGAACATGAATATTCGTTCTCAAAATAACACAGACAGTCAAACATATTCAAATATCTAGCTTACTCAGCTTGCATATAACTTCATTTCACTCAGCATTTTTTCTGTCTATCATGTCTGCCCAAAATCCGAAGAATTTCCAAACAGAGCTTCTAAAGTTTGTTGGAGTCCAGACCACTCTCTCCAAGTTTGGCTCCGAACATCTCCGCCGTCTCTCTCTGCATGTGCCCTGGACGGTTTTTGTCGAGTCTCACTGGACCTGTCCCTGACCCATCGTTACAATGGGCAGCAAAGCAACCGCTGTTTTTTTTTTTTCCCCACTCTGTTTTTTCCCGCTGTTTATTTAATATTCAAATATTGATTTTCACATTCGAATCTTGTTTTTTTTAATATATATTTGAATTTAGAATATTCGTTGACAACCCTAGCGTGGACTGGGTTAGAAACGTGTAAAAAACACTCGACCCAACCTGAAAACTCTTAAAATTAACTACCCACAACTCCGTGACTCCGCCCTGCATAGTCGTGTCCTCTTTGTGGGGATTCAGGATATGGTCACTCTAGATCAGAGTCATAAGTTTTCATCAGTGGTGCCCAACCAATCCCCATGATGACGTAGAGATGAAGGGGGCTTGGCCTTTTCACGTGTCTACATCTTGAATTTCAAAATAAAAGTCTTAAAAAAGCAGACTCCTCTTGATTTGGATACTAAATTATTTTACTCACTAGTAGAAGATGTCTTTAGGAACAGGAAGTTTGGCCTTGCAGGACGGGGAGAGGTCACATCGGCATGTTAAAACAATTACATAACAGGTTTTTTTTTTGCTGGGGGCTCGTCAAAGAAAATCTGCTCAAGGAGCAAAGGAAGGATGAGAGGTGCATAAGGAAACGAGGGAGGGTCAGAGAGCGAGTAGGATAATCCAGGACGGCTTGGTGGGATAATGTTTCGGGTGTGTCTGTTGTCTCTGGGAAATCCAGCGGGAAGTCAGATGGAAAGAGACGCAGCGACAGTCAGAGAGAGAGAGATGTAGATATAAATGTTTAAGTAAAGAAAGGGAGTGAATGAGAGGAGAGTGGGGAGCCACTAATTGCATGGTGTTATCTGGGGGCTGCGGTCGGGGGTTGGTGGCGGCAGCAGCAGAGACGGAAAGTGGATGGAGGACAAGAAGGGACAAGAGGGAGGGGACTGAACTGTTTCCCTTTAAGTCCCCTGCAGCTTTGGGACAGTAATGATGGGGTATGGGAGGTGTGTGGGTGGGGATTTGGTGCTGTCACCTCCCCCCATGGACCAACCTCTTACTCCTCCTATGGTCTCTCTCTCTCTCTCTCTCTCTCTCTCTTACACCATATATTTGTAGGAAAACTGTGTAGAGGGTGGAGATAGCCATGCAGGTCCCCTGAGGAGGGTGTGTCCTGCCTGATGAGTGTGTATGAGAAGTTTGTGTGTAAGGGTGTGTGCTTAACCTTAATGTAATTGTGTATTGCTAAGTTTGGCATTAACAAAGCTAAAGCACTAAAGATGAAATAAACCCTGTTATTTAAAAACATAAACGTCCAATAAACAGAAAAAAAGTGTTCTTCATTCACTTGATGGAATGAAAGAGGATAAGGTTTTTCAATTTCCATTTTGAGATTAAAGTAGAAATTTTGAGATTTATGTCGAAGTTAAAGTAAAAATTTCAAGATTAAAGTCGAAATTTTAAAAATTCCAAAATGTCGACTTTATTCATTTCAACTTTAATCCCGAAATTTTGGCTTAAATCTCAAATATTATTTTTCATCTCGAAATTTTGACATTATTCACAACATTTTGACATTCTGTAATCTCGAAATTTTGACTTTAATCTCAAAAAAATAATTTCTAATCTAGAAATTTCAATTTAAATCTCCGTCCTGTAATTCTTATTCTTTTCTTCATGTAGCCCTAATCCTCTTTCATATGATCGAGCTCTGAGAACAGAATCAGTTGTTTTATTATTGTGCATTAAAGATATATACTTTATCTAAAATATAACAATAGTGTCGAACTACAGCCACTTAGCTTTAATATAAACTATAATTTACTTCTAAGTCTTTGTATATCTGTCTTAACTCTCATTCTGTTTGTCATCATGTTAAACTGTTGACTTATAACAGTATTTATAATATAGTCTAGCCGTCCAAACAGATAAATTTGCAGTTTCAGATTAAAAATAAACATTAAAAAATCAACAAAAAGGCGAAAAATCACTCGTAATGCAAACGTTTCTTAAGGATCTCTTACAGGAGCACTTTGAGTGACATACTCATGAGTCTGGTGTGTAGATATTCTATCCTCTAAAACACAGTCTGATTGTTAAAATGTACAGTAAATGTTGATGAAGTTGTTGGTCAGGATGTTCTTAGAGTCTGTGAATGAGGCGGATTTTTCCTTTTCTTTGCTTACTCATAGAAAAAACAGAAAGTGACCTCATGCTCAATATAAAGGAGCAGTTTCATGTCTTTGTCATTCACTCCATTCCCCCCACCAGGGCTTAAAGAGTACTTACACATACTGCAGTTTAATCTTAGTCATAGTTCACAGACACGTCATGCCTCATCTGAGTCTTTTTTCCCCCTGTTTTGTCGAGCTTATATTTCCTCTCGTTTTCATGTTTCATGAGCGTGTAAAGCTCTCAAAGCTGTCTGGAAACTTTACTGCTTGTAACAATATTACCTAATAGAGTGAAAATTTGTTCTTAAAATAGACGATTAAGTTTGTGGAAATAGTTTGTAAACTGCTGATGAGTGAGGAAATCCCCGTAATGGATGTTTTAGATGGCGAACACTGTTAGCTAAGAGTGTAAATAAAGGCATTAAAGCTCATCTCATGTTGGCGTTTTGTCGTGTTGTGAAGTCGGTGACCTTGCGGCGATGGCGTCCCGTTTAAAATTCATATTAACGATCCTGTTGACACTGATGAAGTCGAAAAGAGCTCAGATGAAAGAAATGAAGAGGCAAAAACCTTGAGGTCAACCTTCTGTCCCCTTCAGCGGAGTCCCAGGAGAGGCAGCGTGTGCTGGAGTCAGACCCAAAGGGACTCTGAGTGTGTGTGTGTAAGTGTGTGTGTGTGTTCATTTGTTCAGTGGTCAGTGATCTGCTCGGTCCCCCCAGAGGGGTCTGAGTAACGTTTCAATGGGCCAGCTCAGCAGGGCTTTGTGCTGCCTAGCACCACATCTGTCTGCCACGGGAGAACGTGTGTGTGGTTTTGTGTGCGTTTGTCAGAGGTTTGGGGGGTTGCTGGTCGAGTGAGAGTGGAGGTGGGGGGTTGGTTCGAATGAGTTTGTGTGTGGAGTGGACGGACAGGCAGAGAGGGAAAGATAAAAACAGCTTTTACTATCCTGACGTTAGACGGGTCTCACTCTCAGTTTTGTAATGCACTGTGTAATTGTGCGTTTGTGCGTCTCTGCAGCCTTTGTGTGTTTGTTATTGATTGGTGCCATGTGTCTCTTCACAGCCTGGTGATCAGAGAGCGAACAGGACTCGCTCTCTCTGTCCCACAAACACAAAGACACACATAAGCAGCTGTCATTCATCAATGATCCGCGGTCGTATCGTCGCCGTTTTGGGATCAAAATCAGAACAAACTTATAGCGAGGAGGCGGTGTGTGTGTGTGTACATGTGTGTGTATGTGTGTTTGTGCAGGAGTATCAAGTGATGCCAGAAGTCACACAGGCAGCAGTTCTCTGAATCATTAGTTAACAAACGCTTGGCTGGAGCCGTGCCTTGTCTGTGCAGTCTGCAGAGCTGCTGCAGGCCACATCCTATCTGTGTGTGTGTGTGTATGTGTGTGTGTGTGTGTGTGTGTGTGTATTGTGAGGTGGTGTCCAGATGGCCCTCACAGATGGATGCTGCGGTCTTAAAGGAGATTACCTCTCTCTATTCTAGTCTCCGCGTTGTGCCTTAAGACCGCAGGAGCCCTGTGACACAGTAGCCCAATTAACTATTCGAACGAGCGCGGCCCCGGCGCTCGCTCAGCACCACCCGCCTCTCTGAAAAGGGTTAATGTGAGTCAGCTCTTGCGAGGGAGTGGATCTAAACAGAATAATTTAAAGCAGAGATTTCAAGATTGAACGTCTCTTCATGTACGGTCATGTGAAACTCTTTCGCTCGAAGGCTCAAGTGTGATAGAGGGAGAGGAATAAGTAATAGAGGAGAGAGGGGTGCGCGCAGAGAGAGGGCTTTGGTGCACGTGTGTGTTATCAGTAGCCGCACCATTACCCTCCTCACTTACCCCCACTGCGCTGTTTGTCTGCCACACACAGGCATTACACACACATGGACAAGCAAGGGTCAACTCATGCTGTCTGCTCTTTGGCAGACCAGAAGTCTCTGCAGCAGATTAAGGCTTTGGAGCAATTGAGGCACCTGTGTGTATCCATAAACACACACACAAACGCACACACACAGGTCGACATACTCTCACTCCACTCCTTAGTGTCACACTGTACGTCTCTGAATGTGTGACATGTTTTGAGTCTTCTTCTCTGCCTTTCCTAATGCGGCTCTGCTCACCACTGCCACCTGCACATCAGCGGAGTAACACACATCCAGCATCAGGACTATGTGACGTGTTTCTGGACATTTTTCATCAGAACTAGAGGAACGCTCATAAAAACCCTCGTCCCGTGGCACCACTAGCGGTCTAAAAACTCAGCGGGGCTGCACCTTCGAGCTAACCTTCAGAAATAACGTCTCTCTCAGAGGTTAAACATGTTCCAGGAGTTCTGCTTATAACATTACACCGCTACAAGCCAAAAGCCGTTTTTTTTTTCCAGAAATTTTGCCCAAGTTCATGTCCTTGTGTAAAAGTCTTCCGTTATATGTAAGTTTTGAGTGGTTAAAATTATAGTGCATGAAACAGAAACGCACAGAATTCAAAACCTTGTTTATCCCGGACAACATCGTCTTTACATTATGTCTGAATTTCTCTTCCTGCCAAGTTCACGCCACTCATTTGTCGAGTGAATATATATGGACTCGGGTCTCGTGTGGTTTCAGCATCTTCTTTAAAGTGTTCAATCTGGAACTCATCTGTGTCAAGATCTTTAAAGAGACTTCTAAGTAATCCGCGACGTAAGCAGCGACTCTTAAAGTGTCGATTTATACACGCATATTTGTTTCGGAGCCTGATTTTTATGCGTCTACACAAGTCACATATGTATACGTTTAACTTTTATCCTTGGTTTTATAGGTTGGTGATTTAGTGGTGCATCTAAAGCAGAGAGATAGCTTGCCCACCCCGTGCCCCAGCCCCCTGAGATAGGACTATTAACACCACTGGAAAATGACAGGGGCTCCACATCAGGCTTTGAAGAGCTCTATAGCTAAAGACAGAAACATCAAAGTCCTTTTCAGAGTCAGTCTGTGTTGGCTCGTTCATGAAGTCTCTAAAGCTGGGGTAGAGATCTTATAGATTTTGTACGCAGTCAATGAGAATATGTGGAAAGTTTGATGACAATTTTCATCAAGATTTTCATGAACAGTTATGAAGCCTTTTTGCTCTCATTACAGATTAAACTGAAACAATTGATAATATCTAAGAGGTTTGTTTTCTTGGCACTCTTGCTTCCCTCTCTAAACCTGACTCAGTCTCAGCAGATGACTGTCTAACATCAGTCTGGTCCTGCTCGAGGTTTCTGCCTGTTCAAGGAAGTTCTTGAGTCTGATTCTGCTCAAGGTTTCTGCCTGTTAAAGGAAGTTCTTGAGTCTGATTCTGCTAGAGGTTTCTGCCTGTTGAAGGAAGTTATTGAGTCTGGTCTTGATCAAGGTTTCTGCCTGTTCAAGGAAGTTCTTGAGTCCGGTTCTGCTTAAGGTTTCTGCCTGCTAAAGGAAGTTCTTGAGTCTGGTTCTGCTTGAGGTTTCTGCCTGCTAAAGGAAGTTCTTGAGTCTGATTCTGCTTGAGGTTTCTGCCTGTTAAAGGAAGTTCTTGAGTCTGGTTCTGCTTGAGGTTTCTGCCTGTTCAAGGAAGTTCTTGAGTCTGGTTCTGCTTAAGGTTTCTGCCTGTTAAAGGAAGTTCTTGAGTCTGGTTCTGCTTAAGGTTTCTGCCTGTTAAAGGAAGTTCTTGAGTCTGGTTCTGCTCGAGGTTTCTGCCTCTTAAAGGAAGTCCTCCCCTCCATTGTAACGTGATATATCCTGCAAAGTGTTTCCCTCATGTGGTTAAAGATGGGATGGGAGTGGGTCTGACCGGATCTTTACATCATGTCTTTGTTTATAGAGTCTGGTCGAGACCTGCTTTTGTTTGCTTATCGCCTTGGGATAACACTCGCTGTGAATTGGCGCTCTATAAATAAAGATTTATTGATTGATTGATTGATTGATTGAGGGGGTCTGGAGCTGTGAGCTTTTTTCAGAAAGTGGATTGATTATCTTCAGCAGATGCAGCACCAGGTTAGACATTACAGCCTGTGATTGTCTCTGTAAGCTGTCATGACTCATGTGTCCCCCTAACTGGAGTGTTTTTGTGTTCCTGCATGCTTTCACCGCCATTCGAAATAATTATATGTGCCCTTAATGCAGTGTGGTTGAGTGTGTTGGGAGGAGGGCCTCAGACTGGGGCTGCTCTCAGGGGAAATCAGTGGATTGGTCAGACAAGGACAGTGTCTATATTTAGCCTCTCTGCCAGGATAGAATGACATCTCTGTTTGGTTCAGGCCAGCCGTTATTGGAGTCACTTAGTAAATGATTTAAAACAATGTTCAAGTCAACAAAATGACTCAGTCAGTTGAGGATGTCTGCTCTGGAAACAGAAGATCAGACATGAAACAGAGCTGTTAAAACCTACCAGCAAGAGACCGGACTAGACCGGGCTCTTAGATCCACGCCAGGGATTCCCATCAGCACAGAAGGACCAGAGCTCATGAAGGTTAACACAGACCACCTGTCAGTGACCACCTGTTGAATGGAGCGGAGGATCTCCTGCACCCCCCAAACTGAACGAGGGATCCAAACACATCATAGTTTCATGATTGGACAATATCTTGATTTTTTAAAAAGTCAGTATGATACTTAGATTAATATTTTTCATTGACAAACACTTGGAAAGCGCGAGACACGATAGAGATGAAAATCGATTTGAGAATATACTTTTTTTAACATCGTCATCATCAAATAATCTGATTACGATTTAAAATCGATTAATCATGCTGACCGACCTCTTTGGTATTACATATTACAAACACGCATCTGTCAGCCAGTCTTCTTATGCATTCACACCTTAAAATCATGATTAGCTGCTGGGAGTGAAAATAGCCGCTTGATGAATATTGAAACTGTCCGTCTGGTTCAGCGGTTGCAGCCATGAATCGTAGCGACTGGAATCCAGCCACTGTCTGTATGGTTATTATAAACACATCATCAGCAGAAGTAATGCTGAGCAGATGCAGTCGGAGTGTGGAGGGAGCTGTACGGCTGCTGTGTACACGTCTGTGAAAGAATGTGCTGTCTACCCTCCTCCCTCTCTCTTTACAGTCCTTGTCTGTTCACAAACACAAATATCGTTAGAAAAGTGAACAGGGGAGTGTGTGTGTAAGCCGAGGACAGAGGGCGTGTGCATATTCCCTCAAAAAGAGTGCATTTTTTTCTGCTAAATCCCACAACACAAGTCCAATTATTTCTGTGTTTATTCTCGCTTTCGGTCAATTTGGAGTTGTCACGCTTCTGATAAATGTTCAGGAGGAAATTACACTTGATTAAATCACGAATGTTTCTGAATTATTACTTACTAGCTTCTCAAGCGAGTTTAGACAAAGCGAGCTAAATGTCCTGAGGTTATGTTATTCAATCTGATGAAAACTGATGAGGAGTTTCACTGTAATATCAAGTCAAGTGTTTTCAGTGTTCTTATAGCTGTTGTTTCTTTTGGAGGAGTATCTTGTTTTTTCTCTGTCTGTCTAAATTTGCCCGTTCTTTCTCTCCCCACCACAAACCCCCCTGTCCTTTTTCTCTCCTCTTCTTCTTTTAGGGACATAAAACCCGACAACATACTGTTGGACGTGAACGGCCACATCCGCCTGGCTGACTTTGGCTCCTGTCTCAAACTTATGGAGGACGGGACGGTGAGTTTTTTTTTTTTTTACCACAGCACTGCTGACGCTTCCCCCAGTCCAAAGCAAACATACCAGAGCTTTACTGACCTCCTTGTCAACCCCCAGGGGTCTCCCAGGAGGAGTGCGGTTCAGCGGCTTGGCTGTTCTAACATTTTATGATTTAGACAATTCTTCTTCTCGCAGAAAAAAAGCCGTTTCCCTCAGGTGTTACATAAAAGAAAGACGTCAGGATGAAATGGATTATCAAAGAGGTGTCTAGGTTTGTTCCTCCAATGTTAACATCGTGATTTTGACACATGAACCTTTGGAAAAATAAATTGAGGGTTTATTTAACACTGGCTTTGAATAATACGCTCAGTACAATCAAAAGCTGCTTCTCATCATACCGAGCTGAAGTCCAGAAGTTGTCCTAACTTCAAACCAGTAGTCAAGTTTATGATATTGATTAAATTACTCTGACAAAATAGTTTTTTGATCCAGATCTTTTCAGTACAAAAAAAGATCAGGCCCACAAGAAGAGAAAAAAAATTACAGGAGGGAGATTTTTTAATTTCCATTTAAGGGTTAAAGTCGGAATTTCGAAATAAAAGACAAAATTCTTAAAAAGTCAAAATTAAAAAAAAAATAAATAAAAAAATAATTTCATGAATGAGGTCGAAATGTCAACTGTAATCTCAAAATTTCAACTTTTATCTTGAAGTTTCAGTTTTTAATGTCAACTTTATTGACATAATTCCAATTTTTTAATGCTGAAATTTTGACTTTAATCTTGAAATTTCAATTTTTAATGACGAAATCCAACTATATTGACATAATTTTATTTATTTATTTTTTTTTAAATTTGGATTTTTACTTGAAATTTGGATTTTAATATTCTTCCTGTAATTTTTTTTTTCTTCTTATGGCCCCAATCCTCTTTTATACTTCTGAGACCTCTCATTTTCATCCAAGATACCATTTAAGTGCTTTGTTTAGATTCAGCATCTAAAGTGATTTCTCCAGATTGCAAAATAAAAGTAAAAACAAAGTTAGAAAAACTTTTGCAGAGCAGAGAATTTATTGAAGGTTTAGTCTGCCTTTTGTTAGGTTGTATTCAGACTGTTATCCATCATCATCTTTGCTTTTATTCAAATGTGGTCCAATACTTACTCAAGTTAGTATATTCTTTTTCTTGAGTGATTTTTTAATAAGTCTTGTTTTATCTGGTCCTTTCTCTCAGGTCCAGTCTTCCGTGGCGGTGGGGACTCCGGACTATATCTCCCCAGAGATCCTTCAGGCTATGGAGGACGGCAAAGGCAAGTACGGGCCTGAGTGTGACTGGTGGTCCCTGGGAGTCTGCATGTATGAGATGCTGTACGGCGAGACTCCTTTCTATGCAGAGTCCCTGGTGGAGACCTACGGGAAGATCATGAACCACAAGGTCAGCTGAAACCTCAAAGTGGATTTAAGTAGATTCTTCAAAAATACGAGATTGTGACGTTGGATTAACAGAGAATTCAAATCTTTGTTTTAGGAGCGTTTTCAGTTTCCACAGCAAATAACAGACGTGTCAGAGGATGCGAAGGATCTGATTCGTCGGCTCATATGCAGTCGTGAACACAGATTGGGCCAGAATGGCATCGAGGACTTTAAGCACCACCCTTTTTTTACTGGTACAGCTGCATCTTTGATTCTGTTATTTAGATAGTCTCTTTAATCTCACAGATATGATAAAATAATCTGTTCTGGAGGCTTTAGCATGATGTGTGATCACCTATGTTGTCCTAGGCATCGATTGGGAAAACGTCCTCACCTGTGAAGCCCCCTACATCCCAGAGGTCAGCAGCCCCACAGACACCTCCAACTTTGACGTGGACGATGACTGCTTAAAAAACTCGGTAAGCTGCTTGTTCAGGGATCAAGACACAAACGCTGATCCCTCACTCTGCTGCAAATCTGTCACTGCAGACTCATTTAAGGACACTGATCGCTGCACTACAAGTTTAAGTCAAAGAAATAAGACACACCCAGAACTTGGAGTTACAATCAGTGTAAGAGGGGTCGTTACATTGGTGGAAAGTGCAAAAAATGACAGTAAGATATAGGACTGGGCGATTTGGCAAAAAAATGATCACAATATATTTTGTCATATCGTCCGATCTCGATTATTATCACAATTTTTTTTTAAAACTGCCAATTTTACAGCTTCTGTAGTAAAAACTAAAGAAACTAGAGATTAGTTCAACATTTGATTAACATACAAAGTAAATTAAATAAAATAAACTTAGAAAAATATAAAAACCATTTTAACTCAACAGAACAACAAATGTCGATAAACACTAAATAATACAGTGAACTAGTTTAAAGTCCTGAGTGTTTTTGCAGGTATGCAAGACCCAAAATAAATAAATCGCCCCTCAGGGATAATGAAGACGCCTTCAAATGTAAACTTTAGATGACGATGATAATGATGATGATCAATATCAATATCATCATCACATCCATACCTGTCTTTTGTTGGCACTGATCTTTCTTTCTGTTTTATATTTTTCTCATACTTGTCTTTAAAACTCTTCTTCGATTGCACTGCCCTTTCGTTCTTTTTTTACCGTAGTTCTTTATCTGTTAACGACTTAATTTCGCCACTGAAGGATGAATAAAGAAAAATCTAATCTAACCTAATCTAAACGTAGATGATATGATTGATTCCTGCTTCATGTGTGTGTCTTCTCTGCATTTTCAGGAGACTATGCCCCCTCCCTCTCACACTGCTTTCTCCGGTCACCACCTGCCCTTTGTGGGATTTACCTACACGAGTAAATGGTAAGTGCCTTTAGCGTTGGTTAGTCCCTTCACATTCATTGCATACTTGGATAAAATCCTCCCTAAGTGGAGAAGTAAGGACAGATATTTTTCCGTAGTTAGAAATCAATTTTAATTCATTCTTAGTTTTTAATAAAGAGATTTATATGAAACCTTGTCATCATCTGGCTTTACGTGTCGTTAATCCACATCAGCAGACAGATTTTCCAGACGAGTCCTCTCTCCCTGCATAGCATCGTTATTATCACGCCATCGACAGAAACATAAATCATGAAATTAGCTCTCCTGCCTAATAAGGTGATGTTCATGACTTGTTGTAGATCTGTCTGTGAGAAAGTTACAGTCTCAACACTTACTCCCTTATCTCTTCAGGGCTCCGTGATAACATTCTCCCCCCTCTCTCTCTCTCTCTCTTTCGTTTTTTTCCACCACTTCATCCCCCTCCATTTCTCTTCCAGTTAGTCTAATTCCTCTCCGCTCGGCCTCGCCAGCCGTCTTTTATGACTCAACATCTCGTCTTTCAGCTCATTTCCATCTCAATCATCTGTTTGTCTTTCCTGTTTCCTCTCTCCTGCTGTTTCCTTTTTCACTCTCCATCTCCGCTGAACAAAAACAGAATCGCATCAATAAAAGGCCTTTTCTTTCTTCCTCTCTCTCTTTTTGACTCTGATTTGATTTATCGTCTTGATTCCCAAACTTCTCTTTTATGACCTAAAATGTTTCTCATTATCCCTCCGTTACAGCACCCTATCCGACAGAGGTTGCCTCCGACAGTTGGCGGTAAAGCCCGGTATGTCGGGTCAGGACGAGGTGGACCAGGATGTGCAGCGCAGCCTGGAGGACAGCCTCGCCACCGAGGCGTACGAGAGGAGGATCCGCCGCCTGGAGCAGGAGAAGCTAGAGCTGAGCCGCAAACTGCAAGGTCGAGTTTGTCTCCTCATACTTTTTTTTCCAACAATATCTTCATTTATTCCCAGAAAACACAAAAACACAATATTAGCCTACAAAACCAAAGAAATTAAAAAGAAACCAAAGAACCAGGCGTGAGGGTTTTGTAGAAAATAAAAGATTTTTAAGTGCGCCTTATCATGAGAGAAATACGGTAAATAAAGATGTTTAAAAAAATCATAATTGAGAAAAAAACAAAAGGGGGAGAAAATAAGTACCAAACCAACCAGACACTACTCATGTCTCCCCACATTAAAACTGACATGATGTGTCTCACCTGATCTCCTGCAGAGTCCACTCAAACTGTGCAGGCCCTACAGCATCCATCAGGCGAGGGTCCTGTCAGCGCCAACAAAGAGGTGGAGATCAGGAGTCTGAAGAGCGAAATCGACATCCTCAAGAAGCAGATCGCAGGTCAGGGTCTTTTTTTTTTGGATATTATACAGTAAAATCATTTTAACTGAACTCTTTTTTTAATGGAGTGAATTTCTAAACTGTTTCTCGATGTGTGTTTGTCAGACTCGGGCCAACTGGAGAAGCAGCTGGAGGACGTTTCGACGGCGCGCAGGGACCTGGAGGATTCATCGAAACACATCAAGACCCTGGAGAGACAGATGAAGAGCCTGACACAGGAGAGGGACGACCTACACAAGGTTAGAAGCTGTAATACTTCCTCTAGTAACCGTCGTTTTTACAGTCGAGTCAGAGTCACAGCCTGAGTCAGCAGTTTAACCGGAGCGCTGTACTCCTCCCAGTATAACGAGAATTAGCTAATTGACAATAATAGCTGTAAGAGGCGGATCGAGATACTATCAGACTTCATCCCGGAGGCGAACTCAGTCGAATGTTAAAAACACGGAGAGCACAAAACAACCCCAGCTTCTCTCTGTGTGTTTATACTGGTCGACTTACAGGTCCCAGCCCAGTGTTTAAACTGGGAGCAGATTGCCAAGGCCACTTCAGTAGCAGACTGTTCTTTGTTCAGGGTTTCTGCTGGCTCTTAAAAAGTCTTAAGACGTCTAAAATTCGCTGAAAACCTCATAAAATGTCTTAAATACTAATTTTGAAAGGTCTTAAAATGTATCGATTTTACTTACAAGTAAAGATGAATTGAAGTAATGTAAAATGTTCCGATTTCTTTTCATGTCTGTTGTATTTTTTCGCCAGTAAAATAGGGTTTATATAAAAATATTGTATTTATTATGGTCTTAAAAAAGTCTTAAAACTGACTTGTTGGAGCCTGCAGAAACCCTGTTGTTGGAGATGTTTTAAAAGCACACAGACTCGTATTATCACCGTTTTTACTGCTCATTTAAAAGTCACCTGTGCTCTTCTCTTCCGTGTTAATCCAACAGGATGTCGCGGAGGCCAACGAAAAGCTCAAGTCTCAGTCTAAAGACCTGAAGGAAGCTCACAGCCAGAGGAAACTGGCCATGCAGGAGTTCTCCGAGCTCAACGAGAGACTCACAGAGCTCAGGTATCGTCACGCCGCTTGAGCATTTCGAATTATCTTCACGTTTGTTGTTCCTGAAACACTGAACATCTGTCGTGACCGGCCTTTTCATTCAGGTCAGCGAAGCAGCGCCTCGCACGCCAGCTGCGGGACAAAGAAGAGGAGATGGAGAGCTTAAGTCAAAAGGTTGAGGCTCTCCGCCTTGAGGTGCGAAAGGCCGAGAGGGCCAAGAAGGAGGTAGAGTAGTCTCCCTGTGGTTGGTAGAACATCCCGCTCCGTCCCCTGCTAACGTCTGTGTTGTTCTCGTGTTACCTCTCTAGAATTTTTTACACTGTAGATCCATAAATGTTGGTATTAAAGCGGATAAAACCATAGAACTCCTACATGGTGTGTGATCTCTGCGTGCATTTATCATCAGATGGAGGCTCGGGAAGAGGAGCAGGCGGCAGAGACTCAGAAAGAGAGGAAGCTGAGAGAACGTAACGAACAGTACAGCCGACAGCTGGAGGAGGAGCTGGAGGGGCTGAAGGTAAGACCGCAAACGAACATGAACCTTCAACTTCAGAAGACTTGTCTCGATTCAAAGATTAAACCCCGATGTCTCCACGTTTCCAGTTGAAGCAGGTCGGCTCCTCTACGATCCCAGCCTCAGCAGACCAATCCCAGGAGGTGGGACGCCTGCGGGGAGACCTGGAGAAGAAAACCCTCTTGTACGAGGAGGAGCTGGGACGCAGGGAAGCGCAGCACAGCTCGGAGCTCAAAACCCTGCGTAAGGAGCTGCGGGACGCGGAGAGCCAACACCTGACCCTGCAGAAGGAAATCCTGATGCTCAAAGACAAGCTGGACAAAACTCGCCGTGAGAGGTATCTTCTATCCTCCTCAGTGATTCTTTATTCTTATTATCACAGATTTTTGTTTGGATCATCAATGTCACATCATCATTTTTCTTCATTGTGTTTTCCAGCGATGTGTGCATGAGGTAATCTCAATTTTTAAACAGAGCTCAAGTCCAGGTCTAGTATGAATGTGTAGAAACTGTTTCCTTTAACATTTCTAGACTTGAATGTAGATCTTTTAGTGCCCCTGTACCTTAGTAACCTTCCTCTAGGACTCCCAAGTCCTTCTAGCCCCCTCCTAAGTTGTCCCCCAGTTCCCTCTCCGACTAAAAAGTTGTTGATGTTTTCCTTTTGAGCGTAAACATCATGAAACTTAAAAAGTCACTTTTACTCTCAAACATGAGTGTCTGAGGTATCTGCAGTGTTTCGCCAACTTCGTGAGGGTGAAAATAGTGGAATTAAAGAACCGCCAAGTCAAACACGACATGCCATGAGAAGAGGGGTGACTGTTATTTGTACTGCAGACCCCTGGTAGGGTCGTCACATCCTTCCTCTGGATCTCTTTCATGCAGCAGCACACCGCTTTAATCTCCTCTGATAAAATCTTGTTTTTCTGAAGAGACAGCTTTAAACCTTTGTTTTCGTACTCCTCGGCCAAACCTTTCTTCCCGGTGTTACCGACATCTTCTTTTACGACTCTCTAATTCATTTTTAAACACACAGATGTATCAGATTCTTCCTGCATTAATGGGTTTGGACTCGGACTTGTGTACCCTGTCTTAGAAGCGGGCTTTTGATTTAGGTTTTAAGGAAATATGTGGAGACTAAGGCCTTCATAGAAGAGGGATTGCGAGGGAGGTTAAGTGAGAGGATTGTGAATATTTTATTATGTATTTGTTTATTTTTATTTGCGGTTTAAAGATCGGCGTTTATGCGTCTAAAAGAGCAAAAATCTGAGTTTTTATCCATGTTTGAACGACAGACAGGATTTGCAGCTGTGAATTCTGCTCAGGAAATCGACGTAAACATTGGTAAAATGTTGTGAGTGTAATTATGTGTCGTGTGTGTGTTTTCCTTCAGCCAAAGTGAGCGGGAAGAGTTTGAGACCGAGTACAAGGAGAAGTACGAGAGGGAGCGAGTCCTGCTCACCGAGGAGAATAAGAAGCTGTCCAGCGAGCTCGATAAGGTGAAGCACCTTCATGAGTTTAAGAATATTTCTGTCTCGCTCTCTCACCTTTTTAAAGCGTGTTTACCTCGCTTAAACACACACGCACATTAACACACACTTAAAAAAACACACACTTCCCTCACCCCAGGTAACCCCTCTCAGCTGGCCGAAACTCTGTCATCACATTCCTTCCTCCGCCCCCTCTCTCTCTCTGCTTTGCCAAAGAAATCACTGTTCAATGTCCCTCATAACAACACCCTGCAGCCTCCTACACACTCACATGGAATGAGTCTCTGGATTACAATTTATTGACTTTGGAAATCGCTGTTGGAAGTTCAAAAGACCCCTGAATGTAAACAGTGCGTCTCAGAAGTGGGCGGCTGCTCGACTTAAAGAATCAAAGGTCCGAGTTTTTTTTGTTTTGAAAGTCTGCGACCGATTAGTAGAAACTTCCACAAGGAAATATAAAGACGGCAGATGTTTTTACGGCCGGGTCATTCATCGTGATAATTATGATTTTATTTTATTGTTACGAAAACATGAAAAATATGTTTTTAATAACTATTCTGGCTGCGTGCGAGTGAACATAAGCAGTCCTTCAATGCTGATGGTCTGCTCTGATGGAAACTATAGTGTTAGACTGACTCAGTTTGTAAAGAGGAGAGCAGCTCAGCTCTTCATCATCATCATCATCATAGTTTCTTTCTCTCTGTATGCAGAGGCATCAAAATTTAGTCCTGAATGAAAACATTAAAAAAATGTTTAGTGGTTTATTAAAAATAGAGCAAAACCAAATTCCAAAGTGAAAAAAAACATACTCCTCATATATTTGCTTTTATTATTCAAAAAAAAATCAACTTATCAAAAACATACTTCGGGTATATTTGCTTTTATTTTGAAAGGCTTCAAATCAAATTCTGACGTAAAAAAGAAAAAAAAACATACTCCTGGTATATGCTTTTATTTTGAAAGGTTTCAAATCAACCTCGGACACTTAAAAAAAAAACAACTCCTGGCATATTTGCTTTTATTTTGAAAGGCTTTGAATCAACTTTCAAAAAGAAAAAAAACACACTCCTGGTACATTAGCTTTTATTTTAAAAGGTTGTCAAATTAACTTGGGACGTTAAAAAATAAAAGTAAAAACATACTCTGGGTATACTTGCTTTTATTTTGAAAGGCTTCAAATCAACTTCAGACATAAAAGTAACCCAAACATACTATCAGTATATTTGCTTTTATTGTGAAAGACTTTGAATTAACCTCTGATGTGAAGATTAAAAAACACACTCCCGGTATATTTGCTTTTATTTTGAAAGGCTTCAAATCAACTTCAACTTCCAGTCTGCTCAGTGGAGGTGGGTTCTCACAGTGGAGGTCTGCAGTCAGACTGTCTTGAAATATTTTAGCAGAAGCAGTTGAAGGAGGTTTACCCAGGTGTCGGTGTTATGTTGTCCCCGTCCCAACTAATTTTGACAAAAGTTGCTGCTATCAAATTTCAGATTCGTGAATATTCTTCATCAGTTAGTCTTTCACTCGGAATATTCAGCCGAAACGACTTGCAAACCATCAAATTCTTTTGTCGTAAACATTTTCTGCAGCCTCAAACTCTTGAGTCTTGATTTTGGCAAGTTTTGATCCCAAACAAGGATGAACACAGAGACGGATGCAGCTGTTGTGGAGAAAGTTTTCATGAGAAATGATCCGTGTTGGCAGAAAAATCTGTAATGATACCAGGACACTGCAGATGGAGTTTGAGCTCGACTTTCATGGGAACTCTGGATTTATTATTCTGTTAAAAAGTCCAAAGTTTTGAATATGAGGTGTGGCGTCTGTGCTTTGTGGGAGTCTCAGCCTGTTGTTACTCAGGACTTTAGTCATATATGGTGAGATTTCATCACAGAGGGCAAATCACAGAATAAACAATCATAAACTAGGCGTCTATTCACAGAGCTGCAGTACACGCCTTAAGAGGCAATATTTATTTCACTCCATGTTAATGCTTATTTTAGCCGCCCGAAGCCTTCTCCGCATCACAGACGGTTTTACGACCCCGAGTGTCCTCGCAGATACTCTTAACGGCGGGCTCCGGGATCGGAAAACGGTTGCAAAACATCGTCTCAGTTCGCAAATTACATCACAGCCTTGACAGTTTGACGACACCAGGAATGTTTCCGCGGAGTCGAAGTATTTAGGCAAAAACAACAGGGCGGTTTGAGACTTGTAGTGATGTCATGATGACTCCACGGGCGCACGCCTCTCATATTAGGAGGATTATGGGAAAGATTTCTCGAGATTAATCACCGTGGATGTGTGCACGTGAGGGGACACACCTCCTGAGCAACGTCAACGGGAATGTCAACATTGTCAGAGATTCGTTTTACATTTATTAGCAGTGTAGTGACGCTCTTTTGTTCACTAAGATCTGTTTCTGCGTCTCTCCTCAGTTGACCAGCATGTTCGAGAAGGTGAGCAGCTCCAACAGGCAGCTGGAAGACGAGATGAGGGAGCTGGCCGACAAAAAGGAGAGCGTCGCTCACTGGGAAGCTCAAATCACAGAAATCATCCAATGGTGAGACACCCGAACATGCACCAACTTTCCCGATGTCACTCTCCTGCGTCTTCTGCTCGTGGATCGAGTTCCTCTCTTCAGGATGAATAAAGCATTTCTCACATTCCTCCCAAGATCTCAGAGCCACTCGACCCGCCCTTCCTCTCAGATCACTTCCCATTGCAGCTGACACCTCGCCAGCTGCTCGGCCTCCCTCTGTTGGACGGGCCTGCAGTCCTCGCATTGCACACATTCCACACACTCACACACACACACACATATACTTACACACACACGTGCGAGATACATCCATCCAGAAGCAGAAAGACGCATACGCCGATACACACACTCACATTCCAAACATGCACGTACAAATGAGAGAGTGGAATGTGGTTTCTGATGGGTTTGGTGATCTATGATGCCCCCTGGTGGACATGATGTACACTCACAAAGGCAGGGTTTGCACGCACAGGGAGGTAAATATGTTGAATTGTGTGTTTTTTCTGCAGGGTGAGTGATGAGAAGGACGCTCGGGGTTATCTGCAGGCTTTGGCCACCAAGATGACGGAGGAGCTGGAGGGACTGAGAACCACCAGCCTGGGAGCGAGAGCCACGGTGAAACACGCAAACAAAACTTCAACTTATTTTGGGTTCTCTGAGGTGAAAGTTTGTCACGATCTTAATTGTGATCGTCTCTGCGCTTTAGGACATGCCCTGGAAGATGCGGCGCTTCGCCAAGCTGGACATGTCAGCCCGTTTGGAGCTGCAGTCCGCCTTGGACGCTGAGATCAGAGCCAAGCAGGGCATCCAAGACGAGCTGAACAAGGTTAAGGCGAACAACATGTCCACTGAATGGTAAGATCATAACAAGAATGAGTAAAGAAAGTTTGGCAGACATCAGGACAAAACTCTAATGTGGTTTTTTCCGTTTCTCCAGTAAACTGCAGGAGGTGGAAACGAAGAACCAGGAGCTTCTGGCAGAAATTGACAGACTGAAGAAAGAGACGGAGGAGCTGCGGTTACGGAGAGGTAGTTTTTCTCATTTTCAAGGACACATGAAAACATTTATATTGCTTTAACCCCACATACATGCGGCAGTATTTTATTAGAATCATTGGCCATCATTTATCAAACAAACCTACAGCAGAAAACCGTCCGTACGACCATTTCCACGCAAGGATCAGCATTTATTAATTTGAACGTGAGCATACGATCAAATCTCACGACAGGTCTGACATCGTGCTTCTGAACCACGAATATTTAAGGGTGAGACGTGTTAATGCCGATCGATTTCAGCCGCTGCATCATACCTACGCTGGGATTGGTCAGATACGAACCCTTTCATAAATCTCACGTGTGTCCTATCGTACTGCAAATCCTGCGCTCAGATCTACACAAGATTGATAAATGAGGGCCATTGTGTGTCGATGATTAAATAGACACAACACACTCTTAACTTCTCACCGCAGTCATATGACTCCCCCCGCCATACACACACACTCACACACACACTGTGAATTGTTTAAGTCGCCCTTTGATGTTAAAATCGCCGACTTAACCGTGGTCGTGTTATTTGTGCCGTGCCTGTAGGTGTCAAGCACCAGGATTCCCAGAATTCCTTCTTGGCTTTCCTAAACGCTCCGACCTCAGCGCTGGACCAGTTTGATGTAAGTGTTTAGGAAATTCCTCATACCATATATGGGCGTGGAAGTCCAGATTTAAAGCCATTATTCAGATGTATTTCTGCTTGTTTTTTGTACTAATCTCTCTTATGAGTGTTTCTTTGTTTCTATTTGTTTGTTTTTCGCTCACATTCACTTCCCGAGATCTTTATTTTCGTTTTATCTTCTCGGTTGTTCCTTTGCTTCAATCTCTGGTACCTCAGGACTCTTATTCTTCATCCTCATCCTCTTTAATTGAGTTTTGGGAGGACGTAAGTGTCTTTTTGTTAGGCAGAGGTCCGTGTGTGTGTGTGTGTATATGTGACAGTAGCAGTCTCCAAGCTGAGAACAGCAGCATAGATCTGTGTTTACATGAGTTTGTGTCTGTGCATTAGTGTAACTGAAGAAGAGCAGAGCCGCTGCAGAAGTATTCAGTCCTGTTGTTTTTCAGTCTGGACCTCAGAGAAATGAGGAACACATGAAATATGATGAATTCATATTATTCGAGGTCATATGAATTCATTTAGTTCAAGTGCCTTAGTGTGAGGATTGATGTCTTCTGCAGTTGTCTGCTCTTGGGTTCAGTTGCTTGCAAGTCTTTGTTGGCTAGTGAGCTCGTAAATAAAAGTACCTCTGCTTTCTAGAGCTCGAAAACAAAGTTACACGGTCAGAGCCAAAAAGGAGACTTGTGCATCATACTGACTTTCCCAGCTCCTCTTTACCGATCATCATGTTTAATTTCTCCATTTGTAACCGTCTCTTTTTAACCCTTCCTTCCTGATCCAACCCTGGTCCACATACACAAGTGATATACAGGGATTTCCACATGGGGGTACAAACAGCCATTCTGCTGCTGCTGTTTATATATTTATATATTTATATATGATAACTATTATAATAATAATAATTATTATTAACTCTGTACATCAAACAGAACATTACAGAACATTATTACACTTCTGGATCACCTAACCTGACAGACGATGACGTTTCCCAGCCATTAGGAATAATCAGTCGGAGCCCAGCACTTCTAGCCAGTCAGAGGCGGAGGAGGCAGGACTTTCCCCTACCAACCTTAAAAAAAAAATCGTGGGCGGGAGGGTATTTAAACATGGCGGCGCCGGCGTCTCGTACAGCAGCTTAAGTACGCGCTTAAAAACCTCCAAAGTTTGTGAGCACTTAAGCTTAGATAAGGTGAAAAAATTCAAATATCATGGCAGCACGTTGGTGATGCGCGAACATTTGAGGAGAAGACTCGTCCGAATGTCGGATGACTCGCCTCGGTAAAATATTAGCTTAAATGTATATTTCATAAGAGTATTTTGGCTTTATTAGAGCTTTAACGTTATGCCTGACATTTATTATTATTGCCACTTAATCAAAGCAACCTCGTGCTAAATTTAACAATAAATTCATAGTTATCCGATTAGTTGACTAGTGGTTAGAATAGTGGTTTATATTGTTGGTAATAGTTAGCGTTGGTCAAGTTTGTCAAAAATACCAGAAAAAAGAAGTGAAATAGGGAATCTAAAACTGACGGGTAAAACGGTTAACAGTCAGCTGAAAAGAAAGGTTAAACAGTTAAAATGGTCACTAGTAACAGATGAATAGTCTAAATATGAGCAGTAGGTCACAGAAACAGCCAAAAGTTAAAAAAGTTGGTAGTTTACATGTTACTTTAACAAATATTAAGTTTTATAAAACCTTCATTGATAATATGGTGAATAGTGAACGAATGTTGGAAAGCACAGGTTCACTGGAGTTCAGGTCGATCTCACCACCTCAGTGTTTCCTCCCCAGTCTGTAAAAATGTGTTTTCAGCTCTAATCTGATACTCACTCATCTCTGTGTCTCTGCCTCTCCCGCCACTGAAGCGCTCGCCATCCGTCGGCCCAGCTAGCAAAGGCAGACGTGTAAGCACCATCACTGCGCTCTGTGATTTCTCTTGTTGTTGTTTTTTGTCTCTCTGGCCTGTTTTGACTGTGCTTCTCGTTTCTGAGTGGTGTGTGTGTTTGTTTACTGCGGCTGTCTGGATGCATGGCAGGGGTCCTGGAAGCTCTTTTGTAGTGAAACGTTCATGTTTTGGGGGTTTTTTATTTTGAATGACGGGGGATTTTTGAGTATCGTGCGGTTTGTGTTTCTCTTTTTGTTTGAGACGCTTTGTGACTTGCCGTGCATGGTGTAAAGTGAGAGAGCTGTGGTGTTTCTTATGAGCATGGTCTGTTTTTATTTGGGTTGTGATGTGTCCCCAATAAAATTGTGGTCAGCTCTTTGAGTCCCGAGGATATGACCACATATCCTGACCACAAAACTATTTATGCTGTCGCCCTTCTCTCTGATTTCTTTTGTTTGACTAATTCTCTGTTTCTCTCTCTTTTCTCCTCCGGCTTCTCTCTACCCAGGTGGACTCCATCGATAACTTCACCCCCTCCAACACTCCATCCCGGGAAGACGACCACAAGTCCCACCTCAAGTCCCGCTCGCGTTCTCCCTCCATGGCCAGTGATATGGAGCCTATAGAGGTCAGAAACTTTGATCCGGACCTTCTCTCCATCCCTCCATCTTTACTGTACTCACAGAATTTTCCTTTTTAATGTCCCCCTTACAGTTGATAGACCATCCTCCTCGCACGGTCCAGACTCCTACGATGCGCTCAGGAGGGTACGGCAGTATCGGACGCTCCTCACCCAAGGTTAGACTTCTTTTACTTTCAGGATCGCCTCCGTAAACCTCGACGTTTTCTTGTGTTTGTCTCGATCTTTAACGCTCTATACTTATTTCTCTCAGCCTAAAGCACATCAGTTTGTGGTGAAGTCCTTCAGCACGCCCACTAAGTGTAATCAGTGCACCTCCCTCATGGTGGGGCTCATACGTCAAGGCTGTACATGTGAAGGTGAGGACTCTGCACACAGGAAGATCTCCTTCTATGATTGTGGTTGTGATTTAATCCTAAAGCTCTTCTCTGTCTCTCCTTTGTATTCAGTGTGTAACTTCTCCTGCCATGTTACGTGTGCGGATAAAGCCCCGGCTGTGTGTCCTGTACCCCAGGACCAGACGAAGGGCCCTCTGGGCATCGACCCTCAGAGGGGGATCGGCACTGCGTATGAAGGGCACGTCAGGGTAAGAGGGGAACTCTGTTGTTTCTAAACTACATGACGACTCAGTAAAATTGAGATGTTCGGAGGCTAAACCGTGTTTTTGTGTTGATTCCAGGTGCCCAAACCGACGGGGGTGAAGAAGGGCTGGCAGAGGGCGATGGCGGTGGTGTGTGACTTCAAACTCTTCCTGTATGAACTGGGAGAGGGAAAAGCCACACAACCGAGTGTCGTGGTCAGCCAAGTCATAGATATGAGGTACGAGAACCGCATCTTTTGTGATTGAGTGTGACTCCTCCAGATTTATCCGACAGAGTCACCGTCTGTCGTCATATCGCTTGTTTCGTCTCTATACGACGGCATAAACATTAAAGATATCTGGGGATGGGAATTGATAAGATTTTTTCGATATCGATGCCATTATTGGTTCAATTCTAAACGTAAGGTAGGCTATAGGTTTTCACGGTTAACTCAAACATTTATTGCCATCTTCAGTGAGAGTCCAAAAATAATCAAACAAAAATGCTATTTGTACAACATTTCTGGCATGCGTTGTGTTAATGTTAACACAGGACATACGTTAGGGTGACCTCCAAAAAGAGGACACTACTATGCAGGACTGAGTTATGTACGAAATTTTGAGTTTTTTTTGGTCAGGTCGAATGTTTTTATGCGCTTCTAACTCAGTTAAATGCATATTCTGAATATCCAAAGACAGCGCATGCGTGTGTCACATCAGAGGCTTTGCTTAGAAGTGAGTGGAGGGGCGGAGCTGCAGAGAGGACTGATGCTCTGCACTGTTTTATAATGAATGAAGACACATTCCGGACATTTGAAGGATTTTATAAACACCCCCCGACAAAATAGGACATGTCTTGGTAAAAGAGGACGTTTGGACACCCTAAAATACGTACCTTACATGCCATGCTGAGACGGAGCGGCAGCGGCTGACAACCGGTGGAGAACATCTAATACATGTGACTCTTTATATTTGATGTCGTGACCCGTTGACAAATGTTTAAACATGTTTCTGGTGTTTCCACCTTTGCATGTTATCACTGCTCGATAAATGTTGTGCTTTAGCTCGTTTCTGCCTACTTTTCGTATTCGCCATGGTTTTTTCTGTCTCTGTCCCCGTTTGTGTAGACTGGCTCTCACGAGATCATTTTTTAAGGCACCCGGAAGAAAGGAATTGTTAAGGGAATCGTTAAGATAAAATGTAAATGATGTCGATGGATTGAACCATTTGGAACCGGTTCTCGATTCCCGTCCCTAAAGATATCATACTAATATAAACAGATAAAGACAAACAGCAAATCTCAGATTCAGAGAGAGCTCTGGAGAAGGAGGTGCGGGGTGTTTTAAAGGATTTACACTTTTCTGGACGGCTAATAAATGTATTTTTTGTAAATTTTATGAATTGTCTGATATCTTCTAGCTGAATTTAATGATTTGAACTCTTTCCATGTTTTTCCAGGGATGAAGAGTTTTCAGTTAGTTCAGTCCTGGCGTCTGATGTCATCCACGCCAGCCGCAAAGACATCCCGTGTATATTCAGAGTGAGTTTCTCCTCTCCTGTTTATCCACGTTTAGATATAAACCGTCCTCCACTTTCACTAACCTTCGATTCGTCCTTCTTCTCTCTACAGGTGACGGCGTCTCAGCTCTCTCCCTCCAGCAGCCACAAACCCTCCATCCTGATCCTGGCCGACAGCGATCAGGAGAGGAACAAATGGGTGGGCCTCCTCAATGAGCTCCATCGTATCCTCAAGAAGAACAAGCTCAAGGAGCGCTTCGTTTACGTCCCCAAGGAGGCTTACGACAGCACCCTACCGCTCATCAAGACGACACAGTCTGCTGCTATCATAGGTGAGAGGACTTTATACTGCTGCTCTAAAATCCAGATACTTTGGGACTGTCCCTTTAATGAACGGCTGCTGTGCCTCTTTTGCTCCTTTAGATCATGAGCGTGTTGCCCTGGGCAACGAGGAAGGTCTATTTGTCATCCATGTCACCAAAGATGGTAGGATACTCTCTTTAATTTCCTGTCACACACCCGTTTATCCACAGGTCTTTTCTCACCTGTTTTATTTTCTCCTGACGTCCTCAGAAATTATCCGAGTAGGAGACAACAAGAAGGTGCACCACATCGACCTGATCCCTCAGGAGCAGCTGCTGGCCGTCATCTCCGGCAGGAACCGCCACGTCCGTCTCTTCCCCACACAAGCCCTGGATGGACGTGAGACCGAGTCCTACAAGCTGGCTGAGACTAAAGGCTGCCAGACCATCGTCTCCGGCACCGTCCGCAACGGCTCACTCACCTGCCTCTGTGTGGCCATGAAGAGGCAGATCATCTGCTACGAGGTTCGACAGATTTCTCTGGAGCCAGATTGAATTTTATGTCAGAAATAGTCCTAAAAAGTTGACATCTCGTCCTCCAGGTGAATAAGAGTAAGGCACGTCACCGTCGGCTACGGGAGGTGCAGGCCCCGGGTCCGGTCCAGTGGATGGGTCTGCTCAGCGAGCGTCTCTATGTGGGATATCAATCTGGCTTCACTCGTTACAGGTAATCTACCTCTTTACATCTATATTGAATTCACCGACGTTCATTTTTGTGCTTTAATTAATCTAACTCTGAGTTTCTGATAACGTCCTCAGCGTCCACGGGGACACGTCTCCTGTCACCCTGCTCCACCAAGAAGACCACACCCTGGCTTTTATCCCCCAGCAGGGTCTGGAAGCCCTCTGTGCCGTGGAAATCTCCAGCAAAGAGCTGCTGCTGTGCTTCAGTTCCATCGGCGTGTACGTGGACTCCCACGGTCGCAGGTCCCGTCAGCAGGAGCTGATGTGGCCGGCTGTGCCCAACGCTGCCTGTGAGTGGTGGAAATACTCTGACTTAATTGGAACAGTGAGCCGTTTACTCGAGACAGTCAACCAATCCTGTGTCTGTGTGTCCAGGTTACAACGCCCCCTACCTGTCAGTGTACAGTGAGAACGCTGTGGATGTGTTTGACGTCAACACCATGGAGTGGATTCAGACCATCCCTCTGAAAAAGGTCAGCGCTTCAGATTCTGGACTGTTCACTCAGAGCATCTCTGGCTCCACCTGCTGGATGAAATAAATCACTCCTGTTGTTCATGATTTTTCCAGTTCTTTAAAACTGACTCTCTGCTCCCCCTTCAGGTGCGACCTCTGAATGTGGACGGCTCTCTAAACCTGCTGGGACTGGAAACGGTGCGACTTATCTACTTCAGAAACAAGATGGCGGGTAAGAGGAACCCCAAAAGTCTCAGTGAAGTCTAACGTGTGACGTCTCTGATGTTAAACACGCCGGTGGCTTTTGTTGTGATCTTCTAGAGGGTGATGAGCTGGTCGTCCCGGAGACATCAGACAACAGCAGGAAGCAGATGGTGCGCAGCATGAACAACAAGAGACGGTTCTCCTTCAGGGTGCCGGAGGAGGAGCGGCTTCAGCAGAGGAGGTAGTTCACCTGATCCTTCGCTTTTCTCTCCTCTGAGTTCGATCAGTCTACAGATAAATGCAGTCGTAAAAGATAGTTTTTTATCATCTTCAGCGAGTCTTTTGTATCTTTTAGTGATTTTGAGCAGGTTATTCATGCTTTTATCACAGCTCCTCTGGATTATTGCACTTCATTTTGGTGTCTGCCAAACCTTGTAATCGTTTACAGCTCGTTCAAAATGCCACAGTTTGTGTTTTATCTGGTCGACGTAAATAAGACCACATTCCCCTATTTTAGCTTCTCTTCACTGGCTTCTTGTGCGTTTTAGGATTGATTTTAAAATTTTGTTATTGACTTATAAATCTTATAAAAACGGGCTTGCTCCTTTTTATCTCTCTGACCTTTAAAAATCCCATTTTTCATCTTGGACTCTCAGATCCTCTGACCAGTGCCTTCTGACTGTCCTCAGGTCAAGATTAAAGTTCAGGGGTGACCAGAAAAGCTCTTCCTCTTCATGTCAGACTGTCCCCCCTCACTCCCTGTTTTAAAATCAGATTTGAAAACGCTCTTTTACTCCTGAGAACTTGGCCTTTTAATCGTGTTTTTACTGAACCATCTATGTCCCCCTGTTTTTAACGTGTTCCTGTGTCTTTTTGTTGTTTTTTCATTTTGACTGTACAGCACTTTGGATCAGCGTTTTGTCGTTTTTAAATGTGCTTTATAAATAAATCCGGATTAGATTGGATAACTTTTTTGTGTTCGTGTTTCCAGAGAGATGCTGCGAGACCCAGAGATGAGGAACAAGCTGATCTCCAACCCCACAAACTTCAACCACGTGGCCCACATGGGACCAGGAGACGGGATCCAGATCCTTAAAGATCTGCCCATGGTACACACACACACACTCACACACACACAGAAGCTGACATAAACACACACTCACAGCATCCTTTCACCACTCACAGACGTGTGCGGATTGAAATCACACAGAAAAATGTACATGTACCGTATTTTTCGGACCATAAGGCACACCGGATTAAAAGGCATCAAACTTTGTTCAACTCAGGTGTAACGACAAATAACGGTACAGAAAAATACGCTCACTTATTAATTCATTCTTCTTCCACAAATCCATCAAATAAAATTCTTTATCTTCAGTGTCTGACTTAAACAGCTGTGCGATTTCGGCATCAAGCACACTTCCCTCTCGTCATTATCTGAGTCGGTCTCGTTGTTGTTACTGGTACTTAGCTGTTCAGCGATGATTCCAGCTCAGACGACAGTTACCGTATTGCTCCGAATAGCGGCTTTGTTCTACCGAAATCGTACTTTCACATTTCGACAGATCTTTGAGCGCGTTGTACCACATAAAACCGGTCAGTAAACACAACAAGTATTCATACATAAGGCGCGCTGGATTAGAAGGCGTACCATCAATTTTTGAGAGAATTTTAAGTGACCCTTATAGTCCAAAAAATACGGTATGCAGAATTTGACATGTGTGTTTGTAGACCCGCTTCTGTAGAACCAGCAGCATGCTAACTCTGAGGTCTCAGCACAGTCTCTGTTTTGTAAACTAACCTGAAAGGCTCGGCTGCACACACGGTCACTAACTTATCCTCGTTGTGTTTCCATGGAAACCGTGTCTGTGCGTTCCCGCTCTGAGCTCGGTCTCGGATCGCACACGGGCCGAGTTAGAGTTCAGTGTTTATGAGCATGTCCGTTTACAGCTGCACCCTCCTCACTCCTGTCCCTCCTGCACTGCACTCTGTCTCGTGGTGCGTGTGTGTTTTTGCTCTGTGCGTGTTTTAAACCAGAACGTCCGTGTTCAGGAGAGCCGCGCCGGCTTCAGCGGGTCGGTCAGCATCCCTTCCATCACCAAGAACCGGGCGGAGCCAGGCCGCTCCATGAGCGCCAGCAGCGGACTCGGCATACGTAAGTAAAAGAGAAAGAGAGCGGGACCGTGAGGTTACTTTTTTGATGTTTGGTGATCCTCTCTGACGTCCGTCTCTGTTTCAGGCTCGTCCTCTCAGAACGGCAGCGCTCTGCGCCGGGAGCTGTCGGGCGGGAGCTACGGGTCCAAACGGCAAACCATGACCTCTCCCTCCGAGAGCTCGCTCTCTTCGGGCGGAGGCATGGACTGTGGAGACGCCCCGCTCTCGCAGTTCGACAGAGAGGTCAGTGCGAACTTTGAAACTGAGCATACGGCTTCATGTGCGGTTGACGGATGTAAAACCAGAGTGAGCGGAGTCACTTACTCCGACTTTAAACTCTTCTTAAATTAAAATACGGATGGTTGTGTTTCCACTGTTTTTGGATTTCTGTCAACCCGACATCAGCTTTGTATGAGGCAGTCGTAAAAACACGTCATGATTGTTTTTCCCTGCTGTGCATTTTGTTGAAGTTTTCCGATGTTTTGAAAAGACGATTCACACTCTCCCTCTTTCAAGAACTCCTCCCTTTTACTCCCATCCGTCACAAACATCCTCACCTTCTGGGGGCAGGTGTGTCCCCGCCTCATCCCACATCTCTGACAGTTTGCTTAGCCCCCCAGTGATGTCTGCGCTCCATGACACACACACACACACACAGACAGACACACACTCAGCTTGGGCAGCTCCTAAAGTAGACTGACTCGATGTTTCTGAAACCTAGTCTGTAAGAGTCGAGGTCGGTGTCGTGTTTGGTTAGTCATACCTGTGTTTGGTTCCCCCCCCCTTGACCATCCATCAGTTTTTAGCTCCTCCTCCTTCTTCCTCAAACGAACCAATCAGCTGAGATCAGATAGTCCCTTCAGAAGCTTCTTTTGCGGCACCTTCTACCTCGTCCTCCATCCCCATCCTCATAGCCCATAAGCCCGGAGGCTGTCAGCTCCATTCCTCGACCCCCTCCTGCTGTGCCTGGCGCCCCCCTCCCTCCCTCCTGCCCCCACCCAAGCATGTTGTCTGTGGGCTGGGCGCTGAGTCTGAACTCTCCTCTTCAGTGGCAGGCAGTCTCACCGTCGGAGAAGACCCCCGATCTGAAAAGGGCTTTAAGGACCCTGCTTAGTAAGATGAAGGTAATGTCAACAGCTCTGCAACGTCTGCACCCAAACACACACCTGAGAGCATCGTGTTCATGGAACATGCACCCACACGCACACACACGAGTGTACATACGCAGACACGTTAGCATGAGGTGCATTCAGAGCGCACAACAAACACTGAAACGTCCCACGGCCCCTCGCTGCACCATTTCAGCCCCCGTCATGTCAGCGGCATCATCCGATGGCTCGCCACATCCTCCACCGGAGCATCAGCTGCTGCACCATCAGCCTGGCTGCTCTGTGTTGTTGTTTTTTTATTTTTAGTTGCAAAGCTGCCGATCGACCATTTTGCAAACTTCTCTCCACTCTCACAGAGCATGTCTGCTTCTTCACAGCTGCCAGAAAAACCTGCCCGTTTTTTATTTTTTTATTTTTCTAAGACATAAATATGATCTGATTTAGCACATCACCTGACACAGCGAGAGGAAACGGAGTTAATCCTGTGGTTGGAATAACATCAGGTGGAGGTGGAGCACCTTTAAAGGAAGAGCTCCTCCTCACATCCTCTCATATATGTAGAGAACATATATGGAAACAAACTGTTAGATTAAAGGGATATTCCGGCGTAAATTTAAGTTAGGGTCAAATACACCGAGTTAGACACCCCCTCCAGAGATGAATGTTGCCGACCGCTTGCTTCTCTAGTTACACCAACTTTAGTAACGACCGAACAATAGCAATACACAGCGATCTGAGGAGCCATAAACAAACATCAATCAAAACGCCACTCCATAGCCACAAATAATCCTCAGAACAGCACCTAACTTCATCAACAGTACATATAGGGTCCTAGCCATAGAACTATCTTTTTAACTTTGCCTAATTTCTTTAGCAAAGAGACTAAACATTACTCATCTACTCTCTTCCAGCAGCCACTTGTTTGTAGCGAAACCTTGGGCAAGTCCATCGACTGCTGTGGGGTTTCGCAGCTCAAGGAAGAACATTTATGATCATTTCTTCATGGAAATACAATCAGACCGAGACGCTAAGGCAGAAGAACTACCACGTCTGCAGAGAAAAATAATTAATATGATGATTATTACTTCAAGGAAATGATAAAGTAATGATCATAAATGTTCTTCCTTGAGCTGCATCACCCCTCTGTAATCCATGGACTCATCCGAGGTCCCCGTACAAACAAGTGGCTGCTGGAAGAGAGTAGGTGAGTAAGTTGAAAAGATGTTTGGTGGCTAGTACTATGGCTGGGACCCTTTATGTACTGTTGATGAAGTTAGGTGCTGTTCTGAGCATTATTCGTGGCTATAGTGTGGCGTTTTGCTCTGTGTATTGCTATCCTGCGGTCGTTACTAAAGTTGGTTTAACTAGAGAAGCAAGCGGTCGGCAACATTCATCTCTCGACGGGATGTCTAACTCAGAGTTACGTTGTGTTTGACCCTAACTTAATTTTACAGTGGAATATCCCTTTAAAGGCTGGTGTTTGTTTGTTTGTTTGTGTTCACTGTGAGACATGAGGCAGTTGTAGGTTTTTTAACACCAAACAGAGCTGAGCGTGATCGTGTGATGGTTTGTTTGTGGCTTCATAGTCTGTTTCACCGCAGTCTTAGATTTTAGAAACGAATCTGCTTCTTGTTTTTTTGTTTATTTTTCTTCTTCTTCTTCTGCAAACTGTGAACTTCACCTGACTTTTTCTGACTCCTGTTTTTCTGATCAGAGTCCAGAATCCTTGAACCACTTATAGCGCGCTTGACTATGTGGTTTTTTTTTCCATGTTTTGTAGCTCTCCAAAATCCATACTGTCTGTTTCGTACAGTATGAAGTTGAAGTCATACATCCCCTCCTCCTCCCCGATCATTCGGCCTTCATGCATGTTTGTTTCCCTTCAGCTGATCATTTCTGGTCAACTGAACGCTTCATCTGCTGATGATGTGGCATGTAGTGGGAAAAGAGCGGCGATGATCCAAAAACAGAGAATATTTGATAGTTAGTCTGGATGATCCTCAGGTTTTTTATCTTTAACGCCTCCAAATGCAGCTTTTACCACCTAACTGTCTGCTGTTCCCTTCTCATCACCCCCTCCAGGACTCGGACTCTCCTCGACACTCCACCGCCTCCAACAGCTCCACCTTCAGCAGCCCTCCCAGTCCGGCCTCCCCACACAAGACCAAGTCCCTGTCCCTGGAGAGCACAGACCGGATGGGCTGGGACACATGAGCCTCTGCCGGCCTCTCGCTCGTACCGACCCCACCCATCCAAACCACCGACCGACAGCACAGGACTCCAAACCCTCCCCCTCCTCCTATCCCATCCCCCTCCCCTCTTACACGCTCTCCCCCGCTCACTGCCCAGAGAACTGCACCTCCTGATGAACATTTGTCTCATTTTACAGCCCCCACTTTGTCTCTTCCTACTCCCAAGACGAGGCGGAAACACTAAAAACGCAGCCTGAGTGGAGGTGTACGCGTGAGGGGGGGCTCACGTTCGAAGGCGCGAGTGTGCGTGAATGCGAGATGCCAGCGTGTGTGCATGTGTTTTCGGTAAAGGGCGTCTGATATAGGATTGAAAAAGCTCCCATTTCGCCATCAGCAGAAGCAGCAGCAGGCTTCACTGACACTCCTCTGTCCCATCGAGACTCGTCAGAGACTCCAACGCCTCACGATGCAACTAAAAAAAAAGAGGAAAACCGTTGAGAGGAAAGGATTTGTATTTGTACATAGGACCCTTTGGGTTTTAGGGGGACTATATTTTAATTTATTTATCATTCTTAGACAAGGAAAGGGAGGTTTCGCTTCTCGGTCTGAGCCCCGCCGTACCTCCCTCAGCCGTCTCTCTTCGGGTGCTGCAGAATCTCAAAAAAAAGAAAGTGAGAAAGAAAATGTTTAATTTTTTTTTCTTTTTGCTCGTGATGCAAAGTGCAGAGACTTTAACGTCTGTTTTATTTCGGCTCCAGTCAGCGCTATTATCCACATCACCACCACAGCAGCAGCAGCAGCAGCAGCGCTTTTTCGTGCGACTCTCTTCCAGACTCACAGGTTCCCATCACTGTACATACGTTCAAAGTAGAGAGTAATATATGAGAAGAGAAACTCTGTAGAGAACGAGGCGGAGAAGAAGGAGTGATAACCTTTTTTTTTTGGTTCCTTTTGTGTTTGCTTTCAGCGTGGTTTGGAGTTGTATTCACACAAAAAGCCATTTTAAGCCACTTTGTCTTTTTTTTTTTTACTGATCGGTTTTAGATTTGTTTGTTTTATATTTGATGTATGACACTTATCGAGTGTTTTTTTGTTTTTTTTTTTGCTTTTATTTTTCCTCCTCCCACTCTGTGTGCTTTTTTGGAGTGACGAAAAAACTCACGTATGGATCGACACTACTGCCCGTATACTGTTGCGTGAACACACACAGATATTTAGTGACTCGGTGGAGCGGCTCTGATCATTTAATCCACATTTAACCCGTGTGTGTTTGTGGCTGAATTCGCTGTGGTACCTGATCGGAAAGAGGAGTCCTTTCACTGCGCTTGATTGAACCAAAAAAAACAAACGGACTGTGTTTGACCTTTTCTGACGGCGGTTTGGTACAACTCTTCGATTCAAAGCTCTTGATTTAATGAGAATGGAAACACTTAAAGCTGCCAGACAGTCAGCACTTGGTTTTGATGAGTTGTCCAAACCTGTTACCTCTGTTCGTTTAAACTTTAGGAGTCGCTAACGAGGCGGGATGAGGTCGAACTGTAAGGGAACAATATGCACAAAAGCTGACGTGAAACACTAACGATATTACCGTATTACCTGTAAAAGACGTACACTCATGCTGGTTTTTAGGGCGCCTATTCTGTCGCATCCGCTTCTCGGTTTGAAAGGGAAACCAGACGATTGGCGGTCATTCCAGCGGGTTTCTCTGTCTGACTCCTAAAGGCCCATTCCAAGTATTTTTTAGTATTCCATTTTATATAAAGAGAGAGAGGGGAGAGAGTTGGAGAGCCGCAGTGAAACTCTGAATGGTTTTATTCCAAATAACCACCTCTTAGGATCTTTTTAAGCTAGCGCGTCTCCTCCGTTCCTGCTGGAGTTTATCTGTAGAATGTATTAGGTGGTTTGGGAGCGGGACTGTCTCAGCCGGGTGTTTTATTATCGGCCAATATTGTACAGAAAAGCTGACCCCAGTTTTAGGGAAGAGAAACTCAGGAAATGTCAGAACCAATGATTATTTTTTTTCTTTAGATGGTTGTAAGTGTTTTTCGTTTGACGGGTGGATGGAGTGAGTGAGTGAGTGAGGGAGGGAGGGACAGGCGAGTCAGGCTGTAGTGTACAGTAGATATGAGCCAGGCGAGGGGGGGGGGACAGTGGGAGGAGAGGCAGCGAGGATCGAAGATGTAAAAAGATGAAATTTGAGATGAATTTTAGGGGTGACCTGTGCGTTGACGGCTGAGGTGCCACAGTGGAAACTTTGAAACGGAAGAAAATCTCAAAAACATTCAAACGCCTTTGCATTTCAGTGAGGTCTTATCTACAGTACCTTCCATATTATTTTGCTCTTTCATATCATATTACACTTTGTTTTTTTTTTTGGTTTTTTTTTCTAGGATTGCTTTGTAATAATTTGTACAGTTTTGCATGTTATAGATGTAATCATTTTGTTTTTCGGTTTGTTGTTTTACTTGCTCCTTTTTGAACGGTTTGGGCGTTTTACTGAGGATAACCCACTACAGGTGATGTAGATTCTTTTTTGCACAAAAAAATATTTAAGGTGTAAGGTCAAAACAAAAAAAATAATGTATGGAACTGGCTGCCACACTTATGTGGAGAACTCATTATATTAACCTGACTCCGATGTATTTCAATAAAGCGGAGGGCTGTTACAAATACAAAAACCATGAGTCTGCGCTTTATTTCTGTTTATTTCATTAAAAAAAGAAAAAACTTACTTACAAATAAACAAAAAAAGTTCGTATTTTACATCTATACACAAGATTTTCTCACTAGAGGAAATGTGCTAACATTTTACAGAGGCTATACAAATAAGGACACATTTTAAACAAAACAATCTACTTGGAGTTTGACTAATGTTTTTGTGCCGCCGTCTATTAAACTGTGAACTCGGACCCTGCATGCAAACAGCTAGCGTATTAGCGATTAGCTGTACGCTAGCTTGCACCTCTGGCTGTGTGTCTGTGTTTAGAATAAAGGCTCATTTATGCTCAACATTACATATCCGATTGGTTATTCTGTATGGCTGTCGAAGGAGGAGGGACCTTACCCTACCATCTTATGGAGAAAAAAATTTGCGAACAGATACATGCTTCACGTTTTTTTGGTCTGTATTCCTGCTCGTATCCTTTAAGTTTACGGATACAGTTCAGACGGAGCAGTACCACCTGAAACTGTGGGGGCAGTGTTGCTGCTGTCGCTACCTGATGCACATCATAAGAAAAAAATGAAGAATACAGTAGCGGGGCCTTTTTGAGGATTGTCGTCAATTTTTCTCATCGGTACTACAAGAGAAAAGAATTCTCCATCCTTCAACCGAGAGGCATTTAGTGTCCTGAGCGACCACCGCCTCCTCCAACGCAAAGTATTCATTATCACGAGCTTCTCCGCAGTTGCCATGCTTAATTTTTTTTTTGTAGTTGTCAGAAACTTTTGACTCCGGCCTGCCCCCTGGTGGATGTAATGGTTGACATCCATGCCAACGTCAAAGACGCATGGAAATATGTCGGCAGCGACGGAACCATCGTTTAAAACGGACACATACATTTTCAAATGTCTGGCAAGCATAAATGAGCCTTAACTCCCAACACGCCATTTTTGTACATGTACAACCACAATTCCCTAAAAAGTTTCAACGCTCTGTGAAATGTCAATAAAACTTATTGATGTTTGTAAATGTAAACTCTAAATTTTACTGAAATCGTTCAAAGACAACAAGTGAAACTGGAAAATGCTCATTTTAGAGGACAGAGACTACTTTGGTTTATTTGCAGCAGGTTAGATTTTGTCGTAAGAGGCTGAGTCTATGTGAGAGACCGCGTTAGCTAACAGTATCTTAGTCTAAACTGCGGTAAATAAAATATTAAAAGACTCAAGAGTATCAGGAGAAATCTGCACTAAATGGATAAGGCTGAAAACCAGACTCTGTAGTGGAAATCACCGCATAGACTGCAAGAGGGAAACTACATCCAGGATAACACGCGGATAAATGAGAACTCATGGCGTGGGCCGCTAACTCATCTGGGAAGGCACCATTAATGCTTGAAACATGAAACCGATTTTGGGCCAACAGACGCCGCTGTTCAGATGATGTTGAAACTAATGAGCATTTTTCAAAAAAAAAACACTTTCCAGTTTTATCATTTCATGTTGTCTTTGCACGATGAGAATCTGTGTTTGATCAACATTTCACCTGACGTCGTTTTTCTTCACAGGGATTGTGGTCGTATGAAAAGTTCCTCACACTCGTCTTTTTATTGACTCTAAATTGAATCACAGTGCTCGTTAAATTATGCTTAATTTCCTTAATCTGAACACAGTCATAAGGCCGGAGTTTGGATTCAGCTGTTTCACCTGTACTTCAGCCCTTGCATCTGGTTAACCACATTCCTCCTCAGATTAGAAAACATCGGGACGCCGGCGCAGTGAAGAAGAACGGCTTCTGCAAAGTAATCGAGGCTCTCCACACCTGGACGTATTTCTTACCTCTGCCCGTGAGTCTTTAATTTTGAGGGGAAATGTAAATAAAAATCAGGGTGAGAAGGATAACGGAGTTTGAGTCCAACATCCATCGTTCAGATCCTGCTCAGAGTCTTTTTATACAAGTGAACATCAGTCTGTCTGTCTGCGTTGGTCATATTCTGGCTCCGTAATCTGGTCCGACATCAACTGGACCAAAGTGAGTCAGAGCTTCAGTTTTTGGGATCAGCTGGGAGGACGTCTAAAGCCGAGAGGATTCCAGCTCAGTCCATCTTCGTGGATGGTCCTCACATTCTGTTCCACGTCCTCCGCGGTGACGACGCTTCGACAACAGTTTGTTTTCTGTTCAGGCCGTCGCTCCGTCCTCCTCCAGCACTCTGTGGATCCCGTTTCCAGGACCACCCAGAATGACTTGGGTGGTGCTGCTAAGGTCTCTGACGCTGCTGTGTCGAGACTGGGTCTCCAGCCGCTGGGTGGAGCCGTGCCGCGATAGGCTGTCCAGGCGATTGGTGCTGCAGTGTCTGGACTGCGATTGGTCGTTGAGGCGAGGCATGCTCCCGTAGGGCAGCCGGTCGTCTAAGGCTCGGAAACTGGAGGCGGTGTACCTGTGAGGGTGGAGGACACGGGTGTGAGGAGCAGAGATGGGGGGGTACACAGCTGTAAGAGAGATCGGAGACCCACCTGCCGTCTCGGGATCGATGCAGACTGCCGTGGTAGCTGCTCATCTTGGACCGAGCGCTCCGGACAGACCCGGCCCGGCTGGTGCTGGCGCTGGGTGGTTCATCCAGCATGGCCAGGTGGGTGGATGAGGCATGGGTGGAGGTCCCCTGGGTGGACGTGCCTCGTGACTTCCTCACTATGGGGGTGTTGGGGTCCCTGAGCAGCAGCTGGGCGAAGTCCGGCTCCTGCAGCACCTGTCGGCTCTCGTTAACCATTCTGCTACAGTCCGGGCGGGAGGAGCAGGAGAGAGAGGAGTTGGGGGGAGGCAGAGAGGGCAGGGAGAGACGCAGGAGGGTGGGGAGGGAGAGAGGGAAGGCGGTAGGGTGGTGGCAGTTGTAGAAGAGGATGGAGGAGTGTGTGGAGCAGGCGGTGGGAGAGGGGGTTAATGCTCTGAGTTTGGATGGGAGGGGGGTGAGTGCAGAGAAAGAATCTTGCAAAATCTTGAACTTTGATCAAACGTGTCAGAATCAGACGGTCATGAATATCAAACAAGGCTGCTCTGTTATTAACCTTCCTCCTGTGTCAGCTTTGACTACGCACCCACCATAATGAGGGTCGGTTAAATCAGCTGTTAATTACACTAAAAACAATTCTCTATCATCCAATTTTGTTCTCATCTCTCGGTTACCTTATTCGGCTTCATTATCCATGAAAATATTGCTGATCATAGTTTTTGAAGTGGCATGTAGAAGTCTGGACATACCTGATGTTTTTTTGTGCAGGTAAAATGAGAATTTCCTAAATCTCACATGACTGGAAGAGGATCTGACTGTCAGTGCATTTATGATTTCAGTTTTTACTCTAATTATTAGATATTGATCTAACCGGGTCAACAGTGACCCTGACACAGAGAAACCTGAACTGTGTTGGAGGGCCGAACCAACAACAACTTCAACTTCAAATCAGGGGGTTCACACATACAGAAAAACAAGCCTTAATAAGCAACTACAGGTTAAAAACAAGTCCAAAAAAGCGCACCCGCAACTCACGAATTAATAATAAGCGGACTGAGCAACTATGAGGCGTCTACGTATATTTTGCAGATGTTTAAACTTGTATCTGTTCACAAATGCAGGTCTAGGATGTACGCACGTGCGTCCGAACGGAAATTAAACAATGGCTAGGTTTTCAAAATAAAAGCAACACACTTACCACAACAAGTGCCATAATTTTGGTACGAGCATTTTGTAATTTAGTCAATTTAATTTTTTTATTTTGTTGAAATGGAGGTTTCTAAAAAAGTCAAAAAGTCTTAATGCAAAAAAGCAAATTTAAGCATTTAAAACCAAACAGGTCGGTGCAGACACTAACACAGGAGGAGGGTTATAAGGTCAAAATCAGTGGAGAGTAATGCATTATCTTCACAGATTAATAATTAATATTTGAAAGACAAAAAATAAACTGAATAACCTGCAGAAAAAATCTAGATTAAACTCCTCACACTTTTTCTCTCTTTTAGCTGTTTGCACTAATTTTTCGATCCTGAATAAATTTAAAATCTTCGCTGAAAATCTTGTTAATCTGGTTATTAAATATCTATCATCAGATGCTGAGATTTTGACCCTGAGAGTGCATGAGCATGTGAGCTGCAGCAGCTGTGAGTGTGAGGTACATACTCCTTGCGTCTCTTGCCGTGGAAGAAACTCGCCCACTCGAAGCACGTCTTCTTACTGCCCACCCAGAACACGGAGGGGATCCCCACGATCAGCATCATCAGGTACTTGACCAGGAACAGGACCAGGTCTGGGCGGCTGGTTTGTTCCACCTACAGGACGCACACACAGAGACACAAAAGTTAGAGTTTGATATAGGGCTGGGCGATAAACGGAAAATTTACCGATACTGAAATTTAGGACAACAACCGACGTCATTTCACCCATATCGGTATATTCGGTGTCAAAAAATAAATAAAAGTTGTGGGACTGATCAATATTTGTGATATTGATTTGAGGCCGTATCGCTCAGCCCTACTTTGATACGAGAAAAGAGAAAACCGTGTAGATTATTCCTGCAGATGTTAAAGAGACGACAGAGCAGCAGGACGCTGTGCAGAGTAGCTGCAGCGTAGAAACAGCTCTACCTCCTGCACACACACACACACACACACACACACACACACACACACACACAAACACTCATGCAGTCATGATGGCCTCATTATTATGAGTGAACCGGACGGGCCCTGAGGCTCAGCCATCCGCAGATTCACTCGTTTCAGCCGAGAGATGAGAGACAGCGTGACTTCAGCCAACGTCCTCATTACTGTCTGCAGAAGTTCAGATTCCAGGATGAACTCAGAGTAACTAAAACTAACTTTAGGACTGTAAACAGGGGCTATCTTTTGTTCCGTTGAGCGCTCTCGTGTGGCTTTAGTGAGTCAGACTGTGTGTGTGTCTGTGTGTGTATGTACGAGTGTGTCTTTGTGCGCTGTGGAGATGAAGCGTCCAGCATCTCTCAGGAGTCGAGGTCTGTGCCTGAGGGAAAGCTCTTAAGATAAATATAGTACGGCACTTTAAGTCGATACTGTAGTTTGGACTCTGTGTGTGTGTTCATGTGTGTGTGTTCATGTGTGTGTGGGATGTGTACGCTCTTTCATGATGTGTGTGTGGGGGGGAGTAGTGGTGGTGATTTTACTCTCTTGTATGATAGCAGCAGAGTGCTCAGCTGTGCAGCACATGCAGCTTGTTTGCAGATGCTGATGCTGTGCAGCTTGACCTCACTGACCCACACTTTGCAGCAGCAGATACTCTCACACACACACACACACACACACACACACACACACGGGATTAACGCACTGCTCTCTTAAACAAAGCGTTGTTTACGAGGACGGATTAAGAGCACAACTGTTGTCTTCATTCAGGGATCTTTTGCTTTCGTACTCCACTAAGAGTAGACTCAAGACTTCACCTACAGTTAGACCGGGTTCAGGTCTGGTCCAGGTCTCAGTTATCCCTCTGTCTCTCTCTGCCTTTATTTAATGTTGAATCATCATTTCGCTCCTGTGGACCTGCCTGATTTTCCAATCTTACCTTCACCATCTCTCTCTCTCCCTCTCTTTCTCTCTCTCTCTCTCTCTCTCTCTCTTTTCATCTCAAAGTCGAGCTGACTGAGATTCAGAGTAAATATTAGAGGTGGGTGCAATTCATCAATGTGTCGATGCATTGCAATGCTTCATGTGACGATTCTGCATCAATTTATTAACCTCAATGCTTAAAATAAATAAATATTAATGTTGTGCGTAAAAAAAAAAATACATATAGCTGTCGATGCATAAAATAATTGTAATAATAACAATAACAATAATAATAACGTTGATGCCTTAAAAAATTAAATAAATATTAACGCCGATGGGTAAAAAAATTAAAAATAAATAAATATTAATGTTGATGTGTTAAAAAAAATGAACATTTGATGCCTAAAAAAAATAAAAAAAATAATATTAAAAATGTTGATGCCTTAAATAAAAAAAATAAATATTAACGCCAATGAATAAAAAATTAATAAATAAATATTAATGTTGATGCGTTAAAAAAATTAAAAAAATTATTAATGTCAATATGTAAAAATAAATAAATAAATAAATAAATAACTATGCTGATGCTTTGCCGCAAGGCCAGAACAGGAGAAAAAAAACACACCTAACCGGAACCTTAATGTGCGTCACCTGGTTCGTTTAGCGAGTGGGACCACAAAAAACGGGGCACATTAGCTCCTTTGCAAAATGGCAACAGCTTCAGCAGCTTCCAAAGAGCGGCTGATTCTCTCGCCACCGGAGTCGACTGCAACTGCGTGGAAGTACTTTGAATTTTATAAAAGCGCAAACAAGACGACTGACAGTGTAGTTTTAGGGGAATTGAGGTAACTGATAGGCTTTTATTTACAAATGTCGCCACAGATGAAGAAAAAATCAATCTTGTACGGAAAAGAGGATTAAAAATGGCAATAATCAAAGAATCAAAGCTTCCATAATCGAATCGAATCGTGAGGAACCCTTGCTGGAACACCTCTAGTAAATATCATCTCTGGCCTAAAAAGTGACCCCTGCAGCACAATCGAACTCCACTTTGAACATTGAAGGTAGAGGCGGATGTACAAAGTCTTTCTCACACAGGAGGTGATACCTGGCTGGGAGGAAGATAGAGCGCGATCTTTGAATTATTAACGGCTCTATCAGATGAGACGCTCCCTCCCTCCCTCTCTCTCTCTCTCTCTCTCTCTCTCTCTCTCTCTCTCTCTCTCTCTCTCTCTCTCTCTCTCTCTCTCTCTCTCTCTCTCTCTCTCTCTCTCTCTCTCTCTCTCTCTCTCTCTGTGCTGATGCTGCAGGCTGCCGATGACACGCTGCATATAAAGTGTTAAATGTAAACGGCGTGCTGCTCTACCTGGTAAGGACAGGGGATGTGGTAGTCTCTGCACTTCTCCTGGACCCAGGTGGTCTCCCAGACGGCTCTGTAGCTGTTCTCGTAGAGGTAGCAGCCCAGGACGGTGAGCAGAGGGACCAGATAGAGGACCGAGAACACGGCGATACGGATCATAAACTTCACCAGCTTCTCCTGGTTCTCCTTTTCCAACGGGATCTCCATGCGGACTCGGTTTAGAGCCGCGATGCCTGCGAGGAGCAACACAACGCCGACCTTGGATAAAGATGAGAGAGGGATTCAGGGTCACCGATAATCGAGTTTTGAAGAAATGTTGTATTTCAAAGTCCATGATAGTCTGTCTCACCACGACATCGAGTCCTAGAGGAGCCAGGAGGAACCACCGCAGAGCTGTGAGGTTGTAGAGCCCCACGAAGCAAACGCCGCTGACGCTGTCCCCCTCGATCTTGTTCATGGCGAGGAGGGCGACAGTGAGGACGCCGGGGACGCCCCAGGCGCAGGCGTGGAAAAGAAGCGCCTTCTTCTCTATGGCCTCGCTGCCCCACTTAGGAACGGCCGCCAGGAACCAGGTGATGGTGAGAATGACCCACCAGACGCTGCCGGCCATCGTGAAGAAGTAGAGCACCATGAAGAGGAGGGTGCAGGCCTGAGAGAGAGAGGAAGAGGAAGAGGATCAGCACAGATGTAGTCAGAGAGAAGAAGAAGAAAACCGCCAAAGAGTCCGTCTGACCTTATTGTGGGAGCCCTGGGTCACAGTCGAAGCCCTGAACTTTCCAGGAGTCGATGCGTTACAGGAAACTCTGTCCTCCAGCAGGAAACCCAAGAAGAAGACCAGGGACACCATCATGTAGCACACGGCGTAGAAGATGATCGGACGCTCCGGGTAGCGGAAGCGTGAAACGTCGATGAGGAACGTTAGGAAGGTGAAGAGGGTGGCGGACAGACAGACGATGGACACCACCCCGATGAAGTAGCGGGCGAACATCAGCTCCTCCCTGGTGAAGTACATGTTCGGACACGGAGGGGAGCAGTCCCGGACGCCCATGAAGGAGTACCCCAGTTCAGGGTCGATTTTGAGCTCTCTAGGACACCAGAAGCCGTAGTCCCGCTGGACAGAGGCGGGGGACTCTGTAGCGTCTGATTTGGACTGCAGATCAACGGGACGGGGGTAGGGCTCGTCACAGTCCGGGAACCTGGAGGAGGAGAGAGGAGAGGAGAGGAGCTCAGGGTTATTTCAGCTGTCAGGACTGGAGCAGCTTCAAAAGCATTCCCTGGAAACCCTTCAGACTGATGAAGACATGTTTCTACCTCCGAGGCAAAGAAGACAGATGAGAGGAGAATTAAACAAACTAATCTGACCTGCAGAGACTTGAGGAAGAAGCATGAGACGGGTCATCTCTGAGCCTCAAATACTAACATCACAACTGCACGACTTAAACGACGGAGTATTAGGGACACATTAAGAAAAAACGAATTTAAGACTTACTAATAACTTACATAATGAAGTCATAATAAAGTAATTACTTATGAGTATAAAGTCGGAATAAAGTCATTACTTCCAATGGAAAAAAATTGTAATAAAGTAATTACTTATGAGAATAAAGTCATAATTAAATCGTTACTTACGAGAATAAATACATAATAAAATCATTTCCTAATAATAATGATTTTTTAACAACTTAATTCTTGTGAATAATGATTTTATAACGACTTTATTCTCTAATCGATTTTATTATGACTTTATTGTCCTAAATAACAATTTTATAACAACTGTTTTCTTGTGAGTAATGAATTTATAACAACTTTTTTCTCGTAGGTCATAATTTTATTTTTAATTTTATATTTTTTTACTTTATTTTCATAAATATTGTTTTTATTACAGCTTTATTTTCGTAAATAATGTTTTTATTATGACTTTATTCTGTTAACGATTTTATAACGTTTTTATTCTCATTAGTAATTACTTTACTACTTTATTCCTGTAAATAATGATTTTATTACGACTTTATTCTCGTAACAATATTATTACAGCTTTATTCCTGTTACTGATGATTTTTTAACAACTTAATTTTCGTGAATAATGATTTTATAACGACTTGTTTCTGCAAGTAATGATTTTATTACAACTTAATTCTCTTAAGTAATGATGTTATAACGACTTTATTCTCGTGATTATTTTTTTACAGCGTTATTTCCGTTAGTAATGATTTTTTAACGACTTTATTCTCATAACGATTTTATAACGACTTTGTTTTTGTAAATAATGATTTTATAACGATTTTATTACAACCTTATTCTAGTAAATAATGATTTTATTACGACTTTATTCTCTTTAGTAATGACTTTAATCTCCAAGTCTTAATTTATTTTTCTTAATGTGGCCCTGATACTCTGTCGTAGACTTTTCTGAATGTCCCCTGAGTATTTTCACCTTTTTCACCGACTCTTGTTTTCGAAAGAAACCAACCCTGAAGAAAAAAAGACTTATTGCTGTTGTCCCAACCTGTTGCAGTCCATCTCCTGCGGCCAGCTGACACCAAACATGTCCATCAGTTTGTAGCAGTCGCTCTTGGCCTGCAGACAGAGGCGGCGGCAGGGGAGGGTCATCCGGCCGTACTCTGTGCACACCGGGGCGTAGAGCGCGCACAGGAACATCCGGAGCTCAGGGGAGCACTGCAGGTTCACCATGGGATGGAAAGGCTGCAGGTGGAGACAGAAAGGAAGAGATTCACATGTGTGGGTGCCAAAGAGGAGCACAAAGAGAGCAGCGGAGCGTGTCTCTGACCGTTTCTGAAGATGAATCCATAAAAACAAAAACTCCTCGGGCCTCTTTCCAAATAATCCCCTCTTAAACTCCCCCCTTCTCTCCGCCGTCTCCTCACTCCTTCCCGCAACATGCAGGGCAAACCCCCCCCCCAATCCCCTTTGTGTTGCAGGCAGGACCACGCTGTGACTGGCGGACACACACATGAGCCAAAGAGCCACATGAGTGTATTATTTACACCCACATACAGCACTATAATGGTTTCACTCTTTACACGGAGCCAGGAGGCGTTTGTGAGTGCAGGAAGCATCTGTGGGGCATGTTGTTAATATGCTAATTTGGAGTGAGAGAGACAGTGTGTGTGTGAGTGTGTGTGAGTGTGTGTGTGTGTGTGTGTGAGTGTGTGAGTGAAACACATATCCGTGTGTCCAGGAGCTGCATGTTTCTGCAGCGTACATTTGCATACACCTCTGCGCTCATGTGTGCTACAGAGAGGCCTCCAGCCACACCCTGATCACTCAGACACATGCCGCCGCCCCCCCCCTGAAATTTAAAGACAGAGGTCCGAGTGACAGACAGGGACAGGGAGGGGGAAGGGAGGGGGAGGAGGGTAGAGGACAGGCAGGGGGCAATTTGTCTCCATGAGGGGGGAGGGAGTTAAAGAGGACGTGTCGCTGAGGTTTTTTTTTTTACAGAGAGTGAGATTTTCCTCTGCACCTCTGGCGTGTTTGTTTACGTCGACTCCAACGTCTAAGAGATCACTTAAGTGTACTTACACGCCTGTCATAACCTGATCAATCAGCCGGTCGATTGAGTAATCTGGGCACCAATAGAGGCATCACGTTTCATTGAGCGTCAATGTACCTCAGCACGATAACAGGCAATCATTATGAGTTATCTATAAGACATAATCATCTCTTCTCCTTTTCCCTTTTTCAAGTCCTTAAATCTTTACGTGAATGTCGATCAAATATACGTTTCTAAGCCTCTAATTTATCTGAAATACTGACCTTTACTTGTTTTAGATTTGCTGTTATTAAGGAAGGGTGAAATATGTTACCATTAAGAACAGATTATGGAAACATCGGCCTCATGAGTCTCGTTAACCAGCCGGCCAATTAGACAAGAAACCATTATTATCAGTATTCATTAGTGTGACAAATGAAGTCATTTAATATGATTTTATTTAATAATAATGATAGTCCTGTTTGTCAGATCAACAGTTAAACCCTGCATATTTGCTGTGATAGAGGATTAGGGCCACAAGAAGAGAAAATTATTATTACAGGAGAGAGATTTTTTTAATTTCCATTTCGAGATTAAAGTCAAACTTTTGAGATTAAAATTAAAATATTAAAAAAGTTGAAATTTAAGAAAGTTGCTATTTTAACTTTATTCATGTCGACTTTAACCTCAAAATTTTGACTTAAGTCCCTAAATTTCAATTTTTAATCTCGAAATTTCGCTTTTATTAACATAGTTTCAATTTTTTTAATTTTAGGATTTTGACTTTAATCTTGAATTTCAATTTTTAATAATGGAATTCCCACTTTATTGACATAATTTCGATTTTTTTATCTCGAAATTTCAACTTTAATCGCGAAGTTCCGAACTTATTGACATCATTTAAATTCTTTTAATCTCGTACTTTCGGCTTTAATCTGAAATTTCAATTTTTAATCTTGAAATTCCGACTTTATTGACGTGATTTCAATTTTTTATCTCGAAATTTCGGCTTTAATCGTGACATTCCGACTTTATTCTCCTTCCTGTAATTATTTTTTGCTCTTTATGTGGCCCTAATCCTCTTTCTTAATTTGCAGTTGAATGAGCAAATAAGAAAAAAGAAAAAAGTCGCTTTAGGAAGCTGAAACTTTTTAGTTTGGTTATTTTTGTTTAATGAAATAAAATAAATCAGCTGTAAAATAAATTTCTGTGTGTCAACAAAAAATTGTAGTCTGCCTTAATTCCCTGATTTTTAGAAATTATAACCAAACAAAACTTAATGAAACAGTCGACTCTAAAAAGCTTTTAAGTGAATAATAATAATAAAAGTGAAAAATAATACAAAGTCTTGTTTAGGAATCTGAAACAGTTTAGTTTGGTTAATTTTGTTTGACTAAATAAAACAAATCAATGAAAAATGTAGTCTGCATTAACTCCCTGAATTTATAAAATTATAACGAGACAAAACTTAACGAAACTGTCGACTCTTAAAAGTTTTAAGTGAAGTCAGGCAAATATAAAAACAGTAAAAAGTCGTATTTAGTTTGAGTGGAGAGGTAGAACAAACCCAGAGATCACCTGAAGCCACACACACACACACACACAGACACTTCAAAAGACACAAACACACACTCACACACACTCGGGGTTGACACAGCTGCTGTTCACAGGATGCTGCGAGTTCACAACAGTTATGAAGAGAGAATTAGAGGATTTCACTGATTTAATTCTGGAGACTCGTTTCACAACCCAGACAATTCTTCATCATCATCATCATCTGTAGAGACACGACGACACGGTCACAACGAGGAAACTTGACTTCTTCTGGGAGTATAAACCCTGAATTTGACACCTTCCTGTCAGTCCTGGGAACTAGGTGCTGCTGTCCTCCTGATCCCGCCTGCGACATCTACCTATGACTTCATCTGGCGTGGTGTCCCCGTCACTGTCGGTTAACCGCTCAAACATGAGCTAATGCGGCTAAAGTGAGGTTGCATCTCCGCTCCCCCGCTGCGTTGGGACTCCCGCGGGCCACCGCCATGCTCCACAGAACACAAATGCTCCACGCTTTACTGTACCACGAACGGAGGTGCTGCTGGAGGAGACGCTTGAATACATTTGTAGGTTAGGAGCAGAGATGATCTACTCTGGGAAGAAGAAAAAAACTCAGCCTCTATTTTCCTATTTTTACACGCCTCTATCTTCTCCCCCTCCTCCACCTCTTCAGGATCTCCACTCAGCCGTTTTATTACAGTAAGAGGACTGAGTGAGGCGAGGGGTGGTTGGGGACATATGGTCTCAACGTCAGCAGGCCAAACAACACCTAACACCAACACATCCAGACCCAGCAGAGCCTCTCCGCTCTCTCTCTCTCTCTCTCTCTATCTCTCTTTCTCTCTCTCTGTGGGGATTTGGTGTTAATAGCTACACTGGAAAACAGCTGGTGAGCCCCTGATCCCATGAATGGCCAGAGGTTCGTCATGGTGCTTTTCAGCCCAGAGCCAGCCTTGTAAGGAAAATCAAGCGTGTAATACACAATCCTGTTGGATGGTGCAGGTCTGCATGAGGGGGGTGGTATGCTAATGTAATTTCAGCTTCTCTCTCCTGCTGCTCGTCATTACACATTCATGGGAGTTAGTTAAGGGGGTTCCTGATCTCTGGAAATGAGGAATAATGGGACGCTCACACACAACATGCCATGATGAAGGACCTCGAAGTGTTACCCTTTATAAAACACGGACATCTATGATCACGTTTCTCTCTTTGGGTGTAGGAGCCATAATGTTGCTTGGCTTATCGGTTATCCTGTGTTCAGTTACTTTTGTCTTGTTGCTATTGGTTTCGCTGGGTTTGGGTCACGTGGGCGCTGTGTTTGAAAGCTAGTAAGTTAAATCGAGGCGGTCTTACCTGCACTGGGGTGGAGAGGTGAGCCTAGGTAGTCGTAATTTTTGTTGACCGCGCTTTATGTTCTTTTGTTTGCAATGATACACGTTGCTAAGTGTATTGTTTGTGAACTTCGATGAACTGTGTGCTTCTTTGGAACAGGACAGGACCTAGTCTCTGCCTCAAGCGACTTTTTTAAAGGTACTAGGAAAGCTGAAATATTGGGGCTAAATCACCTACTGGGGTCTAACTGAGCAAAACAACCAAGAAGCTGTTCTATGCAATCACCTAGCACGGGATACACCAGACCATCCTTAACGAACAGAGAGGAGATAAAACGAGAAGAGGCAGTCAGAAGAAGAAGAAGAGGTGGTATGACACCACCAGCTGATTTCAAGTAATCTACGAATTACGTCGATCACGCTAAATTTCGATTGATCTAACGTTATTAGAAAAGGGCTGACAGCGTGCATCCATCCTCCTGCGTCCAGTCAGTGTGTGTGTGTGTTTAAGCAATCCAGTGACTATCACTGTGCGGAAGGATTTTGATTTTACAAGAGGAGTGGTACAAAAAAAAACGATGAAAGCAAGATGAAGAATGATGAGGTTTGCTGCAAAAACTGCGACTCCGCGTAAAAGTAAAACACAACAATGACCCCAATGATGTAACTACCACTTAAACCACATACATCTGACTGAGGTCAATGAACCCTCAGAGCCCTCTCAGTCTCAACCTACCATCATCAGCTCCTTGCTAGCAATAAGGATCTGTAGGGTGACCATGGCTGTGTCCAAAATGGATCCCTAACCCCTATATAGGCGACTATATGGGGGTTAGCGCCACATTGAGGGGTGTCCGAAACCTGAGTGATCAATTCCAATGCCCAATATAGGCGACTCAAAATTTGCCATAGAGCATTGCAAAATGGAGTGACCATCTGATAGTCACTCACCGGTGGTGGGCATCCTGTCATGCATGGCTTGAGCTCTATTTTCACTCACAAGTGATCCGTACAGTTTTTAAAAAACAATTGTTTGCTGCATCATATAATCTTGTGCCTAATACGACGCAGCAAACAATATTCGGCACAAAAATATCTTTACAACATCATAAAATTCAAGACGCAGCAGTGATGTCACAACGGTGCGCCATGTAGTTTCGGAAACCTCCGGTGATTGAGTTCACTACATAGTCAGATATATAGTGAAACCTAATATGGGGGTTAGGGATTGAGTGATTCATTTCGGACACAGCCTAGACATCCCAGATTTCGGGGGACAGTCCCCTATTTGGATGACCCATTCCTGGCTAAAGTTGTCCCTGATTTTTAGCGTTTCATGACTGAGAAAAACAACAACGGTTATTACAGTCACCAGGCAGGTAGAAAGAGCGAGTGAGCATGTAGCACGCAGTCCTAGGGGGGTATCTTTAAGATATATGATTAATCGATCAAGGGACTCTCTTAAAATGCCCATTCCTACTTCATTCCTAAATGTCGTCAACGAGTAGTTCTACAGTCAGCAGGGTGGAAAAGCGCCATGTGTACGTGACGCTCCTGCTGTGTTTTCAGGGTTTCACGATGCATGAAATCGTACCCCGGGACACCAATATTACAGTTACACTGTGCAGTGTCCATACAAAGTACGCATGAGGTGTGCGAGTCATGTATCGTTCAATCAGCTCATTTTTACATTACGATAAATTTGAACGTCTCAAAAATGTCTTTTCTGCACTGCGCTTTAGTCAGATTTCTGTAGTTGTTCAACATCTCTGATTAAAATCGAACATTAATTTCTGCTTAAATTAGTTTGTCGTAACCACAAATCTGCGAATTTTCAGCCTTTAGAGGATAAAAAAGTAAAAAAACATCCCTGACCTCAGATTCACCTCTCCACACTTGTGAGATTATCATGTTTTAAATCAGAAACTGTTTTAAATATTAATTCAGCGCGGTCCAATGAGGAGCGTCAGAGGAGGCCTGTTTGAACTTTCCTAACGCTACAGTAATTAGCTCTTAATGAAGGCTCTTGGTCAGCTGCTCTGACGCTCCGACTGATGAATTGCTGACAAAGAAGTCCAACATGGCGAACTGGTCTGCGTTCTTCGCCCTTTTATAAATACCTCTCTTCCCATCAGCACCCCTCCCTCTCCTCCCTTCTTCACTCCCCCCTCTGCCTCTTTATCCTCCTTTCTACTCTGATGCCATTCCAATTCTCCGAATTTTCAAGCACGGCACCATGGCGACGGGTGATGCATCACCGGGGAGGAGTTGGGAGGAAGAGGGAGGAGAGCAGGGTTCGAGGAGGTCAGGGTGCGGGGCGGAGGGGACCACCTCCCGGGAGGCAGAAAAAAAAAAAGCCTCTGCTCCCCTTTGTTAACGGCACAATTGGGACCGTTTCCTGGGCAACTGGTGAGCCCTGCGTAGGGGGGGGAGGGAGAGGACAAAAGAGGAGGGTGAGAGAGAGGGGGGGAGTTAAGAGAGCGGAGGGATGGGTCGACCGAGTCAGCCGTGTCATTCACCGCCAAGAAATGTTTGAAAACCTTTGGCTTTGACAGAGTGTAATGTCCGTACACACACTCACACACACTCACACACACTCGTACACACACACACACACTCAGGAAGGCTGTCGCGGACCAGTCACTCTCTCTCTGGATGTGCTCCTCTTTCAGTCCACTGCCAATAAACACGCTGTTGGACATTAAATAAAACAAGAGGCTCTTTTATAGTCCGGGTCACGCTGGGTAGGAATTATCAGACCATGGTGTGTGTGTGTGTTTGTGTGTGTGTTTGCTTTGCTGGGATACATCTTTACTAGCAGGTTTTTAAACCGGTTTACTTTTTTTAACAGACTGGCAGCCTTCAGAGAGCTTCATCAGCGACCTCAGCTCTCTTTTACCAAACCTATTCACACAGCCAGGGTGGAGTAGAATCTGGGTTATTCTACACAGCAGCTGTAACATGACACAGTTTATCTGAAAGCGTTGTAAACCTGAGACAAGGGGCCGAGTTAACGGCCTGAAAGGAGGAGGAAACGAGTGTAAGTGGGAGCGAGGAGATTAAGAACAGACCGTTGATTAGTCTAAATGTCACAGCGAGGAGAACATTTTAGTTAGACTTGAATCAAACTGTTTAAAAGTCTTATATCTACATGCATTATATCTCTTTTTATCGTCTCACTGAACATTCAAAGACAAACCCTTAAAAAGGATTTACTAGCTTGGCTTTGGCTTCACGTAAACAACCCCTCTCTGATCGATCAATGTTAACATCTTTAGTCGGCACTGACCCTCACTCGTCCCATCTGTTTCCTTCAAAGTAATTTCATTCAGGAGATATAACATCTATATGACGTATATCTGCGCTTATCTGAACTGAAAACAACATCTGAGCAACATAGAGATGGTTTTTGCTGCTTTTACTTATCTGGAAAAAACTAAAATGTGTGATTTTATAACTAATCTCTGAATTTTTGCCTTCTGGAGGATTAAAATAAGGACGTGTTAGAACAAGATTAAATACTGTTATATAATAAAGGAGTGGAAACCTAAGAGTGAATATTACCTTTAAACAAACACTACAGTTTGTTGTCATGTTTTGCACACTGTCTGCATTTTTCTTCATTAAATTATAACTCTTCAAACTTAAGAAACATGCTGAGAGAGAAAACAATACAAGTAGAGATTAAATAATTTCCTAATTTATTGCAATAACTCCAGATTTTTGCAACGTGCATCAGAAAGACTCACTCAATAAATGCAGAGCAGCTTTTTTTTACGTCTTCATGCACAATTTAAAATGTTTTTAACTCATGTTATGATGTTTTGTAGATGGCTTTGTTGCTCATAGTTTCTCTGAGTTAAGTTCACATTACAGTTTCACTTTTTCAACTAACAAACAAACAATCTCAGTAAACGTAGTTTCTTTACGATGAAGCCTCAGCTCCTCTTCCTGCAGAACAAACCCTGACAGGAGTTTCAAACCACGACTTTAAAACAGAGAGCAGTCCTGATTATTCGACGTTTACTGTCACTGGGTTATTGACCTCATGCCTCTCGTCTGTGATCCTTTACATTCACCCTGTAGCTACAGTATTCATCCCTCTCCTTCTGGCTTCTATATTTTCTTTTTCTGATGCCTGTCAAATCGGCCACGCTCCCACTTATCTTACGGTATCATTGTGGCACAGAAATAGCCAATTCCCAGCCCTGAGGCTGCTGTCCCACTTCAGCTGTGAGGTCATTCAGCGGTCAGCGTTGATGACCGAGTGAGCAGGGATAAACACCGAGATGGAGAAATCGCCTTTTTTCTGCCATTCCTCGACGTAACATGAATACAACACTTAAACTTAACCTCATTCAGCTGTTTCTTATATTTATTAACAAGTTAAAGCAACAGAAAGTTTTGCAATGACATCAGGACACACTGTGCCCACTTTCCCCCAAAACTCTAAACCTTCAAAAGCGAGACCAAAAGAAAGGAATCCAACAAGACTCCACTTCAGGGGGTTCAGACAAAAACTGCAAAAACGGCAGGCGTTGGTTCTCGTCCAACTCCCACTTTCTCCACGGTGCAGGGCATTCATCATCATTATCATGGCTATTCAGAGGACCTAATTCCCTTTAAGATCATCCGTCAATTCTCATTTGGCCGCTCTCGACATCTTACGGGCTTTGAGTTCTCCCATGAACTGGATGTGGGGCGAGTTATCAGGAGCCAAACAGAAGCCCCGTCTCTGTTATTGGGGTTTCCATGTGTGTTATAAACTCTGCGAGAATTTCTGCGGGGCTAAAAGAGACTTAATTGCGGATCCATGACCAATCGAAGTGAACACCGTCTAACCTAGAAGCGTCTCTGTGTGTTCGCTTCAACCCACACACTGCGATCGCGGGTTCGAGGATGACTTATTCGTGCAAAAACACGACGCAGGGCTGGCAGTGGGATAATATGTCGGATCTCACGATATATTCACGTCTTCAGCGAGTGAATCTTCATGCAGCGTTGGGGCGTCTGCATCTTTCCCAAATACGAGCGCAGCTGTGTTGTGAAGTGATGCTCTGAGCGCTCGCACTCGGGCAGGGCACGTTTCGAGGTTACATAACCCTGGATTTTCATGCCACACGACTCCTCCCGCCCTACATCCATCGCTCCCGCTCTCTCTCTCAGTCTACGCACAGTACAGAAGTGGAGCAGGCACAGATGGTCAGCGTGGCTTCCTCGCTTTGGCGGGGTGGGGTTAGGGTGGGGCGGGCGCTGAAGGGTAAAAGTGACAGAGGCGATGGGAGCCAAAAGAGCTGGAGATAAATATAGATGGATGGACTGATAGTCGGTTTCACACACAGCTTGGAGGGAGTCTGATCTGATGTTTTGGTGCAGTTTGGACAGTAATTACTCGATAGATGGAGGATCAGCCTATATGAAGGATGAGATTAAGTTAACGAGGTGATGCATCTGCTCCCTGATTGTGTTTAAACGCCTGAAGAGGATAACACACAGCCACAACAACAGTCTGATGCTGCAGCTGGGAAATCTATAGATAATCTACAATAAAACACGGACGCCACACTCCAATCCGAGTCTTAATCCACCAAACTAAGAGAGAGACCGTTTGGTTTCCTCTCCACCAGGATAAGTTGACCGGCTGCTCAAAAGCCTGTTATGTAAAATGGCTCTAATGTGCAACAAATGAAGTGAAAAGTCTCTACATGTACCATGTTGTGGTAAATCGCTTCGCCCGTCAGCTGCCAGCAACCATTTTAGGACACCGCGCCCTGTCGTTTAATAATGCACCGTTCTCTCGGCCCCCGGGGACGAGATAAAAACTTAATTTTCTGCTGAATGTTTTGGTGATACACTCCCTTTTTCCTGAAGCCAAATGAAAGTAGGGTACACTTTCATAACACCAACTCTCACGGTTATTTACCGGTACGTGCGTGTCTGCAGATGTGTGTATTTCAGTCACGATAATGTGAGTCAAGCAGACAAAAGACGGTGTGAGAGGAGCAGAGGGGAAAACGCTTCAGAAAGGTGGGAGGGGAAGACAAGGTCACTGTGAAAATGATGAAGAACGAGGAAAAGAAACCTCAAATATTCATGACTATCCTAACAGAAATTAATGATATAATATTATTGTACATTTTTACAAGTTACAGACTAATTTCTATGACCTGATGCGTATTTTTGTCTGCTGTATCGCTAAAAGAAATAAGGAAACTACTCTGCTTCATTCAATATTTTACACGCACATGATTTCTTGTCATATATCCGTTAGCTACAACTAACTGAAGTTCCTAGTGAATTAAATTTTAATGATGAAGTCCAGAAACCAAATATAGCATGAGTCTTTTAAATGGAAAACATCATAATTGTTTAAAACAGTTGTATACTCAGTAAAGGTCAAACAGGTGGAAAGACAAAGGGAACAAAAGCAGAGAGAGTAAATATAGTCTTATTATCTCCATGTGAATCTTCTTTTCTCAGATTATTTGGGTTTAGTAGATAATATTTCGAGAGAACAGAGATCATGTTGTTGTTTTTTGTATTTCTTTTTAAGCCAAAATCAAACTGAAATGTCCTCAACTTCGATCTAAAAACCACTTCCCTTAAAATGTGATCGACATATTTGATCTTAAACTCATAAATCCTCGCTTCAGTCACCTTGAGCTCTTTATGCACTCACTGATTTTTTTCACAGATATGATTCCAGCTGGAGTGAACCTGCCCACGGTCACCTGCAGAGACCGGGAGGATCCAGACGGCTGGATCACGTTTAAGCCAAACTGAAACAGTCACACCCAAACAGTCTTGCGCAATATTTTCTCTGTCATGTCGTTGACTTTGTCCTGAACTCTCAGCAGATGATAAATAATACGCACTCTCTGGGACTGTGGCATTAATAAGAAGTGACTGTTTGGCTCAAAAAAAGCTTTTGAGAGATAGAAAAGTGGGATTTAATTTCCAATCCAGTCCTGTCAGAAAAAACTGCACAAGCGTCGGTATTTTAAAATCAAAGCTTAAATCATGGCGCCATATGGCTGCACTGATCTACGCTAAATCATAACATCACTGATTTAAACGTCTGTACGGGTCTGACATGTCTGATCATTTATACATTTGTAAATTGTTTGTATGGTGATCCCTGTAAAGGTTTGAGTAACGGCGGTGTACTGTACCTCCATGGCCAGGGCAGCGGTTTGCTGGTCGTAATGGTTCAGTATGTTCGGCATGAAGGTGGAGTTGTACGGCAGCCCCTGGCACATACGCAAGGTGATAGGCTCGCAGGTGAACAGGCTGTGGCTCCCCGCCGCATCCATAGGGATGGCGACGCACGCCGTGAGCATGGACACCGACAGCACCCAGAGGAGATCCATGACCGCTCCGTACAGCAGGAGAGAAGAAAGACAAAAGAGGTTGATCCCTGTTGACCTTCAGGGGAGAGAAACGGCGAGGTCTGAGGAGCGTCCGGGACTGTCGGTTAGCCTCTTCCTCCTCTTCGGCTCACAGAGGAACGGTGTGGGCCTGGCGGTGTAATCCAGCGCAGCCATGGTTAAAGCCGGCTTCATCCATCATCTTCTGGAGGCGAGGTGTGTCACAGACGCTCCATCACCTGGGAGATGCTGTGGTCCTTTAAGACGCTGCACTGTCACCGAATGAGGAAAACCCCTCCCTCTCTCTTCTGCCGCTTCTGGGAAAAATAAGGATGACAACAGCTGATGGTGGTGACCGGATCTGCGAAAGAAGAAAAATATATGAAATATTCATTAGTTGTAGTCACAGTCATTTTAACCTTCCTCCTGTGTTAGCTGTGTTACCATGTTAAGGGTCGGTTTTGACCCATAAACAATTCTCTATCATCCAGTTTGGTTCTCATCTCTAGGTTACCATGTTCTGCTTCATTATCCATGAAAATATTGCTTATAATAGTTTTTGTTGTGGTCCTCTGGGTCGTTCAGACATCTATACTGAATTGATCTCACGTCTGGACATGCCCGACTTTGTTTTTTGTGCAGGGAAAAATATGAGAAAATGAGAATTTCCAAAATCTCACATGATTGGAAGAGGATCAGACTGACGCAAAAAAGCTAGTATAAGTGGTCCTTTTAAGCATTTAAAATCAAAAACAGGTCGGTGCTGACCCAAACGCAGGAGGAGGGATATACATACTTCATACATACGTACATAAAAGCCTGGTTAAAAAATGGAGGTGATTGCTTTCCGGATGACTCACATTGGCTGTACTCATTAACAACCAGTCTGTGATGCAAATGAGTGGAAATAACAGCAAAACACTGACACACAGGGCAAATATTAACACCATTACCATCTTTAAACATTGACATTTAGGCACATTTTGTTTCTTTAGTCAATTGTGAATAAATAATGTGTTTTTTGTGTTGTTAAATAGTATTTCAACCTAATGAATTTCAGGAAACAGCAAGATTGGGCTTTTTTTGTTATATTTATATGCACACGCACACTCAAACCATAATTTCTATTGTCGATTTTGTACACCTGTACTTCTTAAATGTCAGTAATCTCTGCTAAAGACGAATTAAATCAACTCTACTCATTAACAACCAGTCTGTGATGCAAATGAGTGGAAATAACAGCAAAACACTGACACACAGGGCAAATACTAAAACCATTATCATCATTAGAGATTAACATTTAGGCACATTTTGTTTGTTTTTTTCAGTCAATTATGAATAATAATGTGTTCTCTCTGTTGTTAAAGAGTATTACAATCTAATGAAATTCAGAAAACAGAGGCAGGGGGAGCAATTCTGCAAGAGTGGGCTTTTTTTGTTATATTTACATGAACGCACACACCCAAAGCATCATCACTATTGTCACTTTTGTACACCTGAGCTTCTTAAATGTCACTAATCTGCTTTATTTGATGTTTTTTTTAAAGTATAAATGCAGAAGCTCGTCCAGCCTACCTGTGCCTCTGTAATAACGGGCTCCTCCTAGAAACCACTTCATTAATTTACTCCTTCTTCTTCTTCTTCCTCTTCACTCCTCTAATGTAACCGAGAGCCTCCTAACGTTTCCGTGTATCTCTGCCCACTCCCGTGAAACGGTTAGATAACATAGATAGAAATGTCAAGCAGCCCACCGCAGACAAAAGATGACGGTTAGTTAGATGATGGTAACCGTGGAGGGCAGCGGCAGCAGCAGCGTGTAGTCCGTGTACCGGTGTGATATTTCCCCGTAACGAGCCGGGCGGTTTTAACAGAAGAGAGAGGAACACTCCGGCTGAGGTTTGAGGCGGAATTGGAGGAATTAGATCAACTTTACCTGAATGTTGTGTCGGATTCACGTGTAATAACGAGCTCTCCGCCGCTCCTCGAGTTGTAACAATGAGTGAATGTCCCTCCACCTCCAGCAGCTTCACCCTCCTCCTCCTCCTCCCGGCTCCTCCTGTCCTCCTCCTCTGTCCTCCTCCCCGCGTCTGTCCCCCCTCTCTCTGCCCGGTCAAGTCACACGGAATAAATGAACGACTTCCGTTCAAAAGTCTAAAGAAATAAAAGCATCGCTCTGTATAGATGACTAATATATCATATTAAAGTATCGCGTTAAAATGGCATAGTATAGTGTATTAAAAAAATCATAGTTTAGTATGATAAAAAGTCAAATAATCATATGATTAAAAATGTCATAGAATAGTATGATAAAAAAATGTCAAAGCATAGTTTGATAAAAAAAAAATCATACTTTGGTATTTTAAAAAATGTCAAATAATCTTATGATTAAAAAAAGGTCATAGCATTGTATGATAAGAAATATAAAATAGTATGATTAAAAAAAGTCAGAATAGCATGATAAAAAATGTTATACATAGAATGATAAAAAATGTAATAGTATAGTATGATTAAAAATGTCGTAGCATGGTATGATAAAATATGTCACAGTTATTTGATAAAAAAAATGTCCTAGTATAATTTGATAAAAAAATATAGTTTGGTATGTTAAAAAAATGTCAAATAATCGTGTGATTAAAAAAATTTCATAGCATAGTATGATAAGAAATATAGATTAGCATGATAAATTAATGTCACAGCATAGTATGATAAAAAAATATCCAATAGTGTGATAAAATAACGTCATAGTAAAGTATGATAGAAAAAGTCATAGTATAGTATGTAAAAAAAAGGTCATAGAAAAGTACAATAAAAAAATGTCAAAGTATAGTTTTATAAAAATATCATAGTTTGGTATATTGAAAAATGTCAGCGTATAGTATGATTGAAAATCTCATAGTATAGTATGAAAAATAAAATTTTAAAAAATTGTGTGAAAAAAGGTTGTAGTATAGTAGGTTTAAAATATCATAGTATAGTATGTTGAAAAATGTCAGTATAGTATGTTTAAAAAAATGTCATAGTATAGAATGATGTAAATGTCACAGTAAAGTATGTTAAAAAAATTATTTAAAAATTTCATAGTATAGTATGATTGAAAATGCAATAGTATAGAACGTTAAAAAATGTCATAGTATAGAATGAAAAAAATTGTATCAAAAAAAGTCATAGTAAAGTATGATAAAAAAATGAAAAATCTTGGTGTCAAAAAGATCTTATAGAATAGTATTAGTAAAATGTCTTAGTAAAGCCTGTTAAAAATGCCAAAGTATAGAATTGTAAAAAAAATTTAAAAAATTGTGTGAAAGTGTCGTATTTTTTAATGTCATAGTATAGCATGTTCATAAATGTTATAGTAGAGTATGATAAAGATATAAAATGACAAATACGTGTTTACTTTTTGTTTACCTCGTGAAACAACTATTTCAATTGTTTTCGCCATTATTTTGAAGGTGGAAAAGTTAGCATCCGGTCCTGCGCATTGTGTGTCTTTTTCACTTGACGAATTTCACAGCAGGGTTTTCTTGTCTTCTCTGCGCGCGACCGCCCGTCCGAGGACGAGCAGGCTCTCTGGGTTTGAATGAACATCTCGTCACACCGCTGGTTCACAGTTTTAAAGCTCTGTGCAGGTTTTTTAATGTTGTATAATTTGCATTTTCACATAAAGGTGCAGAAAACAGTACAGAAAATAATGCAACATTTACCTAAATATCACTTTAATCAGCGTTGCACGTGGTTCCCATTCTGATCCCGCTTAATGTTTGTTTGCAGAGTTGAGGCATTGTGCAAATGCTTTCGTTATATGTCATAAATGTAGGTTGTAAAACACGCATGCATTCGAATTATTAACCTTTTATTTTTGCAAAGTCCGGCCAGTTTTCTTAAAATACAATAAAAATCAAACTTAAATACATCTGTGCAGCGTCATTTTGCAGAATCAGTGTTTCAGAGGCAGATGGTGCGGCTGCAGTTGCATCGTCAGGCCTTCTGCACCACATTTGTCATCATTAGAGGCAGTGACGCTTTCACACTGCTGCACATACACACACACACACAGAGACACACTCCATTGTGGTTTGCTTTGCAGCACCCCCCTCTGTGTGTGACAGGCTGTGACAGCAAGTCCATGTATGGAGAGAGTACACTTAGCGTTACTATGGAAACAAGTAAACTCTGCAGAGGAAAATGGAAAGAAGAAAAGGAAAGTTTGGACACAAAGACTATCCAGAGTATGCACAAAGAGAGAGTATTTAGAAGTTGGATTTATTTCCCTCCACCAGCAGAGAACTGATGGTGAGTCAAATTACAGGAGAGTGTGTTGCAAACCCGTGAAACTGCAGGGCTGAAGTTGTGTTTCTTCATAAGTTGAGCTCTTTTTTGTTTAATCAATGTGCAAAATGTAGATTTAAAGATAAAAGTGTGTGTTTACAAACCTGCACATTTGCACTGTGTAGTGTCGAGACTTTTTGTAATTTGTGGCATAGAGTAAGAGTGCTGACTTGTGTTGCAAAGGTTATGTTTGGGCATTACTTAATAGACTTAATACACCCAAAGTGGTTTAAGAGCTGGTAATTAGTATAATTATATTTTAGAAGAGGACTGGGCCTTTGAGGCTAATACAGATCCTGCAGTGACATGTTGCTCTGATGTAAGAGGTAATTAAAAAGTTGAGACTTTATCCAAAACACACTGTCAAACTGTGAGGTAATAGCCAAAAGTGTGTATCATGTGTCATCCTTCATCAGCCTTATAGAGCCAACACATCAAACATGCCTCTTAACTCGAGAGCTTCAGTACGAAATGCCAAGATGCAGACCGCACTGAGCACCTGGACTCCTCTGAACCACCCACAGTCCAACAGCAAGGTCGGATGAACTCATACTTATAATTTAATTACTATTATTATTATAATGAGGCCATATTGGTTTGAACATTTGCATTAAGAGATTTTCAACCATATTTAAAGCTTCTTTCAAAAGGTATCTCTTTCTAGGGATTTGTGAATAATAAGGTAACTGCAGCTGACATTTTTATCAAACTATATTATGATTTTTTTTACATACTGTACTATGACATATTTTTTCAAACTAATATATGATTTTTATTCACACTAAAATTTGTCATTTTTATTATACTATACTATAGCGTATTTTTTCACACTAACATATAACTTTTTTAACACTTAAATTTGAAATTTTTGTCGTACTATACTATGACATTTTATCACACTATACTATGACACCTTTATAGAACAAAAGTCTGAAAAAAGATTTCACACTATGACATTTTTATCATACGATACTATGACATATTTTTTCATATAAAAATATGAAAAAATGTTTCACACAAAAAGTTGAAATTTTAAACATACTATACTATGACATTTTTGTCATACTATACTATCACATATTTTTTCACACTAACATAACATACAAAACAGTTAAATTTGAAATTTTTGTCGTCCTATACAATGACATTTTATCACACTATACTGAGACACCTTTATCATACAAAAATATGAAAAATAATTTTATACTAAAATTTGAAATTTTTGACATACTATACTATGACATTTTTATCATACTATACTATGACACCTTCATCGTACAAAAATATGAAAAAAATGTTTACACTTAAAATTTGAAAATTTTAACATAGTATACTATGACATTTTTGTCATACTATACTATGACAATTTTTTTTCACACTAACATATACATTTTTTTACACTAAAATTTGAAATTTTTGTCATACTATACTATGACATTTTATCACACTATACTAAGACACCTTAATCATACAAAAATATGAAAAAAAATTTCACACTAAAATCTGACATTTTTAACATACTATACAATGACAATTTTATCATACTATACTATGACACCTTTATAGAACAAAAGTCTGAAAAAATTTTTTTACACTTAAAATTTGAAAATTTAAACATACTATACTATGACATATTTTTTCACACTAACATATACATATTTTTAACACCTTAATTTGAAAATTTTGGCATCCTATACAATGACATTTTATCACACTATACTGAGACACCTTTATCATACAAAAATATGAAAAAAAATTTTACACTAAAATTTGAAATTTTTGTCATACTATACTATGACATTTTTATCATACTATACTGTGACACCTTCATCGTACAAAAATATGAAAAAAATTTTACACTTAAAATCTGAAATTTTAACAAACTATACTATGACAAATTTTTTTCACACTATCATGTACATTTTTTAACACTAAAATTTGAAATTTTTGTCATACTATACTATGATATTTTTATCATACTATACTAAGACACCTTTATCTTACAAAAATATGAAAAAAAAATTTTACACTAAAATTTGAAATTTTTGTCATACTGTACTATGACATTTTTATCACACTATACTATGACACCTTTATCATACAAAAAAGAATTTTTTTTCTCACACCTAAATTTGACATTTTTAACATACTATACTCGGACACCTTTATCATACAAAAAGATGAATTTTTTTTCACACCCAAATTTGACATTTTTAACATACTATACTATTATATTTTTACCAAACTTAACTGCGAACTATTTTTATCCTAAAATTTGATAATTTTTTAACCTTCAAATATGACATTTTTAACATACTATTATCTGACATATTTTCGTCACACTGTCCTAAGACTGTTATCATGCTGTGCTATGATTCATAAAATGATTTATTAAAAGTTAATGTTTATACATCATTTATTGTCAATAGCTTGGCACTTATGGTTGATAATATTGTAACTTGTTTTGATTATCAGCCTTCATCAGCATCCTCTTCCTCAGGTGTTTGAAGAGAGGCGGAACCTCCTGGCAAAATGGGTAGGTTTAAAGCATAGACACTGAAAGAGGCAGATCTCATAAAAATATACTTCTCACTCCTCACAGATTCCCCTTTTTGTCCTTATACTCAACATCTGCATCACAGCCGAGGAAAAAATAGCATATATGATCATGATGATAAACAGAAAAAGACTCTGCTCTGTTCAGGTCTCTCATCTTCTTCAGTTTGACAGGTGGTCTGACAGCCAGAGGAAGGCAGTGCTGCAAGACTTAGTAATGGTCTGTTCTGTGGATCAGCTGATGTTCCTAAGCAACAGTGTGAGCAGACGGCTCCCCCTGCAGGCTGCAGACTTCACCTGCCTGCTCCCCAGAGTGCTCTGCCTCTACCTCTTCTCCTTTCTGGACCCACGCAGCCTCTGTCGTTGCGCCCAGGTACACACTGACCAGACTACTTTTACATATATGTATAAAAGTGTGCTTAAACCTGCTCATTCTCGGTGGTTTCACCCGCTGTGAGCAGGTGAGCTGGCACTGGAAAGGTATCGTGGAGCTGGATCAGCTGTGGATGCCTAAATGTGTGCGGCTCGGCTGGTATATCAATTTCTCCCCCACGCCATTTGAGCAGGGCGTCTGGAAGAGACACTACATCCTCGCTGTGAAGGAGCTGCGACTCTCATCACTGCAGGTCTGGAGATCAGTCTCATCACAGCAGCAGTTTACACCTGCACATGTACCAGACGTCAGCAGGAGACATGATGGACTGTCAGAGTCAGCCTCTGCTGGTACACAGCATCCAGGATTCGGCTCCAAGTGTCTCAGAGGAACCTCCAGGAAGAAGCAGCCGGCTGCACCTCCACCGTGGAGGGGCTCTGACAGATCTCCTAAAGACACACTCCGCTTCAACTACTTGGACAACACAGATTCAACTGGGCCTGCAGTCCAAGAGTAAGATCACAGGAGTAAGGATGATATAGGGGAGAGTGGGGTGAGTTGAGCCACCCCCTGTAAAAGAAATTGATCATGTGACCAAATATTAAGGAGATAGGCATCAATTCATGGAGTCTGTGAAGGTTAGAAGCACAAAAGAAAAAACATTTTACACTCTAGTAAGTGAATTTAGTCTGTCATAAGTTTGATTAAATAAAAGATCATTTAAAATTTGTTTTATACATCAATTGTGGTATCCATGAGCTACAACATGAGGTCAAAAACCTAACATAAAAGTCCACCATTTTAGCTTAGAGGACTAATAAAGTCATCATAGTAGTTCTGGGGTAAATACAGTAAAATTAAAAACAGGAAAAAAGGAGATAAATAATAGATAAAATAGAAGATAAAATAGATAACATATACACTATTTTTTTCCTGACTCCGTCTCCCCACAGAAAGATGAAAATAAGACCCTCCTCCTCCTGGAAACCCGCCGATGTGAGCAAGAGATCGATCTCCGAGACCAACTACAAACTACGCAAAGCCAAATCGCTGGTAAACTGCTCCCCATTCATCATCAGCGGCGTCTGCGGCCTGCTGTGACGGTGACCTCCTTCAGGGTTTCAAAGGGAGCTGTAAACGTGGAGGAGTCTCTGGAGGCATCATCATGTATTATGGAGCAGCGTTTACACAGAGACGCATGTTAATGATGAGCGGCTCAGGGAGGGAGCTGACAGAGGGGGGAAGCCAAATTATGCTAATGAGGGGAGAGGGAAGGGTGAAATGGAGGACACTGTGTCATCTATTATTCTGGCTTTGGTGGATTCATTACAGATTTATGTCACTGTCTGGGTTCGAGAACCAAAACCAAATTCAACATTTACAGTTTCAATCCTCTTAAATTTACAGTTTTATCATTTTTTAAGGTTTGGTGGCTGAAATGAGTTCAGCTCCTGAGTAAATGTCATCTTCCTTTTCTTTTAGATGTTCCTGAGCTCCAACAGCAGGTCTCAGCAGGCTCCTCTCCCTCCTCCTCCTCCTCCTCCTCCTCATGAGACTGAATCTCGACCCTCCTGGGCAGCTCGCAGTCTTGACCACCCAGCCACCAAGGAGACCACCAAGAGTTCGCTGAGTCTGACCCGGTGGAATGCAGGGATTCGTCCCGGGCCAGTGAGGACGCCGGTGCCGAAGCTGAGTGTGGCGGCGCTCAGGGCGTCCCAGCGCTCCCACCGGAGCGTTCCCAGTAAGTGATCCCGGCTCCTTCACTCCTCTGGGCTGAATATGATGTAACCACAAGGCAAGACACGTATTCAGGACAAATAATGAGCAGAAAACGACTTATTCTGCAGGAAAAAAAGTTCCACACTGCAGTTTGTGACCCTGTTCAGAGCTGTTTTATGTCGTCTTACTGAATCCTGGATGAAGCTGAATTATTTATTCTGAACATTTTAGGCAAAGCATTAAAAGTTATCTTTAAAATCCATTCAGCAGGATACAAAGATATTAACATTTGGAGGGTTCAGAGCCTTAAAATGCCAAACTGAGAGAGGTCACATTTTGATTTTAGAAAGATTATCTTTTGGGGCAGTTAGGATTTATGATTATATTCAATTAATTTTATGAATTTACAAGTAATAGTAGTGACTTTATCAGTACAGCACTTTTAAAAACAAGGGTTTCCAGATTTTAAATAAGTGATAAAATTATATTTAAAAAAGTACAAAAACAGTTAACGGTTAAAAGATAGTAAAAGCAACACAAGCTGTAATAGGTTAGAATATAAATTAAGAAGTTCAATAACATATGGAAGTTAAAAGGGAAAAACAGTCAGTATTTTGAATTAATTATGACACATAACAGCCACAAAAACAGCAGATAAAAAAGGAAATGACAAAATATGAGTGAAATGGTGAATGAAGCCGCTGAGAGAACAAAAGGTAGGATAATTAAAAAATAAAAGGTAATTTTTTACAACAAAAGATAGGAGTAAAAGTGAAAAATAGGACAAAAGGAATAAAAGAAAAGAAAAGAGAAAGTTAAAGAAAAATTAAAGACTCCAAGAATAAGAAAAAGAAAAGCTTCGTTAGTAAACAAAGTGCACACATGTGATCTATTTGGCTCTTTGTGACCAACATTAGACATAAAATCATAAAAAGTAAAAACCTACTTTAAAATTTAAAAATATGTATATACATGAATATTTACAATATTCATGTATTTACATAATATATTTATTTATACAGTATCTAATTTAATTACCAGCCCCGTCCGATATTTGTAATTTTCTGAGAACTATTTTGAATTATTGCTGAAGCTGTGGTAGTAAACACGACAGCTTAACTACTACAGCACATATTTAAGGAAATATACTTTTTAATTTGACATAAAATACTTCAGGATTAAACTATATCTTAATTTGTTTTTTTTTTTACAATCAAATACAGGCGACCCTCTATTTCAGACGTGGACTCTGTCGAAATCACTAAAACAAGATACAAGGTGAAGTGTCGCCACCACCAGGACAACATCAGTACTGCAGCTTGAGGACTTGATTCAGAGTGTTTGTTTACCTGGAGAGGAATAATGCACCTTTATAATGCATTCAATCACTGCAGCAAGTTTTAGCATCAAATTCAGAAATAAAACATTTCTAACTTTCACTCGATGTGTTTACTTGTCCTTTACTGATAGACATATCCAGATGTAGAGCTCTATGTTGTTTGTATCTTGTGTGTTTTTAGGTCCACATACAGTCTTACAAATATTCAAACTACAGCAGCGACTTTATCCCCAAATATGAAGCAGCTCGGGCCAAAGCTCATACTGTAAATAAGAAAACCAAAAGGTAAACGTTTAAGAAATGTACCACCTTTATTATCCAATCCACACATCCCATTCAATTAGCAATACAAAGCCAAAGCGATGAACAAACAGTGAGTGTGGACTCTGAGAATATTAAACAAGTGTCAGTTTAAGACGAAGAAAATAAACAAAATACAAACTGATTTTTTTCGTCTCAGAATTTAAAACATCCTGCAAACACCGAACAGTAGCATATCTGTGGTAAAAAGGGGGCGGGGGGCAGCTCGACAGATCTCTTCAGTCAGATATGAAATATCATTATCACTCATATTAAACCTCACTCTCCGTCTCAGTCTCCACCACGTACAGTTTGCATTCAAAGCACGGCTCACACACACAAATATATTACTAAATACAAGAGGGGGGAAAAACAAATACCTGATGTTGATTTAATATGAACCAGCTGATGTGAGTGGATCTGTGAGTAAACTCTATGGCTTCAGAATGAAGAGAAAAAACGATGTTTTTAGATGTTTCACAGGTTTGTAAGGCAGAAAATGTCTCCATAGTGACCCACAGATCACAGGTTGTAACAGGAAAACTAACCGAAAGTGGCGAATGAAACTCGCAGAGGAGATTGTCCGACTTTTTGTTGTTGCAAATGCGTGAAATACGAGTGTCGTGTTAGTCCAGAGAGGGGAGAGTACGATCATTACAGCACAGAGGAGAAGTCACTTCAGCGGTCCGATTTAAGGCAGCTTATAAAAGTGTGAAAAACGGACTTCTTGTGTGAGTTAGTCCTTCGATTTATTTAGGAATAGATAATTATCCGCTCTGTAAAGAAGCACATACCCTTTGTTCAGAATAAAACATTTTGAAGTTTAATACAAAAGCCGTTAAGAACAGTTTGATAAACATCGAGGAGGTTTGATTGGATTCACGTCCCGGTTTCACTCCAAACGAACTGACATACCCGATCTTTCTTCACGTGCTTCAAAGTTTTAATGTTCACAGTGGATTTTTCTTTCTGTAAAAGGTTGTCGGAGTATGAAAACAACAAAAATACAAAATACAACAGCTGACTATAAAAAGAGAAAACACTTCTGCTTTGAGCAAAAACGTACACACCGATCAATCCCTTATCTGCTCTCGACATTTAGCCCTTCACTGCGACAAAATGCGCATTCGAACATTTTGATTGATTTATCCGTTTAACTTAAATAAGTGAAAACACAACAACACACAACTTCTTTTATTCGAATACATTTCGTGAAACGTCTGTTAATGTCATATAAACAAGAACCTCTTTGAAATTAAAACGTTAACTATATCAAAAACATCGATTTTAAGGTTGATTTGGATTAAAACCTGATCGTTGAACTCATTCTGTTGTCGAGAGATTGAAAAGATTCGTTAAGGCCTTTTTTTTTTATGCTGCCTCCTTTGTTTATTTCCAAGTCCACAGTTTTATCACGTAAGGCTGATAGGTATCCGTAGTTTGTGCTTTGACAGCTTTCAGATTGTTTCTAAGTAGAGGATGCATATTCTGCTTGGAGGGAATGACTATGCAAATACACACAAGTATTAACACCAAGTCTTTTTTTAAATATTGTAAACATTTACATCTTATTTGAGGTCAGAGCATTGATCCTCTTCATATCTATTTATAGAGAAAAAGAAACGTTACTGGAGCATCGTCCGGATGTTCTTCGGAGTGGACTCGTCGTTCAGGTGTTTTGTGGTGAATCTAAAGAGGAGGGAAAGAAAATAAGACGGTGAAACATCGAGACAGCTTGCTAGTCCAAGAACCGATGATAAGATTTTCTCCTAGGGACGGGCGATATGGTTTGAAATCAAGATCACGATATATTGAGCAGTCCACCTCGAGAACGATAAACGGACGATAACTGCTCCACAAGCTGCTCACCCCCTCCCACATTAACTTCGTCTACTTCAGCCGCTCCAACTTTTGAACCGTCCTCCATCTCCTCACCTGTCTTTCCCTCTTTGTTACGGACTGGATGGGGTGGAGTCACGTCTCTTAAAAGGACATGAGACCATAGCCTACCTACACACATCCAAAACCAACTTTGATTTATGTATTGTTTTGAAACAGAATATACCGATATGGGCAAAATGACGTTGGTTATTGTCGTAAATTTCGGTATCGGTAAATTTTCGGTTTTTTTAGTTTGTTTCAGATACGAAGTCCATATCAAGAAAATCTGAGTCCATCATGTGGCAAAAAGGAGACTGAGAGTTTTGTGACAAAGTTATTGAGCAAAGCATCAAATAACTCACAACCCGAAATGTAACAATGACCTGAAACATTATTAAAAAAATTTAATAAAACCTTAAATGTAACAATAATGTAACAAGATACTGAGCCCAAAATGTAGCAACTTGTTACATTTTAGGTTACATTACATCTTTTTTATTACATTTTGGGCTTTTATTACATTTTTTAGATGACATTTTGGGTCATTGTTACATTTCGGGTGCTAACAAGGCAGTTCGCATGTGATTCATGCCCTTATTTGAACTGTAAAAAGAGCAAAGACACATATCTACGGAAGAGGATTTGGGCCACTGAAAAAAAAACAAAAAAAATAATTATTACTCTGAGAAAAAAGGCTGAATTCTGACTTTTTTTTCTCAGAATAATAATAAAGAAATATTGGACCTTTTTTTTCCCTCCAGTGGCCCTAATCCTCCTCTGCACAAATCTAAAAAAAAATGTTTTATTTGATGCCAGCAACATATTTCAAAAGCTTACTAAAAAGTAACACCTTGAGGAACATCTCTCAACCAATCAGGTTCACTAGCAGCAGGATTGACTGGGTATAAAAACAGACATTTCTGCTGAGGCTGAGATACTCAGAGGTGAAAGTAGGGAGTGAAATTGTGTGTGCACAAAAGTTTGTTTTCAGTACACAATAAAAGATTTAAAGAAATTGGTTGGAAACTGTAACTTTATGACTCTGATCTTTTGACACTGTATTGAAAACGGACATGTCTCTGTATTGGTCGTCACTGCATGGGTCACCTCCAGAAACCAGAAACCAGAAATCGATGAGCACAGATTGTCACTGCATCCACAAATCCAGGGAGGAAACCACATATAAACATACAGTTGTTACTTCTATGCACAATATTACAAAGTTGAGAGGAGGAGGTGACCTACTTGAGGGCGTTTAGGAGACCTTCCACGTTGTCCGCCGGCTGGTCCTTCAGGACTTTTATGCATCCTTTCATCTGAGGAGAAATGGACACAGTCAGCGATTCGAGAACAGCATCACAAACCTCCTCCGCAGTGACGCTGTTTGTGAAGTTAAAACATGTACAGGTGTGTGTAAGTGTGTGTGCGTCTCACATCTATCTTGGAGGACTTGTTGAAAGCGCCGTTGGGGTGGACATGGTCGTAAAGAATGATGACTCCCACCATGACCCTCATGCAGAACAGGAGCGTGTCCTCGCTGCTGAAGCGACTCGAGTATTCCCTTCAAAGGAGGGGAAAGGAAGAAAGAGAGAAATAAAGGAACAAAGAAGAGAGAAATATAGAAATCTACAGTTTTTTTTCTAATGAAGGATTTACTCCTGACATGTTTGAGCAATATTTGCTGATATATGGGTTTAAATGTTCTGTTTCGCCTCCCTGCCTGCAGGTGGTGCTGTTTCCCTGATCTATGTCTCTGTGTGAAGGTGGCGGCTGTTCTTGGATGGAGGGCAGACGTTAAAAACAGACCCTTAGGATGCTAGATCTCTTTCTCCTTCTTAACCAAACTGTGCTGTCCTTGTCAGTGACCATTTAAGGGCCAAGTAACACTTTAGCACTCTGGAAATTTAATGAACCGATAATTTTTGAACTGCAAAGTTGAATCTTTGGGAGTGTGATCTCTGGTTTTAGGTAGCAAATATATCTAATGATGCATCTAGTAAGAACTGAACTTGTATGTCTGCACTGACCTCCATTAAAAGATGTCAAATATGCAACAATAAAGGAAGTAGTAATAAATTCAGACTACATGTTTGTTTTAAGTTACTGGTCTTGACTCACGGTGTCTCCAGCATGACTTTACAGACGCTGGCCATGGTGCTGAGACAGTCTGTCGTGTTCTCCAGAGGAAGAGTCTTATTCTACAAAACACACATGAAAATTAGATAAAGAATGTATCTTCATTGTTAAAAAAACATGAAACTAGTTCGTTCCTTTTAATCACGACGTAAATACCTCTGTCACAAAGTTCGTGGTCGCAGTGCTGAGCGTTTTCAGCATGGGCGTGGCCTCGGCGTAGAACAGAGACATCCTGTTGGCCATCTCGTTGTTGACTTCGTTTTCAATATCCAACTGTGAGAACAGAAACACACAACAGCGATAAAGAAGAGGTCAGTACCATCACAAAGTGGGATTATTCCTAACCCAACCTGGCTACAGTGTACTTAAATCTGCACATTTGTTGAACAGTGCTGATCTTAAATATTCCATTTTATTTATTCAATTTTTACATTATTTGTTTTTATTTTTATTTTCTTCCCCATTGTTTCAATTTAATGTGTATTTCTCTTTCTGGACCCTTTTTTTTTTTTGCAGTACTCTTTCTTTACATTGTATGTTCAGGATAACTTACAGTGTAATTTATCTTTATTATTTTTATTGATTGTTATCATAACTATTTGATCATTTATTTTCTTTCTCACCTTATACTCCTTTTTTTTTCCTTTTCTGTTTTCGGTCTAATTTTTTTCCTGTTTTTTTAGTTTTTTTTCTTCTTCTGTTTTACAGACTATTTTCTCTGTTTTCTTTTTTTTCCTTTTCTGTTTTTGGACAATTTTTTTTCAGGTTTTCAGAGGTTTTTTTTTCTTCTATTATTTGGCCTTTTTTTCTTTCCTGTTTTTCAGACATTTCTTTTTTTCTGTTTTCATGACATTTTTTCTTTTCATTTCTGTTTTTTTTAAAAAATAATCTTTCTCTATTTTTTAGACTAATTTTTCTGTTTTTCAGATTTTTCTTTTCTTTCTTTCTTTTTTTTTTAACCTTTTCTTTTTTTGTTTTCTGTCTGATTTTTTCTGTCTTTAAGAAAAAAAAATTCTTTCTGTTTTACAAATTTTTTTATAGTTTTTTTTTTCCTTTTCTGTTTTTTGGACTAATTTATTTCTGTTTTTTAGAGTTTTTTAAAAGAAGTCGTCAGGAAGGATACAGCGTCCCAAAGCTTTCACACAATCTCTGAATCACTCACATTCATGTTGTTTATTCTGTTTCGGCTGATGGTTCTTCTGTAGTAGCTGAAGTCGTTCTGAATGGCGGGAATTCTCATCTGAAAGAAGTTGGAAAGCTCAGGCATTTATTCCTCAACGATTCACTGTCATATAAAAGGAGAATAAATTCTGAGAAACTGTGAGTGTTTCCAGCAGACCTTCAGCTCGTCAAAGCGCAGAGTGAAGTGGAGGATCTCAGCGAACTGTTTAGCCAGCGCTTGCTCCCTCTCCAGGTGCTGAGTGGGCGTGAAGGGCGGACAGGTCAAGCACTCCAACAAACTCTGTAGAGCCTCTTCTGCACACAGGAACAAAAACACAAACATGCAGACGCAGGAACACAGACAGAGGAGAGGTTAGGTTGGGTATAAGTGTTGACATGCACAGTACAGTAAATTAATATCTCTAAAATACGGTAAGTCTAGTCCATACCTAGTCTGAGGGAAAAACTGTAAAACTTCTTGAGTTTGATGACGAGTGGACACACGGAGTTCCAGGCTCGCTCCTGCAGCGTGAAGTCGTTTGGGTTTTGAATCGCCTGGGACGAACAAATTAAGTAACACAACAGTTAGAGAGCATCTTTGAGTTAAATAAGAGACATTTTGCATGTTTAAACACAGATAGAATATAGGTGTTTATTTCACATGCACATTTTCCTGTTTGTAACGTCGTGTCTGAGGGTGAGTGATCTTGCATGTTCTTACATCTCTAATCTCCTGACCGGCTCCTTTGTACGCCTGCAGGCCCGATAATATGCTCTCAGAGTCCTGGAGGACTGAGTTCACCTGGTTCCACACCTCCCGCTCTCCTTCTGTCGGCTGTGCATCTAACAAACACAGATATGTAAATGTACACACATGGGAGCGCACACATACGAACTTAACGGACACATTCATGCTTCTCTACCATCACAGTCAAGTCTTAGATTTACTCCTTTTCACATCAAGATTTTTTTCGAGGAGTGAATCATGAATATAAACACAAACAATGATCTTTAAGTTATTTATTTTAAACAGCATCTTGATGTGAAAGGGCTTCAAATGATACCAAGAGGGGTTGCAATCATGACGGACACTCACTGGGGGGATCACAGCTGTTTTTGTCTCCACTAAAAGCTCACAGGTGACGACAAAAACAGCCAGCACAGAAAACCACCATACAGGACATCCACATGAGTTTATCAACAGTCAGCCGCCGATATTTGCCTCCTTACTTATCAAAGTGACGCTTTTAATTTGAAAGGCAAACCTCGGACATTGATCGTTTCTCTCAGAGCAGCTCTGCACCGGTTTAATGATTAAACCTCTGTGTTATCTCAGAGTCAGCGTCAGAAACTTGACAGTAAAGTCAAGTGAGGTTGACTGTTGATAAACTTCTTTAGGGATGTGCAATATGTGCCAAAAAAACAGACAGATCTACAGTGAAATATTTCTAAAAATAAAAAGGTTTGTTGAACTCTTGACTCACAATGTTCATCCAAAGTACATCTGAAATATTAGCGCAAATAAACAGGTTTTCTGAGCTCAGCCGCGTCTCTACTAGTCAAAGTTTTTGTTTCACTCTGCATGGCGTCAAATATTTATTTTGCTCTGCAGGCCTGAGTTTAGCTGGCGCTGCAGAATCTAAAGACTTTTAACATTTTCAGAGCCAGAAACGTCATCGTCATGATCCTAAAGGAATTCTTTAGTAACAAGTTTCGGTTATGGTGACCACAGGGAGAAGAAGAAGAAGAAGAAGAAGAGCTCTAAATGTAGAGCATCATAATAAAAGTGTGAGTCTGGAGTCTGTTTCGCATTTTAAAACCTTTCCACTTCCATCATTTCCTCTTTGCAGAGTAAACAAAGCCTGAGGTTGGCTGCAGTGTGAGAGCGCTGAAATGCCTCTGTGGAGGCGTATTGTGTTTTTTCGCTGTAGGAGGTTCAAGCAAAGAAAGGCCAAAGGAGATTTCTTTTGCCGCTAACATTGAGTTAATTTGACTATTTGGCGTAAACAGTAGGAGCAGAGCAGTAAAGCTGAGGATTTAATATTCTGTATCTCTCCTAACTTTCCAAACGCTATAAACTTGAGCTAATAATAATGGGTTATCAATCACATTATTCCACATGTATGCAGGATAATGTGATTACAATATAAGCACATATAAGAGCATGCATGCAGACGAGTTAGTACAAGCAGACGGCAAAGGTTAGGGGTCAGCTCCATTTATTTTTTAAGTTGGCATGCAATGAAAGGATTTTAAAACCTCAATCCTGAGCTACTATACATCCAGGGGTGAAAGGTTGACATTATAATGGCTGAATAGGCTGACCCCTGACCAGTCAGAGCAGCTAAGGAGAGGTTAGAGGAAAAATGAATCAGGGATGAAGAAGGGAGAGGGGGCTGACGAAGCAGAAAGACAGACAGACGGACAGACAGAAGCTGTGCTCACTTTCAAAGTCAAGGAAAAAGTTTGGCCCCTGTTCAAGCTCTGTGCAAGTGAGCACTTTTAACAGATTCCCCATTTGGTTTCTGCAAGACAGTAAATACAGAAAGAGAAGAAAAAAAAGGAGGTGTGATGTTAAAAAGTCATCGACAGGTAATGGAGGAAGTGGAGGAAACAGGAGGAGCAGACGGTCACGACCCCGGTGAAAGAAAAGGTGGAAAAAGGTAGAAGACAGAAGCAGAAGCTTCAGGGTTTCGTCATCCAGAGCAAAGACCTGCTGACGGAAAGGAAACAGCTGAGCTGGTTACACCCCCCCTCCACCCCCACACCTCTGTCTCCATCCATCTCTTCCTCTCCTTTGCCAGACTTACTTTCAAAGTCCAGGAAAAAGTGTGGATAGTTCTCTATTTCCCTTGTTAGGACTTTTAGCAGGTTACCCATTCCAGCAAACCTGATGGTCAAAATACAACAGTGAAAAAAACAGACATGAATACAAAGACATCAAACAATTCAGTCATGGATCCTGTTGGGATGGAGATGCAACTGAAACAGAACTTAGACATCAGTGCTTTAGTTGTGTAGTGTATTGCTTTCACCAAAAATAATACTGAAAAAAAGCTCTGTTTTACCAAGTAATGTTTTTCTCTTTCCTTTTTTTTCAGTTTTTCAGACAATTTTTGTTCTTTTCAGTTTTTCAGACTAATTTCTTTTCCTGTTTTTCAGTTTTTTTTTTCTCCTTTTTTTGTCTTTTGGAGAATATATTTTTTCTGTTTTTCAAAAAAAAAAATTCTTTTCAGTTTTTGAGAGTATACTTTCTTTTTTTCAGAGTAATTTTTTTCTGTTTAGTTTTTCGGACAATTTTTTTCTTTTCTGTTTTTTGGAATATTTTTTCCTTTTTTGTTTTTTGGACAATTTTTTTTCTGTTTTTCAGAGTATTATTACTTCTTTTATGTTTTTCAGATATTTTTTTTTCCTTTTCTGTTTTTGGGCTGATTTTTTCTGGTTTTCAGAGTTTTTTTTTTCTTTTTTTCGTTTTTTGGACAATTTCTTTTTCTTTTCCATTTGTCAGGCAAATGTTTTTTTTATTCTCTGGGATCATGATAATTTAAAAACAGATGCTCTCATCTCCCTCTGTTCGATTTATTGGAAGCAAACACGGCCCACTTTTTTAGTTTAATCAAGTTTGACTTTCTTTTGGGTCTGGACACCGGTAGATCCTCCTTTCTTTTAGTCAGATATATGGAATTATTATAAGTTTGTCTACTTTGTGCAGGCGCCTCAGGATTTAAATAAAAACATACTTTACTTGAAGTTAGTCGAAGTTATCTATGAGCTGGAGAACATGCAGATTTGGAGCAGCCGCGGTGGTTAATGTGATCTGATTGTATAAGATTCTCGCAGGATTTTGAAGTATCTCATTTAGTCAGGAAAAAAAAAATGTCAGAAAACACAAAGACAAAAAAATTATTCCAAAAAAAAGTTCCCTTTTTTTTTGTAAGTGAATGCAATATGTTTCCGAACATTTCACAAGAATAAAACTCCTGAGCTGTTGAACCGGACACCGGACTCATCTGGATTCAGGTCTCTCTAAACGTGGCCAAACACTCAGATGAAGCCCTAACTGGCAGTTACACTCAATGGAGGTTTTTATTGGAGGGAGAAGACAGTGAGAAGGTAGCAATTCCCAGGAAAATGTCTACCTCCTGAGCCATGGAGGGTGGTCACGCACTCTGTAATCACTGCAGACCTTAAGCATAATATAGGGTCATGATTACGGTAAAAGGGAGGCATCACAGTAGAGTATAACAGTATAACATCGGCAGGTTCAGAGGATTAAAGCTGACATTAAACTGGAAAATAAAAGTTGATCTGATTTTAGAGAAATAGTGTTTTAACCAGTTTCATTAAGGCTGCAGATTTACACACACACACACAGAACTAACCTCTTTTGACTTTTATAATTCATAGTGTGAAGTGACAACAGAGGAGACATTGTGCTGCGAGTTGCACATGATAATCACACTGCATTTTTCTGCACAGCCTGCAGCAAAGTGTGGGCTATTTCCCTCCATGGTATTCACCCTTCATCCCGTCTGCACTCCTCAAACTCAAACAGGAGTGATTATCAGTCAGAGAGGCAGCAATAGGAACAGCTGCGACTCTTGGGAAAGTGTCATAAATCTCCTAACGTGGATGATTATTAATATAAAGGAGTTTTCAAGTATAAGAATCTACCAGAAGGGGGCACTGCAGCTTTAATGTAATAACAGGGATTAGAGTAGGTACACGACACGTGCTGCAGCAGACAAACCTTAACCTGCGGCTACGACTCGTTTCTTAACAGACCTGCTTGTCTGCGCCTGAGGTGGAGAACTCTGGTTTTTCCACCCTCAGGTATCAGGTAACCACCCAAACTCTGTCTGTTCTGTCTCTCACAACTACCAGAGGAATTTCCAGCAACATCCTTAATTGATTGTTTGTTTTCATGACACACCAAAGAGTCATGTGACAGTGGGAACGGGGCATTCTCATTTATTGTATTAAGTGTGTCCAGAGTAAAACCTCCCATATACTGTCACCTTTAGGGGAAATCATTTATTTGTCATTTCCGACACAACCTCCAGAGAGCTCGTTTATGGCTGTGAGTCATTTGAGATGTGTGGCGTGAATGCAGCGAGTTTTCCAGGTAGCTTTCTTACAGTGGGGAGTGTCAAAACGAAGCTGTCCTGCTCTCTGGTATGCTAAGGCTACTATTTATGGATAAAGTACTGATAGAGAGGAACACAGAGTCCAGATCTAATTTCAGTTATCAGGACCCCCTTCTCAGGAACCAGTCGAGGTTAGGGCGCAATCAGACACCTTCTCTACCTTCTCCATCCTCTTTCTTTTTGTGTCTCTTCTATCGCTACAACCATGAATTACAGGACTTATCCTACAACAGGTGGGCTGTTAATCTAGACCCTACTCTGAGCAAGAATAACACACACATGACTGAATACTGACGCCCCCCAAAAAGGTGAGTATTCCAGTAAGAAATCAGCTTTTTCAAAGGCTACTCATCTCTCAGGAAGTCCAAGTTAAAATGAAATGAATACAGGTTCAAACAGGAGATTAATCGCTGAATTAAAAAGCAAAAAACAAAAAACATAACACAGTCGCAGGAGCGTTTATCTGTCATGAAATGTTTAACTGTTGAGAAACTTTTAAAGAGCCGTCTGTGAGGCTGTGTTAATGAGGCCTTCACTCTCACACACTGGAATGTGTGATAATTAGTCAATGATTCAACATCTATCCTGTGGTTTCCTCTTTTGTTATAAAAAAAAATTCCCCTTGTCGTTTTATGGTTTCATATGTAGGGTGTTTAAAAAGTCAAAAACAGAACTGGATCTTAAATCAAGTGTTTGACCTCAGTTCAACACAGTCAGAAGATGAAATGGTGTTTATTTTGATGCCTTTAAGTGTTTTCAAATGATGACTAACAATGGACACAAAGATATCTAGAAATATCAAACGAAAAAAGCACGCAGAGACATCTACCTTCAGTTTAGCTCTACCTTTTCAGGCCTGTTTGCACTCCAATTACCCCGTGTGTACTTTGTTTTAGATTAGGTCGATTGTAAATATTATCTTTATATAGGTTAAAACTGCTGTAAACACCATTGTTATATTTTTAATGCACAATTAATGTTGATTTTATTATGATTCCTAGTTTCGTTCTTTTCTCTTGCAGACTGGAATGACAAATAAAACTCTTTTGGTGCCTTTGCAGTTTCATTTAGGTGTGTGACCGTCTATGCAAACTCTGATTTTTGAATAACAGTTACAGGATAACAATTGGATTAATTATCTGACATGTATGATAAGCTTTAGAGAGACAGAAGCTGGTTTCTGTTACGTGACACTTTCCTGTCTGCACTCACCAGCCTCGATCCCAGACGGGGAAGGAAGAAGCACAGAGAATTTTCTCGTCTGCTCGGTTCCTATTTCATGACTTCTTATCGATGCAGCTGAGTCAGACAGAGTGGAAACTTTGACCTTCTACTTTCTACTGTTTATGCTATCTGTTAATACTGGGTGCCGGTAATAACATTATCTTTAATATCACTAAAATCAAAGCGATCCCACTTGAGATTTTGTATCCAGAGTATTTCCGGTTATTTGATTTCTGTTCTCCTGGTCCACCGCCTCGTTTTTTTACAGTCCTGAGCACAAACAGCTCAGCAGCTTTCAGAGCAGAAAGTTTTGGGCTTTAATACAACAAGTGCAGACTAATCCTCACTGTAATCATCTAAACCTCGACATTGTTGCTGGGCTGATGTGCCTCAGCAGCAGCAGCAGCAGCAGCTTAGAGCATGGTCGTTTTGAGGCATGACTTCACTTGCCCAAAAAACTGTTAGTTGGAGTGTTTTTATGTGTGTGCATCATCCCGTACCGTCTCTGGTGGAAGACTTTGGCTCGCTGTCTATATCATCCGCTTTGTTCTTTGTCTCTGAAACGAAAGAAAAGAAGGAATCTATGTGAGAATCGATACAGACTGAGCGATGATAGATGATACTACAGAGCGAGGAAAAACGATCTTACAGCAGTTTTATGAGCAGAAGAGCTCGGTACACCTCGACACATTTACACGCTTCCTCTATTTTCCTGACATGTAAAAAAAAAAAAGCATTCAGCAAACAAACACAACCCTTCCCCCCATCAGAAAACACACCACTAAATAATTAACCACGCTGAAATCGACACCCTTGTCTGTTATATGTTATAACCAAATAAAGCTGATTAAGGCTCTGTCCGCTCCATGTTCACTGGAGGATTAAATGTCCCCTGACAAGCTGCGGCTGCTAATGGTCACTCTGGTGCAAACTCCCTCCAGCCTGACTGCAGAAAAATGCAGAAAAAGATGATGCTGTCACTTCCTGTCTAAAAAAAAGAGGAGTGCAAATTCAGTGTGACTCTTGTCTCTCAGCTCAGGAAGAGGGGAAAAAAATCCTCATTTTTCGGTCACTTTCAAACTCCAAAACTTCAAACTAAGGCTGCACGATTAATCCATTTTAAATCGTTATCGGATTATTTGATAATGATGATGTTAAAAAAAATTTAAATTGTCAAATCAATTTTCCTCTCGGGAGGAATGTGGGGGGAGAGTTGCTGAGAGTCGCTGTGATGACGCTTTGCTCAAACAGTGCATCCCCCCGGGTGAGCTACACAATCCTTGAACGCCCATAGGCTGTATCAAGTGTCAATCATAGAAAACATGAACCCCCCCATAACTTTTAAAAATGGAGCTGTATAGAAAAAGGAGGACTTGAGCTCAAACCAGTCTGACAGTAACTACAAGTCAACATCACAAGCAGGGGGGAGAAACATTTACATTCTGTGTCATTAATTTTTAAAGTTTGTCCACAGCTCCATAGGGATTGCTGGAGGAGGCGGGATTTCTGACCTATGCTGCAGCCTGTCACCAGAGGTAGCTGTTCTCGGAGTGGCCAGCAAGAAGGCAGACGGCGTCCATTCTACATACAGTCTATGAGCAAACCACTCCCTGCTGCAAAGTCTGTCCGAAGGCAGTATCAACCCGTCCACACGGAAATGAATTCAGGAGTAAACGCAGAAGTTAATCTAGAGATGCACCGATCCAATCGGATACCTGTGCTGAACATATCGGCCGATATCTGAGACCAATCCAATACTATGGTTGAATGAATGATCTGTATACCTCGCCCTGTGAGTGAAGGCATAAGGCTTGACATTAGCTCAGTTAAAAAAAGGTAACAGATTAACACAGATATAAATTTACTTAATATTATTTATTAACAAATAAAAAATTGCACATTAGCACACAGCAAACAGAAGTAAGACTGGATCGAGTTTTCAGTGAAAAAAAAAAACTGGATTTTATTTTTGGCCAAAATCGTGCAGCCCTACTTCAAACAATAAACAGGTAAATTAAATTATTGTTGGCAAAGTCCACTCAGTGCACCTGCAGGAGATCATCAGCCAGTGTTAAAGTAACTCATAAAACACTGACCTCCACCAGAGAGGTCTGAGCGAAAAAGAAGAAAACAGTTATAAAGTGCTGAGTAGCTTAAGGGCTGGAAAACAGTCCATTCACAAGAAACAGCGTGTAACACCAGAGTAATCGTATTAGCAATAATGGAATAAGCCATGTGTTTAGGTTCAATTTAGGTTCAACAACTTCAAAGTTAACGAATCATGGCATCTATGTGTGACATGACGTTTTTTCCTGACCTGGCAGAGACTACTTTTGTTCGTCTGTCTTATATCTGCCTTTAATTTAAGATAATTAACCAGTGAGACTAATATAATAACACAAAAATAAAGCCTCAATAACTGGGATCAATTCTTGAAATTAGTAATCAATAATGAATTAAATCATGACACCAGGAATTATGTAAATAAGATTATCCATTATCTCCCACTCTTATCCTTTTGGGTGGTTACAGCGAGTGTTGTGCCTCCAAATGTTTTTGCCCATCTGCCACGGCTTATGTGGTCTTACTGGAGGTCTGCACTCCAAAGCAGGATTTGGGGCTAACAAGGTAACTGAGGGTTTAAGCTGGTTTGTAGAGGTTCACTTCTGAATGGGGTAAATAACGCTGACACCCAAATGTGCAGCAGAGCTGGTTATGCAGCAGTAAAACGCCAAACGCCGTCCTGATGATCTGGGTAACACTAATTTGATGAAATGCTCATGAAATTAGAGTCTGAATTTCTCATGCTCTGATGGTCTGGCGGTGATTTTGTAAGCTTTGACATACAGTCCGGTTTTTCAGTCGCCGCAGCTTTGATGGAAAACAACAAATAAAATTCAAGCGCATCAAGACAGCGAGCTCTACTGCGGCACAGTCCCATCTGTCACTGCGAATAGTCCTCATCTGTCTGTGCTGACCCCCATCCCTCCTCTGGAGAACCTGCATGGCAACAGAAGGATGGAAGATGCTGTGGATGGATGCTCTGCTAGGACAGTAGAGACTCTCCTTATAAGGGCATGGAAATGAATGGCGAGCGCTCGAAGTCTGACACATGAGCGGGTTTCACCTCAACATCGCACTTCGTCTGCAGACACACACACACACACACACACACACACACACACACACACACACACACACACACACACACAGCACTCTTCATGTGCTCCTTCTGGACCTTTTTAGACACACTCGCCAAATCACCATGTGGACCGCACAGACTGAGCGCTGATGAGAGCAGACACTCCACCATCACACCCACTTCACTTACTATTCATCCAACTTCTCTGTCTCTGAGCATCCACTTCTTCATTCACTCACTCTCTCTTTCCTTCCCTTTTATATTTGTCCTGCTTTCTTTCTTCTTTTACTCCTTCCTCTTTTAAAGATAGCTGGAATTACTCTACAAAATTAGACCAGTTATCCTGATCGCCATCCTTTCAGCTAAGTGGGCACACGTTAAGCCTAACAGATGAGTCAGATTAATAGAGCTGTGATCAACCAAAGAATTTCTTCGTTGACTAAAACCCTGAAATTTCAACCAAAAATCGACTAATCGAGGGGAGTGGGGGATTTACGGTGAAAATATACTGATATCAGCAAAAGGAGGCAATTAAACACAAAAGGGCAAGTTGAGACGCTCAAAATAAAAATAAAATGTTCAGCAAACTCCCGGACAATGATTAACCCATAATTTCCAATGCCGAAACGGCTACGAAAAGGCCGTATTACCAGATGCGATTTTTTTTTTTTTGTAGGATGGTAGGGTAAGGACCGGCCCTCTTTCGCCTCTGATTGGCTAGAGGTGCTAGGCTTGGATTGGTAAATCCCTAATGGCTGTGAAATGTCATTGTCTGTCAGATTAGGGTTAGGAGATTCAAAAGTGTGTTAACGTTCTGTAATGTACTGTTCGATGTACAGAGCTGACAGCCCACGTTTGGCTTGAGTGTGTGAGGACATTTCCAGCTTTTCTAGCCAATCAGAGGTGAAGGAGGCGGGACTTTCCCCTAATGTCCTACAAAAAAATATATATATCACTTCCCGGATCGTAGCTAAAAGTAACCATTCAAGTTTATGTGTCAATCGCCAGACTCCACAGCTGATCGCAAGAGTTCTATCTTTTCTGGACGCCGCATGGGTTCTGTTGATGCTTTTCAATCTTCCTGTCTCCAGTGGGTTGGGCAAACCCAAAATGTTGAAAACAAGGGGGGTGTTCTGAGACAAGCTGTTACCTGTGAAACGGGGATGCTCTGAAAACACCCCCATTACCCCTTGGCACTCCCCTCCTGATGAAATTAACCATAGACTGTAAATTGACGTGGAAAAAAATCGAGTCGACCAATCAGAACTTTGGTCAACTCAGCACGCATCGACTAATAAATCGACCGGTCGACTAGGACTTTACAGCCCTAGTAGCCACACATTCAGCCAGACAGATGAGTCAGTTCAGCAGTCAGTAAATCTGTCAATCATCTCTGCAGGTGGTGGAGCCAGACAGCGACGCTGCAGACTCCCAAAAAAATAAACATGTTTTTCAGGAAATATCAATCAGGAGGAGCCAGACTGGAAATTTCCACCGACCCCCAAAAAGATAACAACACAGCTTTATTATTATTATTATGATTATGAGTTAGCAAAGTATGATTGAGATAAGAAACCTCTGCACTGTCATGAAGAGTAATGCAACTGAACTTAAGAGACAATGTGAGATTTGTAAACCAGGATTAAAGGTACAGTTTGTAGAAATAGACGTATTATATGACATCTAACTCATGTTTTCTAGACTGAAGTACTCCCTCGCTCAACCCTTCTGTCGATGGAGCAACAGTGGCCTTTAAGGACAAGGTGCATGATCAAAAACGCCTATAAATACAAATTATTTTGCACCCTTCTTAATCCAGTCAGTTCATTTTGTTTTGTCACACTCTAAATGGAAAAATGCAAATATTGTGCCATGGTTGCAACATAGCATTTGTGTGGTTAAGCTTCCAGGTAAAAGCTTGGCATGCAAACTGTCTGTTAAAAACAAAGAGTCAGTGTTTTCTATCCTCTTTGGATACTTGATTTGCAAAACTCAAGAGCAGTTAAGGAAAGTAAATAAAAAGCAAATAATGAAATTCTGTAAATCCTTAGACTCTTCCGTAAGCTGCATAAATACACAAGTTTATATTTCTAATCAACCTGGGACAATTTCCTTTTCATGATCGTGCATGAAAACATTAACAGTCTTGTCATATTCACGCACCCTGTGTCTAACAGCTATCTGTTTCCATAGTGACAGCGGTGACATTCATTTAAATGGGGGAAGCACATAAACACGGCAGAGTGGAACCCCTGAGGGAACAGACACACTTTGTTCTTCAACAGTTTAGAAAAGAGGAAGGTGTGTGGTGAAAGCTGCTGTCACTTCTGGTTCAACGCCCGGAGAGGTGAACGCCAAACCTACCGGGTTAAAGAAAGGGAGACGGAGGAAGAGTGCAATGCGTGTGATGAAGACCAGGACAAATAACCCTGAGAGGGATCAGATTAGACGTTAAAACTTGTGCGTTTGAATAAAGTCTTAAAACAGAAAGAAAGACTTGATTGTTGTAACGGCGAAAAAGAAAGTGGAGTGACTGAAGTAGAGCAAATCTGAACTGATCTTAAAACAAAAAAAAAAGAAAACTCCTTTTTTAATCTGCAGTTTGTGAAAGAACTGATTGCAAATCTAATCAAAAACATCTTACACCATGTCTTCTTGCAGAACGAAAAAGCGTCGATATGCAAAAGTTTCATCAGATCAAGAACCGTGCCTTCAGATTGTGTTTGTATTTCCAACATCAGCCTAAAAATGACTGAAAACTCAAAGTAAATCAGCGCTCAGGCTAATTAACCAGCACAGTCTGACCTGTAGCTCTCCAAACTATAGTTATCAAGCCATAACTAATGCTTTTAATCATTTAACTGTGTTATTCTTGAATATTCTGACAGCCAAACATCTGCTATTAATACTCATTTAACCTGGAGTGACTCCACTCATCTACTGTGTGAAACTTTCTCCTTTATTCTTGGAACAGACAGACTAAAAAAATGACGCCAATCACCAAACGAAAGACTTACTTTAAAAATTATGACAATTCGAGGCAGAAACTTGAATTTCTAAAATACCCCTCAAACCCTCGACTCAATCTCAGAGCCTGAAAGTGACTCAACAGCTTTATATCTCTACGACATCTCCACATTGTTCAACCTTTGAGTTTCCTTCTTTTGACAAATTCCACAATTTCCTCTGTTTTTCACATTTCCTCATCATCAGCAAACATCAGCGCTGCGTAAAAGACCATTACAACAAACAGGCTTTATAATTGAAACACTGTTAGTTTCAAGGAAAGGGATTTCACGGCAGGTTTACTCAATCAGGTGTGAGGATGATACAAGTTTTAATCCGTGTCAGTATTATCGTGATTATTATCCATTCTGTGTTATTCCTGTTGTTTTACCAAGAACATAAATCCAGAGTATCTCAGTTCACTTTGTTAGAAAATATCAGCTTTGATAAGAGAGGAGAAACCGTATTTTGCCCGAGGAGTCTTCAGCAGGTAGGATGAAGGAGCCGAGGGTGAATGTGCAGATGATTAACTTTACCGCTGAGACACTGTTTAGGACAGAAGATCCTGTTTTTCTTCTCCCAGTGATGGCAGAGAGTTTACAAAAATCATCTGCTGCTCAAAACAAAACCAAGCTCCTCTTGATTCTCAGAGATAGCGTCCACAGATGACTTCTGCTGAGCGGGTGTCCCCCGGCAAGAACAGTTTCTTGTCCTGAGGCGAGAAATAGGCCACGACCCAGTTTAGAGCGAGACGTGCTCTACAATTCAGCTTCCATCTTAAAAATGAACTCGGATTCCCATTCAGTCTGAACACAAATGAGAATCCAGTTTCTTCTTTAGTGTTTTTAAGCTGTCTCTCACTCACTATCAGCTATGAGAAGGTAATGTCTGAGCTTACAAACTGAACTCTGAGTCGAGTCAGTTTCTATCGCTCCATAACATACTCCATTAAACTGCAGACAGAGCACCGCAGCATAAACCCAGCATAGCGTGACAGCTGTTGACGTTTGCAGAAATCCAGGATTGAACCTGTAAATCAATTATTTACTTGGATGAGCGTCTCCTCCACAACTGGAAAACGCATATTTCCAACGCTTGGGGTCACGCGAGTGGAGCCTGCGAGCAGATTTACGAGCGAGCAGACGTCTCCGGAGTTACCACCTTTGGCTTTCACTTTCAGACAAATAGAGGAGATATACGAGTGTTTGAGGCTGCGTGTTTGTTGGGCTGACGTGAACGCAAAGAATAGGTTTTGGAGGGAAGGGGCACATCTGCACACTGCAGACACCCTCTGAGGGTTCAAGCAAGGGTTAAACCTCAATGGAGGTTCAATGGGCTGGAAGACCGAGTAATGAATGTGTGCATGTGTGTGACAACTCGGGAGCATCTTCCTTTCTGCATAGCAACAGCTGATGAATGGATGATGGATTTACAGTCAGCTGGAAGGGAAAGAAAGAGAATCTCTAACCTCTCCTTTTCTTTATAATTTAAAGTTCTAGTGAGGAGCAAAACAGACTGAAATAGACGAGAGCAGCCTTTCCAGAAGTTATGTGCCGGGTCCAAGATGTTGCACAACTACAACACAACTACCTGGAGCTGTTTCCTGATCTGAAAAATTCAGATATGAAAGTTTTGTCTGGTTAGATTACTGTCTTATCACTGAACCAGAGAGATGTTTATCTGTGAAATCTTTCTGGTAGTGATAGAGGCTATGTTCATGTAAGCTACACCTGGTTAAATAGTGTTTAGTAAATTAGGCTAAATTAGGTTATTTTTAGGTTAAAAGGACAAGGAAACTGGAGACTTGGAGTATCCCTGTTTGGACGTACTGAAGTAGTTGGAGCCTTTAGGGTTGCAGAAAGCCTAGGGCTGGCCGATATGGCCTCAAATCAATATCACGATATATCGAACAGTTCATCTCGATAAAGATAAATGGACGATAACTACTCCACAAGCTGCTTATCCCCTCCCACATTAACTTCGTCTACTTCAGCCGCCGCTACAACTTTTGAACCGTTGTGTCTTTTCCTCTTTGTTACGGACTGGATGGGGTGGAGTCACGTCTTGGAGATAGGACAGTGTCTTAAAGAGACATGAGACCAGAGCCTACCTGCACGTATCCAAAAAAACTGTATTTTTTTGACACATAATTTACCCCTACGACCAAAATGAGGTCGGTTATTGTCATAAATGTTGGTATTGGTATATTTTCGGTTTATCGCCCAGCCCTAAGCTAGCCTTAAATCTACAAATGATTACATTTCAATTAATTAAAAGTACTCTAATGGCTAGGTGCGCGCAGATGGCTGAGCGGGTTAGCACGCCCCATACATAGGGACCATGGTCCCCGCAGTGATTGCGGGCTCGAGTCCGGCCCAGACCATGCGCTGCATGTCCTCCCCATTCTCACTCTATTCTGTCAATAAAGGCTAAAAATTGCTCAAAAATACTTAATTATAATAATAACACTCTAATGGCTGAGGAAGGTGAAGAGTAAAAAAAGAAGTCATGATGATTTAGCCGTGTGCCAAACTTGCAAAACAGCAGAAAACTACAATTTGTTGTTTATAACTTGTCCTGTTGCACTCCAGTATTTATTACCACACAACAAATCATCATTGCAATATTGAGCAGGAGTATTACATACTGTTCAGAGCTGGTTGTATGCGTCACTCGTGTCCTCAGTTCTATTCCTGGCAAAGATGATGCATGTGAACCACAAAAGAAGAACGTGCACAACAAGAAAATGAAAGAAGTCACACTTGTGCGAGTACAACCTCTCATTCATTGTCAACATCGTGAACTGGCGTTCAGCGGAACAGGATATGGGTTTGTGTGCTCTGTCTGTACGAACCAAAAACAAGAGAGAAAGACGTTAAACCCGGGCAGGCTGAGCAGTATGGGAACTGTGTGAAGTTCCTTTTCAGGTTAAGCTTCTTCTCTTTATTAGTCTAACCCCACAGTTATATCAGGACTGTTTTATTCTTCTGCACAGTTCCCCCTCTTTGCTAAATCACAGCACTATGCTCCTACCTGAGGCCAAAAACTAAGGTGAGAAACTTTCAAAGAATCGTACAATGGTCCCATTATGCTAATGGTGCTGGAACCCACAAGAACTCTTTCTAAAAGGTAACAGGAACTGCTGTTGTTTTTCAAAAACTCCAAGCCAGCTGAACCTGATCTGCAGTTACAGGAATTTGGCTCCAGTTTACATCCTCACAGTCAGGTGACAATTAGCAAATCTTCAGACTTCATAAGTGTCACAAAAAGCATTTGGAGGGGAGAAATTTGGACAGAATAAACTTGATTTAAATATTTCAAACTTTAAGAGACCAAAGCTCTGCCCATCACTGCAGAAAATAATGAAGTTTTTGTCATTTGCTGTGCAGTAAAGGAAGTCCTGTGTCATTGCTGAGCCTCACTGCAGACCAATCGCTCCACTTCTAAGTCTAAAACGATCCAGGTCAGTTTACATTGTAATTTGGTTTGTGCAAAAAGCTTAACACAGGAAAACTGACCCATGATAGCCAAGTTAATGTCCAGTGTTTACATTCTTGGTTGGACAGGGTCATTGTGAATCGTGCGCTGTCTCAGTTTGCAAGTTTAAGCGTGCAGGATTGCATGAACACCAGTTTCACGGGCTCAATACAGCGAAGCGTGTAAAACCAGATTTGATACGAGTTTTGCAACACTGCAATCTGGACAGAGTTTGGTGCAATACAAGAAAACTAACTTGGCATTTTGTTTACATTTGTTTACAAATCCGAGTTTAAAAATAAAAGGAAAATGAACAAATGTGACAGTTTGCTTATTTTAAAGACATTAATCTAATTTACAGGGGGAAAACATACCGTGATATGAAATTACTCATATCATAATATAAGATTTTGTTCATACCACCCAACACCAGCGTCCGCCATGATCACCTCCCTACTTTTAAAATTTTGTACCTAATTTTTCGATAAAAAGACAAATAAGTAACTGGATAAAGTGGGTATAGTATCCACCATCCAGGTTGTGCTAACTCTGAAACACTTTGACCAAACTCTTTTAAATTATGAGTTCACATGTGATTTGATTGTACCTTTTATTTCAACAATTTTCACTGTTTAAGCTCCAACATGTCTGTGCTCTACCTCTAAAGTTCCTAACGTCCTTCAAGTCGACCCGTTTCCTCTGAGAGAGACTTTGTATAAACCAAAGAAAAACCAAAGTCAACACCAAAGACCCAAAATAACTTCTGTTTGGGAATCTCTCGGAAAATGACAGACAGGCAAAAACCAATTGTTTAGGTAGTGTGTCTACCAGTGCTACACAAAGTACCTTAACTTTACTGCTTGTTTTTTGGGAGATTTTTTAATCCCACTGGTGAGATTTTTTTACCCTGTGATCCTTAAACAAAAGCGACCGAGTCTAAACCGAGAATATCGCGCTACCTCAGACCCCGCTGGGTGTTGTTTCTGCTCTGCTCCAGAAACTTATGTACCCTGAAGGAGTCATAAAAGAAGCACCGTGGGACCATAATAGCACACTACTAGGAATACAATTAGGTATTCAGTAGCATAAATGACCTACAAATTGATATTAATGATGGCAGTGTAAACGCACGGTTGCAAAAACAGCCGAGATGATGGTTTTATTATTCTGGGGGAACTGAAATTAAAGGTGTTTGCACATAGAGAAACAATAAGAAGTCAAGATCTGTTAAAGTAAAGACATATTTAAAATGTAGATTATAAAAACAAAACAATCGACTGGCCTTGGTGCTCTGCATCCATTTTTAAAATGCTTCTGCTGTTTTGACTGGCCAGGAAAACAGGCCTTCAAATTGGGTTAGGGGAGCTCCGTCTCCCTCAGGCTCCCTTCGCTGAAGCAAATGTGACAGCAGGGCGTTGTTGGGGGGGGTGGGGGGTGGAGGGTTGAGCTCAGCTTTAGGGGAGGTTGGCTGAGTTTTTCCCTAATATGGACACAGGCCGGGGGGAGCAGGGGAAAGGGTGGGCTGGGTGGAGAAGGGGAAACCTGCCCAGCACCACCACAATGGCAGCCTTGCTTTACTCCGCTGTATCGTTGACACTCTTTATCCTTCCTCTTCAAACATACCAGCGTAGGATCCAAGTGATCCGGTCCGCTGACTGCGCGCTGAGGACTCTGGAGAACCCTCAGAGAGTCAGGACTCGCTCGTGAAGTGAAGTCAAGTTGCTCCCATCCATCCCATATCACAAAACGCAGCACAAACAGGGAAACAAAACGCTGAGTCTGGTCCTCGGCTCTGTTTAGCAGCTGGCTCCGTGTACCCTGTGGTTCACTCAGCTGGGCCCGCTGCCTAATTTTACACTTGCTCATTACAAACATACCACTATCCCTCCTACACATCTGGCCTCTGATGTAGAGAGAGAGGGACACAGAGACAAACACTCACAGTGGTCTTCTTCTTCTTCTTTTCAGTTCACAGAGCTGAGGAGGAGAGGGAGGGGAGTCTGTGTGGACATAGTAAACAACTCCGAGGCTTCTGTCAGTGCTGAGAAAAGAGAAAGTGGGATATGGAGAGATAGACTGCCAAGGCACATAAGAGTGCATGAAGAGAGAACAATGGACGGAGGAAAAGAAATCAGGGCAAAGCAAGTAGGAAAGTGAAGGAGGGTGTTTGGTATTTAGAGAGGAGGAGGAGGAGGCAGAGTGGCTGGCTGTTTCTAGCAGCTACTGCAGCAGAGAGTGGGGACTCCAGGCGTAGAAATTCCTCCTACATCTCTGCTCAATGCCACTTCTGTTCTGTCAAGCTCTGCATGGCAGCAGCACTGAAGATACAAAGAGGACCATGTCTGCGTGTGACTGACTCTTATGTGAAACTAATGTTACAGAGTGTGTATGTGAGAGTATGAAGGGATCTTCTCGGGGGGACGAACTTGGGTACTTCCGCCCTGCGAACAGAAGCTGGGGAACAGCATTTATAATCAGTTATGGGTATTGTGTGTGCAAAGATCAGATTTATTTTTATCAAAGTACGACAAATACAGGCTAAACACGGGTCGATTTAAAAGCAACAATATTCCTTGCCTTCCCTTTTCTTGAATGCTGAAGGAATAGTCCGACAATTTGGCCAATAAGCTTATAAGCTTTGTTGCACAGAGCTGGATAAGAAGATCAGGCAACTCAACTCTATCTGCAGCCATCATCGGCTAGTTTAGCAGGAAGACCAGCAGGAATGAATGAAGCCAGCACAGACTCAGCTCTCCTGGAGGAAGTAAAAGGACCGGGCCCTTAAGTTTGCTTCATCATGACCATCTTATGACGACAAATGTACGTCTCCACCTCCTCCTGCTGCACCGAACACTCATCTTCTGTGATGACAGCTTGTCATTCTTCTACAGTCAAGCTGCTGTGGATTTGGGGGAACAAAAGGGTGAGGTTTGGGTGAGCTGAGCTGAAGCAGTCCCACATATGCTCCGCTCATTTCCACAGGAATCGGTTCAGGGCTTAGCCAAACAGCTTCAACAGGCCTTGTCTTCCTGCACCTCAGTCTTAGCCTCCTCCTGCATCACACATCCTGACTTCTTGAACATGAAGACTACATAGTGATAAAATAAAAAGTAATATAGTTCATTTTAGGGCTGTAAAGTCCTAGTCGACTAATTGGTCAAAATGTGCTGAGTCGACCAAAATTCTGACTGGTAGTCTCGAATTTTTTCCACGTCAATTTACAGTCTATGGTTAATTTCATCAGGAGGAACGTACCAAGGGCTTATAGGGGTGTTTTCAGATCATCCCCCTTGTTTTCATCATTTTGGATTCACCTAACCCACTGGAGGCAGCTGGAGACGGATGTTTTGAAGATTAAAAAGTGTCCATGTTAATCAACGTCTGGGGGTTTGCTGAATATTTGTTTTTATTTCGAGCGGTTCAACTTACAACATATGATTACATGCAAATGCTGTAAGGGAGACCAGACATTCCCGATTTTCGGGGACAGTCCCCATTTTGGATGACCTGTCCCCGGCTAAGGCTGTCCCCAGAGGCAATATTTTTTTTCGTAGGATGGTAGGGGGAAGGTCCCGCCTCCTTTGCCTCTGATTGGCTGGAAAAGCTGGGCTCCGGTTGGTTACTCTTTATGGCTGTGAAACTTCATCACACACTCAAGCCGTGCTCTCTACATAAAACGGAACATTAAAAGAACATTACTGCAATTCTGAATCTCCTAACCCTAACCTGACGGACCATAACACTTCACAGCCATAAGGACTAACCCATTCGAGCCCAGCACTTCTAGCCAATCAGATATGAAGGAGGCGGGACCTTGCCCTACCATCCTCTGGAAAAAAAAATATAGCTCCCTGGAAATGTCCCCAATTTAAGCGTTTCATGACAGAAAAAAAAGTTGCATGTAGACTGAACAACGGTTATTGTGGTAGCCGAGTAGGTCGGAAGCGCAAGTAAGCATGTTGTGCGCATTCCTGAACAACAGTTTTTATGGGGGGTTATTGGGGGGCATACGCTGCTACTAAGTAGTACTGAGTTGTTGTCTGTGTCTGTGATCATGCAGACCATAACCCCCGCTCTGGATGTCTGGTCACCTTATTATAACATGCTAATGCTGTCACATACCTTTGCAAGTAAAAGTGCCACTCAAAACTGACAGTGTTTATACCAGGCAGTAGTCTTCTACATGAGACTGTTCACAGCTCAGAAGAAAAGGCCCCTGGGTAAAAAAAACAACAACAGGCTATACCAACGCAGGAGTGTTCCTCATGAAAACAAAACCTATTTCTGTCTTTCTGTGGACACACTGAGGGATCAGCACTAATCACAGCAGAATGGTCTCAGAGACGATACTTGACCTTTTCAGAGCGTGCCTTTGGTCTCTGTCACCAGACGGGTCTCCAGGCTCGACCGAGGACAAGATCAAGTGCACACGCTTAGTTAGTCATGCAACGTATCTAGGCCAATTTTTTCCTCCTCCTCCTCCTCCTCGTACTGTCTTCACTTCGTTTCTCCAAGTCTGCATGCTGTGGAAACCGAGTCCCTGCTTCGTACGCCAAGTCTTGAAAACAACACACGCAGAAACGGATACAGGAGCCTGTGCAAATCACACAGTCGGAGAAAAGGCCTCGCACACTGGGTATTACCACAAAAGGGACATCACAGGTTTTTACGATGCATGATCAGCTTATGCATAGATGTGCCGTTTGCGTAGCACTGTTTTTTGCAGATCTCAAACTGAAAAACAACATATCGATATAAACCATCACAATCCCAAGATACAGAAATCAGGGTCAGAGTTTAAGCCATCACTTTGCAGCCTGCACGCCCACACACAAACACAGCAAGTCAGTTTTGACACACTCTACGCTTTACTCCGTCAGTCACTGGTTATCTGTGGAGATATATCCCTGTCATGTTCTAGCAGACCTTCAGCTTTTTCATCCACGATAAACAGCTCTAAGTCTCCAGATCCAAGCACCTGTGGAGATCTGTGAATGTGCTGCAAAAACCCGAGGCCAAGATCCTCCTGCCAGCTGTTGAAATGCAGAAAAACAAGAGTAGCAGCAGCAGCAGCAGCAGCACACAGTTATTATTTCACTAATCTCTTTCAAGGTGAAACTGAAATATTCAATGCATCCAGCTCCTGCGGGTCTGCCAGAGATGCATATTTTATTATAAGCCTCACAACCGTCAACAGGAAGTGGCTTGCATGTAATTTAACCACGTATTGTCTCAGAAGTGTTTAAACCGACATAAAAATTAGGAATATGGCAGAATAATTCAGTGATTAACTCTGTCTCGCAAAAGTTTCAAACTCACTTTGTAGTCCAACAGGATTTCCAAGGCTTTCCAATTTTCCAGTGGCCCAGAAAAAAGGGATGCTTTGGGCATTTGCACATAAATGCACTGCCAAAGCAAAGAAACCCCTCGTTGGAAGCAGTTTGCCCAAAATTGATAGGACAGATGGTAAGCATTATAAATGACCCTGTTGTATCTCCATTTAGACTTCAAAAACAACAGGTTGCTCGTCTGACAGAACAGAGGATTAAACTCCACAGGTTAAAGGGGCCAAAAGAAGAAAACTTCAACCAAGAAAGGAGAGAAAAATAAGTGATTTAGATTTGAATCAAGCAAAAATAATGTCAGTCTGAAACAATAACACAAAAATAAACAAAGAAAACACAGTAAAAGTCAGACCGGAGAAATTGACAGTTAATAAATGTAAGAATCCGAACAATGCCAACCATTGAGAGCACAATACGAGCGAGCAGAAAACAGACTTACAGAGCGCTGTTGTCCCTCTGACAGGATGTGAGTATAAAAAGTGAAACGTGAGCGGGAAGTGTGCGGGGTCATAAAGCAGTGCAGTTCCACACACACTCGTTTCTCACAGACAGGCAGATTAAGAGACAGGCAGACGGGCAGTTTGGGGTAAAACAGGAACTTGGAGCGGACGGTTTGATTCGCATGATGTTTTACTGGGACACGGCCACGGTTGACGGCGCAGAAAAAAAAACTAATTTCCTGAGAGGAATGAAAACAGGAGGGGATCGAGGACAGCTGACGAATAGAAATATTGGAGAAATTTGACTGGAGGACATTTCTCATCATTGTATGTTAGTGTGAAAGTGTGGAGAGAGGCTGTTCTGAGAGCTGAGATTGGGCCGGTACTACGAAGTGGGTTTAACATACTTCAGGTATCTTTTACTCATCTGATCCTAGTGAAGGAGATCACGCCAAGTCTGGACTTTCTGTGAGCATGGAGATGACAAACCCAAAACATAAAGGAATCTGATATCATAAAATGTACTTCATTTAACTCAGAAAAAACAATGAAATTTAAGAAATGTGAAGGTGATCTTGACTATTATCAACAGCTGCTGCTTCTGCAAAATGCCAATGACAGCTAAGAGAAATTGTTCAGTGTCTGTGTGCACATCAAGACTTTAATACTTTTCCTATAATTAATGTGCAAAACATCGACCGTTTTTTTCCTGCAATTATTTCAGACAATACAAGCGTTCAAATCAGCGACGTTTTCCCGTCCTGCGATATTGTGGCATTTATTTTTTTGGATCACGGTCGAATTTCGCATACTGTGTGTCCACTTCTGACCAATCAGATTTCGTGTTGTTGCAACATCAGATTCACCGGTATATCCAACATGGCCGACAGGTTGATTATTTACGTGTCGGAGAACATAGTGCTTTTTGATAAAAACACAAACATTACAAAGATAACGACCTGAATTGTGGAGAGTCATAGCGTCCGATTTCTCAAATGACGATGGTTTGTGTATTTTAACAGTTTGCTAAACGTCTTTGTTTTAACTTTCATCTACAAAGTCATCTCTTATGCTGAACATACTGAACTTAAACAACCAACATTTTTTGACTTAATTGACTTTTTGTAAAATCAAACATTCTGAATTAAAACGCCTGAATCAAAACCTGAATTTTACATATTCTTTCAGGTTTTCACACCCTCTGTAATCATAAATCTTGTGGCCAAATATTACTGTTAAAGCTTTCTCTCACTGCCACACAAACACACACCCTCACACACACACCCTCACACACACATACAATCTGTTAGCTGAGCATCTGAGGCTCTAGAGCCAGTGAGAAGTCTGTTGTGTTTTCGGTTCCAGCCCAGATGGCAGGATTGGCTGAGTCAGCGGTGACCGGTGGCAGTAAACTGGATGATTAGTGGTCGACAACAGGAGCTGAAGAACTCGGGGATTTTAGTTTGCTTCTGTTGAATTAAATAATTAAAACAGGTGAAAACAGCTTCATCTGAAAGGTACTGCTGCATAACACAGCCATAAGCTGAGACATAAATCCACTCCGGAGGTTTACACTGACCTTTGCCCTTTTAAACCTGTAAACTCTGACCATAACTTCAACTCACTGGACAGTTTCCACTTTCTATTTGTGTTTTTCTTTCTACATTTTCAGTCTACAGCTGAATGGAGGAAGAAACATTTTCGGCCAAATTTCTACACAGAAATAATTATGTAGTCCAACGTGCCAGAGACAGCCTCGTAGTGCTGCAGGCTAACCTCGGTTGGCACCAAGTATAAAGACAGATAGAGGAACACTTCCCACTGCTTGTTTAGCTAAAATCTAACATCAAATATTAGACTTGGCGTTGGAGCAGGATCTGTTGGAAGAATAATCCTCTGTGATTTAAGTTGAACAAAAGAAACTTCTGATTCATAGACTAGAAACACAAAAGAGCTGCAGATATCTGGAGAAGTTTTAGTTCAAGTTTAACATCACAGCAGAAACAGAACAGCCAGTCGGCCTGAAGTTATAAGGTAAAACATACTGGATGTTGAAGGACTTAAACCCGCAAGAAGAAACCAGTGAAGCCAGATGAAGAATTGATGGACAGCTGCAAGCGAGGCGAGGAAAAGTCAGCTGCAGTTCAGCTTATAGCCCTGAAACCTCGATGAAAAGTGTCAGAGAAGTACCGATTTTCATTTCTAATGTGAAACTACTTCATTTAGTTTTTCTGTCTAGATTTCCTGATGGATAATTTGATCTAGGGAAACACTTAGTGAACAATTAAGACCAGGGATTTTCTAAAGCAACCAATAAATTTAACCTCCAACATCTAACATCCTCAGAAAACAGTCAAAGTTGCACAGCTAAACAGAGGGATATGATGGTAAATAATGTCAAATTCGTCAGCCAAGTGTCCCTAATCCTCAGTCTTTGCTGCAGGTTGATGCTCACTTGCTATTGCTTGCTGCACATTACTTCACCTGGTTATATGCACATTCATTTCAACACAGCCGGCATCTTTATCTCCATTTTCCAAACCAGACTGCTACATGACACCATACATCATGTTTACTTGCATTACCAAGTGAGAGCTCTGGCAGCTTATACACAATATACGACTGGTATTCGGGGTGTTTTTCAGTTTTTACTAAATGTGTTTATTGTGGGACAAAAGCTCTCTCTTACACACTAAAAACGTGACAGCAAACTGAAACCACAATGTGAGAAAATGCCACCGTTTGAGAGGGTGTGTGATGCTATATCCTGTTTTTCTGTGACTGACACAAATACTGTGCCGTGAGAAAATGAAAAGTGCACTTTTATTCTGCTCCGTCGGTGACGGTTGAGCGAAGTCAAGCTAAATACGCTGCTTTCACAGCCTGAGAAAAGTTGCGAAGTCAGACATTATCCTCCGTGACAGTTCCACACCTTGCATCAGCTCTGCATGTGAAACCTCAACAGGGTTCATGAGCAACTTCAGACAGAAATGGCCTAACAAGTGTGCAGGAAGATGAGACCTACGACTCAGATGGGCCAACGTATTAAATCTGCTTCATCATACACTACAGGCCAAAAGGTTGGAAGCAAGGCCATTACAGGCAAAACAATTGGGAGTAACTTCAAGTTTTTGTTCACAGTGCTTTTTTTACAATCCAGCATGAGTTGTATATATTTTGGGATTTGTTTGAAGTAAGGGGTATCATGAAGGGACAGTACCACTCCATCCTCCAGCACAATGCTGTTCCATCTGGACTCAGACTTGAGGATCACAAGTTTGTTTTGCAGCAAGACAATGACCCTAAGCATTCTGCTAAACTCTGTCAGGGTTACCTAGACAAAAAAGAAGAGGAAGGTGTTCTCCAAAAGATGGTTTGGCCCCCTCAGTCTCCAGACCTTTCTCCAATATCTCCAGAAAGGTCATGAATTGGATCAATCGGTCAGAAAAACGCCTCCCACGAATCAGCAGTATCTTTTTAATGAATTTAGGAAAGCTTGGAATGCAATCCCTGGAACATACCTTAGCAACAATAACTCAAATACCTACTAATTATAGTCAAAATATCTTCTGATAAGTTACTCTTTACACAATTGTCATGTTTATCGTGTTGCAAAGTATATTAATGAAACTATGATCTTTTTTTGTACAAATCTGATCTTGCTTCCAAATTTTCGCCTGTAGTGTATGTGATGCTTTTTATGTTTTACTGCATCTTCCATATAGCTGTGCACGCTCTAACTTGTCAGCAGTTAAGTAAAAGTGAAGACAAAAAGACACACAACTGCCCGAGGCCATGCAAAAAACATGCAAAGCATTTGAACTTCTTTTTAGGAGAGATCAGGTTTGGCCACAACAGCCATTGTCCGGTATGTCTCAGTCGTACAATTCTGCATGCATTCCATTAATGCTGCAATTACAGCCCAGCATACCCACTGAAACAAAACACGTCAGCACACAGGAGTATGCACACTGTGGTCGAGGAGCGCAGCTGTTGCTGTCTGTCTCCTCTTGACAAAAGAGCGCCATTTCGGTGCATAGGGGGAAAAAAAGGCACAAGTCACAGAAGAGTTAAAAACTGGTATTTTAGAAAGAAAGAAAGAAAGGGGGGAAATGATGATGAGTCTTGACATGTGAGCTTGTATTTGGTGATTTTCACAACCAATCTCAGAGGCTGATGTCTTTTAAAGTCCTTAGTCATATAATAATCATGACTAACCAATTTTACAGTAGCACCACTCATGCAAAAGGCTGAAATGACTCATAATACAGGCCTATAAAGATCAATAATGTATTATTGTTGCTGCAGCTTATTAAATCTGAGGTCAGATACACCCACTGTGGCAAAACAGAGTCACTTACAGAGTCACTTAAACAGCTCATGACAACAGAAGAGAAACAAACAAGACAATAAGACCATCTGAAACAAGAAAAGGTTTAACTTAATTATGATAAAAGGGTTTTCTACAGGTTAAAAAGGCTGAGACAATCACAAAACACCTACCAGTATGCATTTAATGATGTATACCGATATTTACAGGTTTACAATAACGTTACACAGCTAAGATGGAGTATAAAAAGGGTCGTAATAGGGTCATGTAGAAAATTAAGAGGAATAAACCTCGATAAATCAACATACTTGCTTCGAGGAAACTCAGATGTAGCGTGGCTAAGTTTGCCTGCTAGCCAGAGCGCCTGTTAGCCGTCGGTTCTCCTGTCAAACACACTGAGTAAAAACTAATTAATCAACGGATTAGCTTCCAACTTTTAAGTGGTGATACAAAAGAGTCTTTTCATACTCGCAGAGGGTTTAAACACCCGCCGAAAACACACTCAACGCTGTAACGTTCGCTAGCAACTCAGCGTTTCCTCCCCCGGCATCTCTCTTCCCATGTGAACTCGTTTGACAGTCACTGATTTAACGGGATGCACAATTCGGCTAAACACCGTGTACAGTAAGGTTCAGCTCAGCGCCGACTAAACACGGATAAAAAAGTTGTTGCGGCTTTGAAACTTACCTTTACGTGTCTTTAGGCAGTGTTTCTTCAGATTCAATAAACCAAAGTGTGGCTGTGAGGAGTACTTTCACCGACCTTGGCAGCTCTGCTCGTCCCCGGCTGTAACAGACAACAACACGCTCCGGACAAACCCCTCCCTCCTCTGCCGATAGAAAAAACACAGAAAAAATGAAGTTACAAGCCCCGCCCACTTGTGTTTGTAATTGGTCAATATTAGGGACAGTGCGGAATAAGCCAATTAAATCTGCTTTTGTTTTCCCCCTTTATACAGTAGTAACCACGCTGTATATTATCCTATTTTTACAGTGTTTAACTCCAGATTACTGCTGAACATAAAGGATTTGACGACAATTATAAGTGATCTATTTGGACTTATATAGAATAAGTGGCAAATAGAGTTGTCTTGAACCTTTCAGGCCTTTTATTGTTTTATCGCTTGCTCATTTCTGTTGCTCTATTTTATCATTACTATCATTATCAGGATTACCTGATATTATTTTATCATCATTGTTGATATTGCCTTTTATATTTACTATTCTGTTTCCGCTTTCGACCCCCCCTTTTAATTGCATTTTCCTTTTTTTCTTAACTTTATTGTTTTTATTTTGGTCTTCATGGTTTCATTTTATGCTGCATGGTTCTTGTATTGTCTGGGTTCCTTATGAAAATGTTTTTAGCTGTCTCTTTTCATGTGCTCTATGACTGTATGTCAAAGTACTTTGTAAACTTCTGTTTTTAAAAGTGCTATACAAATAAAGTTATTGTTAGTATTGTTATTAAAAGTCAGGATTTTATTAACTTGATTATTTTCTAGTATAGTATAGGTTGTGTAACCCGTCTAAAAAACCACTTTTATTCCTTGGCTTTGGACCCAGCATTTGTTTTATGGCTTTTTATTCTATTTTAAAACAACTATTTGGTCTAAAATATTAGTAACCAGGTCAGTGTTGAGTTAACAAACTGTAACAGACATCTATGTTAGTTTCTCTCTTATAAGGAATATATACAAGCATGTTTAAACACAAGTGGGGGTGTAGGAAAAGGGTTTGCATATATAGCCTGAAGACTAAAATGTCAAGCGGCACAGTGACACACAAACACATATAGAGACTAAAAATGTCAAGGCTCCACAATCAAACCACAGAGTCTTTACATGTGATGCTATTATTGTGTGTGCTGCAGCTTCAGCCCATGACAGTGGGAAAGGTTTGGAGCCCAGTGTTGTCAGCAGTGAGTCTAAAGGTATGTTCAGGATAAACACACCTCCACAGGACCATAAGGGCCGGTTAGGTTAGATGATGGGGGGTCAGAGTACACCCACGTATACCACAGCTGCTTGTTGTCATGGTGTTTAGTTCCCTTTACTGCGACTTTATTCACACCCACACACATATAAAAATGAAACAGCCAGCATGTGTATTTATTACCCTGCCCAGTTATCACAGTGTGTGTGTGACAATAATTCAGTGTTGTGTTATATCATGTGTGTTATGCAACTGTGACACATTCATAAAGCTGGAAATGGATCGGTGAAAGTGGTAAAAAAAACTAGTCACTGTCACTAGTTGTGTTAATATTGGAGTTTTCAGTTCAAGAAAAATACAGAATAACAACACGAGAAAAAATAACAATTGAATACAACAATCACAAAGTTGAATGAACACAGCTACCCAGCTTATCTGCCAGGTCAAGTAACTGATACATAAGAACCATAAATGCATAAACTGCACATACAGTTTCATAATAGTTGTTTATTGTTTAACATGATTTATAGTTTTAGTATTTTTTGTGCAATCTCTACAGCAAGGTGGACCTCATATTCGCTTAATGTCAGGCTAAAAGGTCAGCAACTAAAACCTTTCCTCTGGTTGGTCACTTAATATGTCTGAGTGCTTTAATGCCGTATGACATAAAGTGATCGAAAAGTGACACCTGCTGGATGAGACTGGTAGTAGTGCAAAACCCCATGTGGACAGAAAGATTTCTCTGTTGTGCGAGTCAAAGCAGCAAGGAAGCAAGGAAGAAAGAAAGGAAGGAGGGAAGGAATGAAGGAAGGAAGGAAGGAAAGATGAAATGAAGGAAGAAATAGATAGAGTGTCAGATAGAGAGTGACAGAGTGATAGATGTATAGATAAATGGATGCAAGGAAGGAAGAACGGAAGGAAAGAAGGACAAAAGGAAGGAAAGAAGGAAGGAACGAAGGAATGAAGGAAGGTAGGAAAAAAGGAAGGAAGGAAGAAAAGAAAGGAATAGATAGATTGATAGATAGACTGACTGACAGATTGAGAGATGTACAGATAAAAAGATGGACGGAAAGAAGGAAGAAAAAAGAAAAGAAGAAAGGAACAAAGAAATGAAGGAAGGAAGAAAGGAGGGAAAGAAGGAAGGAAGGAAGGAAGGAAGAAAGGAAGGAAAGAAGGAAGGAAGGAAGGGTTAGATAGCTTGATAGATAGACAGACTGACAGAAAAATAGACAGGCAGATTAGGAGATGGACAGATAGATAGATAGATAGATAGATAGATAGATAGATAGATAGATAGATAGATAGATAGATCAGTTCTCACATATTTTCATTTACTTGCTTGTTGGAGGGTCATTTAATCATAAACATGTTGATCTATAATATCCAGATTTCTCTCAGTGAAGTAGCATCAATCCTCCTCTAGGTGGCAGTAGTTCACCACACTGCTGACTCAGCTGACAGATTTCAACAGAATTAAAACAGTGAACATAATCTGTAACACAACAGCACATCTTTCTTTATAGAAATATAATCTACACATTTTTATTCAGAAGCTTCTCCTGGTATTTCCTTAAAGAAGAAAAAAGTGTCCTCATTGATTTCCTATACCTGCTCTGTGTCTTTCTCTACATACAGGATGATTTATGAAGACAGCGCAGCACCTGTGGGTGGGGTTCGCTGTCAGTCACCTGCTGTGTTACAGGATCACGAGCGCTCAATGCCATATCATATTAGCAGTGGGGTAAAACACATCCTTCACTTAAACCACAGGGAGACACTGCAATCCCAGAGTTAATGCGAATATACAGTACGCCAAACATGATCCTGTACAGTCTGACGCCTCCTCCATTTAACATGACCAGAACGACATGGAATCCCCCGAGGACCAGTTTAATGACTGTAAGGCATTTTAAATCGAGTTGCTGCAAAATGCAAATAAGTCCACAGTGATTGTCATGAGATTAAAAATGGAGCCTGACAGAGAGAGAGACTTGCTGGTGTGGATGGTGGCCTGTGAGGCCCAGTCTTGGCCCCGAACAAGGACGTTTGAACCTTGTTTATTGTCTGCGCTGATCTCCTCTCAGGGCGGTGGCTGAAAATGAGCTTAGTACGGTGACATAAGGCACTAGGCTGTTGTTTTTCCCAAGAGGAGAGGCTGCAGATGCACACTGAGAGCTTAAAATAATAAATACACAGATATTAACATTCAGGCCCTGAAGGTGGAGAGGAAATACAAAAACAAATGCCATGTTAGCGCTTCCCTCTCTGCTTGCCCTTGGTGTCGGGGCCGTGCAGAACAACACTTTCCACTCTTTCATCTCCTGATGTCCATACTTGGCAGGATGCCGAGGCGCTGTTGCTAACGGCTGCATGGACTTGTTTACTCAGACAGTTAAACAATACACTTACATAAAAAGGACAGCAGAAATTATAAATGATATATGGACGTACTGCAGCCAGGCAGCACAGTTTCAGCTCGTTTTTGTCTTTTTGGAAACCCCCTCTCTTTTCAGATCCTACAAAACACTTTGATTGAAATCAGAAGCGGGGAAAATGTTGAGCGATATGTCAACATTTCCATTTCGGTGGGTCAGAATCTGAATGCCGCGGGAACACATTTGAGTATGCAGGGACTCTAAATGTCACTGTTGCAGTTAGATGACAAGGCTTTTTGTTTCCCAGTGGGCCAGGTGCATTGAAGTGTCATTTTGTCTTTCTCTCAAGCTCCCTGTGCAGCAAAGCAACCAAATGTCAGGTCTCTGGTTGCCCGTGCAGAGGAAAGACCAGGGTTCGGATTAGGGTGAGACCGATATGGATTTTTTGGGGCCGATGCCGATTATTAGGGGGGAGAATCCGATTACCAAATAATCGGCCAATTTTTTAATTTTTTATGAAGTTATAAAAATATATATATATATACTGTAGATATACTGTAGGTTACTGCTCTTCACGCCGACAGGAAGACCAACTGATCAAACCTGCCGCCGATCGGTGCCTCTCCACGTCTTAACTCATGTTACCCATTCCTGGTCCGGTTTCATCTGGAGACATGCAGCTGCCTCAGAAAGAGAAGTAGCTCGATCACGTAATGTGTACTGTTGTTTAATTTACCGTTACTGGCACGACTAAAGGTCCTTACACACAAGGAGCGTTTTTTTATTATTTCAGACGTCAATATTTTTTCCGAACCCGTATCCTGTCAATACAAGCGTTCACATCAGCAACGTTTTCTCATCCTGCAATATTGCGGCATTTGTTTTTTCGGATCATGGTCGATTTTTCCAAAGTTTCGCATACTGTGTGTCCACTTCTGACCAATCAGATTTCATGTTGTTGCGACGTCAGATTCAATGGTATATCCAACATGGCCGACCGGCTGATCGTTTACGTGTCGGAGAACAGAGTGATTTTTGATAAAAGACACAAATATTACAAAGATAACAACCTGAAGGACAACTTGTGGAGAGTCATAGCGTCGGATTTCTTATATTACGATGGTTTCTGTGCTTTAAACTTTTCCACCTTTGCCTTGACAAACATTTGATATTTTTGTCTATAAGATCATCGAGTCTGATCTCTTCTATATCTTCTCTTCTGATTTGATGCTCAGAAAAAACTCACCCCGGATCCGAAAGCTCACGCCCATTTGAGGAGTCTTTAGATTTCACTGTCCTGCCTTTAAAGCTACACCCATGTGCCTCATAGTGTTGTCACGCTAATTGGCTTGTGTTCTGTGAGCGTGCTGCACAGTCACACACACAGACACACATGCGCCCTGACAGCAAACAGTAAACAGTCTTACTCAGATCTGCCAGGCTCTCCAGACTTGGACGCACTTGTTGGATCTTTCGGAGTATTTTGATCTAATTAACTTGGTCATAAACCCCCGTCCACTCCTCTCTGTGTCTCTGTCTCCTTTTTTTCCTGCTTGCTTCTTTGCAGCTCTGAATCAATATCAAAGCTTCTGCCTGCAGACCTTGGGTTTCTCACTGATAGCTGTGTGATGCTGCCTGCTGTGAGTTGTGTGCATTTTTCCTTTCTTCTCTTTTAGCTTTGAATTCTGCTCCACCAATAAAAAACCACCACTCAGTAGCACTGGGTGGCTCTCTGCAAAGGATTCCAGGGTTATTGATGGCAGCAACATTTCCCTTTGTGTCCCGATCGATGGCTGGAGGTCCACAGTTGAATTATTGCTGCAGTGACATGTCAGGGAACAGAATAGCAGCAGCAGCAGCAACAGCAGCGGCCGCCGTGGGGACACTGACGTAGTGCTGTGCGTGAGTGCTTTTGTGCAGCAGAATTATTATAGGAGTCATTCACAAGAAAGAGGCAGAGTAAACACCTGAACCCACAGTATTTTCAGGCTTTTGTGCACCTACATCCTGTGCACTGTAATCAGATTCGAATCAGACGTTCACGGGGGTGGTGTAGTCGACTCAGGCAGTGGAGCTAGAAAAGCATTTGTTGCTCTTTTGATACAGGAAAGAGTCTAAGAGTGTACCTGCAAGGAAAAAAGAAACTCTCCTGTGATGAATCTTAATTTTTACAACCTTCAAAAACAGAAACTAGGAATTAATGGGGAATTTTTGGGATAGTCTTTAGTTTGAACACAGTTACAGCTGAGTGATGTTTTTTATTGCCTGTTTTACCTCATCAATACCAATTTTTCATCTAAGTCCATATCAACCAACTTTAACCAACCAGCTGAGGAAATGAAAACACTTTGACACTGATCAAAAACAACAGCAACGCTTCATACTCATGCACAGTCTTAAATGCATGTCCAAACACACTGGAATTTTGTATTTTGTATTTTGTATTCACCTTTCACCTACATTTATTTCCATTCAGCAAGATTTTAAGGATACTTTCAACATTTTCATTTAATCCTTGTTATTTGATCGTCTAAATAATCTGTAAGAGACCATTAGATGAGATACTTAGGGGCCTGTTACACTACAGATGTTTGAGCCAGAGTTGTCAAATTTAAATACAAATGACCCAAATTTATTTATTACAAATGGAGCCAATTCAAGTGATGTCAAAAAACAGTGTTTGTTACAACCTTTCCCATGACGTGTTGGACTCATAGACTGTATATGGAATAGGTGAAGCCTCCGTGAGAACAGCACCCTCTGGTGACGGGCTGCAGTATAGGTCCTAAATCCCGCCTCCTCCAGCAATCTCTATGGACCAACAGAAATTAATTACACAGAATATGAATTTTTGCAATGTTGAAATGTAGTAACTGTAAGACTGGTTTGTTCTCAAGTCCTTTTTTTCTGTACAGCTCCATTTTTAAAGGTTATTAGGGGGTTCGGGGCGACACAGTGGTGTAGTGGTTAGCACTGTCGCCTCACAGCAAGAGGGTCCTGGGTTCAAATCTGGGTCAGGACGTTTCTTTGTGCAGTTTGCATCTTCTCCCTGTGTCTGGGTGGATTTACTCCGGGTACTCAGGTTTCCTCCCACATTCCAAAAGCATGCAGAAGTGGGGTTATGTTAATTGGCCACTTTCAAATTGCCCGTAGGTGTGAATGTGAGCGTGGATGGTTGTTCGCCCGAAGATGCTGGGGTATTTTATTTTTGTAGAATGGTAGGGGAAAGTCCCGCCTCCTTCGCCTCTGATTGGCTAGAGAAGCAGGGAACGTCATCACATGCTCAAGCCAAACGCGGACTGTCGGCTCTGTACATCAAACAGAACATTACAGAATATCATCGCAAGCCTGAATCTCCAAACCCTAACTTTACAGACGATGACGTTTCACAGCCATTAGGAAGAACCAGTCGGAGCCCAGCACTTCTAGCCAATCAGGGGCAAAGGAGGGCGGGACCTTCCCCTATCCCTGACATACTGCGAGCCATTCGGCTTCAAACTCATATAATGACGACAAGTATAAACTGCATAACTTTTAGCTAAGACACGACAGTTAAATCCAAACAAAATAGTGTCTGTGGAGAGACTCAGTGCACCTTTTCCAGCCTTTAAACTCACCATGTGGGTCCAAGGCGAAAGTGAGTAAACACTGAAATGATCAGATCGGTGCAAGTGTAAGTGTTACAACTCTCCCCATTATCAGACTCTTTAGCTCTTTATTTCATTTCCCAACACTTTGGCACCAAAAACGAATGAAATCTCCTTGATTTTATGTGTTCAGCATTTCAGAACCAGTACCAAAAGTTGAATCATCTCTGGAAACCGTCCCAGAATAAAGAAAGTCGTTTATTGTGAGCAGTGGTGTTGGTGTTTCCCCATCCCTCTCCGCCGGCTATGACTGAGTGGCCGTTTGACACCATGTTCTTATGCAATCAGCCGAGGCATCGGAGCGTGACTATCGAGGAGGCGCGAGGGACTACCGGGTGCCAGCAACAGCATCGGAAACAGCAACAGAGTGCTGCAGTGTGAGGAGGGACAGAAACACACGGAAAAGTGGAAGAAAGAGGAGGAGAGGAGGTTGACTCAGGTTCTATAAAAGAGAAAGAAAGAGGGAATAAAACGGAGGAGAAAGAGGAGATCAGAGTGGACAGAGGGAGGGAGAGCAGAAGTCTGGCACTGCCACAGTCTCAGGGACTCAGGACGAACACACTGCGGCACTAACTCCTGTACCTTCTTCATTACCGCCCTGTTCTGGTCCACAAGCTCGCAGCTTTTTGATTTATGCCTTAATTAGCCGCCTATGATAGTGGTGAAACTAGACCCTATACTTAAACTAATGGCAAATTAATCTCCTCGCCACACGGGCAACGACGCGTATAAAACCCACGTAGCAGCAGAATGATGTCAAGATGCAAATTACAAACATTATGAGCATTATATGAACTATAGATTGTCTTACAGAGTCGGTAAATCGGATTAAGCCATTTTCTTACATCAGAATGTTAATAAGTGACAATGCAAAATAAATAAGGCCTTTTTAGCATGTGCACCCCTGATAGATCAGTCTCTGCAGATGAGAAATATAGAAAACTTTGCAATGACATCTTACATTAAAAAAGCACAGTCTGTTTTTTTTATAGTCGGGGATATGGAGTTGAGAAGAAGACAGACATCTATGTATCTATCTAAGTGCAGATGTAGGAGGTGTTTTTCTCTCTTGGCATAAAGTATTTTCAGTGTCTGTGAGAATTCTTTCTTTTAGCAACCGTCAATTTGCATCTTTTAGTGTGTGCAAAAGAAACTTTCTGGATTTACCAAAGCTAAAAACAGTCAGGTCAAAATCCAGACCTCTATTTCAGATCCGTCATCTTTGTTGAAGTTGAGTATTTTTGGACCGAAGGCTTGGAGATCTAGATATTTCCCTTGTCTCCTTACACCCTGATCCTAGGATGCTAGAAGACAAGGACACCCTCATTATAATTTATCTCACCTCACATCAGCTTATCCTGAGCCAAGCATGGTCTAAGCCCTTCAGAGTAAGACCGTCATCAAGCCCTCCATCATGCCCATTCTTAGGTATATGTAGAATCATGGACATGGACAGTGGCCTGTGCGTGTTATCTGTATTTTTAAAGGAACAATAGAAGAAGATGGGTTAGATGGGTCAGTTTATACCTTGCATGTTCGAACAGAAAGGCTGAAATTGACTGCTTAGATAGTAATACACTATCAGAGTAGACACTGATTGGTTTTACTCATGTTACGCCCAAAATACACCAATGAATAACTGATTTTGTGCTGTTTAACGCCCTGATTTACTTTGAATTGTGTGCTTAAACTGCATGTTTTAGGCCTTTTAAAGACCCACTCCAATGAAAATCATGTTTTTCTTGTCGTCTACATGTTCATATGGCATTTTTTCTGATGCTACAGGACAAATCATGAAAAAAATAAATGCAAAAATTGTATTTCTGAGTATTTCTGCATTAAAATCCCTGTGAATCTCTGGCAGACCCAAACGGTAGGCTCAAAAACAGTGACATTTCCTATGTCACAAATCCAAGCCCCTCCCCGGCAATACATTTGTGCTATTATACTCAGACTTTGTGCTTCCTAGATTAGCTCTTACTATTTCACTGTTACTTAAATAATACATAGAATGGATTAAATCTAACGCTAACATAAATTATAGATTTACTAAATGTAAAATGTGTCATGTTAATGTTCCTTCAAACATCAAAAACTACAACTAAAATTCACCCTAAGAAATTTAACTATTTAATCAGGATTAAGCATGAGATTAATTGCACAATTTCAATTAATTGCACGACAAAAGATTCAGACAGAGTGAGATTTCCTAAGTCACAAATCCAAGCTCCGCCCCCGGAGCCCCACTATGCAGGCCAGACTCAGAGAAATGCAGAGGTCGATTGCAGAACAAGCGTCTGCATTAGCGGATTGCAGTGCTCATAAGAAAGCTAATTATGATATTAACTGTTATCATGTCCCTAAAAACATTAGTGTCCAAGAGCTGAATAGCTTCTATGTTACCTGCTTCTTCTCCTACACCGGCATTGTTAGGCTACTAGCTAGCATAAAGAGGCGTGTGCGGAGCAGCGCTGTCTCTGCCCACTACTCAGACTTATATTAACTTTTTGCAACAAGCTAAAACAAAAAGGTAAAGTGTGGACCATCTAAGAGGGTAGTGCACATTCATTTTCTTACATTTTCTCATTTTGAGAAACCTCAAGTTTAGAGGGAATGAAGAGTAAACACAACAAAAGCTGACTGTGCCTGACTGCGCTGTCTCCTCCTGCCTGTGAAAGTAGTTTCAAAAGATTCATCAGCTTCCAGTTGAGCTTTCACATCATTAAAACAAAGTCACCACCACCACCACCACCATGCCCTGGAGCTTTTCCTGACTGTCGCTGATGCTGAAACCTTGCAGCCTTCACGCTCATTCATTTGCGTCTCCCACCTTGAGGATTACAATTGTCAGATTACAGAAGCCCCCTTGTTTTGAGTGGGGTTTTAATGCTAATCTTAGCCGACCACATCAAATACTAACCATCTTAAACCCGAGCGCCGTACACCAGCAGGACCTGGGCTGAGTTTTATCCTGACATAGCAGCCGTGAACCAGCTGCTGTTCACAATTTTCAATAAGAGACTAACAACCCCTCTTTTTGTGCCATCATCACAGACAGCACACTGTGTGCCGAGCGGGCGGCGGTGGAGCTGCTCTTTTCACTGGCTGCTGCTGATAATGATGCTGTGAATCTATATATAGATTCCTCTGTATGCTTTGAAATTATAGAGGGGAACACTATAGACTGACAGACCAGAGACAGAAAGAAAGAAGAAGAGCTGTGAGAGAGCGAGGGGGAGAGATGGTGGTAAGTTTGAGGGAAAGTAAGAAAACTTAAGGAGGAAGAAAACTTGATTTTGCTGCCGAAACACTGAGGTAGAAGACACAAAAGAAACGTACGAAAACTCGTCCAAAGGTAGGGTAGTCAGGATCTGAGGTAGAGCCAGTTTTTGGGAGAAATCTTTAACGTAAACACTACCCCTCCAAACCAGTTTCCCCTCAGCTCCTCCTCTCTCCGCCCTCTCTGCTACAGCAAGCCCCGCCCACAAACATACACTCCTACTCCTAATGCAGATAAATACTTAAGATAATTACAAATGGGGCCCAGTCAAGGTGAAAGTCAAAAGCATTGGTGCTACTGTAGATGCCAACAGACTACCAGCAAACACAATGTTTGCAGGACTTCTACAACTAGGATAAAGTGACATAGTCCAGGACCCGAGGTCAACAGTTTAGCGGCACTACAACACGCTACAGCAGGTCTGTTTGACAGGAAACACTTCTGTCACAGACACTTGGTTTACTTTGTTAAAGCGGTTTACCTGTCCAGCAGAAAGGTTACGTAAAAGGGTTCGTAAGATCCCGAAGTGTCCCCCATCGTTTATGCTTCATTGATGTTGACCCGGCTTTTTAGCTCTTGTCCGGTCTACATCTGTTTTAAGCGCCTGTTATTCCGCCAGAGTCTCCGGTATTTACTTTGTTTTCTTGCTTGTGTCGGCAGTCGTGGCCGAAGAAGAATTCAGATAATTTTCCGAACTTTCTGGTTGGTTTCTACTGTCCGATATTGTAGCACGCTAACTTTGTTTGAGCTCGTGAATGTTATTCGAGGACATGGAGCGCGCCTCACAACACGAGGTAGCAGCGTCTGCCTCACAACCAATCTGGTCCGGGAGACAGGGAACGGCTTTGTTTACAGTCAGAAAGATTGGGCCGCTCAAAAACTCTAAAATGTTGACTACACAGACATAACAAAACACGGCGATATCGTGATATTCCCAAATGTCATCAATAACTAATAACTATTGACTGATATTAAAAGCTTTTTTGTTTTTACACCACAAAAAAAGATGCTTTTTAACAGATTCCTGCCTACCCCACCTTTAAAAGGAAACTTTCTTTGTCCCCTTCCCTCCTTCCTCTCTTAATTTTATTCGGCAGTGTCTGCCCTCAGGAGAGTCTGACGCTCCCTCTGTGTGTCGTAACTACCAAAGAAGAAGAAGAAAGTTGAGAAACGGCTTCTCGCCCCGCCGCTTTGAAGCGTTGACCTTCGTATTTGTGTGATCTTTATTTACCCGAGTGTGTGTTTACACGGTTAATTTGCAGTTGGAAGGAAGTGTGATCCCACGGATGTTAATTGTCTGCGTGTACATGAAGATATCCTGTAACGCCATGGGAAAGCTCTGTTCAGTCTTTCTGCGAAGATGCTCTCCTCATTAAGATGACGGGGAGGATGAGAAAGCCTGTTTCCTTTAGTAAATAATAGATACCCTCTGAAATATACATGAAAGTCTTCATTCTGCTCTCGAATTATGTAATCCAGGGCAGTGTGAATCTAACATCTTCCATCCTAGTCAGGGTTGGAGTTGCATAACTCTCAAGATGGAAGTCAAAGACCTGAGGGCATCATCATTATTTCTGCTTAAAAACGAACGGCTTCCCCCTGCTCTGAGTAATGGCAGCTGTTAGCAGATTATATAAAAATGGATAATTGTGATTCTCTCTCGGTCTCTTCCTGCTGCACACAGACTCCTCAGAAAAACTAAAACAGACCC